CCCCGCGTTCAACACGCACACTCAGGCTGGTACGGGGGCCGTCGTCCAGGTCCAGTGCTGGTGCAGGATGAGCAGGATGAGATCCTTAGTGAGCAATATCCGACGTTTAACGCAACACGAAACACAGTCTACAACGACGAATCGGGTGCGTCTTTAAATGTCTATTACTGATTGTAATCTTACACAACTTGCGAGGCTTAGGTTCGAAGCCTTCTCGTGCGGCACGTCCTCCTTCACGTCAGCGTCAGGCTATTGCTATGCCCGGAAACTCGACCACTCTACCGTCGCAAGCTCGGTCACACGCACGGGCTCACTCCGCGAGCTATGACAACGACGAGTTTGATTCGTTCAGGCCGACTAGTCAGTACCCGAATGATCGCGCCAGTGGTGCCGGAGCGCGCACACAGCATCAACGGAAGCCTCCTGGTAAGCGTACCCTGACTGCCTCTACGCCACATATTGACTTACAGAATATAGTAGCACACCGGGAGCCTGCCAAGGTAGCAGAAGAGTACTATGAGTATTCGGAGGCTGGTCCATCGCGACACAGGCAGCGGCCGCCGAGCTATAGTGGAGCCATAGCGGGACCGAGTCGTCCCCATGTTGGGGCCATAGCAGGACCGAGTCGTCCCCAACGGGGACAGGAGTACTACTACACAGATCATTATGGTCGTCCCGGAGGGACAGGTGACTACGACTATGGGGATGAAGATCAGTACGACGACTGAGTCCCGTATAAATGCAGCTATGTATTGACACAAATAGAAATTTTATTGTTCACATGCCGTGAGGGAGCTGAAAATGCCGGCAACTCATTGTTGGACCTATAGAATACGTCCTATGTACTTGGCTTTGCTTAGAAAATACTGCCCCGGCTGTGACGAAGTCGCCTCAACGAGCGGCGTCGAGCGCTTAACTGTATGCTCAACGGCGACCGCCTTGACTGCGATGCTACTCGTCCACCATGTTGCGTGTATGCCACCTCTTGCGCCGCCCACCTCGCTTGTCCTCTATCTTGCTTCCTATCTTACTTGCACCCAAGTCTGAGGCTCGCTGAGCGCATACGCTGGCGCGCCATTTGCACACGCAATGACCGCCCCACTCACATGCTCGAGCCTCGGGGATCTTGCGCTCGCTGACCAACCGAACATACACGGAGCAAGACAGGATGCAGAGACAGGGAAGGAGAGACCACGGAGACGATGAATGCAACCTGTGTGTGCCAGTAGCCCAAGAAGACCGCGCACTCACCAACTCGGGTTATGAGTCCATACATCACCTCTGCGCTGTGCACGGTAATACGGTGAGTTCAGAGCTTCATCTAATTGTTCCTATAGTTGATGGATCCATGCAGTTAGTTCTCTTCAAATTCGTCAGTGCGCCCATGCGCGTCCACCGATCTGCACCTCAACTGACGAAAGGCCACAGGCTGCGTTCAACGCGAAGAATGGACCCATACATCTGCTCAACCCGACAACCCATCCGCTCGCATTGTCTCGCCACCCCCGTACGCGTGCATCACGAGCGCAAGGCCCAGGCTGCTCACAAGCCGCAGTAGTGGGCCCATCACAACGGAGGACACTGCGAGGAACCGTGCTGGAGACCTACCGATGCAGTCCGGCCAGGGAGAGAAGTGAAGCAGGACGGTTCGACAGTCACAGTAAGTGTCCCTGTCCCCGGGCCCTCGGTGCTTCCTTCCCCCACTCTCCTCGGTGCGCACTACGTGCATGTCCGTCTGCTGACACACTCCTCTCCTTACCTCGCAGCCCTGCGCCTACTCCTCGCCATGCCTACTTCTCTGATCGTGTGCAGCTGCCCTTGTTCGATGCACCTGCGCCTACACCATGCCCCAGCCAGTCGCTGGTCGCCCGACTGCCCTGCCCTGTCTCGACGCGCCCGCTGTCCCCGAACACAACTGCTGCTGTTGTGCTCGATCCTCAAGCATGTTGCGCGCCTCCCTTGAGCCCGCGTCTACATCTCCCGCGAGCCCCTTTTTGCCGGTGTCCTTGCTCCTTCCAAATCCGCCCGCGCTGCACCTCCTCCCACGCGCCAGACTCGACACCAACGTGACTGAGTCCACAAATGAACCGCGAGGCAGTGAGAGAGCTCACGCACTTCGTAAAGTTCCACTTGCGCGTCGCCCAGAACGTTGCCCAGAACCCTTTAAATCCTCGCCGGCAGCTGACGAACAAACAACTGGTACTGAAGCTCGACCACACTGCCAATTGCAACGCGTGCACGCCCAACTCATGCCTCCGCAAGCACAGGGATCCCATTGGCGAATGAGCCGTGCACAACATGGTCTCGTGTCCACGAAATGTCACGGTTGTGCGAGGAGTCACGCGGTATGCATTGACTAGGAGAGCTGTGAAGAGAAAAGAAGGACGAGCCCGGTGAGTCCCCTCATCCACCAGCCCTCATCTTCCTCGCCCTCATCTTCCTCGCCCTCATCTTCCTCGCCCTCATCTTCCTCGCCACCTCCATTCTGCCCGCGTCTCTCATACGCCAGTCACTCATCCCACTCTCGCTCTGGCGGTTTCCCTTGCTGTCGCCCTTGTACCCTCACTCCCCCTCGCTGTTGCCCTTGCGTCCTTTCTACCGCTCCGTCACCGCTGCGCTCACCCTCACCCTCGCAATTGTTTTCGCGCTCTCATTTCCTCGCTCCCACCGAAAGGACCTGAACGTCAGGACGGGCCCCCGAAGTGCCCCTTGCTTCAGAGCAGGAGCGACGGCGAGGTCCTCGACACCGCTACGACACATATCCCAAATTTGGTTTCCTACCTTACACCTCCAGCAACTCCGCTTGCCTGCCGGGATGGGAAGGACACCATCGCCAGCGTAGATCACGGGCCGTCCAGGCCATCTCAGGCGGAGAATCCGCGCATTTGCAACTTGCGGCGTTGCGCGACCATCGCCTCCACTAGTGTCAAACGTGAGCTTGGCCCACCCTCCGGCGATTGTTGACGTGAGTGTTCCCTATCTTGCTTTGACGGATACTGGACCGTTTCAATTGCCTCCGATTTCCGTAGGCTTTTCGTTCTATGGCTGATCGTCGATGTGCAAGCTCCCTCCTTACCAATAGATACTGGACAGTTTCAATTACACGTAACCTTCAGTTTCCATAGGCTTGTCGTTTACGGCTGATGGCAAATTGCCATATTGGATGGGGATAGAATTGGATAAGAGGATAGGATTGGGTACATAAGGGCTGAGATACAGGATTCATATAGGACAAGATTTGATACATAAGGGCTGAGATATATCATTCATATAGGATGAGGTTTGATACGTAAGGGCTGAGACATAGGATTGATACAGGGTTGTATTGAGTATATAAGGACTGAGATACAGGAGTGATACAGGATAGGATTGAATACATGAGGGGTCTATAGGATTGCTATGTGATAGGACTACATAAGGGCTGGATGGACATAGGATTGGATTGGATACATGTTTATGATGTGTGGGATGTCCAAAAAACACAGGGAATACCTCAATATGGTTGTGATAACACTGAGGGAGTACCTCTGCATAATGTATGGGATGTCCATATGACCGTGGGAGTACCTTCGCATGATATGTGGGATGCCCATGTTGCCAAAGGGAATACCTCAGGTGCTACATGGGAAATCACCATGGGAGTACCTCTACATGATATATGGGATGCCCATATGAACCATGGGAATACCTGTACACTCCACGGGATGTCCATATAACAGGGGGAGTACCTCAATATGATTTATGGGAAGTCCATATGGCCTTGGGAGTACCTGCGGATAATGCATGGGATTTCCAAATGACTACGGGAGTACCTTCATATGATGTGTGGGATGCCCATGTAGCCATGGGAATACCTCTAGTGCTGTATGGGATATCCCACGGGAGTACCTCCACATATGAAATGGGTTGTCCAAAGCAACCTTGCCTGTTATGTGGGCTGTCTATAGGACCATGGGACAAGCTTGGTACAAGCATTGGGATGTCCACAGAGCTACAGGACAACCCTCACAACCCTGGCATGGGATGTCCAAAGCTATATTGGACATCCCTTGGTAGCATCCTTGGGATGTACATTCTGCTGCGGTACTACCCCATCAATTAGCTGTGGGATGCCCATAAAACGTAGATTAAGGACTTGTGGGGTATCCATGGGCATTCATGACAAGCCCATAGTCAACTTAAGATTGTATTACAGAGAACATGTGTATCCATATAGTGATTGCTCATCATGTCATGAGTATGCTAATGATAACAGGAATCACATACCATACATACCATACAATGATAAGATGTAGCTCACCAAAATTAGACATCATAAGTTGAGGCATGTAAGATAGGGCCATCAGCAATTGTCCAGGCTTGCATAACAATCAGTGCTCAGCTGTGAAGGCTGCAATCAGTGATCTGAAAAAGGTCCATCTGTAGACCTGGAGGAATCCTTTAGCTTCACATGCCAAGTCTCTCATTGTGATCTTGTGGTATACATCTGCCTGTAAGACAGGGTTCATCTGCAACCATCCAACGTATTGGGCATGACCAGGCTTGGGATGAACCATACAAGGCAAATTGAGTGGAAGTGCCACCAAAGCATACTCTGAGCATGGCAGTGTCATGGTGCATGGAATGATGATGTTGGTCTACCGCAGCCGTCAAATCTACTGGAAGTGCACCAGAAAGCAACAAGAAAAGGTTCAAGCAAACATGACTGCTCACTAAAAGCTAGAGCCTCCCAAGAAAACAAAATGGTGCTAGCTACAGCCAATCCTGGGAAAAGGATGTCCCAAATGCCCCCTGGCACCCCGTGACCTGTGACAAAGTGGTGGGAAGTACCAGGAAGCCCACTGGGCATTGTGGCAGCATGCCCTAGAACGGGCTGCCCACAATGGGACATCACAGCAACTTGGGACGGGAATTGGGCAGAAATGGGCCAAGCCCATAGTACATCCCAGCACCATGTCCCATATACCTGGACATACCTTCCCAAATGAGGCAATTAGCCCCAACCTAATGGACAAAAGGATAAGGCTAATAGCCCCAGTACAGGGGGGGCCTGAAGTGCTACTACGAGCAGACGAAGACCGCCTTGATGTTGTAGTACCGGTGGTGTGTTCGCCCCCTACCATCTCCCGTCCTATTGAATTGACTTGTCGGCGCAGGGTATCATCGGCATCCTCAACGTTCAGCACAATTGTCACAAAGGTAAATGTGAACCCACCGGAAGAAGACAGCGGCAACAAGAGCGAACACAGACAGACATTGAAGAATCATACATCGAACACAAGGACGAGAAGAGGTACATTGTCAATACGCACGCTCTGCACAATGCTGCTCTTCTACGCAAACTCCTACCTCGACACCTCACCGCTCCTGTTCCTCATATCAAACCCGACGAACGCAAGGCAGCACATCACGAAATGGCTGCTGCGCTGAGGACCGCTCAGGATACTCGGCGCGCGAAAGAGGCCAAGGCGCGTTCGGAGAAGAAGAAAGCAGCTGCTGCTGCGAAGACCGGAGCACAACCCTCAACAGAGGATACCCCTGCAGACCCTCAGCAGCCGTCGACAGACTCTCCGATGGCAAGTACATCGGCGGCAGCATCGAACAAACGGCCGCGCTTGATGGATGACGAGGGCGAGCCTGACTTGGACACTTAGGGAGAACGGTGAACGGCGCATAGGTACCCCACAGCTTAGCTGTCAGATAAACATGCATTTTTGTATCTCACTGTGAATGAATACCCTGCGGTCGCCCTGTCCGCAGGCAGAATCTGCGCTACGCCCATTGCACCAGACTGCAGCATCCCGCACTTGCTCGGCGCTTACGACACTTCCGCTTGCGACTTGTGCTTAAACGTCGTGCACTTCCTTACTGCGACCACCATCCGACCCGATACACCCCTGCATGCCGCCGCCATCGCATCCACTCAAGAACTGGCTCCCACTCAAGCGGAGATAGGGCTTCACTCTGGCCTTCGGGACGAGTGCTGACCCCCCGCTTGAGGCCATGTTCGAGTGCGACTCGCCAACTGCTTGGCCCAATACCGCAGACCCTTCGACCTCTCAACCCCGTCTCAAGACACCGTGATGTAGACCCGTGCCATCTGGGATGAATCGTGACGCCGTTGGCTACCATTCGTGCATGCTTGTTCCCCTTCAGTGCATTAACGTCGGGCGCGCGGCGTACGCTGGGTGGTGCTGACGGTCCTCGCGACCTTCTCGGGGCTCAGCGCAACCAGTGCTGAGCGTTGGCGGAAGCGGAACACCAAGCAACAACGACATTGAAGGTCCCAGCCACTTCAGCTGGTGGCGGCAAGTTAGTGCAGTCGGACGCGCGAGTGGGTGTGATAGGACTCGGAGGGCACAGTGAGCACATTGCCGTTATTTAATGATTTCCTCTGACCCAGGAGCAGGAGATGACAGCCTCGCGACGCAAGGACTGTCTGGGTCACACTTGCAGTCGAGTTTGGCGACGGCACCACAGACTTTCCACCCAACATGCCGAGCACGCCCTCCTTCGTCTTCATCCCCAAGCCCTCGCTCGTGCCGCAGTGCGCGGACACACCGACGCGCCACGTGCTGCCAGCTGTTGTCGCCCGGCTTGTTCTGTCATCGACCGGCCAGCCTCGCAGTGAACCCGCCTGCCCCCACTTCTGTAGAACTGCACAACCTCGCCGTCATTCAACCTCACCTGCCCGAGCGCGGTGGCGACTCGCTTGTCGCACGCCCGGATAGCTCGCACGCCCTCGACTCATCATCGCCCATGACCTCGTCGGCGTACATCTCCCGTGACCCCCGCTCGTGGTGCGCCATCATCCTACTCGTGCTGAGGACTGCGCTCGACTTCGCTGAGGCTAGCGCGAGGCTGCCGAACGACCCCAACAGGCTTGTCACCAAGGGCGAGCGTGCATGGCCAGTATGCACACATCCAGCATGCACGACCGTGCCCCGTACAATTGACGGGCCCCGCGCCAGGTCCATCGAGCCCAAGGCGAACTTCGACTGGCCTGCGATGTTCGACTTCGTTGTCGGGCGGGGCAGGCACGAACGCATCTCCATGTGGCCGTGCTCGTCATTGCTGGTGGTTGCGAATGTTGAGGAGAGGTGCAGCCGTGACTCGCAGATCGCATCCACGTTGCAGAACGCGGTGGTGCACCACGCGGCCTTCCACCCGTCACACCCACCATTTCCTCCTCCTCCTTCGTCCGTCCAGCAGCCCACGCCCGCACCGTATAGCCCAAACATGTCGAACGCCGCCGAACGACCCCGCGTGTCGTGACCGCGAGCGAGTCATTGTCTCCGGGCGTGACGATGAGGTCTCACGAGTTCTGGGAGTGCCTCGGGGACAGCGCGGCTGAACTGCCGCAATGGCTTGCGGAGCCGTGCATAACTTTCACGCACCCAACTCGTCGTCGCCCGCGCTGCCGTCGGCGCGCATGTCCTGCGAGCGCCACTCACTTGCGCTGAGGCCGACGCTCGACTTCGCCGAGGCTAGTGCAGAGTTGCCGAACCACCTAACAGGGTCGTTGCGGAGGGAGAGCTCGCATGGCCTGCATCGTCGCCCTCATCCTGCGGCCTCTGCGGCTGCCCATCCCCATGCCCGGAGCACTGGCACCGAGTACCGAGGACATCAAACTTGTCAAACCGGGAGTGCGAGCAGGTGTGAGACTGCAGGCGACGCCCGAGCAAACTCCGTGGCGGTCGACCGCCTGGCAGTGACCGTGTTCGTCATCGCTGACGGCGCGGACGTTGAGGTTGTATGGTACATCACTGAGCATTATGATACATTATATTTGGTGGAATGGTCGTTTCGTTCCTGTCCCTTACGGTGCACTGTACAGTAGTATACAAGTGGTTGAAATCTGTACCCGATCATACAGCGTTGCGCGCTCAGGTGTTAATCCCAGAACACTTCATTATACCAATATGTATGCATCCGGCCAGGGGGCGCCCGGGACGCAAATTCTGGAAGGTAACCCCTCGTACGCTGAAGCGAGACCCCGGGAACCAGTTGAGGGGGGACCCCCCCAGATAAGATTAGATTAGCCCAATGCGGAAGCACTCATACATCGCACAAGCGCGAGAGCGCGACGCGCGTCCCACGCGCGTCCGTCAGTACATCGCTATTAGCCCTCCCTCAGCTCTCCTCTCTCTCCGTCTGCCAGCATATCAACTCGTCTTGGCTGCCTTCGAACGTGGCTCTCTCACGACCGTCGACTGTCCCCTTCCTCGCTTCTGACCGATCTGCAAATCCTCCATAACCTGTTCGATTTCGTCGCTGTCCGGGATCTCGAACTGGTCGCGGTAGCTCGTCGTCACCTCTCGGTCGATGTTCATCAAGACTTCCTCGGATTTCGTGATGTGCATGTCGAGGAGAAGCTGCGGTGGGATGATAGGCGGTCGGATTGCATCTGCAGGGCTGTGCGCGGTGAGGAGATGGATCAGTGTATTGTACTTCCATATAGTCTGTGGTTGACCAGCCGAGGTTGATGGGCATAGCGGACAATGTATAGGGACATTAGAACATGGCGAATTCTTGCTCGACTTCGATGCTGGCCCATATTTCATCTTGGTATGATGATATTCACAGCTCGAGTGAATGGTCCGTGAGTTGCCCGTCTTCACAAGCTGCGTGACACATTTGCCATCGCGTCCGCACCAACCGCAAGGCTCAGTGCCAATCTGCGCGTGCAGGATATGTAAGCACATGACTATGGCAATGACACCAGACTAACCTCGATCTTTCGGGGCAGAGGATCAGGTACGTCGCGCAGTTCGTATAGTAGGTGCTGTCCTACATGGTTCCGCATCCGAGCGATGGTCTCCGGCTGCCCGCAAACAAAACAGGTGACTTTGGTGGATCCAGACTTCTTCTCCACAGTTAACTCTGCGGGAAGATCCACAACCACAAATTTCGACTCGTCTAGCACGTTCGCCGTTCGTGAGTAATATCATATTATATGAATTGAAGTTGTTACTTACTGGTCTCGCCGCGAACACTAGTATATGGTAACTGAGTCGTCTCAAGAGCTGGTAAGACCGCAACGCTGGCCATGAGCTCTTCCGGGCTTGATCCCAGGGCCTCCCATGCGATGCTGAGCGCGTCATGTAGCTCAGACGCGATGTATGACCACGTTGTCTGTACGTGACTCGGAGATGACTCGGATTCGGAGGCTGCGTCCAGGACATGCGGCGGGCGGTCTGAGTTCGACTCGCCGGACTCAGGCTGGGCGGTGGTGTTTGCGTTCGCAAGCTCTACAATTTGGGCACTCAGCGGATGGATCAGGTAGCCGGGGATGAGCAAGGTGTGCTGCTTTGTTGTGGCTTGCTCGCTGTCTGACTTCTTGATGCCAGAGCGGACATATTGCCTCGTCCAGCGCCAGGTGTCAGACCCTGTCTGTTGGGATTCTGCAAGCTGAAGGATCTGGACCTCTACCGTTACGGCCGAGCCATCGGATCGCCTGAGATCATCAACTTCGAGGCTGGTAAGCCAAGCAGTCTCGCCTTGCCGCATAAACTTCATGATCTTGACGACAGCAAGACATATGGTCCCCGACTCCGAGATGCAGACCAATGTCGCCGCAGTGTCGCCAGAGCGGATGACGCCTTCGCCGTTTACGTCAGGTGCGTTCCATTTGTCTGTACTACACAGCGCCTCGAGCGTGACACCTTGAGCGCGAAGCGTCCGCATCGGGACTTTCTTGCCCCGATTGGACGTCAGGAATGTGGCGACAACGGAGGACTTCAAAAAGCGTTTGTCGCCAACTTGGATGAAGCGTCGGGTGTTGTGCACAAGTGGTGACTCCTCCGGTAGGTTTGCACTGCCATTTGCGGCTTGGATAGTATCCGGGAGGAATTCATCAATGTCCACTCCGGGCGGTACGTCGTTGAACTCTTCTGGTTCTGGAGCAGCGGGCTCTGATTGAGGTGGATCTGCGGCATTCCCAGCGTCAGGGTCTCCTGGGAGTGGGGCGTCGGTAGAAACATCGCCTTGGCGCTCCGTGCGGTCGTCGTCTTCTGTATGCCGTAACCCAACGTACTTGCCCTGTGGACCAGGGCGGAGCAGGTCGCGCACGCCGTCAGCAAACAGGGCACCAAAGTCCACGTGTCCTCCCTCTCCGAAGTACTCTTTAAGGAGCGCAATCGCATCGCGGCGACCCTGTGCCCACTCGACCTCCACTTCGACATGGCCGACTACAACATCGCCCTTCCATGAAGCTGGGTTGACGTGGTCGACACCCTGTGCATTGCGGAGATTGAGCCGCCGATGTCCGCGATCTAGGTCTGGATTGCGCTCGAAAATTGAGCTGATGAGGGCACTGACACTGAGTTTCTCGCAGAGTTGCAGGATATCGAAGTTCCGGCTATGATCTTGTGTGCGGCACTCGGAGAATAGGCGTTCGAGACGGTCTGTACCTTCCAGGATGATATGGAACGGTACGTCCTTGTCGACAATCTGCAGCCGCAATGTTGTAATGACAATATTTCGCACGATTGCCTGTGAATCGGCATAGAGGGCACCTGTCATGAACGAAGTTCCATGTCGTATCCACATGGCCGCGATTACGAACGCATAGGTGGCCAGTGACCGGATCTGCTGCGCGAGGCTGTAGTCGATGGACGTGAATGGCAGAACAAAGTACCCAAAGGTCCGCGCGAGGAACGTGAGCATCTTGCGTCGATGGAGGTGGCTAGGTGACGTCGAGGGCTTGGCCTCTGTGCTGAGCTGGAGGATTGTCTGAATGAGGGTAACCGCTTTTGGTACGTTCTGTTTGTCTGCGGGATCAAGCAGTTGACGTGCTTTGTCTCCATTCATTGCAGGCAAATCTTGGAGATGTTGGTAGACATCGAGTGCCTGGATGCTTGTGTCGTGTACCAAGATCCCCTTAGGATTCCGCAGCAGAGTCGCAAATCCTGCAAGATCATTGTTAGTACACGGATCAGACACTCATGCGATATTGAAGCATACTTTTGATAACATGCTTTGGATCACAGGTGGCTATGATGCCGTCCGATCCGCACGCCATGTTCATGCCGGTCATCCGCACGAGATGGGCTCCGAGCTCCGAGCTGTGAGGTATCAACTCGCCCATGCACAGGTCAAACTTAGCCCGCCGGAAAGATGCCTCGCCATCGCTCCCGACGGACCAGATAGGTCCCTGCAGCCTCTCTCCGTATGGATGTGACTTCCAGGCATCCAAGAAGGTCCGGAGCCAGACGCCAAGGTCATTACCCACCTCCGTCTTGCAGGATGGCGAAGCGAAGAGTGGCGTAGCAGAATAGTGATCCGTGCGTGCGTAAGGTGCTACAGCCCCAATCGTTGCGTCCTTCCCGTAATGACATTTTGGAGTCTCCCCGTGTAGTGCATGCTCGATCGCCTCGACATCCTCGATGCTGGTAACCCGCGTACCGATGTCTGCTGAGTGTTCACGACACAGGCCTACCACCGAATCGGAAGCAGGGAGGTAGCGACACTTCTCCTCAATCGACACCCCGTCAAACATCGCAATCAAGCCTGCGCGCTTGTTGGATGCATATACAGGTGCAGGCAGTTTGACCTCAGGCGCCATCAGGCGACCAACATTGCCGAAGACTTCATGGTTTGTCGGCGACTTGACACAGGGAAGAAGCTCGGGTACGGGGTACGTCTCGTTGACTGTCGATGGGGATGGTAGTCCAAGAGACTTGTTGAGTGCGTACAGGAGCCGTGGGCCCCCCAGCGCTTTTGCCAAGAAGGCGATCTCCAGCTCGCGTGTATCAAAACGCCCTCCGGGACCGCGTGGCTTGTAAACCCCGGCTATTGCACGCTGAAGCTGAGCAAGCAAGTACCGGGGACTTGACCCATTTCGCAGCGAAACAGTGAGCAGCTGACGAAGCCGCTTGACATCGTTCGACGCAAGTAGCATCGTGAGCCGCTGATGGTCATTGATACGGCGTTCCCGCCGAGCGATCTTCTTCTTCTGGTTGAACGTCTGTTACATATTATAGGTGAGCACTGAGCGCGCTGCATCAGGAAAAACACTTCTAACTTCAGCAGTCTTGAATGAAGAACACCTGATCTTATTTAATCTTTCACAACTTGTGTTCCTCAATTAAGTGCACTATGTGCATGAAGACTGCTGAAGTTGACTATAGTACCTTTGAGAAACTTGTCTTGTCCCCAAGTTGGAAGATATGCAACTTTAGTTCTACAGATTAAGACACATAAGTACACATTAGTTGGCAAATGACCTCTTAACTAAAAAATGTGCATGATGAGATGTCAGATTGCTCAATATGAAGACTTCACCAAGATTTCACCTGACAAGTCAACACATACTATATCTGGCAACAGTAATGGGGTACAAATAAAGATTATTTGTTTTTCCCTGTGGTTATGAGTATATTACCCTACTTACAACAGATGCTGTGGTCAAAGTCATATTGTCAAGGATTTGGACATGTTTGACCTGTTAAGGGTGAGAGACAGCAAAAGAACATTTAAGCCTGCAAAGTGAGACAAGAAGCCTGCCCTTGAGCAAATTATGAGTCTACACAAGGTCTGCAAGGCAACAGATAGTGCCAAGAAGAAATGAGGCCAGTCTGAGAGCCCAGGGATGCACAGGGGCTGGGCTAACAGGGGGCAGCAATTGCAGATTTCTCTAAGTCCAGAAAGATAGTCAATATAGGTTATTGTAGAAGAGAACAAGCACAGGGACCTATGGTGTAGTGGTCACAAGTTTGTGCTGGGAGTGTGGGAAATTAGTTTAGCAGGTCAGGGGTTCAATTCTGGGAAATGGCAGATTATTTTGGGTGACATTTTGCATCTAGGATGCCTGTTATGACAGCATATGCACAAACACAGCAGAATCATGAGAGAAGTCACCCCAGTAATGATGAAAAAACATCATTCTTGCTTGGAATGAGTGTTTACTTTGGTTACTTAATGGAACTTAAGTAAGACAATTTAAGAAATCGACTTACCTTAAGGCTCTTGTGGCACATAGTGACACATAATGTCACTTTTGGCTCTCCACAAGACCACTTAAGACACGAATGTTTTTCCTGATGTGGCATGCATTACTAGGTACGGTATGTAAACTGGCATACCTGTAACTGGAGCTGACGAATTTGTGCAGCAAGCTTCGTAGTAATAGCAATGAGCTGCTTATGCGTGAGGTACTGGTACGGAGTATTCTTTGGTGCGTCACCGTCTGCCCTCTCTACAAAGCTGATGTACTCCGGTAGACCCGGGATCTTCTCGCATGATGCGCACTGCGTGGCATTCCTCGTCTTGGCATATCGTTCGCAAGAGGTCGAGCGCAGACGTAGCCAATTGCGATTGCTGATTCCAACAAGCTCCCAAGGGAAGGTGCGTGTCTCGTGACGATGGAAAGGGTACGTATCCCAGACTGATCCTGGCGTCCACCGCACGAGAATTCCCTGGCACTTCGGGTGCTTAGGACTTGGTGAGTCCGAGTCGTCATCGGAGTCGGATAGATCCTGCTCAGGCTGCGAGCCCTCCAAGTTGTTGCCAGGTTCCTCCAGATGATCATCCTCCCAGTGCCATTCCCTCACGTCATCATCTCTCCAAGTCCTTGGCCACCGAGGCGTGCCATCACTCGGACGCCGCGATCCTTGTTGATCAGTTCGATCTGGATGAGGAACATTCGAGGTGTCACCCAACTCGAATAGTAGATCTGCCACCTGGAGCTGGCATACTGATATATCAATACTTGTAGTTACAGTACGGCCGTGATACATGTATGACTGTGAGCTACAGATCACACCTTATAGGGCATGCCATGATATATCACAGCTAGAGTCTCCAATACATAACAGCTGAATACAGCACTTACCGCATCTGGTTGCATTACTAATCGTTGATCTGCTCACTTACTTGCTGTATATGCACCCTGCCGCCAATCGAAATGGCGAATGACAGCGCGCAAAGGAGACAGATGTCATTCAATGAGTCGTGACGCTGTCGTCAGTGGCCATGGATAGTAGATCGCGTGCACTGCGTTGACCTTTCCGGAGGGCGGGGGTTGGGCGGGGGCGCGATGTGCTGGCACCAGCAGATCCGTGATAATCGGGGTGGTCGGGGCCGCGTGGCGGGCGCAGGCACGCGCGGCACACGAGCCGGCAGGCGGGGCCGCGTGGCGGGCGCATGCAGGCACGGCATCAGCCGGCGGTTGGGTTGTCACACCGCTTTCCCAGATAGGCGTCTATGACGTCACAGCAGAAACACGTACTGTGCGCCAGGAAACACAAGAAATTTAGACATTTGTGTTTGAATTGGTTTAAACGTGATATAACGCGCGAGTCATTGTGGTTTGAGCTCGGTATCGCCTAGCTGTGGCGCTGGGCGCCACCGCCGGGGCACCTGCCTGATCTGGGAACATTGCCTGATTTGGCTGCATTGTGGCGTTGTGCGTGCACCCTTCAACAAGACAAATGACACTATATTCCGGGCTCGTATATTACAATACTGAAGCTAATTATATATGGGTAATAAAGCTATATGTCAGCAGTAAAGGAATATGAGCATTGTGCGCACAATGTCGTGCCGAAGTGAACCGAAGACATCGCTCAGCCAATCAGGGAGCGGATAACGGTCAGCGCAAATCTTTACAACACTCGTTTGGCAGTCATAGCGGCTGAAAGGCCTCCTTTTGGCACAGATGTGGTTCAAACATACTGTAATATCCCGATCTTGCTTATAATTGAGTGGAGAAAATTTACAAGCACCTGCCAGTCACGATATTGTGTTCGAACACGTTCACTGCACCAGTGAACTGCAATAACAGTGCACTGTATACATTGAATGTTGACCTGGGCTGTGTAACCTACGTTTTTCGGTGAGCTTTTGCTATTACATAAACTGTATCACACACTGAATCTATATTTCTCGTAATAATACGAATACAAGGGCTGTACAACCCTCCATGTTGTGTTTTCTACTGGGAGGGTGGCCCGGGCAGTGAGCGCTAACGCGATCTACCGCGATCTACCACGATCTGACGCGATCTATGGCATAAAACCTCATTCTGTCGGAAAGGGGTTGGGAGTATATATACTGTCAGGTAAAACAAGCTATATCTGGCTCTATTGTATCAATACCAAGCCTGGCCGACCCTCCATGTCGTATTTTTGTGGCCTGCACGATAGATCTAACGCGATCGACCTCGATCTGCCCGCCTCGGCTATACCGAATACGGTAAAGTTCAACAGCGCTGCGCGCCACTACACCTCAATCGCTTTGTACCTTTTGCTCCTCACATTCTAGGTCAATGTGTCATTCATGTTGTAAATACATACTCATCCTTGCTTCTATTAAGTTGTTCCTATATACTAGCCAAGACGAGCATTATTGTAAGCAAACCGTGACCGGACGCTTATGTAATACTACCGCCGGGTATAGCCGCGTACCGCGTGCTGCCAGTCCAAGCGGTGAAGCCACGTACATAGCCAAATATAGCTGCGTCAGAACCGCGCACTGTGCGCCGTGCCACTGGCCGTGCGGAACGGGGCGGGTGCATCACACCTGCCAGATCCATGCCCGATAATACCCGCCAGATCTGTGCCAGATATAGGCATACCAGCGGCGCATCAGCCGCGCGGTGCGAGCACATGCTCACACTGTGCTTTGATACATTACAGCTACATCTGTAATGTATTCTGTGATACATTGACAGGCCTCGTTTGTGCTACAGGCATACATGTATCACGGCTGTACTGTAATTACAGTCTCCTGATGTATCAATATGACCTTTACGCCTGGATCTGCTGCATGAGGGCCATGAGGTAATGGGGTCAGTCACTCGTCATCTGACAGACAGCCTGAGGTACAACCTGCAGTGCGTGATGTTGGGGTTTTTGGAAGTGATGGGATGTCGTGTAATCCTTGCAGATGAGCCTGAGGCTCAGAGGGACTGACGCAGTGGGCTGATGGCCCAGCAATCAACGGCGACGCCGGGATCGAACCAGAGTTTGGGACAGCGGATTGTGCAACGACCCGCGGCGTTCCAGAATGCATCGGGGACTCGGACTGATCAGGCTTGGTGCGCTGAGCTCGAAGCTCGCTCGAAAGTCTTGCTGCCGGTGTAGGGCGCCGAAGCTGAAGCCTGTTAATGGCTTCGGCAGCCTGCTCTCGTTCATACTTCTGTCTGTTTCTCGCACATTGCGGTGTGCCACGGTGCTGATTGATTGGCGTGGGATCTGGGCGTTCGTCTCGTCCAGAAAGCGTGATCCATTGGTGGCAGAGATCGCACTCAACCTCATGACGAAGGCTGATAGAGTTGATTCGAGTAGTCCTCAGATCCCCATTGCGGAGGATGATCTCTTTGGGCTCGGGAGGGGGGCGTGGGTGGGACATTGTGGTCGTCAAAATCAGAGAGTATAGTTACCATGCACTATATTGATTCTATTGCCTTGATAATACTATACTAATAATTCGGCATGCACCGCCGCCTCGCTGTAGTTGGACTAGACAGCGATAGGTACGATCTGGATCTGATCACGTGTACATCCTATTCTGGCCATGACCAAGCTTCAGCTCTTGTTTGTCGTGAATCACTGTCCTACACACTCCTTTTATGCAGTCAGATTGGGACTCAAGTGTCCTACATTGTCTTCGCCCAGTAGCTTCCACTTAAACGAGCATATACTACAGGAGCAGCGAAAACCGTTGGAACTTCGCCCGGAAGCTGCCATCAAGACCCCGAGAACCGGTCGGGGGAGGGGGACCCCCCCTAGTTGCTTCCACGGAACGTGCTCCCGGGTGCCCCCTGCATCCGGCCCACAAACCACTGCAAGCTCGCGCGGAGGGCTTACATAAGCCCAGCTGTATACAGTGGTGCGGCTCGCTGTACATGCTGGCTTTCATTGTGGCGGACACCCTGGCCACACGACAACGTACGTGGGCCTATCCACCTGGTACAGACAGCTGTTCGAGGTGTATGACACCTCGGCCGCCCACCTCTGTCTACATCGGCCGTCCATATCAGCCACACGTGGACCGGAACTGGCGGTGTACGATACTTCAACCCTTTGAATCTGCAGACTGACGCGGACGGTCGAGATCAGGCGAGGACGGTACTACGCCACATCAACGCTAAGTACTTATTCCAAATTGTCAGAGAAGCCCCAAAGTTCCCTTCAGTTTCATGGCACGCAGCCAATACAGTGCAGCTGGCTTCGAGCTATGTGCCGGGAAATTGCTCGCATCCGGGTCGTCATCATAGTATCCAGCTGCTATATACCCACATTTACAAGAGAGAAACAGCACAGAGGGGACGTGAAACCATCACAGTACACTAGGTCTTGGCAGCGCCGGTGTGTTTCTTCTGCTGCTTTAGTGCAGCAATCCTCTGGAGAACGATCAGTCGGATGACAAGCTCAGTAAAGGTCTATCATTGAACGTACCTGCTTTCTCTCCTCCTTCCGCCTCGCCATCTCCGCCGTTTTCTCTTCCTTCGTCATCCCCGCCGTACTCTGGGTCTGTACCTTCTCAGGTGCAGGACTCGCCGTCCTCTCAGACGGCGTAGGCGATCGTGCGTTCGGCGAGAACGTTGAGATTCGGCTTGTAGGTGGTGGGGACCGTGTGCTTGCCGCGGCTGGTACCTTCACAGCGGACGTCGGTTTCGGTTGATGGATGGGTATTGTTAGTTGTGTTGGGGCAGGCGACGAGAAGCCCCAGTCGTCGCTTGGCGAGAATGCACCCGGTGGTGCGTCGCCATCGAAGCTCAGATCCACAACCGCCGCGGGCACCGGTGCACTCTCGAATGCACCTAAATGCGAGATTCGGTAAGCATTGAGGTTCGCATCATGAAGAAAGGATGCACTCACTCCAATCGTCCTGGTCTGCGTTGACGTCTATCAGGTCGTCGTTGCCCCATGGGTTGGAACTTGACTGCGTTGTATCTTCACTCTCTGCCTCCGCAGCAGCCTCCATCGCCCAGTCAGACAAGCTCGTACTTGTGGGGACCTTATTCGCCCCGAGCTGCATGCCTTTCGATTTTGTAGAGGAAGTGCCAGCAACGCTGGTTGGCCGTGGGACAGCTGGTGAGGATAGGGTCGAACCGAATGGCGCTTTGGGCCGTCCGAGGCCGCCAAGAGTGCCCACGGAGCCATTGAGGCCATTCGTGGGCTGGGACGAGAGCGAGGCAGGAGGAGGTGCCGACGTCGGACGAGATGGAGCAGCGCCGTCAATGACACTGGAGAGTTCGCCAGCAGCAAGCTACAAACATGTCATGAGAGGGCGCAGGTCATCAGATAGGGATATGCAAACCTTCTTCCCAAGAGACGAGATAGCCCATCCAGCGAGCGCACCCGCAGCCCCAGCCGCGCTGTTCACGAGCCCATTCGAGCCAGGGGACGTCGGCGGGAGGTTGAAGCCCGGCATGTTCTCGTGCTCCTCGATGGCCGTCTCTGGCATCGCCGCGGCGTGCTCCTCAAGCTTCTTCACGAAGAGCTCGATGGCCTTGAATGCCTGGTCGCGGACGAGCTTCTCCTTGTCGATCATCGCGAACGCCATGTTTGGGATTACCTTCGTCGCGAGCTCCTCCGTCTCAAAGCATTCCGCGGTCGCCATGAGCGCCATGACTCCCGCGACACGGCAATGCACGAACGGATCCTTGAGCGCACGCGTGAACGCGGGCACGAGCACCTTGCGCTTGGTGTTGTATCCGAGCGTGGGCCCCAGCCGGCCAATGAGGATGCAGGTGTTCGTACGGATGGAGGCTTCGGGGTCGCCCTGCATCTTGGCGAGGAACCGGAGGAGGTCGTTGTTGAGGATGCGGTCGTTGAGGTTGTCGGAAAGTAGGATGATGGACTTGACGGTAGCCTCGCGAATGATGGCGACTGTGTCCGAGAAGCCATTTTGCTGAGCATATTGAGCCAACATAACAGACACTCGTAGATGAGAGAACATACAAGATGTGGCCAGATCTTGTCTACGACAGTCTTCTTGTCAAGCTTATCGGCGTACTCTGGGAGATGTTCAAGTAGTGCAAGACGCGTGCCGCGATCAGGGCTCGCGAACAATTTGATCAGATGAGTAAGGATCACAGAGGAGTAGTCTTGCGGCGGTACTACTTTCCCCATCTGGAGTACAAGAGGCAGGATTGCGGGAGCAGATGCCCCGCCAAATTGCAGAGCTGAGACAAGCGAGGGCAGCACTTTGAACGACACGAACTCTGATGGAAATGACGACGAAGATTCTTTCAGCGTCCTACATTGATCCAGTGATCAATTAGCGTAGAGGTGCAGAATGACATGCTACTTGCTTTAGTAGCGACGCCTTCTCTGCTTCACTGCCTAGGCTGAAGTTATCCAGCCCTGCGCATACCTTGACGAGGCGGTTGTTGGCAAAGAATCCCGAGCTTTCACCTGTGACTTCTGCCATGCCGAGCTCAAGGAAGTTCTTTGGCGTAAGACGCGCCTTTGCGTTTGGGTTCAGCAGTCGCTTGAAGGAGCCAAATAGTGACTGGGGTATCGCTCCGCGTGAAGCAGCAGTGGGTGGGGGATGTGGCGGTTGTGCAGTCGCTGGCGGAGGTTGGGTTGGGTTGAAGGCAGAGTGGATGAGAAGACCTAGTGCATAGGCATCTGCGACTGCTGGGTTCTGTCTGCAACGCAAGGTGAGGTTCATCGGAATCGGTAGGATGGAATGCTCATTTACTCTTTTAACGTCGACCAGCCGCCCTTCTTCACTTCGGGGGGTGCACACGCATTCGCGTCGGGCAGCAGGCCGCCCATGGTCTAGAGGCGGGAGAAGAAAATATATTCATTTCGGCACGACCACACATCAGCTGCGTACTACGCACATAGAGAACTGCCGCATCATCTTTAGGACTACTCAACAGTTCGAACCCGCCCAGCTTCCACTCCCCTGACGCAGAGATGAAGATGGAGTCCACGCGTATGTTCCCGTGCGTGGAGGCCGCCGAGTCATTTACGAACGCGAGAGCTACCTGGTGACTGTTCATGCGTGAGTTCAACAGAGAAGCCGTGCGAGACGAACCGAGACACGATGGAGACCCCAGAGAAGCCAGTCTTCGCGCTCTTGTGCCGCCTTCGAGGAGTACTCATGCACCGCTGGCGCCAGCGGTCGGACGCGTTCGGTCATGATGTGGATGGTGCTGTCCGTCTCTACAACGTCCATGAACCTGAGGACATCCGGATGTCGGATGGTCCGTAGCTTTCGCAGCGCGTTCTTCGCGAGTGGGAACACGTTCCGCCTGCCTGGTTGGTTTGCATCGAACTCGAAGATAGACACAGGCGACCCATCATCCTGGAGAGTATAGTGAGAACAAGCTGTACGGCAACTGCAAGTGAGACGCGTACACGTTTGGTGCCTTCGTAGAGCGTCCAGATAGAGCGACCGTCAAATGCAGTAACCCTCGTGCCAGTGGAAAACGGAAGCGTGAGACCAGACTTCTGCACCAGCGACGAGACGGCAGCCGATCCAAGGGTCCTGAGGTAGTCCATCGCAGAGGTCGCCTACTGAACAGAGAGGGTCGCCTACGACAAATGGCACAACGTCGAGTGCGTAAGTGAGTCGGAGTCCTGTCCAAGTGCCTCGGACGCAGGCGGCTCGGATTCGCCACTGCCCATCGCGACCACGTGCACTGCTGTACGCGCTAGGTCCATAGTACGTGTAGCTGAGGCACATATGCAGTGCTATCTAGTATGGAGGCTTCAGACCTCCTCGTCGCCAACGCATCCACTCCGATGAGCAGGAAACACCAACATTACCCCGGACAGTATGCTACAATTACAGTACACTGCATACAGCTACACAGATCTTTACAAGTCCGCCACTATCGCAACGTACTCCAGTCATGACACATCCATGTAGGTCCCAGCACATATGATCACGACACTACTCTAAACATCAAGAGTCCAAGAAGATATCGCATTATGACGCTTCTTGCCCTGTTACTTTACAGTAATCCTGCAACACACGAAGACGTGACAATCAGTACCAGAATGCGCATGCTGCACGCACGATCACAGGACATACCGCATTGCCTACAGGGTTCAAAGCCCAGTTCGGGAAGTTCACAGCGACGCCACCGGCCCCTGCTAACGCGAACTACGTGCATTGTTCCAATGAGCACTCGTACGACGAGCCGTCGCAATATGTGAAGAACGCACCGAGAAGATGAAGACGAAGATTTGCGAGCCTCCGTCGACAGCCGCGCCAAGCAGGTACTTCAGACAAAAAACAACCATCAGCATCCATAACCCAGCGCGAACTCGGAACGCACATTATACTTCCTGAACCAGCCCGCATGGTACCGCCGAATATAGAAGTGTGATGTGAGGCCAACGACCATCCACGTGTTGATATACCCGTTCGTCCCGCCCGCGAGGTCGCCGATGTTGTACGCCAGCACGGCGGTGTTAATCAGCGGGAGCCAAGACCACTTGTACTTCTTCCAGAGCAGCCAGGGGATGATCGGGAGGGCGAGCCCGATGACAAGCCCGAGGGGCACGATGAAGTAAGGGCCGCTGGGGCCGTAGATCTCCTTGCCGAGCGCACCCCAGAGGATCGCTGTGGTACGGGTGAAATCAGGATTAGGAAAGGGATTCGGAGGAAGAAGAGTAACGCACCATTCGCGTTATAGGACTGCACTTGTTGGCCACTCCAGACGCGAGTACCTTCGTTCTCGAGCTGTACACTGCCATCAGAGTACGTTCGTGCTATCTTCAGGGAGCGCACATACCAGAATTTTACGTTGTTTGTTGACTACATCCTGCATAATGACGTCTAAAACCCAGGGACTCAGCACGCTCAATCCAGCCGATTAGGTCGATCACACTGACAGTTGAACAATGCTCCGACGACCGTGCCAGCCATCTGTACCGAGAATGTCGATCTCGGGGGAACTGCAAATAGGTGAAATCAACAACACGTCCCTGCTTTCATCATCTTGACGACCCACGCTTGGTGTACTGGCCGAGCTTCAGGTCGCTCAACATCGACGTCGCCTGCAAGATCGCCTGGCTCGAGTAAAGCTCGAAGTACTACACCGCCCGATTAGGCGCTGCCACATCCGAAGAACACCAGCCGAACGCACCATGTTAGCCTGAGACGATCCGGGGACAAGCGCCGCGCCCAATATCTGGAAGAGGTTCTGCACGATGAGCTGCACCGCCGAGATGGCGTACATCGCGCCATAGAATGGAAGAATAATGATCGCGAAGATGAGTGCGACGATCAGTGCCCACCAAGGGAGGCCCGACTTCTCCGTGTAGCAGCACACCACTGCCATGAGGTCGTTAACGATATAATAGGGGGATGAGGGTTGGTAGGAAACACACTGGCGGTGACAAAGGCGGCGAGGGTGATCGCGGCGTACCACCACATCGGGACCTCCTTGTAGACGGCCATTTTCTTGTAGTGGATGTCGTCGATTGGCTCTCGCTTGATGCTAAACGCGCAAGTCAGCACCGGTTTCAAACACGCATAGTCCTAGCAGGGGAAGGAAACACCCACAACTGAGCGACGAACGCGTCGTAGATGTCCTTGCCGTACCAGAGCGCAATGTGCACGATCGTGGCGCCGATAGACAGGTTGATGCCCAAGTTGTAGATCTACCATTCAGCCACACGAACGACAGCATGACAGGAGCGGATACACCGTCGACGGAACATGTCAAGTCGGCGATCAGTCATTTAGCGGCGATCGCAAGTGAGGTGAGTCACGTACGACGGTCGACCCGCTCTGCCAGGGCTGGCCGTAGATCTCGAGAGCGGTCTTGTTCAAGGACTGATCGCTGATGAGGATATTGGTGAGTGATTTGGGTAATATGTAGTAAAATGACATTCGAGAGGAAACATACGCGTTCAAAATCAAATTCTGGTTATAGACCGTCCCATTCTCAACTGCGCACAGACAAGCACACGTCCATCAGTCACCCACGACCCCAAACCAGTCAAAACACACAGCCACCACTCACAGAACAGATTCTGCGAGATGAACGGGAAGTTCTTGCTGTTCCATACGTTCGTGGCGAAGACCGCGGGGAGGATGATGTAGTTGAGCGCCCAGCCGACGTAGGTGGAGATTTGGGTCGAGAGTGGTTGGTAGAACGGCTTGCTCGTGATGTTCGCCCAGTCGACGCCGAACCCGAGTAGGCCCATTCCCTCGTTCGCTTCTGCGCCTCCGAAGATGTACGACACCCAGTCGCTGTTGCGCGCGGCGAGGCAGACGATGTTGAAGGACCCGAGGAGGGGCGCGATATACTGATAAGGCTGTGAGCAGCTGTGCGCGCGAGGTGAGAAGGATGCGTTACCTCCGGGAACCACTCGTAAACAAAGATCGCGCCAGTGACATACCAGAAGAAACGTAGGCTATATGCGGGGTAAGCGCGTTCTCATCTTGCACAGACACCTATGCAGACCCACCGCTTGCCCTGGAGCATCTCGCCCTTGCTCCGATGAAGCACATCAAACAAATTGACATAGATGAGGTTCTGCGGGTACAGCATGACGGTGGGGTAGACGAGAAATGCTCGGAACATGCCCGCGAAGCCGTAGCCAATCAGCTGGCTCGCGAGGAGGGTGAAGATGGCGTTGCCGGGATTAATCGTGATGTTGTAGAACAGATCATCCGACGCGAAGACGAAGCACGCCGTCGCCGCCGTCGCGGCGGTATTTGACATGATCTGCGTCGCGACATGTTCCTTCAAATCTGTGGAGAGTTGTGAACTCTGTCGAGTGATACTAGTACCACTCGGAATACGCACTGAAGGGGCCGGGGTTCAGCCAGTTCCAGAAGGCACTGCCAGTGTGGTATTTGCTTCCTGGACTGGGGATGATGAACTCGAAGACGCGTCCCATCATGTATGCGATGAGCTGCAGAAACAGCGGCGAGACGTTCAGCACCTGGGGACGGAATTGCTAGAGGATCGTCAGCAAGCAGTAGAACAGCCATGCGTAGTATCGACTCACGAAGAGCATGCCGAGCACCGACGCGAAGATGGCGAGCCCAATGCCAGTGAACCACATACGGAATGTGTGGATAGGAAGGTCCGGGTTGTCGTCGAGACTGATGAGGATTTTGGCGAAGTCCTCAGCGGTCTCAAGGACCTTCTCTTTGCCGCCATCGTCGTAAGGCACCTCCTCTATGTTCGCGCCGACGTCGTCCTGACCGCTGCTCTTCTCGATGTCGTCACTGGAGTCGGTGGAGCCCGGGTACGCGTTCTCCGCGAGCTTCTCGATGGAGGGTGTGTCGGGGGCGGGGTAGGCATGGCGGTGTGCGAGGACGTTGCCACCGTCTCCGACGAGCTCCGCGACGGTGTCGGGACTGTAGATGGGCGGGTTGCCGACCGTTTCTACGCGCATGGCTACGTCGGGGGGATGGGGCGGACGAGAAGGCCGAAGGGGGATACTTAAGAGACTGGCTGGCGCTCGATAAGGGGTGTCAAGGCGAGGGTGACGGGGACGACGGGGGTGCATCATCACCGGGCATGTGGCTCTGGATCTGTGTCTGTCGCAATTCGTGGGCCGGGGCAGAGTCTTCTCCATCAGCCGTTACGTCAACCACTGAGAACCAGCTTCGTGCGGCTTCTCCCTGATGCCCACGCTTCGCCGCCGCCCCATGCGCACAGGCCGTGCCGCACCGTCGTCGACGCTGTTTCGCACAGCATTCTGCACGCGATGCCCGGCGAAGAAGGTCTTCTGTGCGTGTGGATCGACCGGGAGAATACGCGGCGGTGGAGCGTCTTGGTGCGTTCACATGGATGCATACCGGCGTCTGGCGTGCTTGTTGGGTATCAGCGTAAGCGAACCCAATTGTCGCTCACCGTAAATAGTACAATCGCCCTCCCGGGTTGCCCGCCACAAGTAACTGAGTGCCAGTGCGTCAGGAATAGAAGAGCGTCAACCGCATACGAGGTCGAGGAGCCGCGAGGAGCCTCACCTTATGCAGGTGGCTTGCATGGAACCCAACGGGGGCTTCCTCGACCTAGTTCCGTCAGTCAGGCTATGGCGAGTTCCGATCTTCCCCATGCCATGCGCGCTGAGATACTCAATCTGTGAGACAACATCTTTTGCAGGCGTCACTCTGCCAAGGTCGCACGCGATCGTGCCTGGCGCATTTCAATTACCACAGCGCACGTAGAGCATACAACATGAATCTACTCTACCATATCCAACTTCCATAAGCTAATCGTCATCCAAAACAGGCAATAATCGAGCTGCTTAACTTAATCAACGTGTGCGTGCGATGCTATCTCGCCCAGGTAAGGGGGTCGGGAAGCCAAGGTCTGCCAAGGTCTGCCCCCGCAAAGCCAAGCGCGTCTTCGGGGCGGAGTTCGGAACCAAAAAAGGAGGCAAAGGTCTGCACATGGGCACTGATCGGCGACTTATGCCGGCGGCCAGTGACTTTGACCATAGGCGGCGTTGGTCCACACCTCGGGTGCGCCACGCTGTTCGCACGCAGCCAGCGAAAGAGCGCACATCGTCCCGCTCCAAACTTCGTGCAGCGCGCTTTGCCACCCTCCGCGTGCAAGCATAGCGGGCAACTCGTACCAGCTCGGGTATGGCGGAATCGCGGAGGGATTCGACGCGGATGGTGCACGCGCGAAGTGGTACAGGTCGGAGTAGAAGGGGTCGTAGTACGTCGTCAGGAACAATCGACGAGCCCGCATATTAGCTAAGCTACGAAAGATATGTCAGCCATGGATCCCATGTCATGTCAAGAGCCATTCGAACATACCGGTACATCACCAGGCAGAATCCTAGCTGAATCAGTACAAAAGCCCAAAACAGCCAGGCACCCCGACTCCACGCCGACTTGACCGTCGTCTCCGACATCGCGGATGGCTATATCCCCAATCAGCTCCTGCACTGCCACGTAGGAACAGCAAGTCGACATACCAGGAACCGACTTGTGCTTCGGCGCATGTTCTCCTTGAGCGCCGCGTACTTGCTCGTCCGCGAACTGTCTGCGCTGGTACCCGCGCCTTCCACGCGTTGCAGTGTCTGCGAAATTGACCGCCGCAGATTGCGCGCCTTGTTTGACGCGTCCTCCAGCGACCGCGCGCGACCGTCGTCCAGCGCCCGCTCCAGGCACGATCTATCCCTGCCCTCGTAAGTCAACGCGACAATGTGGTGTGAGAACGAACGACATACTTGTCCGCCTGCCGCGCCTCCTTCTTCATGGTCTTCACCTGCTCCCGCACAAGCGCAAGCGCCTCGGTGTGATTTGTCGGCGTCGGCATATCAACCGAGAATATAGACGACCCCTCGTCCTCCATGACCGACATTGCCCGTAACGACACGTCGGCTGGCTCGACGTACAACTCGCGGTGAGCGACACGCGAGCCAGACGCCTCCGGCACGGGCTCCTCGACCTCACGCCCCATCGCGTCGACGATCTTGACTGCACTCCGACTGCGCGGAGTGGGCGGCGCAGACTGTTGCGTCTTCCGCTCAGGCGTCTTGGATCGCGTCGGGGCCTCCTGATGAGGCTCCTGAGCCGAGCATGGTTTTTCCTCCTCAACGGTTGTCTCCCGCCCAAATGCATCCACGATCTTCATGGTGACGCTCCCCGGCGAGCGGAACGGCCGCCCACCCGCAGACTCAGGCCGTGGCGGCGGGGTCGCCGGCGTCTCCACCTTTGACGGCATCCTGTCCTCACCCTCACTCTTCACAGTGACGGGCGGCATAGCGAGCGCGGCGTCCGTAGACGAGTTGCCCCCCGCGTTCGGGTTCCACTCTGCGGGGAGAGCGGGTCGCTTCGTCTCCGCAGACGAGTCGCCGATGTCCGACACGGTCGTCTCGCTCTCGACGTCGAAGCGCACCTTCAGGATGCTCCGCCGTCGTACGGACGCGGGCCCACCCGGAGTCTGCAGCCACGCACCCGGCGGCGCGGGCGTGCGCGGCCACGTCGCGGTCGTGTTCGGCATGATGGCGCCAGACGCGTCGGAACCACCGCCTGGTGTCGCGACGATGTCCACCTTTGCTTGTCCGTCAGGCGTGTTTACCAGCACGCTGGATGCACTCGAGTCTTCGCCCACGTTCTTCCCCGCGAATCGGTTGCTCGCGCTCCCATCGTGTCGGACGTCCGGAGTGGCCGCCCACGCCCCTGGTGGACGCGGCGTCTTCATCATGGTCAGGTTCCCTGGGGCACTCGTCATGACAGGCGTGTTGTCGTTCTCTCCTTCTCCGTCGCCATCTTCAGTGGCGAAGGATGGAAGATCCGGCAAGTCGGGCATGCCTCGAGGTGGCGATGGCGTCTTGAACTCGAGCTTGGAGGAGCTCGCAGAGGAACTGCCGTTGCCTGGGGATCGCCGTGGCGGTGTTTGAAGAGTGAATACGGGTGCTGGGGTCCTGTCTGCTGGTGTCGGGGGAGGAGACTCTGGTTTCTCGACCTTGCTGCTGTGAGGGTCACCATCATGTGCGGTCGTGTCACTCTGACGTGAAGAGGTCGCATGAATAGGATCGGGTGAGTATGACGGCGACGGTGAGGGGGGCGACCGAGGCAAAGGTGCAGGTCGAGCCGTCGGTGTGCTCGTGGCGGGGGGACTCTCCTCATCACTCGCTGTGCATGCATGACTATTAAGACATCGACATGTGATCACGTTGCTAGAAAACGCACCGAATACAGGATCCATCTGTGATTCACTGTGGAAGCTCGGGAATCGTGACTCCTCGTCTTCGTCTTCAGGGTCAGGGTCAGAATCAGACCCATGGTCAATCTCGATGCTGATCTCATCGTCGTCCCGCTCATCTGTGTGCGACACAGGCGGGATGGGCCCATTAGACTGGCTGAGCTCAGTGATACTCCTGCGATGCCCTCGCTTCTTCGCAGCCTCCGCGGCATCGCCCAAGGCGCTGGAAGGTCGGGGTATATGACTTGTGCCTGGGCTCTTGAGGGACAGCCGCGACGACGAGATAGAAGTAGCAGGGCGCCGCTTCTCCGGCGAGTCTATCTCATTATCGAGCTCAAGTGGTGGCAGCTGCGTGCGGTTCACAGGGAACGCCCACCCAAAGCGCGAGCGGAAGCCGGGTGTTGGAGGCTGAGAATCACTGTGCTCGCTCTCGTCGTGCGTAGCCCGCACAGGCGAAGGAGAGCGGGAGGAGAATCCCGGAGACTTACTCGGCATGCCTAACGACGGAGCGGGAGACTTGGGTTTCATAAGAGTCTTGCCTTTCGTGTCGTACGACATCGAGCTGAGCGTTCTCGTCCTCGCATGTCCAGTGGCTGTGGGTGCCGGGCTGCTCCGCAAGCTCTCGGTTCTCTGCCTCACAGATGCGTGGGAGGTTGACATAGAGCTGTCTCTACGCTCCCTGGGGCTCACCACTTTCGAGCCAGACGCCGACGTGGCAGGCGGCACCGGGCTCGGCGATCTGTGAGTGTGTATATCCCACTTGGGCCGCGGCGAGTTCCAATTGCGCTCCCGCACGTGCACAAACTCCTTCTCCTCCGGCTCGAGCTCCATACCTGACATGGAACCGGCAGGAGAGGCTGCACGGCTATGCTCCGAAGCAGAACCGCGCAAGGAATTCGATGACGACTGCCGCGACAGACTATGCCGAGGCTGTCCCGGTGTGTGCGTATGTGGGGAGAGGAAGCTCTGCGCGGAGTCGGGTCTCGGTGGAGTATGAGCAGACACGACGCTGGATAGTGTTCTCGTTCGCTCGTGTGGGCGGAGGTTGAGGCTAGAGGACGAGCGTTCGAGCGTCTTGGACTGAGCGTGTTTCGCCTTGTTCCATCCGTGCTCCCGCTCCTTTTGACGTTCCTGCTCTAGCTCTTTCACCCGTTCACGTTCTACAACGTACTGCGTGAGCCAAACTAGTGACATGAAAAAGGAAGAAGACAGACGTTCAGCTTGCGACATCACCGAGCTTGAGCTAGCTCTGCTCGATCGCCCATCGTCGGTGCTCTGTAAGCTTGTCAGAGAGGCTGCGCTCCCCTTACGCGAGAGCGTATGCGCGTGATATGGGCTGTTACGTCCATTTGCTTCGTACGACCATTTCGTTACTATTGAACAGAGCAGTGAGCGTGGCGCACCTACCGAGATGTTGAGTACGAGCGGGCGACTTTGGTTGCGGATGGTTCCACAAACGCTCTCGGTCTCGCAAGCGGTCGCGCCCAAGATCGTCCTGTCGCTCCTTGTCTGTAGACGATGTGAGCGATAGGCCATGATATATAGAAATCAGAATGGTGCCACATACAGTCTCCGATGGATTGAGAGGATGAACTGGTCAGAGAACCCCGTGACGACGCTGCTAAAGGTGTCAACATCTGGACTGCTTACTCAGGAAACGACATACTCGAGTTCTCCAGTTCCTCGCTGCCACGTCTGCTCAAGGGCATCTGCAGGTTATGTACGGAATGCGATTTCGAATGGGAGCTCCAGGAGAGCGGCCGGCCAGGCGAGACTGGGTCCGATTTCTGATGCGCACTCCACGAGAGTGGCCTGCCAGGGGAGACCGGACCTGTGTTCGCGCTTGGGGGATTCGGAGAAGACGAACCGGCCCGCATATGTGAGCTCCACGAAGTCGGTCGAGTAGGGGGAGGCGAAGTGAACCTCGATCGCGAGGGAGGGAATGGAGGGGCGTGGCCGTTCGCGAGCGAGTCTCCCTCATAACTGTCAAACCCACCGAGGGCGTGGCGCATTTCCGAATCTCCGTCCAAGAGATTGGACTGCCCGCTCAATTGCGACGACATCTGCAACGTACGCATTGGTGTGCTCGTCGCATGAGGAGGCGTCGCTTCGAATTCTGGCCTGTTCATCTCGCGGAGTATCGTTGCAGTGTCTTGCGATGTGTCACTTGGGGGCATGGTCATGTCGGTAACCATTCGTTCTGGCGGAGGTGTGGGAGGCATGGTGCTAGAATGTGTGTCGGAGAGGACGGCATTCAGGGCATTGTACCGTGCGGCCCTTGAATGTGATGACTGAGAAGACTCCTCTGACCGTCTCGAAACATCTTCACAAAAGAAAATCGGTCTCGTAGACACAATAACACTAACGCAACGCTTACTTGAGAGATGTTCTACCTCCTCGTCACTCATACTCTTGCGCTTGCCCTTGTTCCCCTCCCTCTCCCGTTCGACGCGCTCGATACGGGGGCTCGGATCGACCTCACTGGCAGGGCCGACGCTATTGCGCCTGACGCGTCCGTTGGACTTTTGAGGCGTGTTTCCAACCGGTTGTAACGCACTTGAGAAGAGCTCCCTGAGGCTTTCCCGCGCGATACTACGTGTTGCAGTGATGGAATATGGTGGATCTAGGTCAGAATCAGGCTCAGAAGGTGTTTGAGGCTCTGGGAGACGCGAGGTGGATGCCCGTGGTGGGGACGTATTGTTGGGTACGCGCGCCAGGGCCATTCGCAGGCGGGCGGCAGGTGTATCGAGGGGAAGGCCAGGCGCAATAGTGGCCTGAGGCGAGTCCGCGATGCGCGCGGCGGGCATACGCGGGGTTGCTTCTGCATCGTCTTCGTCGTAGATCCGTGCGCGCAATGCCTCTGGCGAGGTGCGTGAAGGACCAGCGGTCGGCGTGTTGAGGGTATCGGCGCGACCCGGTGGAGAGTGCCTAGTGAGTCTGAGGCGGGGTATCGGCAGGTTGGGAGAGGTATCCATGCTCGGCAGTGAGCAGAGGCGCTAAGCCGTCGCCGGGAGGACGGACGGCAGCGGCGAGAGGTCGACGGACGACGGGGACGGTGATGGAACGGTGACAAGACCGGTTGGTCACGCCTCGTGTTCGCGCTGGCCACGGCCCACGCGACCGCGTTTCCCAGGACGCATCTCTCCCCGCCACCTACCTCCTCAGAGTCCTCTCCCTCATCCGCGTTGTTCTCCCACTCTCCCGCCTCAAATGCGACAATCAGCAGCTGCATCGTCACGACAGTCCACGCTGCAGAATTCCGCGTTGAATGCCGCTGCACAAGCGCGTCTTCTCGAAAAGAAGAAAGAATACGAGGCGGTTGCAGCCTTGGAACGGGCGAGTGTGCAGTTTGTCAGACGCATAGACGAACTGGGCGACGACTTCGATGTTATGGCCGACGCGGGAAAAGGTCTGTGGTAATCTGCACGCGCGTGAAGACCGTCACTCATGGGCGCGTCCAGTGTGTGGGCAAGTGTTGGAGCAATGGCCGAACATGTTCAGAATTCTGGGCCTATTCTGTGAGTTGCCTGTTTATCTCATCATTGTTAGAATCTAATGCAACCGTGGAAGTGTCTGCCCGCGAACACCAACAAGACGATAGAACGACCTCAGATCCGCAGAGCACGTCCGGCGAACGCCTCGTCAGGGTACCCATTGACGAGCTCCGGCCATCCGAGGACAAGACATGATCGGACGCGCAAAGTTCGGTTGTCGCTACTGGGATAAGTAGGCGCATATGGCCCCACTAGGATTATACCCGCACCTCAATAAACACATCGTGTGCACCCTCAGACGTAAGTCATTCTGCCCACCGAGCGAATTCTCTCGTTACTAATCCAGGGGCCTAGCGTTACCGGCAGCGTCCTCTCACTTCGACAAAGATCGTTGTGAATTGCTCGACATGGACGCGATCCACAGAGGTCTGGAGAAGGCCGCCTTGTCTACTCTTCCACGATGCCCTCATTACTCTTCTTCAATCTACAGTGATATGCTTCATGGCGTATCACCTAGAGTTAGTCGCTAGATGTTCGGTCTTTCTGCTACCCGCTTGGCGACGGTCTACTTGTCTACTCAATCAAAGTACCCGTGTGGCCTCGAACACCACCTGCGATGTCATTCAGCTCACAACAAGTCGTTTGCGTTGCTGTCGTGTTTCCTTGCATCAAGCCGCGGTGCTGATCCACGATTCGTACTCACCAGACGTGACGGCCAGCCAAATGATAACCAGACACATGTCTGGGTCGCGGTTGACCCCATGGGTTCGTACACGTAAGTAACCCGCCGCCACACTGCCGAAGGATGCTCCCCTCATGGTCAACTGTATGCGGTCTTCAGACGCCTAAAGTGGTCTGCATAGGCTCGATGTGGTGCGCTCTGATCTTGGCTCTGAGGATGCATGCAGCTATACCATGTTTGTCGTACTCATGAATTTGTCTTCTCTCACAGACAGTACTGTATCGACTAGTCACGCTGTTGATGTCTCCAAAGACCAGCAGAGGTGGTGTTACCGTTCGTTCAGCTGGTTGACCGGACGTGGTAGCTCTGCAGCGCTCGAAGATAAGGAGAAGCACAAACCGCGCCCAGCCTGGGAGTCATGAATATTTCTTGGACCGTTCCAGTGCGGTCGGCCAGATGCAAGATCTGCCACTTAAGCTCTGCTGAAACAGTGGGAATATCACGACCGGGAGCTGCCGGCCCACTGAGTATACAACTGGCCAGTAGGTGCACATCGCGTAGTCCATACCCCCTCCATGGCCAAACCCACCAAAGCGCAAGTGACCGAGCCCAAAACTCTGCGGATCTATGTGTTCCGCGAGGACTCGGACGTTTTGCAAACGCAGCGACATTACGTGTTCGTAGGGGACCTCTACGTCAAGCAGCAGGACAACCAAACTCCGCCCGCCCTGGCTCAGACGTTGCGGGAGACTGCCAAGATAGTGTACCCCGAGCTGAGGGGAATGGTTGTTTATCGGATCGCCGAGGTGACTGCCCGCCTTTGATATATATATGCCTCTGCTCAACAGCACAATTGACCGTATGTCTCATAGAACCCTACGCCATTCAGCGTCCCTCACAAGGCGACCTGGACGGAGATGAGGAATATAATACTCCGCCAGGAGTCATGGTCTGGGTCCGAGATACAGGGGGACGGGTCCGTCCATGAAGATATCATAAACGAATGCATCCACGTCATGGGAAGGGCCGACTTCTCAGATGTCGTGAATCCGCTGCTCGTGTTCTTCAGAAGGTCTGTATAAGCATACTGCACTCAAGCGCATCACAATAATACTAACGTGCAAACATCGATGGTCAACCATATAGCTAGTACCGCATGGGGATACAATATCCAACGAAGGGCTGAAGGAGAGGGTCGTTACCGATGAGGTCATGGTCGCAATGGCGTATACGAGGCTTTGCAGTGTACATCTAGCTATGCGAAGGGGACGATGGAAATGCTCCAAAGTACAATTACGCTATTAGAAAGAGAGTAATTCCTGGAAAGCGAAGGACATAGCTAATATGTTGTACCTTCATTCTCTACGACGACGGATGCTCTGACTCGAAGAGCTCACAGTGACGCGCCCGTGTCGAGGATAATACTTATACACATGCATATGCACTCCTGCCGTCAGAGTGTACAGGTATAACCATACAATACATAATACAGCGTGTTCCTAATACTCGACAGCTATCCAACCGTACGGACACAGTTATCCACTCATCTCATCCACACTCATACATGCACCACGCTCACGCAACCTGCGGGCCCGCAAGCCTGACCTTCTCCTCGACGTCCTGCTCATACAACGCAAACGCCTTCTGGAACATGCCCGCAAGCTTGCGCACCTCCCGCTCGAACGCCTCCTTGTTCGCCCACGCGAGGCGGGGGTTGAGGAGGTCGCGGGGGACGCCCTCGATGTGGGTGGGGACCTGGAGCCCGAACGTGCCAAAGGTCTCGTACTCGGCCTTGGCGAGCTCGCCCGAGTGCACCGCGTCGACGATCATGCGCGTGTACTTGAGCGGGCAGCGCTTGCCCGTGCCGTACTTGCCGCCCGTCCAGCCCGTGTTGATCAGCCAGCAGTCGACGTTGTTCTTCGCCATGCGCTCCGCGAGCATCTCCGCGTAGCGGCCGGGGTGCAGCACGATGAAGGGCGCGGAGTAGCACGTCGAGAAGGTCGGGATCGGCTCGAGGACACCGTCCTCCGTGCCGGGGGTTTTCCTGTGTCGCGGTCAGCAATGCACTCTCGGACGCTAGGTCTGAGGACACTTACGAGGTGTAGCCAGCGAGGAAGTGGTAGCTTGCCTGCTCGGGCGTCAGCTTGCTCACCGGCGGGAGGACGCCGAACGCGTCGCAAGTGAGCATGATGATGTTGCTCGGCTGGCGGGCGACCAAGCACGGGATCTGCGCGTTGGGGATGAACTCGATCGGGTATGCGCAGCGCGTGTTCTCGGTGATGCTGATGTCGTCGTAGTCGGGCACGCGGGTCAACGGGTTGTACACGACGTTCTCGAGGATGCTCCCGAAGCGGACCGCGTTGAAGATCTCGGGCTCCTTCTCCGCAGAAAGGTTGACGCACTTGGCGTAGCACCCGCCCTCGATGTTGAACACGCCCTCGTCCGACCAGACGTGCTCGTCGTCGCCGATGAGGTTCCGTACCGGGTCGGCGGAGAGCGTGGTCTTGCCCGTGCCGGACAGACCGAAGAAGAGCGTCACGTCGTTCTTCTCGATGCCGACGTTCGCAGACGAGTGCAGCGAGAGCTGGCCGAACTTGACGGGTTGGAGGTAGTGCTACGTACGAGCGTCAACGTGAGCCATAAATAACATTGACGAAGGAAAGACGCGCACCATGACAGAGAAGACACCCTTCTTCATCTCACCCGCATACTCGGTGCCGAGGATGACCATCTCCATGCGCTTAAAGTTGATCTCGACGGACGTCGTGCTGCTCATGCCCTTCGTGAAGCGGTTCGCAGGGAACTGACCCGCATTGTAGATGATGAAGTCCGGCTCGCCGAAATCCTTGAGGTCTTCCTCCGTCGGGCGGATGAGCATGTTGTTCTGCGACGCGTGACGTCAGTGGCGGACATAGCGGTACGAGACGCGCAAGGGACTTACCATGAAGAGTGCGTGGTAAGCCCGCGCGCAGATGACCCGGACCTTGATGCGGTACTTCGGGTCCCACTACGAAAAGGGAGGTCAACGGATCAGCTGCATTGTTCCGCGCTTGGTGATGACGTCGCTACTTACGCCCGCGTACCCGTCAAAGACGTAGACGTTGTCCCGGGTGTTCAGGTAGTCGATGGCACGCTCACGGTTGATCTCAAACGTGTCTGCAGGCAAGCGTTCGTCAGCTCAGGCTCTCTCAGGAGTACGCGGGAACGTACGCTCGTCCATCATGATGTTGACGCTCCCCCACCAGATATCGTCCTTGCTCGTCTCCTCGTACACAATCCGCTTGTCCTTCGGGCTGCGACCCGTCTTCTTGCCCGAGAAGTTGATCAGCGCACCGCTCGCAGAGATGACGGCGCCCTCATTCCGGATGGCGTCCTCGTAGAGCTGGGCGACGGGCGCGTTGCGCTTGATCTGGATCCGGTCCATGTCGAAACCGGCCTGGGAGAAGTACTCCAGGTCGCGGCCGACCACTGAGTGAACGTCAGTTGCGCTGCACGCCTAGATATGGGATCGGTGGACGTACGTGCGGACGGCTCTGCGTCGAAAGCCTGAGCATAGTTCTTGTGGAGGATGTGCGGGGTCACGTAGGGCGTGCGGTAGGCCATGGCAGTATCAGTCTGCGCAAGACCGAGACGTCTCAGTACGATCTCAGACATTTTGGGCGAGCTGAGGAGTGGTGGGGACGAAGATTCGCAATGCAGCCAGAGCCCTGGGCCATAACGCTCGCGGTGATTGACGTACATATACCATGTACCCCGGGTGTGCACCACCACCACGACGCAACTCGGGGCTACACACGGCCTGCCAGTAGAAAGCTTCGCACATACAACAGCGGGAACCCGTCTTGGAGAGACTGTTCCAGACTGTCGCATGTGGTTCCATCTGCGACACCCACTCCGGCCAATCGGTGAATGTCATCGCGACGTCCCGACTCGTGAGCGTTGCAACGGAGCAAGCACCGGTCATCGATGTGTCCGCCAGCTGAGGCAACCAGTACACCAAAGGCCGCTGTCTGATAACACAGGCCAAGGCTACCAGGAGCGGGTAGAACCGGGACAGTGCGAGGCACGGAGGAGAAATCACATACCACCTTCGGTAGGGCGAAGTGCCGCACAGCAGTTTGATAGGCGATCTATCTTTGGGGATCCAGGATGATAGCTGGACGGCCCAGGCGTGCGAGGGACACATCGATCGCGAAGGATACACTGGCGGCTGAGTAGCCTACCGCGAAGGATGGGCCATGCCCGTAGGGAGGTAGGCAGCCCAGTAGCATGCTTCGCTGCGAGCGCGAGCGGGCAGAAACGCCTAGGTTCGGAGAGGGAGGCTCTGCGAGCCTGTACGGAAGATCGCTGGTGATCCAGAGCGCTGCTCTGCGACGGACAGCCCACGGCGTAGGCCCTATACGCCTGAACGCGACCAGGACGCGATCGGGGCGGATAGACGACGGCACTGAGCACCCACCGCTGAGCATGCGCATTATGCGTCCTTCCAGACGCGACCGACGCGGTCGCAGTGGCTAGGTCGCAGAGCACACGAGCTCCACGGCGTCTGGTAACATCGCACGGGGGACAGGGGAGGACGACTCCGATACTCACCCGTTGGGGTTGGGCCAAATTGGAGTGGTAGCGGGTTGGAGAGGTAGATTGAGAAGCGAGACGAGGGGGAAATAGGGGGAGGGGCGGTTGTGGGACGGATGGGTGGAGAAGGGGCCTTATAAGAGGGCGGCGGAGCGAACGCTGCATCCAGCATGAGTGAGCTCTTTCCAAAAAAGGCGATAAATGGGTCACGCGACGGGCAGGCGAACAGAGGCTGTCCCGGTTCTGCCCGCTGCGGGACACCGTCGAGCAGCGTATCAGCGTCCGGGGCAAGCGAGCGACAGGGCCCGTCCCGCACAGAGACTCAGAGGGCGGTGGGCGCAGTGTGCGGGTGGCCGTGGGGAGCAGGAGGTCGCCCAGCCCAGCACACCGCGTCGCCACATGCCCTCCCCTGCCATAACAGGCTCGATCTGCACTTCGCTACGCCTCGTCCTTCGCACCCTCATCCCCGTCCTCCCCGTCCCACACATCGTCCTCGCTCGCCCGCCCACCGCGGAACCGCCTACTCCCATAGCCGACACCCAGGGGCGGGTCAGCGGCCCCGGAGCGGGGCCCCATGTTCCCCGCACCCGCTGCACTTGGCGGGAACACCGTTCAACCCGAGTCGTTTCCATCCTTGTGATACTTTGCGCGATCCAACATATCTATTCCAGTCATTTCGTGCCGCAGTGTACTTATGGCATTCTTCCCACCGGATACTTACGTATCTGCTCTGGAGCACTGGGATACAAGCCTTATGGAGGCACCCATGCTCTGTTCTGGTCTAGTGCTACGGGCGACGTCATGCTCGTTGTTATTCCGAGCCCATGTGGCCAGTGAGCCCCCGCGCCAGAGTCTACTGTGCACCATGAAGGTCAGGATTTCTACGTCCGCGTCATTCGCGCAGACGAAGTAGATGTTCCGAGAGCTGGCGAGTCACAAGCACTTCTACGCTCGCTCTCATCCGGGCCTATTCTGCCAAGTTGCTTTGGATGTTCGTGCAGCAAACCCGCCCATTCGGACCTTGCAATACCCGACTGCGTCCCTCTATCAATCGTACGTGACCCGGCCGACGGAAGTTCGCAGATGCGCGACATGGAGCGCAAGGAGTTCCGCATATCATGTCATACTTACCACGCTCCCTCCGTCCGTGCCTTTGAATGAGGGTTGCTTTCTCACGAAACCCCGGCAAGACTGACTGCGTAGAAGGGCCTCAAGGTCCGAAGAACATTTCGACCAAGCCGCATGAGGTAGGTCTCCTTCCTGTTTCGGCGTTACCTATGATCTATATGAGATCCTGCATGCTTCTAGTCCATGATCTCTCCATCTCTCCTTGACGGTGGCGCTGGCTTTGCCCACAGCTGAATGAAACAGTGAGATGACTCTCCACACTTTGATCAATCCCACCTCGAGCAGTGAACGGGTCCGCATGCATGCAGGTCTGCATAATGTCGGGTATATACTCGTACTGCTACAAGACTCGAAGGTCGCATTCCGCAAGCTCCGTTGTTCACTTATCGCTCTCCCCGACCCAGTCCCCAATCGCAACCAACACCGCTTTATCCTCCGGCTCGTCAAACGGGAACAACAAATGGTCATGCACAGCACCCTTCGCCTCAAAGTACGTCACGCCCGCACTGCCCTCCCGAAGGTCGCGCACCATTCTATCCCTCAGCGTCCTCACCACATCCAACAACCGCTCCATATCCCCCACCTCGATGAACGTCCTCGGAAATCCCCTGAAGTCTGGATCCACGCACTTCGACGCCGGCGAGATCCACTCGTTCGTACTGGCCGCCTCGATCCCCAACGGGCCCGGATACGTCTGTGACGCAGCCCACAGTGGACCCTGAAACGGGTCCACCAGGTAATCATGCGTGCTCGTCGCGGTCGAGCTCTCCACGCCGGCGTGCGACGTCCCCAGGTCGCCCCACGGGCTGAGCAACACCAGGCTGTAGCTCGGCACCTCCGTCGGGCTCGGGAACTTGTTGGGCAGGCGCTCGTGCAACTCCTTGACGTTCTCGACGAGGTGCCGCGCGAGCGCGAGCGCGAGGTTCGCGCCCGCGCTGTCGCCGATCACGACGACGTCCTCCAGCGCGAAGCCGACGACGTGCAGCAAATGGTTCAGACCCGTGATCGCGTCAAGGAGGGCAGCAGGGAACGGGTTCCGCCCCTCCCACCCCGAGTCTGTCGGTGGGCCTACTAACGGAGAGATGTCCGTCAGACGGTACTCCACCGCGAGCGCACGTCGCGCGCGGGGGACGTGCTGAAGGTGCACGCGCGGGTGCTTGCCCATGAGGTAGTGCGGGTGCGCGGACGAGGACAGGAAACCCCCGCCGTGGAAGAAGAGGATGACGCGCTCGCCCGGCGCGGACGGGGCGTGCGGGTCGACGTCGGGGCTGGTGGTCTGCCAGTACCCCGGGATGCGCGCGGGCTGGACGTGTGCCTGGGCGGCGTAGTGCTTGACGCGGCCGATGATGAGCGTGGGGTCGGGCTCGAGCCAGAGGGCGTGGAAGTCGGCGCCGGGGAGGATGGCGTGGTGTGTCGGGCAGTGGATGATGTTGCCCGTTCTACATTTTTCGCGAACGGGGTGGGATGTTCAGCGGAGGAACGTGTGCGTGTGGTCCGTGGCACTCACTTCTCCGCGATAGGCCCGAACTCCGACCATTCCCTCAGAATAGGCAAGAACACGCGTTTGAATAGCGACCAGCTAGGATGCGGCCTCCTTGAGCGCGGCAGATTTGTGAGGGCAAGCCACGGCGTGCGGACGAACACCGTGAGCAGGCCCTGGTAGGCGAAGTAGATCGTGCGCCACGGCTGCGCGCGCCATTCATGCATCCCGCGGCTCGATCGGAGAGACGCGTTGCTCAGCGCGAAGGGAACGTGCCCGAACTTGGCCCCTCCCGCACGCTCGCGCAGACGTATATGAGCCTCCGCACCTACGCTCTCACACGCCGGATCACTCGCACGCGGAAGCTCATTTGCTCTGATTGGCGATATGTAATGGTGGCGTCTGCCAGTGGTTCTGTAAGTACCTTCATACCAGACTGCTAGTGCAACCCAAACATCATGCTCGTGGCGGCAATCAGCGTTGCTTATCATCCGTGTTGCAGTGAATTGCTAGCCCTGGATTCTGTGGCGCACAGGCGCCGGAAGACATGAAACTTGAGGCGTCGGAGGGTGCAGGGAAGATCCACCGTTCGTGGGATCTAGCGAGGCGGTCGCAGCAGGCGTTGTGGAGCGTCCGTCTTCGAATTCGATTCCGCGGCGGCCTGGCAGGACGATCGATCCAAGGACGATCAGCGTGATCGTGCCTCCTCCTCCTCGAAGGTTGGCCTGCCAGTGAGGACTCCGGGTGGACTCTCGAGCTCCTCCTACGGGCATTCTTGCGCGGGATCAATGTCGCTGCTGCGAGACTGAGGCAAATGATTTGCTTTGTCGGGATCGTCGCCCAATTGAATGACACTGCTGCAATGTTTGCTACTGAAGAGCATGTCGGAAATGGATCGAGGAAACGCAGACAGAATTACGGGTACGCTTGATCTTTTGTCAGTGAACAGAAGAAGAGGAATTGCATATGCGAGAGCAAGAAAACCAAGTCGAAATTCATGTAGTCGGTACATATCAGCCAATCACAGACGAGGAATACAAGACGATGTGTAGTAAGGATGACACGGACTATGCAAAGTACTGCGGACGTGGTATAACAAAGCAATCAGACGTAGGGCAGATGATACAAGATACCAAGACTTAGATGTTCTTCAAAGTGCTCCTCCTGCGCGGCGTCGCAACTGGAGAAGATGGATACGCAAACAAATTCAATACGTCGTCAGACGAGAGATCGTCGGCGGCGCATACGCCGCGAGAAGATCTGTCCTCTTCTTCAACTTCATCGTCCCTTTCTTCGCGAGCAGGCTGACCGTGTTTCTTCGAAGACTGGACAGGACGCACACGCGACAACGATTGTGCGGTAGTTTTGGGAACCCTCCCCTTTTTCTCGGGATGCAGGCATATCGCCTTCGGCACCGCGTCACCAACCAGAGTCGACGATCTGCTCATTTTGCGGCCTCGCGGCTGAGCCTTATGGCCCGCAGCGGTGCCTGCCATAGGACGCCCAGGCCGCCGCTCGTCTTCCTCACCCGCGCTGGCCTGCTCTTCCGGCTTCTCGGCCTCATAACTGCGTGGGGGGCTCCGCCGCCGGGCGCGCTTCTTGTTCTGGCTGAGCCCAGGGAAGTCCTCAAACTCGGAGCTCGCCAACGTCTCCTCATCATCACGGGCATCGCGATCGCCGGCCGGACTCGCAACCAACGTAGGCGTCGACTGGCGAGACGTGCGCGACCCTGAGGACGTCGCTGCCGGCGCGGAAGGACGTGGCCTGCGCTCGGCCTGAGGCTTCTTCTTCGTGGACTGCGAGCGCAGCTTGCGGGGGGCGTGCAGGTCGATCGCGGGGAGCGGCTTCGGGTGGTGGAGTTTCCTCCGCTTGGGGGCAGGTTCCACGACGGGGGACTTCTGCACCCACGAGCCGACCATCTCCTCCCAGACCCATTCGCCCGACAGCGCTTGCGATGTCGACGTGCTCGCTTGAGGGGCACCGGTGTTCGTAATCGCGCCTGTCTCCGCACCGGCGCTGAAGCAGCGCGCCTCCGCACCTTCGACCCTCCCGACGAGCTCCTCCCTCAGCGCATGCAGGTCCTCCCCCGCCTCCGCACCGCGCCTCGGCAGGAACGGGTACGCGCCGCCCAGCCCACCTGTCAGGATGACGTCCTCGATCTGCCGTAGGGCGTTGCCCCATAGGCTCGCCTCGAGCAAGTACAGCCTATGCGCGCGCAACGAGCGAGCGTACCGTCGGAGCACCTGCATCGCTTCTGTCTGGGTGAGGCGCGGCACAGGCGGAGGCGTAGGTTGGGGTGTGGTGTCGTCCTCGGAGGGTGCACGCGAGAGTGCGAGAGGGAAGTCAAAGGGGCTTGTTGCCTCTGGAGGTTCAGGGACCGTGAGGAGGTGGCCAACGAGGGAGCCATACGTCTCCGTGATGGGTGAACAACAGCGGAGGAAAGCAGCGACGGCTTCCTGGTCGCAAGAAGGCAGAGTAGACAACGCAGGGCTGGCCAAGCAATAGGTCGCCAAGCAGATGAGGCCGTCTGCAGCACGAGGCCGTTTGGTCGAGCCAGGCTCTGGCCCAAGTTGGAGTCCGGTCTTCGATACGTGCAGTAAGAAGTCCACTGTCTGGTGGATAGCTTCTTCATGTGCGCGAACTGCGTCCGGGTTCCCGCCCTCTGCTTGTGAGGCTCTGGCAACGAGATGGTCCAGGGCCGACTTGATCCATTTAGCGAGTCGGGGCCTCAGCTTGTCCTCGAGGGGCTCTGGGACAAGGGATTTCCTCTTCGAGCGCCTTCGTGCCTGCAATTTGTCGGCATCTACAATATCGCCCGCCAGCCCAAAGCAGAGATGCAGGAAGGCTGGGAAGTCCTGCGCTCGCAAATCCCTCGCCAGTCGGGCGACCGGTTTTGACGTCCATGCATCGACACGACCGACCTGCGACTGTGATAATGCACCAATGAGCAAGGCGGTGAAGGTCGAGTTGTCAAGGCGATGGTAGTTCGCGCTCGAGCGATAGTCTCGGGAGCAGCATGTTGCACGGAGAGTCGTTAGGTAGTTGCTATGAGCGGGATGTAGGAGCGGGCATGTCGCGCTTCCCGACACGGATGATCGGATGGATTCGAGGAGAAGGGCGTGTAGGATGTTGTGTGATTCGGTAGTCAGGTTGTGGGAAAGACATACTTCGAGGAGGGCGGTCAAGATTGTGGGATAATGGGGGCAAGTCTCGAGGACAAGAGTGAGAGCATGCGAAATAACAGTGTGACTAAGGAATAGTATCAGTAGTTTGCCACGAGCTGTGTTTACCACAAAAGGAGGGCGTACCTTCGATAGTGAAGAGGAACAGCTTCGTAGAGTTCCTCCTGGGTGTCGGCAGCGATGTTTGCATACAATTCTTCGAGTTCGTCCTCAGCTTCGTCTTGACGAGCAGCAATCTCGGCTTGTACTTGCTCCCCAATGATGGAAGCACACATCGCTGCCAGAGACCTAATGCGCAGCGTGTCGTTCCGGGGACCCGTAGAGTCGGTGCCGAGGGCAGCCTGTACGACGCTTCGAAACGCATCGCGCACCTCGTAAATCTTCCGTGAGAGTTGCACGTTTTCGAGACTGGTTCGGTCGAAATGTATACGCGACCCGAGACTCTCGGGCGGTTGCAGAATAGCGAGAGGGGGCGCGTCGTAGTCTGTGGACGCGGTTCGTGATGGTGGACGCGAGTGATATGAGTATGTAACAGAGACGTGGGGTCTCTTGTAAGACCTCGGTGAGGAGAATTCTGCTAGAGCTGTGCATTTGGCACGCAACGGCCTGAACAGGCGGTTGATGCGCGAGGTCGTGAGGTGGGTGCCGTTATGTGTAGACATAGGGCTTTCCGGGACAACGGTAGCGTGCCAGGTAGATTCAAGATACTGAGTAGATAAGCAGTTGAGAGTAGAGGGGAAAGGGAGGTAGCGCACGCGCGAGATCGCGACGTGGGCAGCCAGCGACGACCTCCGCCAAGCCACGGTTCGAGTCCACAGATCTGAGATCTCGTGATCGTGTTTGTGCCACGTGCGCTGCCCGAGTTGTACGGACTCGGCGATGTGCGCTCTGCCCGAGTCTTCGTGCACCTCCGGACACGGTGACCTCCCAGTACAGTACAGTCTCTCACCAGGACGCTTCGGTGCGATCCAACCTTAACGGCGCTCAGTCATGCTGACTTTTCCTGGCGTCATGGCCGAGCAAGTACGCCGACCTCTGTGTCAGCCCAGCGTCGACGTTCCCAGGCAAGTATAAAGCATGAGAATTGCATTCGCAGGTGCAGTCAGTCAGTGCACATCTTCAACATCACCCAGCTCAAACCAGCCAGAATGACGGGGAAAATTTGGTTCAGTGAGTTCGTCATAAAGCTTCCAGACGTCGTTGCTTACACTGTCAGTAACTGGATCGTCGACCGGCTTCGGACGACTCGTGACGGAGACCGCCCTTGGGCATGGTGATAAGGTGGCGGCGACACTCAGGAAGCCAGAGATGCTCTCAGGACTGTCGTCGAAGTATTCTTCTTCGCAGCTCCTCGTCCTCAAGCTTGACGTCACCAAATCCGACGAAGTCAAGCAAGCTTTCAGCGCCGCGCATGCTCACTTCGGGCGTATCGACGTCGTTTTCAACAACGCGGGGAGCATCGTCCTTGGGTCCGTGGAGGGAACTCCAGACGTCATGGCCCGCAACCTCTTCGAACTGAACCTCTGGGGTGCAGTGAACGTTACCTCGACGGCCGTTCATTACTTCCGCGAGTTCAACAAGCCCGCCGGCGGACATTTGATACAGAACTCGTCGCTCTGTGGCATATCGGGCTTTCCCCGCACTGGGTTCTACTGCGGCACGAAGCACGGTGAGTAGATGCAATCGTAATCGCCGGGCGATGTAGTCAACTTACCGCGGTTGCAGCGATGGAGGGCATAACCGAGGCTCTCGCCGCAGAAGTCGACCCGAGTTGGAATATAAAGGTCAGCACAGCTGTCGCACTTCTTGCCCATGTTTAGCACGTTTCCTCATGTTGCTTTGCGTGCAGGTTACGCTCCTCGAACCCGGTTCATTTTACACTGGCGGTCATGGTAGGGGAGACCTCGCCCCGCCGCACCCTGCCTACAAACAGCCCGACATGAGCAAGATGCTGAGCGGCGAGGGCATGTCAGACCCCGTCAAGGGCGTAGAGATCATCTACCGACTGGCTTCGCTGCCCAACCCACCGCTCCATCTCCCGCTGGGTCCTGATGCGGTCGCGACGTTCAACGACAAGGCGAAAAGATTGCTCGAGGCGACGGAGGCATACGCGTCGTGGTCAGAGGGACTGGAGCTCGAGCCGAAGCTGTAGGCCTTTGCATTCCGTACGCTCCTTGTCGTCTTCTGTTCATCAACTCGGAGGGATGTTTCGCCCTTTTTCAATGTGCGACCGACTCAGAGCACCGCACCGCCACCTGGGGTCTATGCCGGCACTCGTACGAACAACTCAGCTGTTGCCTCGGTCTATTGGAAGTACGTTGTTCATCGCTGGATATCCAGTCCACGTTACAGATTCCCTGACGGGCGAGGGTTGTCCCCATCATTGCTGGCATGCCTGCAGTCGTGGCATCAGACCGGGCTTTGGTGAGATAACTTTTTATTTGAGCTCGGACTGACCGCCGGATGAGCACAGTTGCATGTAACGGACGACGCTGTGCTAGTGAAATCGGCGTTGGCAAATCTTGGGTTAGAAATCTTTATGTGGCGCCCAGCCGGCTCTAAACCTCCCTGAACAGTATATCTCTTCAGGCAAGTGTGTTCTTCTCGAATGTAAGAGTCGTTGAGGCTCATGGGTGTTCTGTTTCATTTTTTTCTATCCTTGCGGGCCCGGGCTGCCGCACGTTGCGTGCACAGCCATTTAAAGAGCCAAACAAATCTGAGCGAAGAGTCAAGGCCGAAAACCCGCCATGCTACTACCAGGCTGGCTCTCAGGCCTCATCCTGGACGATGGCCACGGCGGCGTTACTTGGTCCCATTACCGGCGGTCCACGAGCCTGCTGCTAGTTGCATTCTCCCGCCTGCGTGCGCCACCAACATGAACTCCAATATTCGCATCCGATTGACCGTAAGGTAGTGAAGTAGACTCAGACCCTTGGCCAGCCTCGATCAATTTGATGTACAGTCAGGTTGTGCACAGCTACTTCAGCACAGCAACCCCAGAGGGTGTCAAACCCCGGCAACTGTAAACTGCTTCTTGAAACCAAGTGCGAGTATACTGCGTTCAACAATAACAGTGCGCCCGACTCCTACGGAAGCGGGCGGGCCTGGAAGTACTAGAGTCTGGATATCTGGGTCCGATTTCAAGCTGCTGTCTCAGGCGTTCTGCCCCCAAAACGTTGATCGCATAGCAGACATGGCTCGCGGTGAGTCCCCCCCCCCCCCATTGAGCTCGAATGTGTAACGCGTCATGTCAACATTGATCAACCAGTGCGTAATGTTGCCTCGCTCGACGCTGCTTCTGCGACGCGCCCCTACAACGTGACCAAGTCTCAGACATGCCCCACAACGCCGGCAGCGAAGTCTGGCGTATGTCACGGCTGGACTGTACATCACTGTTCGGCGGTTCTGCAAACACGGAGTAAGTACCATATAGTCATGCTCGACGTCAATTGAATTGCGACACTTTCAATGCAGCATTGATACGGTGAGAAGTGCCTGACGGCCACACAGACCCGACAAGTAAACCTCGCGCCGACTTGGACCCGATGAGCAACTAAGACAAGAGCCATGTTCCACAATACAACGTTCCGGATGCTAATCGCCCTTGTCGCGTCGACCATCCTGATGCCTACAACGACCTTTACCTGGGCACTCAGTAGGGGCGCAGCTCAAGGACATTGCTGTCGTTACGATGTGGGTTCGTACTTTCCGAGTCGCCGAGAATCGTACTCGTCAAAAGAGGTCAAGGCAGTATACTCGAGGGATATGGCAGGTTGTGAAGAGGTGGGAGTAGTCACGCATCATTGAGCGATATTAATCAACCATTGGACAGCGTGGCGGCTGTACGCTTGACCCTATTGCCTCCGCCGCAACATCCCAACTCAAACATAAGTCAGACCTTCCTCACAAAGCAACTGAGCTCGGTGAATCGAGCGACCCGGAAGATGGGCCCTGCGGTCGCGTAGCAGTCACAGAACTCTTAGGAGGTATGCACAGTGGAGATCGAGTGCACCAGATCGCATCTGTGGATTGTTTCCAGGTCCTGTGCGTTGTGCCCTTGAACAGGCCATGCCTCGCCGTTCAACCGTTTAAATCACTCGCCATAGAATGCTGGCAAGGTGCGCTTCTCCCCGATCATTTGTCTCGTACGCACTTTTCACTCTATCCTACCGTTTTCACTATGGGTGCCACTTCTCCGTTGCCCTCGTGCACCGTCCTCTCCCACCCGACGCACCCAACCGGGGCCCGTCCTCAATTGCCAACGACTCTTACGACCGTGTCGTGCCCTCATGCACTCCCAACCATATCATCGATGCGTTCATCTCGCAAACCAAATGCCAAAATGCTCCGCCCGCTGCCCACGCCCCCAAGGCCAAACAGCGCGGACACAGACTCACGGAGGCGCGACCAAGGGAACTCGCACCCGCGCTTGCCGTCTGCTTCATCCGCGCATTCCGTCGCCGACGGCTCCTACTCTCCCCGCTTGCGCCCCCTTCCTCGTCCTGAGGGCGACCCATCGGGCCCGAAGCCCGCGCGGAGGCCCCTTCCGACGCCTGCACTAGCGGATACTGCGTCTTCCAGCTCAATGGACCTGCCAAGCCGTTCAGCGTCCTTGTCCAGCAATCGTTCTGTATCGACAACGTCGCTGACCACGGATTCCGCTCCGTCGTCTCGCCCGCTTACACCGTCGAACCCGGCGGAGACGCACGATCACGCGATAGTCGTGCCGCCGGACGACATGGAGTGCATGGGGATGCGCGGGCTCCTCAGTCACGGCATGGGTATGTTCCGCGATGGCGACGAGGATGGCTACAACCAGAGACTCATGCTGGCGGCGGCGCTCGCAATCAGGGCGCACGACATGGTGAAGCAGGAAGTCGCATGGAAGGCATTCGTGTCGAAGAAAAGCAGTACGCCGGTGTTGGTCACTAGGTCTGCCCTGGAAATGATATGTCCGACTCGGGATGGTATTCAACTGCGGCTCACGAGTGACTGTCCTGGTCCTATACTCGTGTTCATTTGCTGATGAGGACCGCTATCAGACTTTGACGACCCAACCCCACGCATGTTAGGCGAGATCCTGACGTCCGGCACTTTGGCAACGGGGTTTTTCTTTTGATTGCCCACATAGACACCCATAGATAGTTCAACCTTCGCAGCTGTATTCCTAGATTTTCTCTCTCTCCAATCAGCCTTTGATTGTAGCATTCTCACATTCATTGTCATTCACTGCCCGCTATAACTTATGTCGTGCATCTCACCAGAGTCTTGTTCCTGCATTTCTTATACGTGCCAAACTCGGACTACGGGATTTTCACTGGAGGGTGTATATTGTATTCTTTGCTCGTATAATTACCCAAACAAACATTCGCTGTCGCTATTCAATAAACCTACATGATATATTATGCTCATCCGGGAACAGAAAGCGATGGTGCATCAAAACACCTCTCGGTCCACATGGGATGTCTTCCCTTGACCCGGAAGTTTTCATCGAGAGCTGCTCAATAACGTCTAGAGCTCGAGCATGGCGAGCTGCCAGCCGCGAGACCATAATAAGCTTCTCGACAACTACCATGTACGCCAAGTTCTCGAACCCTGAACGTTTGAACACGCTCTTCGAGCGTCGAGCGCGATCTCTGCTCAATTGTGCAGTGCAACTTGGGCCTCATGGTCGTGACTCCCCAGCAGCCGGTCCTTCCTTCATCGACCCTCGCACACGAATAGGGGCCTACGCATTTACCTGCGCCACCGCATCGTGTCTGCGCAACGCAAAGGCCCTCGGCGAGGTGAGACGAAGTGGGGAACATCAGAAGCTTACCTGAGTGCGCGGTTCAGGGAAGCAGGAACGGTGCAGTGCGGCCTGCCTACCTATGGTGGCTCGAGCTCCGGGATAGCGGTGCAGAAGAATGAGCGCGATGGGGAGGGTCGCGGTGCCGCCGGATTCGGAGGAAAACGCGTCTCCAGATCGCCGTGACTTCTGGTCTCAGATCTCCTGCTGTAGTACGTGGTTCGTCAGCTGCTAGTCGATGAGGAGGAAAGTCTCGCAATGATCGACAGCTGATTGGATGGCATCTGTCTTGTCGTCCTCGTACTCGTGTCTGCGAAGGGCCGAATAGTTGGACAAATCTCGTGGAGAGATGTCAGGTGGATGAAGACAGAGAGCCAGGGGCTTGTTCTGAGTAGATCCGATAGGATGTCCTCGCCTACGCACTTTCTACCAGAGCATCGCCACCGAGTCGTCACGATGGTCTATCCGCGAAGCTTGCCATGAACGCGTTACAAAAAGCCCCTACAGGTGATCATCAGAGTTCGACATGCAAGAGAGGAAACAGGACCTAGCTGACTGGACATGGCAATATTGGTACCAATGGGAACGTACCGGCACGCTCTGCTGACGAACAACCCAGTCCACCCTCAGCGAACGTGCATGTCGACAAGATGTCGTCGAACACACAGCAGCGAACAGGGCAGTGCCAGAGCCACCACTGCTGAGGCCATCTGAAAGTCGAGACTAGTCAACTGCATATTGTTTGCCACCTCACTTACCTAGGGCTTGATTCAGAGCACAGAGATGTCACACAACAAAGAGTGACGCAGAAGACGTGTTTGGTGACATTTGATACACGAGTAAAGCAGTAAGGATGACACACCCACCCACAACACGAGTCGCGGGAAACCACAGCGTATAGGACGAGGACGAAGGATGGTAGTGATATACGTACTGACAGAACGCCCGTGGAGGGGGAATCGTACAAATACAGGCCGCATTGTGAGAACCGAGACCACGTATCAGGAACATGAGACGAGCCAGGACGAAAACGACGACTGCTACCACACAATGAGGGAGACGGAGATTGAGATGCGGTGGACGAGTGGGTCAAGCAAGAACAGTATGAAGGATGCACGTCGCACGAGAAGCAAAGGGATCAGCGACGGAGGCACAAGACGAAACACGCAGCACGAGCTACGCGACGTCTACAAAACGCATGGTCAACATACCACCCACGAAGCACATGACTGCCAGACATACCGAGCGCAACGCATTTAGTAACCCCCCTGGTAGCCGCCGCCGCCGCCATAGCCGCCCTGCTGGCCGCCGTAGCCGCCTTGCTGGCCACCGCCGTAGCCACCACCTGTAGCAATAAAAGTCAGCAATGCACAACTCAACGACCACGACCGCGGGCGTCGTAACCTTGTTCATAGCCACTGTACGAATTCTGGGCAAACCCACCCTGGTTGTAGCCACCACCGCCACCTGGAAGAAGACGATAGATGAGCACGAAGTATCAGCTCAAGAAACCAGGGACCCGTACTGTAGCCTCCGCCGCCGCTGTAGCCTCCACCACCACCACCGCTGTAGCCTAAACAAGGTTGCATTGTCACGATCGAATATCAAGAAGATACGACGGGACCCTTACCTCCGCCGCCGCCGCCGCCGCCACCGCTGCCGCGGGCATTAGCGAGGTTCACCTTGATGCGCCTGCCGTCGAGCTCCTGCTCGTTGAGGTTGGTGATGGCAGACTGGGCCTCCATGCCGGAGGAGTAGGTGACGAAGCCGAAGCCGCGGGAGCGACCGGTTTCGCGGTCGCGCATCACAATGGACTACAGATGAAGACACAATCAGCTCGACCATCCGAAGCATCTACCGACTGCGATCGCGGTGACGCCATGCAGTCACTAGATCTGAGATAGGAGACAAACGATCGCGTACATCAAGGATGTTTCCATACGCGGAGAAGGCCTAAGAACGCAATTCGCAGAACACGAGGATATCAGACACGGTCAACAAGCAGAACGCGACGCCACAAGGACGCCGCGCAAACGAGAATCACACTGACTTGACGGAGCGAATCATCGGTGGTATTCCAGCTCAAGTTGCTACAATAACACAGAATACATCATCAGTCGCGCACTCCTACGGGAGGAGCGCGGCGCGCAGGGCACAACACGACAAAACTGACCCAACGTAAACTTTTGCAGACATGATGCGATTCTGTTATAATACAGATGGAGGACCCGTTGAACCCTTGACACAAGATCGCACGAAACCGAAACCCGGACACAGAACAGCAGACGAGGGCTGGAGGAGAGTTGGGATGGGGGGCAAGAGGCCCTCCACCCCCCATTATATACCCCCACGGATTTTCGGACTCCGATGCCGAACCCAAATTTTCCGGCGCTTCCCGTGACTCTAGACCCTCTGACGTCCTCGCCACCGCCCGATTTGGCAGGCGGTGCCTTGGCTCCTCTATTCTCGGCCTGGGAAATGGGCGCAAACGCGGCCTAGTCCCACCCGATAAGCTAACGGCAGGCGGCGATGATGCATATAACAGCTGACAGGGCACCTAAACACAAAAGGACCGCAGGCGAAATGACAGATAGATGCGGGACGGGCTCGGTGTGGGATAATGACAGATGGGGAACGTTCATTAATACAGTATCGTGACGGTCGTGAAAAATTCAGAGATGCATGCAGAGGGGAAAACCAGGAAACACTGGGAGGGGGAGGAGGTCGACGCGGCGAACACGGCAGCTCGACGCGCACAACCTAAACTCAAACACCTCCGCTCATACTCTTTCTCTTATCTTTCTTCTTGTCCTTCTTGCTGAGCTTCTTCGTGTCACGGTGTCCAATGTCGCTCGACACGCTCGCGCTCGGGCTCTCCCGCGCATCCTTGGAGCTGCTGTCGTCCTTGGACCCAGTCGTGCCCTCGCGTCGCAGCGCCGCCATGAACCCGCCAGCCTTGCCAGGTGCGCCCGACAAGGAGTCCGACCGCTTCGACGTCGACATCCTTCTCGCGAACCGCTGGATGCCCTGCGTTGACAGCGTTCTCCTGCGCTTCCCCTCCGGATCCGGGCTGGTGGCCCCTGAGTGGGGCAGCGACTGGGCGTCCTGGAAGGTCACGCCGGATGCCTGCTGAGGCGTCTGCGCACGGTCAGGAATCGACATAGCCTTTTGGGACGTGGCATCGTCGCCACCCGGGAACGTTACAGGAGCAGCCGCATCGGAACCCGGGAAGGCCACAGGGGCCGTGTTATCAGCTGAGGGGCGCGCTCCATCCGCAGTGGTGAAGGGGAAGGCCACAGAAGCCTGATCCTCCCCACCCACCGTGGTAGTGGTAGCCTCTTGCGAGTGCTCAGCGGCACTGGGCGCGGAGACCTCTGCACCAGCCTCGTCCTGTGCGGTACTCGATGGAGCCTCGGTCGCGTCCGCATCGGGCACTACCGCCGGAGTATCCGCGACATCGTCCCCAGAAGTACCCTCGTCGGCCTCGTGCCCACCCTCGGCCTCGACCTGCGTCAGCTCGGCATCCACAGCGCCAGGCGAGTCCACGAAGTGCTCAACCGTAGGCTCTGCGCCCTCCTTCGTTGCAGGGTCCTCGACGGAGTACCCACTCACGGCCTCCTTCTGGTGGGAACCATTCTGCGGCACGTCCTCGGCACCCTGCACCTGGGCAGACCACATCTTTGCAAATACGCCATTGAGCGCGAGCAGTTCGCTGTGGTTCCCTTGTTCAACGATCTGTCCATCTTTCAGCACAAGGATCCTGGGGCGGTATGATCAGTCCACTATCTCGACACCATCCCAGTAAATGGGCGCCACTCACAGATCAGCGGTCGCAATCGTCTGTGAGGATTACGCGCCATGTCGTAAGTTTTACAAGATCACTCTCAGAAATCGCATTACGTACCGAAAGCCTGTGTGCAATCGCCAATGACGACCGTCCCTCCGCGAGGTGCTGCAGAGCCTTCTGGATGTCCTTCTCGGTAGCCGTATCCAGCGCACTACGCCAACAGCGTGAGATAATATCCCACAACCACATTGCCGCGGAGCCACACTCACCTGGTCGCCTCGTCAAGCAAGAGGATGGGCGGGTTTTTAAGGAGCGTCCGCGCAATCGCCACGCGCTGCTTTTCTCCTCCACTCAGCCTGACGCCCCTCTCGCCGACCCTGGTGTCATAGCCATCAGGGAAGCTCGTGATCCTGTCGTGCATCTGAGCAGCCTTGGCCGCAGCCTCGATCTCCTCTGGGGTCGCGCCAAACTTGCCGTACCCGATGTTGTACGCGATGCTCGAATTGAAGAGGACGCTATCCTGGGGGACGACACCGATCGCCTTGCGCAAGCTCAGCTGGGTCACGTCGCGAATGTCCTGCCCGTCGATCAAGATGCGTCCGTCGCCCGCCTTCAGGTCATAGAACCGGTAGAGCAAACGGAGCACCGTCGACTTTCCACCACCGGACTCGCCGACGAGTGCGACAGACGAATTCTTGGGAACCTTGAACGAGATGTTGCTGAGGGCGCTGCGACCGTCGTACGAGAAGCTGACGTTTTCTGTGCGAAATCAGTTAGTCGTTCGTCGGTACACAGAAAGACACCGGGCACTCACCGAACTCGATTTCGCCATTCGTGACAATCAAGTCAGGTGCGTTCGGCTTGTCATTCACGTCCGTCGGCTCACTGAGCAGCTTGAGTAGCTTCTCAGTGTCAACCAGCGTCTGGTTGATCGACCGGTAGATCGTGCCGAGCATGTTCAAGGGACCGTACAGCTGCGCATACACTCAGTCACCATGTCGGACAGCGACACAAGAGCGCAGCTTACCTGGGCCAGATACGTGATGAAGAAGACAAACTGGTAGGGCTCAGATTGTCCCCGAGTTACTCTCAGCGCAACGATCATCGAACCAACGAGAAGACCAAGAGTCTGCAAACAATGTATTGTCAGCTTTCTGACGAGTCGGATGGAGTAAACGACGTACGATGATGAAGTTCTGCACAAGGTTGAGCAGGTTCAAGGAGACTGGGTTTGGCTGTTAGGGGCGGCAAAAGTCAAGCAGCACGCGACTCACGGATGACTTTGTACTCCAGAGTCTGGTACGACCGGATGGCATCACGGTAGCGCTCCGCCTCGTGCTGCTCACCGCAGAAGTACTTGACGGTTTCGTAGTTAAGTAGACAGTCGGTATGAATACCACGAGTGATCTATAGAGCAATATCAGCACGATCCTCCCAACCAGGCCCACAAGAATGCGTACCACATCACGGTCAACCATCTGCCTCCGCAGCCTGGTCCGCCACCTCGTGAGGATAACACTCGCAGAAACTGAAACATCCCTCAGCACCCGCACAGGTCACATCACACCACTGCACATACCGTAAGCAGCACTGACGAGAAAGACGACCAGCGTGAGCGTCCACTCAAAGTAGACGCAGAACACAACGAGTGCGATGGCAATATCGATGAACGTCGGGATGACATTGAAGAGAAGCAGTTCGAAGGCGCGGTTGATGGCCGCACCGCGGTCGAGGATGCGCAGGATCTCGCCTGTCTTGCGGCGGAGGTGGAATGCGAAGGACAGGTTGAGCAAGTGCTCAAACGAAAGCTGCGACATTTCTGAGAATGAAACGAGGCGATCAGCATGACTGTTCCGCACGAGTGTGCATTGAGACACACCTCGATCCGAATACTGCATGACTGGGGCCCAGAGCGTCTCGCGCAGGGCAGACAAACCACCGCTGGCCTGCAGGAAGCGCACGCCGACATACGCAAAGAGATACACCCAGATCTTGGCCGTGTATGCTCCCTCCTCGAACATGTGCACGAGCTCGGCGAAGATCGAGGGCACGAGGATGTTCACGACACGGCCCACGATCACAACCACGATACACAACATCTGTATACGGAACGTTCAGTACGCACACAACACGATAACATAGAACGTACAGCAAGGGTCTGGAGAGCAATGCTCTTTGAGGGCCAGAGATAGGGAGAGATGCGCCTGATGCGAGCGATGATCTCGCCCCAAGAGGGGTCGAGCGCAACCTCCTCCTTAGCATCCCTACCCTTTGACGGAACCGCGACCGATGGTGCCGGTGTATGCGAACGCGTGGTTGGGCCAGACGCGTGCAGCGTCGAACGCGCCGTCGGGCGGAACGTGCCATACTTGCCGTTTTCAACAGAGACGGGTGCGAGGCCGGTGGAAGGCGCAGCGCCTTCCTCCGCAGGGAGAAGCAGGCTGGTCTCGCTTCGCGATGGCTCGTTGCCGTTGTGCACAGGCACATAAGCGACGCGGGGGAGAAGAAGCGCGAAGAACAGCGGTGCAAGGACCAGGACACGGAAGACGGGGAAGACGAAGTGGAGGATGGATTCAATGGAAAGAGGTCCTGTATGGCCACACGATTAACCCCGAAGTAATGGAAGTATGTGATGTCTAGCTCACCGTGAAGAGACAGACCGAGCAGAGTGACCTGCACAAGATCCAAGACAACGGCCACAAGGATGCTTAGCTTGAGCCTGCCCAATGACCAGACATCGACGCCTTGGACGTCTTTCCATGCTCCAAGAGCGGCCAATCCGAAAAACGCAACCAAACCAAGAATAGCATTGACTTCAATGCCCGTGTATGCGGGCCACACCTTGCGCAGCACAGCATAGACGACAAAGGTAAGGCCGTCAAGGAAGAAGGTAAGACCAGACAGTGATAGAAGGGCGAGGATGGTCGCTCGACGAGGCGTACGGCTGGCGATGACTACCGAAGTGATGGGTGACGGAGACTGGGGAGGCGACGGACGGGTGAAGACGATGGACAGCGCAGACAAGAGCACGAGAGCTGGTGATACTATGCGCAGGACGAACAGCGGCGAGGTCGCCGCGGAGGTAGGGATGTTCATCGTTGCCGCCGTCGTCGAAGGGCTCGACGTCGGGCGCGGTCGTGAGAGGAGGCAGAGAAAGTCGTGAAGGAGTCGTGCGCGGCGGAGGCAACAGTGGCTCTGTTCTTATCCGTTTGTGGGCAGGACGATCGGCGCGGAGAAAATTCAACACTTGTGCCGGGCACGCAAGCGAGGGCGCGATCAAACCTTGCGGGCTAAGCGAGACGATCCTGCCGGCGACGTGCAGACTGAGACGGGCCCGACGACGACGACGGCGGGGCGGGAGGCGGCGGTGGTGGTCGGTATCAGAGCACGATGCACTCGACGCCCTCCTCCCCCGGCCAGTCGCAGGTTTTAGCGGCAGCGCGGTGCCAGGATGCGGCTGATGTCATCCAACACGCCTGAAACGCGTGTCCGCCTTCCGCCACAATCGCGTCCTCGTCCGCCGGGCTCTCGTCTCGTCTCGGAGTCGCCAACGCCTGCCGACTCAACATCAGACAAGGACGACCAGTGTCGACGAGGTTACTACAATCGCTGAGCTGTTTCGAGGAGCTACGTGCAATCTCAGCCAGACTTGGACACGCTCATGTCCGAAGGCCGGGTTTGGGCCGGGTCCTTCCAAGGGACGTCCTTCTCAATTGTACTAAGTACCTCTAAGCGCGTGAGGTTTCATGCCCGCCGCTCGGAACGCACAAACAGCGTGGCGCGCGACATGACCTACAATGCTCAGGTCGTCATATCTGGCATAGTGGGCTCACATTGACAGCGCTAGCGGAGCCCGACTGCTCACGCGCTCACTCGTATGTGTTCGGATACCGATATCCTCGATAAACGCTGCTTTCGATGCCAGTGATCAAACAAGAGACATGTGGCTCATCGCTGCTCAGTATCGCGTATTGCACTCTCGAGTCACGGAAGAGACAGCCAAGGCTCACTGGCGAACAATACACCCGGGTTGGTGCAAAACATGTTCATACGCGTGGGGCAGGTCCGTGTTTCAAGACGGCACTGATAGCTTGCCAGTGGTCACAAGGTAGGTTGCCCCGCGATATCGAACCGTTGACAGTGAGGCAGGCACGCTAGATCTGCCAACATAGGTGTACAGTGGATGTTAATTCGTGCAACCCATCAGTACAAACACCTCACAGCAGAGAGACAGTTACAAAACAGCATTCTCGATTAGAACCAATAGTACAGTGACAATATAACACACCAATGATGATTGCCCAAGATGCTCACGCGCCCTGCGTGAAGCTCTTCTCAATCGTATCGTCCTTCAGCTTGTAACCATTCGCAGCAAACAACCTTGACCGCAGGAAGGGCGTGGTGTCAAAGATATCATGCTCCTTGGCCTGCATGGGCTCGTCAGGAATACCACACAGTCATCCAGCAGCGCACTCACCCGCTCGTCCAGCTCAGAGGCCTTGATAGAGATGACATCGGGCTGCTGATGGCGCTGGAGCTGGTAGAATCGCGCCTTCTCCTTCACGATCTGCCCAAGCAAGAAGGCAAGCAGCTCCTCGTGATCGCGCGCCTGTGTGAGGTATTTGCGGAAACCCTGCAAGTAACAGTGAGAACACAAGGAGACCATGCCAGGAACATGCTTCGTACCCGTTCCAAGGTCCTCTTGATGGACATTTTCTGCGCGTTCACGAAGCTACCGACGGTCACGGAGATCGCGAGGTCAATGTCGTCCGCCCGTACATACTCCCGCAGCGCCATCTTCGCACTCGCCTCCGCCATCCGAATCATGCTCTCCAGGTGGCGGACCGTGATCGGGAACGAACCCGTGGCCAGTGACTCGCGCCTGAGGTCGGAGAAGAGGCGTGCCAGCTTCTCCTGGTCAAGGTCATACAACTTCGGCCGGATCTTCTCGCGGGCGTACATAATGTACTTGCGCAAAAGGTCCTGGGGAATGACCTGTAACGGCAATGAGATCCATCCGCGAAGCATTGCATGAGAGAACACTTACGTCCGCATCCAAAGTCGTACCAACTTCGATCTCATCCTTCTCCACATCGAATTTAGGGTGGCTTCGCAGATGGCTGCCCACGACGAAGCGGGCCAGGAGCTCGTCCTGCACCGGATCCACCGTGTCCTTCACCACACACAAGACATCGAACCGGGACAGGATCGGCTCCGTGAGCTCGACGTTCTGCTGGAACGGAATGGTCGGATTGTACCGGCCCCGAATCGGGTTGGCCGCCGCAATGATCGCGCAGCGCGCCTGCAGCGTCGTCACGATCCCCGCCTTCGAGATTGAGATGCTCTGCTGCTCCATCGCCTCGTGGATCGACGTCCGGTCCGCGTCGTTCATCTTGTCGAACTCGTCGATGAGGCATGTCCCCTTGTCCGCGAGGACGAGTGCGCCGCCCTCGAGCGTCCACTCGCGCGTTACCGGGTCCTTGCGCACGCTCGCCGTCAGACCCACCGCGGACGCGCCCTGCCCGGTCGCGAACACCGACCGGTGCGCCGTCTTCTCAACGTACTTCAGGAACTGCGACTTCGCTGTACCTGGGTCACCCAGCAGCAGCACGTTGATGTCACCTCGGATCCGGTGCTTGCGGTTGATGTCCTTCGGCACACCACCGAATAGCGAGAGCGCAAGCGCTGTCTTGATGTCTTCGTGCCCGTATATCGACGGTGCAATGGACTTGACGATACGCTTCCGGATGCGATCGTCCTTTGCGAGTGTACGGATCTCCTTCTCATCCTCCTCCGTCAGGCGGAATGCAGCAAACTGGTCTTCTTTTTTGTTGATGTGATTGGCCTCGAGGACTGTGGAGAAGACAGGGAAGCCATTCTTCGAGTTGAGAGATGCGTCGAAGTTGTTGCGATATATACCAGTCACTTCCTGCATGGCCTTCAGACCACGACACAATCAACAGCATGAGTATTACTTACAATCTCCTCTCCCGGCTTCGCCATGTCGATCAAGTCCCACAGAAGGATGACCTCACGGTGCCTCGGCAGCCGACCAGGAGGGACGGACCCCGGTGACTCCTGTAGGGTCATCTTCTGATAGTTTCGGTACACAGTCTGCAGCGACATTAGGCATAATTGCACAGTATCACGCGCCAGGACACTCACCTGCTCCGAGTTGACTGAGAACGGACCCTTGCCCTCACAGTTCGGACAATAACTAATTTTGACTTCCTTTGTCGCGTCCTGGTAGAACGGGCCAAGGACTGCGCCGCACTTCCTGCAGTCGAACTTGACATATTTCAGCTGAGGGAAGACACCCGTCCGCCTCGTCACCACACCCGTTACACGCACGAGCGTGTTCAGGTGCGACCGACGCAGATCTCGCAGTGACGAGCTGAGTGGGAGATCCGTGATGCGCACGTGTACCTCGGAGTGGATCCGTTCGTACGACGGATAGTACACAAGGATGGCATTGAGCGCTACTTCATCGAAGATGGCGAGCATCGGGCTGGGCGAATTCGTGAGGAAGTAAGCGAGGATTGGCTTTGAGAAGGCAAGGTGCAGGTAGGAGACCTCAAGAGACTCCGAGTTGTCTTGAGCGCATAATTGTCAGCACCGAAGCGGGAAAGAGGAGAGGTTCACTCACTTTCTCCAAGGTTACGGATCCGCTGGCCATACACTGAGGCACCGTGGTCGTCAACGTAGGTCATCAGAAATTGGCGGAAATGACGGATGATAGATCTGCGGACGCGCTCGTTCGCAATCCATTCGACGATAGACTTCGCCTTGATATCGCTCAGCTGTTCGAGCGGGATCTCCTGCACCATTTGTCAGGGAGTCACCATACTGCCAAGGAAAGTATGACTTACATCCTCCGCGCCCTCCAGGTCGTCCATGTCCTTTCGTTCATCGTACTGCCGCCGCGTACGCCTCTTCGTCCCTGCGAGGAGCCCGTGGCCGTCCATGTCGTCCATATCATCGTCGCTCTGCAAAAAGTTAGGCATGAGACTCCGCCGCGCGGCACGCTGGCCTCTGCGGCCACCCTGTTCACGGCGATCCCTGGCGGCCATCTGCGCTTCAGCGGCGCGTCGCTGTGCGAGGCTCATCTCCTCGACGTCCTCGTCATTCAGCCCTGTGTCCGAGTAGCGGTCTAGAGGGAGGTTATCCGCGTAGTCGCTGGGCTGTGTGAGAAAAAGTTAAGCGTAGTTTCAGCAACGCCACTCACTTCTCCAGCTGCTCCCCAAACAGGTCTTCACCGTCCTCCTCTTCCGCGTCGTCGTCAACATCTCGGACGGCATCACGCTCATCAAGGCTCTCATCTGTGTCGGAGAAGGGAGGTGGAGGTGACGAAGGTGGTAAAGATGATTCGGAGTCGCGTCGCGCGTGTGCAGGTCGCGCTGCTGGGGGCGACGAACCCGGCGGGGGAGTCGCTGAGCGACGTCGCTTGCCGCCGCGAGGTGTCTAGTCGTCCGAAGAAAGATTTAGATATGTATCCTCTGCTGATGCGCAACATACCATTTTGTTGTGTAGATCGCAGGAGGGGGTCTGACTTGTTGAAGGATTATGATAGGAAGAGACAAGGATGCCTACTATTTCTCGCGCGACGCGCTCATTACGCGGAGCTTGAAATAGCCACACTCGCGTTGACGCCGCCGCGCTACTCGAAGTGGAAGCGCACGCATTCGGGCCTCTCTACACAATGCTTTTCAAGGCTGGACACCACGTCTTCATAGGCTGCATGGTTCTGAACTGTACTGTTGCTTGCTAACTCTGAACTATCGTTCATACGTTCAGCGTAGCAACCCAGACTAACCGATACTCGGAGTGACTCGTACATCTATGCCAGTGCTCATCACAGCCTAGCTCAGAATCTTAACTACACGTACACTGGTACAAATCACAGTTGAACTACCACGTCAATGGCTGTTCACAACACACCTTGGGACTGGTTTCATGAGTGAGCACTAGAACCCAGGCATGCTCTGTCTCCTCCACCGTCATTCACGACTTCAATCACGCAACAGCGCTCTCCCAAGGCGCCTTCTATAGTATTTGTTGTATGGAAATCGAATGAGGTGTTTGGAGTCGACACGAATGTTGGGAAACAGCTTGCGTGGGTAGCGAGCAAAACATGCAAAGCATTTGACTCTCGCCCAAGGGAGATGGAGGACTTCGAGGTGAATATGGGGGTGCGGGGTAGGGAGATCAGAGTGGTCGACATGTTCGGAGTCGGCGATAACAGGTATAACGAGTTGGCGTAAGTCCGGCCAGTTACTCGCGAAATGCATAAGAGCCCGTGACGAGGGTGTGGAATTTAACTGGAACGGAACTTGAGGAGAGTCGACCAAGAATGCAGTGAGTCTGGGCCAATGCTGACTTATGGCTTGAGCGTCGTCATCAGACCATTCAAGCTCGATACAGCCCCTGTCCGCACATACAGCCACCTCTTCCAAGGTATGGACATTGAAGAAAGGCCTAAGTGCCGAAACGAGTGGGAGCGTCCTGTGCAGTGATTCCGAGTTAGGGTAACGGTACCAGATGCGTAGGATGCGGATTGGTGAAGAGAACGAATTGATGGGAAGCCGGTTGGCCCAGATGATACCACCATCGAATGCGTCCCTGAAGGTCGACGAGAGCTTGCGAACGCATGGGAACGAAGCAAATTGGAAAATGACGGCTAGAGTCTCTCCGAAGGAAGTCAACTCCAGTGTCTCCAGCGCAGCAAATATCCATCTTGTATTGGCGGGAATGACTCCGTCGATGCGCGAGAATTGGATACGCAACTTCGAGAGCAGCGGTAATTGGAGATGATGTCGAAGAAACGGAAATCGAGTGTGAGCTAAGGTGCTGTGATTTTGAGCTGGCGGAGATGTGTGCAGTTTGAAATGGTCAACAGAGCGCGTGTGTATGCTTCCTCATATATATCTGGTACAGCCGGCCACACAGGCTCCTCGTATAGCGAAAGCGTGTGCAGGCCGGGAAGCAGAGACGATATCACAGTCAAGACGTTCTCTAGACTGCGACTGCGTCCCGTGCTCGGCGGATTGTAGCGCAGCACCAACTGTTGGAGGGACGGACTCCGGATCAAGAAGAGCGGCGGGGTGTCGAGGATTCCATGGGCTGTCACCCCCCATGCTAGCCTCTGTAGGCGAGGTAACAGCAGTTTGCCTTCACTCGATAGAGCGAGGAATTGCTGCAGAACAGGCTCAACGCACTCCATTATCCGTGGCCCCGGTCCACAGTCAGGTCGGATATGATCATTATGGTCTATGATCTGGACGTGACGAGCATAATGCTCAAATCGCTCCCAATCTTGAACAACAGTCGTTGCGAGGACCTGAGCGATGATCCAAAGTCAACAACGATTATGATGCTACACCGGACTACGAATACACTCACAAATTCCGTGTACATGTCGTCCTTGACCATCTCAATGCAGGAGAGCAGGCGCAGGAGGGGCCCGACACCAGGGAGTAGTCGCCACAATATGCAGAGCGCGGGCTCCGCGAACATCTGGCATACTCTGGCGAGGCGCGCCAGGTCTCGACGACGCCGCTTCCTCTGGCTTCTGCCGTAGTGCTCTGCAGCAAAAGTCTCGAATATCGCGAAAAGTATATCGGTGGTTTGGAGGGCAGCGGCGACGGACATGACGAGCGGCGACTGAGGACTACGATGGAGATAGGCCTCCTCACATCGATACAGCGCTAATGGGGAACGGAGTGAATTCTACACGCCGTTGAGCATACACGATCACGAGACCGCGATTCTCGCAGAGCAACTTGAACAAACCACGCTGAGTGTCCCACACTGTCGGACGGTGCCAGCTGATCAATCGCCGCCATTCGCGAGTCAAGAGTCGCATTAATTAGCGACCGTGACAGTCATACCACACAACTTGAAGCAGAGTGGGCAATAAGATGCACCACTTGAATGACGTATTACGCACTGGTATGATACATATGCGGTGAATTGACTGCTGAACTTCCACTCCCCATCGGATTTACATCGCAGGGCTCACGCGCCCACGGGCCACGCAACACAACGAGGCCAGCTCCTATACGTCCTAGCATCTAAGAGTATCCGCCGCCGGGGCATCCCAAAGACGGCGCTCAATCCCGACCAACTTGCGATACCCTGCAACGTAAGTCTAACTGTTGGAGTCGTATTCTAGGCATGCTACAGGGGAACGCACCGATCACAGGGATGACCCGCCGTCCGAGGCGCCGGTCACAATGTCAGTCTGGATCGAGTGTCCTGCCTTGCAGGGTCAGAGGCTGGTTCAAGGCCAACGTCCTCGGGGTTACCCAATCTTCGTGCGCGTCTCTCGTCTGCGGCGTTAGTCCCCAAGCCCTACGCCCGTTGTATAGATCTTGCGGCTTCCCTTTACACCATTCTCGAAACGTCCTGGGGCAGACGCGCGGCGCATGTGTCGTCAATTACGCTCTCCGGCCCCGGAGACTAGCGGTATTCACTCTCAGTGCGAGCGTCGGTGCACATTAACCGCGGATGATTGCTTGGAGCCATCTCAATGCGATAGACGGATCGCCTGCAGATTGTTTGTGACCGATCATGAGGAGAGGCAAGAAGTATGCTCACCTCCACGTCCGACTCCCATGTCAGAGTCTACCGTGTTGGTTGCCCTTCTTCGCCAGCAAGGCTCGCCATGCCTCCTCCTGCTCAACCCTATCCCGCGCAATAATCGCGAGAGCGGCTTTCTGAGAGAGGCGGCGCTGGGGGCGGTCTCGGTCATCCCTGTGCAGATCCTCACTCTTCGCCTTCGCGACGTGTCCGGGCGAGGAGGACGCGCCAACGTCTGTAGGGCGAATACCGAAGCATTCGAAGTCATCCAGCAGCGGTCCAGGTGCAGATGCACTCGTGCTTGATCGACCGCGGGTGGCGTCTGAAGCCTGCCGCCAAGACGTCGGCGCAAATGCACTGCCTGATAGTGGCGCGGTAGAGTCCGCATTGGGGCTGATGGGTGTGGGCAGCGGACGGACAGCGGGCCTCGTCGGGCTTGCATTAGTATTTAATGTCGGTCGAGTCGGTGGAGTACGGGAGTTGGACGCGTCTGTCACGGAGAGCCTGCGTAAGGGCGCGAGCGCGTCTACTTCGCCTGGAGGTACGGGAAGCGGGCGACACTTGTTAAGACTAGCAGAAGACTGTGAACGAGTGAGCGGGGCAGGGAGCGGAAGCGGACGCGAAGGGGTCGCGCGACTGGCCGAGAGAGGAAGTAGGTCTCGCGGAGACGGTGGGCGGGACTGGGCCGGCGAAAGAGGGAGCGGACGAAGGGAGCGTTCGGCGAGCATCGTCTAGGACGGGTTTCAGACACGCGAGGCAGAAGCGGGAGGAGTGGGGACTGACCTGAGACAGCGCGCTGGAAGAAAAGAGGAGCCTCGAGGGCGAAGATGTCAGAGCGACATATAAGCAGGAACGACGGCCGGCCGCGGAGGGAAAGGACTAGACAAAGACTGCCGTATGTTGAGCCCTGAATGATATTTACCTGAATACGCTTGTGGATGCTATTGGGCCGCTACATGTGTTGCAAAGTGACGTGTGAAGGATGCAGCGGTGATGGGCGTCGTCGATGCAGGCTGCTCCTAGCCAACCCCGACCGTCCTTCACAAGTCCTTCACTTTCCCCTTTCCGCCAGCGCCTCCCCCGCACGCGGCCCTGGATTGATTGTGGCGGTGGCGGCGGTCACAACAACGATCATTGACGAACGGACACTTCCGAAAATGGCTCCTCACTTGCCTTTCCCGGCCCACCCGGTCCGTCGAATTGGCCAGACAAGCGCCCATACCAACGACTGTCGATCGACTCACTGCTGCTCCTCGACGTCGATTCGACGACCTCGAGCCGACAGCCATGGCCACTGCAGCGCACATACCGCTCGTCTACCGCCTCTTCTTCCTCTACATCGAGCCCGTCTCTGCGCTCGTCGGCGCATACTTCGCCGCCATTCAGCCAGCCGACTACCTCGCCTATCTCGCGCCCACTCCCACGTCCGTCGCCTCCTCCCCTCCGCCGACGCCGACCCTCATCTCTCTCTTCCAACTCGCCAATCTCTACCTTCTCTTCGCTCTCAACGAGCACTTCGTCCTCTCTAGCACCTCTGACCGCCGAGTCTGGTGCCGCCTCCTCGCTGGCCTGCTCATCGCAGACTTCGGGCACCTCGCGACGATGATCCCGCTTGCGCGGGAGAAGGGGTTTGTCGACGTATTCTTGAACCTCCCACGATGGTCGGCGATGGAATGGGGCAGTGTTGGTTTTGTGTACGCCGGCGCATCCATGCGGATGTCCTTTCTCGCCGGCGTCGGGATGTCCTCCGGGACTGGTCAGAGAGACCCTGCGTCGAAGGCCAAGTGACCTCCGCATGCGACGGATAAAAGATCGATCGCGAGTCTTTGCTTCCTTACTTACTTTGTCTTTGTTCGGACAAGGCGTTCGTGAAATTCCAGACTCTCTTCCTACGTCGATGAAACATCATCAGAGTTCTGACTGACCGCATGTAGTACTGTACACATGCTCTAAACTCTGTGTTCGTTCTCTTGCTTTGATGTCATTTTTCAGACTGTTCATTTTCCAATATCAAGACCCACGGTGCCTTCGCACTGATCGTGTTAACTTAGTTATTACCTCGATGCTCTGTCTGCAGTGAGTCGTGACCAGTCTCAGGGCCCAGGGCCCATCGCAACTTGTGTGTCTGCTCAGAGTGCTCCCTCGTAAGACGTTCGATAATATCTCTTATTGTGATTTATCGAGGCGACGCTCACTGTCGTTTGCGTACAGTGCCATACTCACGGTTACACTGGCACATGATGCAGATGGCCAAGGTCCACGGTACGTCCGCCATATACAATGAGTAGCTCCACTGACTGTTACCGATATGATAGTTCCCCATCTCGTACAAACTCTCATCCAATAGAATGTGGTCTAATTCGAGCAGTCCCTATACTTCTCCCTGACATCCGGCGGATATATGTGGGCCTTCTCTGGCACGCGCGCCGGCCTCTCGCTCGCTTTCATCCCACCAGCATCGATAGCCCTGCATATCCCGACGCTGCCTCCCGTCATGTCCGCCGCGAATGCACTCCAGATCGTCGAAATCGTGTGCGCGATCTCCGAGCAATTTGCGATAGAGCATCATAAAACGTTGCATAGAGGAAAGTGCCGTCGAGATCTAGCGCACTTCGCCCAAGTATCCAAGGCCTTCGTCGACCCGGCGCTGCGCGTGCTTTGGAGGGTGCTCCCTGGAGTCGATCCGCTGCTGCGTCTGCTTCCCTGCGTCGGGGAGGAAAGGGTCGGACACCCTGCTGGGGTTGCACAGATCGTGAGTGTGACCTCGGCGTATAGTGACGCTGTAGTACTCACTGGGATCGGTGACTTCTGTCAAGTTCCTCAAAAGGGCATTTGACTCAAAGGAATGGCAGCGCGTTCAGCATTACGCTGGTTACGTCCATGCAATAGACCACGTGGACAACATTCGGCTCGATTGCGGTTTCAAAGGAAGGCGTCGATACAGGCGGGTCGAGCCCGCACTGCAGCAACTTCTCATATTGTCAACTGGAGGTGAACCATTGTTGCCTCGCCTGCAGAGGCTAGTGTGGTGTCCAACAGATATCGGCTTACTCGTCGATCCACCACCGTTCTCCGTGATTGGTCCATCCATCCAACACTTCACACTGCACTACCTCCCACCGAGCGAGGGACGAAGTCACGGCCTAGCGACGGTCTTGGCCGCGGTAGCGGCCCTGGCTCCTGGCTTACGCACGCTCGCGCTGTATCAACGAGTCGTGCAGGAGCTACGGTTGGCTCGCGCGCACGAGGATGCTTTGTTGACCATTGCTCGATGCACTCAACTCCGCCAGCTCAAGATCTTAGCGAGTCAGCTCGAAGTCACATCCCGCTTCTTCGACGCCCTCGCGACCTTACCCTCGCTCGAAAGCCTGCGTCTCGAGGTCTCGCAAGTCGACGCAGTCGCTGGCCAGAGACGAGCGCTCGCCGCGCTGGAGGCGCTGGAGTTGACTGCTCCCGACGATATGATCGCAAACTTCATACAGTTTGTTTCACTCCCATCCCTCCGTAAACTCTCATTGTGTTTCGACGCCCAGGACATAAATGCCGCAACAATCTACGGCGCGTGGGCCAGACGATCTCCCGCGCAATCATGGCCGTCCACAGTCCGTATTCTCCGCCTCCGTTTCCCCTTCGCCTTCCCCGGCCCCGGTACTACCCTCGTGGAGGTGATCCAGCCCGTCCTCGAGCTGCATAACCTGGAAGAGTTCAATGTCGAGGCACGTCTGGGAATATTTGATTGGTCGGATGACGACGCGCTTTTAATATCTCAAGCCTGGCCGCGATTGACCGCATTTCTGCTTCGCGTCGATCAGGGGAAGGAGCACGAGAGCCGCCGTTCTCTGGGCACCTTCAGACCCTCGCAGCGCGCGCTCCTCCATTTCGCGGAACACTGTCCGAACCTAGAGCAACTCGTAATCCCCTGCATCGTCGACCCGAATGCTGAATATCTCAACCTCACTGCCCCTCGTCCTCACAATCGTCTCAAAGTCCTCCTTCTCGCCATTGTAGACGTGGAGTGCGAACGGTGCTTTGCTCGTGACCTCGTGAAGCTATTCCCGAACCTTCGCGCCGATAGGCGTCCCAAAACGCACGTACGGTTTCCGTATCACAAGGACTATGATTCAGATTTCTGGGAACTATTGCGCGAGAAGATAGAGTTGAAGGCTAGGGCCACTTGACGCCCTCCCCAATGAGTTGCCGCGGGGATGCTTATCGGTACGCTATCGAACTCATTATATTCTTCACACCGTATGAAGTCAAATGGCTGACACTGTGGCACTCAGGCTAGCTGTCGAGACGTCATCGCGAATACGAATGGACTGCTCAGGCCACCGTTGTAGTTGTATTATCTGAGGTTCTGAAGGAGCGATGGATAGGATGTGCATTCTCTGGCCCACGACACGCGTACATTTTGTGATCCAATCTGGCTATGCTGTAGCGTGATGTCTTTGTCAAGTGACCTCGTCTGACCCGCTACCAAGTAGCTCGTTTAGATACATGGTGTACTCGCTATAGGCTGAACACAGTTGGCTTCAACTGGGTCCACGTTTGACCTTGCCTTGCGCATCACATCACGGGAGATTCGGTGAACTTGGATGGGCCTCAATCATAATGGCAGATGTAGGCGTGGATGGATTCGGGAGTTTGGAACGCACGCACGTCAACGACGCGCGTCGCGTACCGCTCCTAGAATAATTGAATTCTCGATCACGTGCACGTGACATTTTGTGACGCGACGCGTCTCTAAGGATGCCGCGACCATTGCCGAATCCTTGGAAACTACTTACCATTCTTCGCGACATCCATGTCGACTACACACGCCTTTGAAGTATGCTTCCTTCTCCCTCCTTCCGAATAAATGCCTTACGCCTTTACAGTACAGCAGGAGTAGCAAAGCAAAATGTCACGGCCCGCCTCCATGCAAAGGGTCGCCGATTGACTTGGGAGCGCTGCGGTACGGGCAGGTGAACTTCGGACCCTACGGAGAGACAGTAGAGTGGCGACATTGGTGAGTCCTATCGGCTGTCTCACACAAGATAGGTCGTCTGAACATATTGCCACACAGGGGCTGCGTTACACCCGACATTCTGCAGAGACTTTCATCTGTTCAGCTCGAGCGCGTCCCAGGATTCGTGAGCCTACGGTGAGTGAGATCCATCTCAAGAAGCGCGCGGCAAACACATGCAGCTCTACTTGCTTGCCCTGTCCAAAGTATAAGCCCCCTTACGGTCCATGTATCATGCCTCGGCTCCACGACGACAATGGTCCTTGCCCTGCTACCGAGTCATTCCTGTCATCCGTGCCTTCGCATCCTGCGAATAGCGGCCATAAACGAGGCCAAAGGCCTGCTGCCGTTTCTCTGATTATCCTGCTACGACTTTACGTCTCTCGATATCATACACTGGAATTTTCGTCGACTAAATGAAATGCATACAGGCAGGAGGACCAGTCGAAAATACGTCTGGCCGTGGGTCTCCGTCGCCTAGACCCCGCGGATGTAACCGAAACCGCCAAATTCAGAGAGCCGACCTTTATTCAGCCCTTGATATCAAATGTATCATCCCCGCCGGGTTCTAGTCAGACATTGACTACTACAGCAAGTGCATCTACAACGGGCCCAAGTCAGAAGAAGAGGAAGGCCGCCTTCGAGGCTGCTATGGGCGCATCGCAGCCATCCAGACCACAGCCCAGTGCGAGTCGACGAATCGCAAGTCAACCACCCGCGAGTCAACCACCCGCGAGTCAGCCCCTCCGCCGTCTCTCAGACCGGTTTGAAGAGGAACAGAACAACGAGGTCATTGATGTCGACGACGCGCAAGATGAGCTGTACTGTATGCTCAAGGTCCCCGTTGTCGGTCTGCAGTACTATAAAGGTGAGTCGGTGCGCGTGAGACATCGCAGTGCATTTCACTGTGCCTCTTCTAGGTCTTGTCGGCGCCGGTGAAGAAGTGCGGCTTATCCGAGAGCCGGGAAACGCATTCGACAAAAATGCGATTCAAGCGAAGAACATCGGGGGCACTCAGGTCGGCCATGTCAAGAGAGAGTTTGCAGCCAGGCTTGCCCCGCTGCTTGACAAGGGCCTGATCACCATTGAAGGTGTCATGCAAGAAGGGAATCGTACGTGCACAGTTGTCACAAGCTCCTCCTCACCATCGTAGCTGACGTGGATACAGTCAAGGGCAAGCATTTTCAGTTGGACATGTATGTCGGTTCGCCATCTGGAGGGAATCTACAGGACTGACAGTTTGGTAGGACACTCAAGATATATGGTTCCGGGAACCAGAGAGCGACGCTTGAACCGAAACTCATATGGGCGACACCGGGTCAGCGTGGGTTCGCTGCAAGAAATGGCACAAGCACCCAGGTTCCAGGCGCTTCGGCGAGAGCTGTAGGCATGCCCTCAGCATCACAGTCGGCCGTAGGCGCAGGCCGATACGCCGGGTCGTATGGTGCGCAAGGTACGCATGGTGGGTATGGTGCATACGGCGGGTCCAGTGGAGGATACGGCGGGCGTGGCGGGTACCCGGTGGCGGCAACGCAGTCAAGTTCTGGGCATCCTGCAAGCCAAATGACCGCTCAACAACTTGCCGCCCGTGAGGAGGCTGCGCGCAAACAAGCAGAGGAGATGGCGAAATCGGCAGAGCTCCGCCAGATTCTGGACAATTTGACGAAAGTCGACGATGAAAATCGGCGGAGCTCGTTGTTGGATACTCTGTGCGCCGTGGCCGATGTGCTTGAGATGCCAGAACATCCGAGCCCGCCGAGCATCACAAGCGGCGACTTGAAAGTGAACTTGTTGAAGCACCAGGTAGGGCGTGTGGCACTTGTGTTCTGGGATATACAGAATGTTGAGAAAAAGTAGAGTCAAGCGTTGCAGTGGTGCGTGGAGCATGAATACCCTGTCTTGCCGAAGAAGGAAACGGACAAGCCAGTGCAATTCTGGAAGTACACGAAAACCAATGGTAAAGTACGTACCCCAACGCAGCGTAGCGCCCAGTCGACATTGACAGTTGCTTACGTTGCAGCCCATTTACTACAATCGTAAATCCACTTTCGCCACGTATGATTTGCTCCGCTTACTTGTGAAATGCAGTTGCTACGAAAACTCCGCAGAGCGTACCGCCGTTGCTTGGTCGTGGTGCCCTGTGCGCTGATAGCATGGGTTTAGTAAGTCCCATACTCATGATGACGCAACGTATGGTTGAAACGTGTTCGTAGGGCAAAACACTAACTATGCTGGCACTCATTTTGGCCACGAAATCTGATATACCCCCGGATTTCTCGAGGACAACACTCATTGGTGTGTACATGCTGTACCCAGAAATTTTGCGCGTGTCGGTTCATTCTGCTGCGCGCGTCTAGTTGTTCCATTGTCGATCTTGTCTAATTGGGAGAAGCAAATCGAAGACCATGTCCAGCCTGGGGCCCTAACGTCGTGTGTGTATTACGGCGCCACACGTTCAATGACGCCGGAGGATCTGAAGAAGTACGACGTTGTTATCACCACCTATCAGACTGTCACGAAGGAGCACGGAGATACGCTCGTGACCGCTGGTGGCGAAGGGGCCACCAAGAAGAAAAAGATCGAAGGCAGCTTGTTTCAGTTGTCTTGGAAGGTCGGACTCAGCTGGTTTTATCTTGCATCGTCATTCAACTTGCCCGCCTCATAGCGTGTCATTTTGGATGAAGGCCACAACATCCGCAATCCTCGGACAAAGATGGCAAAGGCTGTATGCGCACTCGAAGCTCAACGTCGGTGGATTCTCACAGGAACACCGATTGTAGGTTCTATTGTAATTTCGTTTCGAGGAATACTGACATCCGTTTGGATAGATCAACTCTCCTAAGGTAGCTGCTTTCGATTTCACTCGTCCGTGACAGTGGTGACACACCTTGATCGTAGGACCTTGGATCTATCCTCACCTTCCTACGGATTTGCCATCCGCTGGGCAATGAGGATATGTACAAGCGCCTGATTCTGCGACCGTTGAAGGATGGCGAACAGAGTGGTGCGGAACTGCTGAAAGTACGTTTGTGTCTTACTTCTATTGCATTCATTCATCAAATCACCTGTGCTAGGCGGTCATGAGTCACGTGTGTATACGTCGCACAAAGGAGGTGAGTCCATGTCTAATGCACGAACGAGTGGGGTTCTTGACGAATAATGCAGATGCAAGACAAGGACGGCAAACCCCTAGTTCCCCTACCACCCGTAAGTGCTCCGTACAAATGAGGGGTTTCGGCTGAGCTGAGTCTTGTTAGCTCGATATCACTGTCATGCCGGTCACTATCACTGGCAAGGCGAGGGTTAGTATCCTCGTGAGTGGTGTTCAATGATCGTATTACTCACTCTCTGCAGGACTTGTACGATGCCGTCGAAGAGCTCTCCGGTGACCGCATCAACAATCTTGTGGATAGGCACGGCCAGAACTCCGCGGTTGTGAGTGCCACGCTCAAAGCCATTGATTCCTTATTCACGCATAATCACTAGGTCACCTCGAATATTCTGTCGCTCCTCACGCGCTTGCGTCAGATAGCCCTACATCCTGGACTTGTGCCACGGAATTATTTGGAACAACTGCGTCTCGCAGAGGCACAGGAGGATGCCCCCGCGCGGCAGCTTAGTGCCGAGGATAAGATCCGATTGCAAGCCTTGCTAGCACAGGGTATAGAGGACAACGAAGAATGTCCTATCTGCTTCGACATACTCAGGGATCCGAGGATCACTAGCTGTGCACATATGTTCTGCTTGGAGTGGTATGTTCTTCTCTATGATGATTCTTGACAGGCTGCTGAGATGTATTGCATAGCATATCCACCGTGATTACGCGGGATCAAAAATGCCCAATGGTAAGCAGGCTAATACTCTACTCAATTTTTATATGTTCATTCCGCTCCAGGACCGCCGTCCCTTGACAATCGGAGATCTCCTGGAGCCTCCTCCACCAACCGAACTAACTCAAGCACCTATTCCGCAAGATGATGACGACGACGAAGATATGGACGACCTCCGGTCGGGCTCCTCCGCGAAGATCGACCAATTGATCCATCTGTTGCAGCTCACCCCCGATACGGAGAAGTCACTCGTCTTCTCCCAGTTCACGTCGTTCCTGGACAAGGTTCGTGCGCATCCCGACTCATCTCCACACGCTCATTCCCAGCGTAGATAGCAGAGGGATTGGAGAGAGCAGGGTACGTATGCGTAGCAGACCTTGTAGTTAGTAAGCTCACAATCACTGACAGAATCCCGTACATTCGCTTCGACGGTAAGATGTCCGCTCGGCGACGGCAAGAAGCCATCGCACGTTTCTCTGTTCCGCTCGACGGCCCCAGCCCTGCGTCAATCGTCACCACGGAAGCTCCGCTCTCGACCCAAGAAACAGCTGCCGTACCCGCACGCCGCCGTACGCGGAAGACTGCGACGAACGCCTACATGGAAGGCGACGCAGCCATGGGCGACGATGGCCAAGACGCTGATTACACCTTCGTCGATAACGGCGACGACGACGACTTCATTGACGACGAGGATGATGACAACGCCCCAAGGAAGAAGGGGAAGGCCAAGAAGGGGAAGGGGAAAGCGAAGGCCAAGAAACAGGCCAGGATCAGTACTGCCCCTCCCTCGACGTCAACATACCTGAATGGCTCTGCGTTCGGCAGCGATGTGAACCCGAAGGTCATGCTCATCTCGCTCAAGGCTGGTGCACTGGGCCTCAACCTGACGGTGGCGAACAACGTTTTCCTGTGAGTAGGCTCCGAGGTTTGCCGTACTTTCGTAATGATCTGACCGCGTCCTGCACAGAATGGACCCGTAAGTGCAACGGCTCACTTTGGGATAATCACTAAGTGTTGGGCACCACTCGCAGGTGGTGGCAAGAAGGCATCGAATCTCAAGCTATAGACCGATGCAATCGGTAAGTTGTCGTGATCATAGTCTGTCCGAGCTACTCGTCACTAATCGGACTTACAGGATCGGCCAGACGAAGCCTGTGCATGTTTACCAGCTAATCGCTGAGAACACGGTCGAATCAAAGGTACGACAGCCCATGCACTTTCTCTCAGATCCACAACTAATGTGGGACTACGCAGGTCATCGAGATCCAAGAGAAGAAGAAAAAGCTCATTGACCACGCGTTCTCCGGCATCAAGAGCAACGAGACACAACGCATGAAGAAGCAGGCGCGGCTGACTGGTACGTCCATACGCTGGCCATTCGATTCATTCTGACGGATGGAGGTGTCTTCAGAGCTCGTCGCTATGTTCGGCAATCGACGGGCTGCCCAGAATGACAACAACGAAGCCGACGGCCGCCAAGGTACGCTGGATGAGTGGCGCCAGTGATGCATCCCTCAGATTGTCTGCCTCCACAATGGAAGGCGAGCCCTTCCTACGACTCTGCTCTATCATCATCTGAGTACCGCGCGCTAACTCCTGTGCCGCTTGACTGTAATGCTCGTTGTACCTAAGTACATAATGTACACGCATCGCTGCAGTTTGCACACTGCAGACAAACCCACCGGCATGTTGATATCGCATTACATTGGGCATACTGCATGGCCATATTCCTAGGGTAACTATAAAGCATAAGACGGGGTCCGACAACTATCGTACAACTCTCGTAGACTTCGTCACTTCACTCCCAGTCGCTGTCCTCTTCGTCATGATCCTCCTCCTTCTCTGCGGATGCCGCATTGGCGCTCTGCTCATTCGGGACCACCGGATCCTCTTTCCCCTCGGCGACGTCCAGCGTGCTCGCTGTCCGGCTGACCTGCGAGGAGACCACGTCGTAGCTCTCCTCGCTACTCTGCCGGGGGCTAGTCGTCGCGGGCGTGGATGTCGTGGGTGTGGATGCTGCGGCAGCCGAAGTGGGCGGGACAGCGGACGCGGGGGCAGAACCGGATGGTATTGCGAGTTTGGTTGGTGCGGAGGCTAAGGACGGGGCGGGAGCTTCGTCGTCATCGTCTTCCCAGCTGAAGTCCTCTTCGTTCTCTGTCGTACCTGCGAATGGATCAAGGGATGAGTCAATGGAGATGTTGGCAGAGAAGAAAGGGACGTACCCTGCAGGAGCGCTCTTCTTCGTTCTTCCTCACGCTCGACTTGGTGTACACGGAAGAAGTACCGTGCCCAGAACGTCGACACGTCCAACTCCGAAGGAACTGAAGACGTGGTTGAGCCAAAGTCCGTCTGTGTCAATAGACGAACTTACCGAGTGTCTCCAACAACGTTGCCAGTTCCTCCCTCACGGCCTTCTCATCCTCGATCCTCTTCGACCACAGCTCCCCGTCAATCCCGCCCGTCGCATCGATCTCCCTCGCCGTCCACGCCGCGAACGCCTCCCGCTCCGATGGGTTTGCACTCGGGTCCGTACGCACAATCTGCGGGTCGTGCCGCAGCTGCGTGAGCATCGCCTGCGCCCTCGTCGCCGCCCGCACGCTATCCATCGACCGGCGCTCCTTGCCCTTCCTCCGTTCACTGCCCGCGCCCTCCGTCGGCGTCGCTGCCGGTGAGTACGTCGGGATCATCCACACGTCCGTACCGTCCCAGACCACTCCTGCGGAGCCTTCGCCCGGCTCGGGCGGGACGACGCGCACGGCCTCACGCAGGAACTCGCCCGCCTCGCGCAGGAACTCCTCGCCGCCGCCCTGGACCTGCTTGAAGAGGCCCTCGCCGCGCTGGAGGAGCTCGCCGGCCTGGACACGCTGGAGGAGCTCGCCGCTCTGCCCCTGCACGCGCTGGAGGAGCTCTTCAGACGAGCCCTGCATGCGCGCGAGCTCGCCCGCGATCGTGCTCCGCAGGGCGGCGAAGTCGGGCGCGGAGAGGGACGTCGCGCGAGCGTGCTTGAGCGACTCGGGGAGCTTCTCTTGCACGGAGGCGACGAGGTTGGGCGGGAGCGTCGCTTGGAGGCGGGAGAGGAGCGTTTGTGATTGTGCTTGGGAGGTGCCGGCCTGTGGGGTGGTTGTGTCATCGTCGTCGTCGTCGTCGGGCGTGCCTGCGGACAGTGTTGCATCCGTGTCCTTCTCGCTGCTTTCCTCCTCTGCGGATGGTTCTGCCGTGCTCTGCTCTGCAGACGATGAACCGGCTTCTGCGGGTGCTTCAGCGAGCTTGCTCAGCTCTTTCTGAGCTTGGGTGACCGCCTCGCTGATGTCCTTACGCGCAGTGTCGATGACTGCTTGGCTCTGGACACACACGTAGACTGTTCGTTACATCCTGCGTGAGCTGCAGGCAAGCGCCGCGGCGTACCTGCTTCCTGAAGCCGCCCCAGAAACGGGACAGCTGCCCGACGACCTGCTGCACCTCCTCGTTGAGGCTCGTCTCTGGCTGGCCCGGAGGCGGCGTGGGCGCGCCCGCAATGTCGAAAGTATCAAGAAAGTTCATGACGAGTGTAGTGTGAGACTCATGCGAATCGTGATGGTCGTATGCAACAGAGTCGCTACTAGCTGCGAGCGTCACCCTGCTGTGGCGAGTCGCGACTGCCAGTTATGTACTGCGCAGAAGTCCATCGGCCTTCTGGGCTGTTACGCCGTACAACGCCCCTCGCTACGGGGATACGCTTCGAGCGGGCTTACAAGGTATCACTGAGAGTCCAGCAGGTCTAATGACATCAGTACTCAACGCTGCGATATTGCATGCTGCTCAATGCGCGTTGTAGGCGCGCTGAAACAGATCAGTAAACACATGTCGAACGTGATGAGTACGGCAAAGACAACTGCTTCTACAAGCTTGCCTCCATTGAGGCAGTCCTTTGCTTAGGCAAACAAGTGAACCGCAAGCCCCCGGACGAAGAAAGGCCACACAAGTATACACGCAACAAGCGACATTTATTTTGTTGCGTAGTAACACATACATACATCCTGAGCAAAGCAAAGCACAACCAATGGAGACACGACAGGACACAACCCTCTGGTCGACGCACGTTATGCAGCCGCAGCAATCGGCTGGGACACTTCCTGTGCAAGCTGCGGGATCTCCTGCTTCGAGCCCATAACATCACCCGTCTTCAGCCCAAGCTGCATTTTGTGCGCCCGGCACTCAGCCAAGAAGTCCGTGAACATCTACGCATACAACCGTCAGCATCCAATCACCCATATGCGTCTAGAGGGCACTCGCCTCAATGGTGTCCAGCGGACCGCCCGCGCTCTCAGGGTGGAACTGCACGCCCCAGACCTTCTTCCCGCTCTCCGTCGTGCTCTTGATTCCCTCCACACTCGAGTCGTTGCAGTTGATGAAGAACGGCTCCCAGCCCTCCGGGAACGGGTCCTGCAGACGCAGCGCATACTGGTGGTTCTGGCTCGTGACGTACACTCTGCCCGCGCGGATGCTGCCCGACGACGCCAGGGCGAGCACGGGCTGGTTGTGGCCGCGGTTCCCGAACGTCATCCGGTACGCGTCGAGGCCCGCCGCCATGCCGATCACCTGGTGGCCCATGCAGATCCCGAAGATCGGCCTGTCCCACTCGCGCAGCGTCCGGCGCAGGTGCAGCGCGGCGGGCATGCAGTGTGCGGGGTCGCCGGGCCCGTTCGAGAGGAACAGCCCGTCGTATTTGTCCCGGATCGTGTTGAAGTCGTAGTCCCACGGCAGCACCGTCACCGCCGCGCCCCGCCGCACGAGCGAGCGCAGGATGTTCGCCTTCGCGCCGAAGTCGAGCACCGCGATCTTGACGTCGCCCGAAGGGTTCAGTTCGTAGGGGGTCTTGGTCGAGGCCTGCGCGACAAGGTTTTCTTTCGTGGGATCCCAGTACTCCTCTGGATTTGGCGGGGGCAGGCTCGCGTCGGGCCCGATGGCGAGGCGGCCTTGGGTAGTGCCCTGATCACGAAGAAGACGCGTGATGGCGCGGGTGTCGACACCTGTGATGCCGGGAACGTTGAACCGGGCGCACCATGCGGCCAGGCTTTCAGCGGCGGCGTGATGCGAGTATTTTTCTGCCACGTCTGCAACGACGACACCGGCACACTGGATAGACTCGGACTCGAGCACGACTCCTACATCTTGGGAATCTACGGACGTGCGGTTGTGCGGGACGCCATAGTTGCCAATGAGCGGTGTAGTGAAGACGAGGATCTGTCCGCGGTATGACGGGTCCGTCATTGACTCCGTGTCTGTGCCCATTCAGTCAGAACGCGGATCGTAGACATAGAGAAGAAACGAGGCTACGCACAAGACGTGATCGACGTGGAGAACACGGTCTCGCCGAAGACACTACACGGTGCACCAAAAGAGCGTCCCTTAAATGACTGGCCCGTCTTCAGGTGCAGCGCAGCCGGAATCGACGTGTTGCCTTGGATATTGGCATGCGTGGCAAGGCCTCGGTAAAAGCGAGGAACACGGGTGATAGTCCGAGCAAACATGGCGGTCTTAATGACTGAGGAGAGAGAAAACAAGGTCGCTGAGGTAGCTGATGGTGGGATATAAATGTGAGTAGAGAAAAGAAACCCGGGAAAAGAGCTCACTCGTCGCGAGTGTTTTGCGTGAAGATCATGTACGAGCGAGATCGCTCAGAGGAAGGACGCGGTCGGGGCAGATATACGAGTCACAGTTGGAGTGCAAGGGGCGCGGCGCCCTGCCCACAAATTTTCGTGTCCCGTTCGCTAGATTACGTCAATTATTATGCACCAAATTCGGCAATTACCAGCCACATCTCGTCCCTGCTGCGAGCATGCACGGCTGAAGGACAGTCCGACGAGTGTCAAGCCCAACTGTATGATAGACGTTGAATTACAATGCAGTAAAGGGGATCTCTAGACACGCGCACTGTCTCATGACAACCGATGTGCAGTACTGACTTGAGAAGACTTTGATCCAGGCCGTGGTCGCAGTCGCAACTATTGCTCAGGGCGTCGAGACGTAGCACTTCTGAAGGCTACAGATAGAGTGGAATGCCCCAGTGTCAGGGATTCGGCCTCGAAAAGCTCAGCCATACAGCAGTCTGTCTGTCGCTGAATGCGACGGACCGAAATGGTAGGGGTACTGCCAAATATAGTAATGTGTTCCCGTTCCCCCAGGAGAGCGAGAAAAATCTTCACGAAAGCCACCTTCGATGCATGTGCATGAGACACAGACACCCCAATGTGATCTGTGAGGTTACGTACTCACGACAATATCCAAGGACCGATGGAAAGGGTCTACATCCAGCGCAGCCAGCCTCTCAACTTGAGCTTGAATCCTCTGCTTGTAGAAGTCGTGACATAGGTCGTATCGTAGACTGGGACGTGTGCAAGATATATGGTAGCGTGAATCGTGATGTTCTATGGATATAGTGTGGATGCGAGAGGTGCCGAAATGGTCGTGACAATGAAAATGCTACAATCAGTACAGTGGTGTGCAGATGCGGATGTTCAGCGAGTATCACATATGAAACCAAACCAGAAAGGAGCAGAACGCTCAGTGTCGCCAAAGCCGGAGTATCACCGTTTCTTCCCCTTCGTCTTTGCCCCTACCTTCGCTCTCGGCCTCTTGCTTGCCCGAGAGGGCCCCGGGCCCTCGACGATCTGCACTTCATCGTCATCATCCTGCTTCCGCTTCACAGCACTCGTTGACCCGTTCGCAAAATCAAACGCGTCCACGTCGATGGGCTCTGACGCTGTCGACACGGACAGACGACTCAGAGGATGGCCTATGGTCGTGCTAGTTGCCGGGCTCTGCCTCCGCGAACCAGCCGAGCTCAAACCCGATACACGCGCAACCCCCGAGCGGATAGAGAGCGCGGGCGACCCGCGGCGAGAGGCGGCTTGGTGTTGCCCTGCGGTGCCAGCGACAGCGCCACCAGCCTGCTCGTCTTCATGGTCCGTCCCCGACCTCGATCTCGCGGAGTCGTCGTTCAGCGGAACCCTCGCCTCGCGCCAATCTCTCGCGAACACGCTCTCACCCGCCCGGTCGTCCTGAAAGGTCCTCAGCGTAGCCTCGACATGTTGATCCCCGGCCGCGTGCGCGGAAACGAGGACGTCGCCCGTCAGACGTGCGCCGAACAGCTCAAGCGCAATGCTTGCGCAGTTGCGCACGCTCGCGTGCTCCTCGATGCGCGTGCCCGCCCGCTCGTCCGTCCGGGGGTTGACCTCGCCGGGGGACACGTCCCCAAGGTACTCCGTCCACTCCCAGGGCCGGTTCTGCACGGGCTGGGTGAGCGACAGCCCGCTGGAGGCGTCGCGCGTTGCGTAGGCGAGGTCGGCCACGGCGGGGTTCAACGCAACGTACGGGAGAAGCGTCCGGATGCGCGCGCGGTACTCTGGAGGCGTGCCTGTGGGGAGGTGGCAGAGTTCGATCTCGGGGTAGTTCCGGAAGGGGTCGAAGGTGGCGCTCTTCGGGTCCACGGGTGTCTCATCTAGGAGGTAGAGGAGGGTGTCGAAGAGTAGTGGGAAAGCTACAGTGTCAAGACCGGAACCGTCTGCATGGAGCTGAGACGCGTGTCAGGTAGGAATCGGATCTAGCGAGGGCAAGGCGCACCAGAAGCAAGTCAATGAGTATCTTGCAGAGCGTTGCGCTGAGGTCCGTAGCTTGAGGCGTCCACGCGCCTGGGAACCCCAAGTCGAACTGCAGCAGGCGAGAGAGGAAGATAATGCAGTGAGATGCCTGATTGAGCGAGTCATCCTCGTCATCTGACCGCCCTGCAGCCCATGCTTCTTTCATCTGCGCCAACCTACCAACCAGACCTGAGAAGAACCTGTCCTGAACTGCAGGATCTAATATCGGGAGGGTCGCGTTGTGGCGGAAGCGCTCTACGATCTTCGATAGCAGCCTCAAGACTTCACCTGTGTTGCTGACGAACGCGTGGACATTGTCTTCGTTCTTCGGGTCGAAATGCTCCTGCAGCAGCTCAATGATGCGCTGCAAGCCTGCATTGACAAACTGGGCATAGATGAGCACGTCACTGGCAACAACAAATAACAGTAACTTACCTTTCCGGCGACGTCCCTGCTGACTTCGGTCATCATCTCCGCGACAAAGTCGACCTCTTCGGTGGACTTGCACTGGTGGAATACAAAGTTTCCGAGCCGATCTAGGGTGGCGTTTGCTGCGCTCCGCGTGGCCTCCCTTGTCAGGCCTTCTGCAAGCTGCTTGAGCGTCAGACGCATCTCGATGGCTGTAGCGGCCAGCTTCCACGGCGTCAGAAGGGACGACATAGTGGCGAACCCATCACTGTCTTCTGCAGAACCTGCATACAACTCAGAATCCCATGAACAGAGCGAGCTCCAATGGCACTCACCTTGGCTGGGGTCACGCAGCATGAGACGAAGTGCAGTGACCAGATGCGCGTGCAGCTCTTCGGACACGGACCGGCTTTCAAGAAGCCTCTCGTACGCACATCTCACGGCGTCAAGATCACGATAAACCCCCAGTCGGAACACGCTGAAGCGACAGATGGACTCTCGCAGGGCTCGCGAGCCTTGCCGCAGGGTGTCGGAAAGGAAATCGTTATGCTCGACGAGAACGACGGCAGGCAGGTTGTCCACGAGCTTAGAGAAATGGGGTTCCCTGAACACGTCTCGGCGCCGAGTGCGCAGCGCCTGTGCTTCGAAGACGTCAGCAGGAGGCAGGCCAGTGCCACATTCGTCCCTGAGGAGCAGGCGTTCGAAGAGGGCGTTGATCGCGGATAGGAGCACTTCCAGACTTTGACCCTGTTCGGGAGAGGACGCCGTGGCTGCGTTTTGCCATACAGGATAGATGAGTCCCTGCAAGATCGTGGTGGTGGTGAGGGCTCCATATACACAGAGTTGAAGCAGGACCACTGTGACGATGTCCCAGACTTCCACTGTGAGCGCGGCGGCTTCGTTCCGGCCTGAGCCGAGGAACCACTCGAGTACGTGGGAGTCGAAACCCTGAGGGAGGTGCTGGTCGACTTGCCACAGGAAATGCGCATACTTGAGAGCGCATGTCAGGCGCCCCTCGACGTCCGTAATCATGACAGGTATTTGGCGAAGACTGGCAATCGTGTTGTCCCAGACTGTCCAGGCCCAATTCGATGTCGTCATGTACTTGTACCACAAGCTTTTGGCAAGGTTCGAGGGGGCTTCTGGATTAGGGTCTGTCGCGAGCAGAAGGACCTCGGGTAGGTGCACGGGAACAGCATTGGAATTTTGGCTCATAGGGTGTAAGGCCTATGCAATTCACATGTCAGCTTGGTTCCCGAGGAATCGTGCATCACATACGTGGCTGTATGCGGATATGTCATTCAGGACTTGATCTCGCTGTGTCGGTTCCAGATAGCAATCCTTGTCCACTTGCATGAGGAGCAACAATAGTTGTCGACTATGAATGCCTCGTCCTCGCCAGTACTGATGCGCCGCATATAGGCCAGCGGCGACGTTCTTGATAACGTTCATGCACGCCCAGACTTCCATGTGCTGGCAAAGCGTCTCAAGTACCCCGACTAGAAGCGGATGGGTAGTTGCTCGCTCAAGCGTGAAGAGGGTAAGCTGAGAGATTTGTCAGTCAGGGAATACGTGGAGAAGTGACCCAGTAACGCACATCGAGCAAAGAGCCGTAGCATTTCGTGCGGGCCATGAGGATAGCAGACATCGTAAACGTCTTTAGGACATCGCTGCTGTCATTTGCTAAGGCTTTTTCCTGGCTGCTAATGATCATTATACCGTGTCGAAATGAACGTCATACTCCACCTACCTGGATATATGCTTCCGCAAAATTGGGAGAAACCACTCTCGTATCGTCCTGACTTGTTCATACCGAGGCGACGACAACAAAGTGGGACAGCTCTCCCAAAACTTGGTGGCCAACGACTGGGCATCTCGGCCCTGACCTTCGCAATGGTAAGGATCAGCGGAACACCCAACCAGCGAGGATCGCCCCGTACCATTGAACACCTCCGGAAGCAATCGTCGAAGCTCGCCCCTCATCTGGTGCTCGTGCTCATCCTCCGGCGTCTGCCGCGCGCGAACGCCATATAGGGTGACCTTGCGCTGGCGGATGACCGACGCGTCTGCGGTATGTAGACACGTCCATCGCAGGAACTCTCTATGGCGTGAATGACCTCCCTGGCAAACACACGCGATCAACTGCTCTGCCCGCTGACGCACATCACGGTCGGAAGTGCCACGCACCTGACCAAACGACAGCCCGGCCTCGCCACGGGCGATGAGGCGTTGAACGTACTGCTGGTAAGAGAACAAGCCTTGCTTAACGAGATGACCTAAGAGAAGCGAGACCGCGAGCAGGTTCTCCGGGTCGGCGGCGTCGCACGAACCGTCAAGCCAATCGAAGACCTGGTCCTGGATGAACTGGTCCGGTGATTCCGCCTCGTGGCGGATCGCCCGCTCGCCCGCCTTGCGCCGCCATTCCTCGAGGATGCACGCTGCGGCGTACGGCCTGTGGTCACCGTATTGCAGCGAGGTGACGCTCCATGTGAGGAGTATGTCGAGCTTGCGCGCGAACGACGGGTGCGGAATCGAAGCGTCTTCGAAGAATATAACGCTTCCAATGTCTGTGTCACCGGACAACGAATTCAAAAGCTATGAAATACGTTCTTTCAATTTTGTGCGTTCTCATGCACGAGTCTGGGGATATGCGGGCCTACCTTGATATCTGAGAGCGCCGACGTGAGGCTTCCCACAACGCGGGGAGGCAAATGGCGGAACAGCATGGCTTCGTTTCGGCGCTTGACATCTGCGAAGAGGTCCTGGAACGTCTGCTGGAGCGCCTGCGTGTTCTGCGGTGGAGTGCCCTCGGTCGGCGCGACCGCGCCAGAGAGTATCCCACCCAGCAGCTCCGAATGTAATTGCCATGCGCGCGGACTGACGAATGCGTCGGGAAGCGCGAGGAACGAGCGCTGAGAAGCGGAGATCACTGTCAGCTTCGTAGGCACAAAGTCATCCGCGCGCAGACGTACTGCTATTAGATTCCTCAGCGTGCTCTCAAGATTTTCGAGAAGGTCCTTCGCTGATGCTGAGCGAATCTATGGTACGACATCAGTATGACTGTCGCCTTACCAATTGAACATCACTCGCCTCCACCAACCGGTTCAAGCAGGCATCGACGAAGTGATGCGTGAGAGCGCGGTTGATAAGCAGGCCATCGAGGTATTCGTCAGCGAGGCGGGCGACAAAGCCCAATTGCGCCAGATTGCACGTCCCCATCTGCTGGACGAGCCACGTCAGGAACGTGCGGTTGTCGACGAGGCCCTCCGCGTAGAACGTGCGCAGGAGCTCCAAACTGGATCGCAGCACCGATCGGACGGTCAGCGGAGTCCGACGCAGAGCGGAGACGGCTCACCAGTAGCTGAAGCGCGAGGTCCAGCGCTCGCGGAGCTGCGGGTCTGCGAGCATGTTCTTGAAGGTCATCTTGATGTTCAGCCCGGGGCGGGGTGCGGTCGGGAGGGCGATGTCCGCGAGCAGCTTCTTCATGTAGCTCGTGACGACGTTCGCCCACTCGATGCTGTACTGGGTGGGATTGTACCCCGGTTTGTTGCGGAGGCCTGCCTGGACGCGTCGTTATTCCCAATCGCACAAGTGCGCCGGTTGGCATCGCGGGGGACTCACGGACTCGTTCCCTCCAAACACGCGGAGGAACCAGACTGCGCGAGGAATAGCAACATTGTTGGACTGCAGAAGGTCGAGGAGGTCGTGGCCCTTCGCGCCATGCGGCACGTTCTTGCCGAGCTTGTACAGGGGAAAGTCGGGGTTCGCGAGGTCGGCGAACCACTGGTTTCGCTTTGTGTCGTTCAGGGTCACCCGCGACGGCATGCGAAAGGTGGAGGCGCTGTGGGCTCATCAGCAGGGAAGCTCCTCCTCTCCGGGCAGAACCTACGGGACGGGTGGAACGTTCTCAGAGCGACGCAGAAAGATCTTGTTCATGAGGTCTTCCAAGTGGTGGAGGTTCTGCGGTCCCTGCACCAGACTGACAGCCGTCCAGCCCTCTGCCTGCGTCCCGTCGTGAGCGAAGCAATGACTGAGCAACTCTGAATGCAGCGCACCGAAACCACATGGGGGAGAACGAGTCCATTCTGGACAGTGACGTCCGTTAGGACCTCTTCTATGTCGTCTGGACGAGGAGGGTGAAATCCAGTGTACCCTGTATGGTTTCAGACGTGTGAGCTACATGTAGTCAGAATGAGCGTTTTGCTGACCTAAATCCGCTGAGGCGTGTGTCTTCGGCAGCCACGGAGGAGGACGCAACTCGTATATTGGGAGAGTCTCTTTCTCGCCTTTCGCCATGGTGTGGCGCTGCCTGTCCAGCAAGGACAGGTCTTACTGTACCTAGAAGCTACGTATGCCAATGCCCATTAGCCCAGCGTCTCCAATGCTATGTATGCGGTATTCACCTTAGGCGAGAGAAGAGGATGGATCACTTGCAATTCCGGCGGCCAGGAAATGACGATGATGTCGGTCGGAATGTTGCTGCCAAGCCTTGGATGGTTCAAATCTGTGTATGATGGGAGTCCGTGTCCGTGTCTGAAACCGAGCAGCGGCCAAAGTCCTGTATCCTCGTGGCGTCCGCTCGGTGCTGTACACTTCTGATGACACCCTAGTGGCAGTTATTGCGCGCCAGCTGCCACGGGCATTGTTCTAGCAGTGACACCCATTAGCGGATGTCTGCTGCAAGGGCGCACGGACCACCCACTCACCACCGTACTGTGTGCCCGGTCTGCCCTATTCGCCTTGAAACACACAAGGCTGATGACCTACACTGCCACCCCAGTTGGGCCGGTGGATATTGCCACCGGAGATGAGGACGGCGACGCCCGGCCTCCCTCGACGCGTGTTGAGCACCGGCGCCTCCGCATCACATGTTGCGTGATTATATGGAGGGAGCGAGATCCGATCGCCTTAGATCTCCTCGGCTCAGATCCAGCTGTATGTTACCGTGACGGTGTTCACTGCCGCGACGCCGAGCACTCCATTTTGTTGTACTCTTGACATGCAAGGGAGACTACTTGGAAGAGAGGAGCGAGCGACTGGAAGAACGCAGGAATAGTCTAAACGACGGGGTACTGACTATCATGCAGGAATGTGAACGGCGTTCCATTTCCCTCGGACGGGAAGACCCCTAATACAGTACTAACTCTGCGTGTGTAGTTCTCTCCATGACACAGAAACAGAAGCGCTTCCTCCATATCGATATCCATGAAGACCGGGCACGGTGAGAAAGGAGTGCATACTCCGGTGCATTCTCAGCCGGAGCCCCTGCGCAACCATGGAAATCACTCTCGAGCTCAGCCTGAATAGCGCGCGGCTCCATGATATTTGCCAGGCAGAGATGCACATGGAGATAGGGACTCGGTCGCCCGGGATGAGTCGGATGAGGTGGAAAGCAGCGCCACCTGGGCCCATCAACACAATTAGAGTCGTCGCAGCTTGTTTGACCGTCGCCATCGGAATGGTAGTGATGAACGTGAGTTGAAACATTGAGGTTTGACTACCTGTCAATTGCACGCCCTCATCGCATGCAGCGACGACGTTCCCAAGGTTTCTGCCACCGCGCGGGCGTTGGGCGCGAGCTACATAGTGCTTGATGGCGTGCAGCGGGCGCCGTGGAGGTTGCCCGAACGATACGGACGTTCCCGTCGGGCGCACAACATCGCGCGATTTGCGTACAGCGACCGACGATGCACGTCTGTCATCGCTCTTGCGTCCATTCAATGGCGTGGGTGCATGAGAGCGCAGCACGGATTTGCGCACACAGTTGGCCGGCCGGATTTAGAGCGACGTGCAGAATGCGGCGCGGTATGAAGTCGACCTGGGGCATGATGTGCATTGACGGCAGCGTGTGGGCTGTTCTAGTCCCACCCCAGTCTAAGAATAGTCAGACGACGTTACCTTCTACGATGAGCGCATACGCTTGAGCTTTAGACACTGCAGGCGAAGGAACTACTGCTCTGTCTCGCGGTGAATGCGGACGCCATCAAGGCCAGCCAGGCATGCAACGTGCAACGGCCCCGCTGTACCGTGGCCCGCCTTAGTCTGCTTGCACGCATTCGCGCACATGGCCCTCGCACCCGTATCCGCCGCTATCTATAGGTAAACGTTTGGTCAAAGCCGGGAGAACTGCGAAATGACAAATTAGCACGTGTGAGCCGTATGACAGAGACGAGACAATCAGCGCACCGGCGGGGATCCCCTGCTCAGTGCATGCACCCTGGAGCACGACGACGACGCCGCTGCGAGTCTGCGCCCACAGCGGGCGACCTTGGGCCCACGACGCGGCGCAGCGGCCGTGGGCGCGGGGAGGCGCGCACGAGAGCCAGGGCGGCCCCGGCGAAATAGAGCATCCCGATGAGGCAGGTCCGGTGCGGGGCCCAGGAACCGATCACAGATCTCTACAATTAGCGCCAAGCCCGAGTGCCTGCGGCAGGATGCGCTCCTCCTCAGGCGGAAGCATACCCCGCGCTAGCCGTGCCCTCCCCCTATGCAGAGCCTTCGCGTGCTGGTCGCCAGACTGTTCGCGAGCCCGCAGGCGGCTCTGGAGGGGACGAGGGGCCACGGCCTCTGTGGCGGACGGCCTCGGCGCGAGGGTGTGGTGGAGCGGCCTCGACCCCGGGCAACAAAGCGCGGGCAGGTTTGGAGGAGCGACCTGGAGTGGACAAGACACCGATCGGGCGGCCGACCTGTGCGCGCCAAAGCTGCCTTCCTCGCGTTTGGCCGGCGACGCGGCCGGAGTGGACAAAGCGAAGCTGGAATGGAATGCAGGCTAGTGGACACGGCCCGTCCAGCCTGACAGCGCCGTGGCGCTTTGGCCGTAGAGGGCATATCTCTGCGTGAGAGGGAAGGGTCGGCGTAATGGGTGCACCTTGCTTGGACGGGGTGCTGTGTGCGCCGGGAGCGCCTGCACGTTCGTGTAACTCGAAACAAGTGATAGGCCCGTGCTGGAGGGCTGGTCACCGGGCGGTGGGGCGCAGAATGGCGGGCAGCTCATAGGGAGGGCGGCCGGTGCGCGCATCCGTGCATACTCGCGCCGGCCGCGCGAAGGGCCCTTCGCTGGGTTGTCCGTGGGGGGTGCGAAGCGAAGCGGGAGTCGCTGGTACGTCACAGCGAGCGGCAGCGCTTTGTGCCACAGCAAATCGGGCGTCCCATCCGAGGCGGTCGCGCCTCCGGGGCGCTGTGCGACGCGCTTGTGTCCGAGGATGACTTGCCTATGGGGACAGTGCGAACAACTGGGCAGGTGCACCGGCGAGCACGGGGTGTGGGGAAGGGGAATGCATCCAGGTAGCGTGCATTATGTAAGTGCACCCGGTACATGTCGCCTCGAGCAATTCAAGGCGGCTGTAATTGCGATCAGCCAATGACACCGTGCAGTCGCGGCGAGGATACGCTCACCAAAGCCGATGTGGCGAATGCACTAGGACGACGTACGCTAATGCACGGCGGATGAGCGGTGCAGTCATGAGAATGGAAGGTGATGCGCACATGCAGTATAACGCAGGACTGCCGTTTACAGCCTGCATATGGCATCGGTGCTTAACGCCATCGATCCGGGACTGCCGATGGGGCGTCAGCGGCGGCGGCAGGCTGGGTTGCGGCGGGCAGCGGCGGCGAGTGCAGCGGGGCGGGCGGTGTGGGGGGCGACGGGGGCGGCGACGGCGTTGGCTGGCTGGGGCGGGGAGGCGATGTGCAGCTTGTTCGCAGGATGGCGACGACCCGAGCGAGTGGGTCGGCATAGGCGCCCGTGCAGCCGGAGCCCACAACCTGTGGCCAATGCGTTTGACCCTCCGGTCTTCACGCCATTGTTGCGGCTTCCTTCTTCCTTCCCACCACCATCTCCTCCCTACTCATGTCGCGTCCTGCCACCGCCGCATCGTCCTCGACGACTCTCCACAGACCTAAGAAGAGGTACGTCTTCCCCGCCCTGCCCCTCGTGCCTGCCCTGCTCACCCACCCTCCATCTGCAGGAAGATCCAGCGCGTCCTCCTCGCAGGCACCCTCCAGGTCTCTGCTCTTCTTCCTCCCTCCCTCGCCCTCTTGATCTAACCCGCGTTGACAGACACTCGGAGACCTGTCCACCCCCCTACCGCCGACCCTCACCGCGCCACGCACCCACGACCTCGCCCAAGCCGCCGCGCGGCCCAAGCGCAAGCTCGACGATGTCGCCACCGACGAGCCACAAGCCAAGAAACCTCGCACGACGCCCGCCACCCCCCAGCCAGCGTCGAGTCGCCCGCCGGTCCCGCTGTTCCCACAGTCCCAGTCAGGCACCCAGGCCCCGGCATTGTCCGCCACCGCACCGTCCGACAGTCCTGAAGACGGCGAGGTAAGAGACGGCCTCCCAATATACCGCAACTCCATCGCCGTTGTCTCAAACGTGCCCGTACGGCGGCCCCGCCGCCGCCAGGTGCCACCGGGCTACTGGGAGGACATGTACTCCAAGTACCAGGCGGAGGGTGTGCGGCTGCGCTATTCGGCCAAGGCAAGGATAGACTCGACCTATCCGTCGACGGACCCTCGTTTCAGGGCCCTGCCGGACCCGCCACCGGCGGGCACAGCGTACCACAAGTTTGGCCACCTTATGGCGCGCTTGGAGTACGTAGACGCGCTGCTGTGTTTCACCTATGCACTCTGGTGCATCGACATCGGCAACAACGCCTGCTTCCGCCAGAACTGGCCACTGGTCCTCAAGTTCGTCGAGCAGGCCAAGACCCAATGGAGGTGCGATGACGGCGAGGACTGGGAGCGGGCATTCCACGGGCTCATGTGCGTTCTCCCACATCTCTCATATATCACGAGCGATAGCTGACACCCTCATAGATGCCTAGTGGAGGCATACATCCACGGTCGCAAGTGGCGATTCAACCTGCAGTTGACGAGGACGGACAGCGCGCGCCTGATGCAGCGGCTGCAGATCTGCCAGGATGCAGAGGACGACCGCCGCCAGCTGAAGGAGGCGCAACTGGAGAAGCAGCGCGCACAGCAGCTGCCGTCGCCGGCTCCCAGCGCGGGGTCGACGCCAAACGGCCTCGAGGGCACTGGCACTCCCAACCCGGCGACCGCCCAGACTACCCCCGCACCGTCTGCGCCACCGCAGAAGAAGGCACAACAGCCCGAGCAGCGTGAACGCTCCTCGCAGATCAACCCCGCCCACACTGTTTCCGTCAACATCAACACCGTGGGGCCGTATCGCTCGCAGGCATGGGGCCTGTACGACGCGAAGCGAGCAGTGGACGTCGCGGGTCGGCTCATCACGCTGCCGATCATGGCGAAGCACTTTCCGCGGACGTTCGCACGGATGGCGTACTCAAGTCTGTCGACGGTGGACGAGCACGAGCCGGACTTTGACGACGAGGAGGGCGAGCTGTTCTGGCCGGGCCAGGTCGTGGGAAGCGAGGGCCTGGGCTGGATCTGCTACATGGGCCGTGCGATGGTGAAGGAGTACGCGAAGCCGTACCGCTACAAGGGCGTCGACGGCGCACTCCCGCTGCCCGCTGGCTACCACAACTCGGACGACCCGCGGCACTTCCCCCTCCCCCAGGAGCCCACGACGGAGGCCGCTGCCCCCGCACGGTGACGTCTCGGTCTGTCGCCCCCGTAGACCATCGAAGCACTGTCGTCGGCTCCCCGTCTGGACGTTGCTCGTCATCAGCATGCTCACTTCCGCCATGACGCACCCGGGTCCGCGAATAGAAGGCTCCTCCACCCTGGGCCATGCCGCATCCTTGGCTGTCGTATTTCGCTGTCGTGCTGCTTTCGCGCTCGCATCCTCGTCGTTCTCATCGCACATCTGGACTGTATTGCTCCTCGCCACTGTCGCCGCCGCCACTGCCGTCGCCACACGACGGTGCTGAGAGGCCGCCGCTCGCAGGTGACCTCAGCCACCCGGCGCTTGGCTCCCATCTGTATCCCTGCCACAGTCTGTATCCCTTCTCCCCGCAACGCAAAGATCTACCCGCATCGCACGCACATTTTGTTTCTCCTGCCTCTGTACACTATCTGTAACATCACCGCCTCGCCTCGCCGCCGCACCTCCTGCACCGCACCGCGTCGCTCGTCTGTCCCACGCAGCGCACCTCCCATCAAAAGCCCTCGCGTCGAGTCGCCGTCCGCTATCATCGCATCATCCGCGGCTCGGGATGCATCGCCGAGCCGCTCGTCTGGCGCAGCCCCTCGTCTACGCGAGCATGCCGTCCGCCGGTGGAGGAGCGTCAATTGTCTCCGTCGGGACCCCACCACGTCTGACCCACACTCGCGGGCATGGGCATAGCCTTCGTTGTCCCCTTTCGAGCATGCGCAAGAATGCCAGTGGTCTCGGTCTCGACACCGGTATCATGGGCTGGCTCGACCTCAGGACCATCCGGAGGTGCACAGACCGGACAGCGCGGCGCGCACGAACATCCTCATCAACTCACCCTCAACACATCGCATCCGCAACCCTCGCACACACATCTCTGGTGCAGTTCGACTACATCTTCTCTGTTTATATCATACCCGCTATATCCTTAATGTTATCGCTTCGCCCGCTGCATCGATTATCGCCCAAGCCCGCTCGTCGTCTTGCATCTCCGTCGCACACACCCTTGCATACTCTCGCCCGCATACATCCCTCCCACACATCGTCCACGTCTTGGTGCGCATGCAGACACGCAGCGGCGAACATCTGGTCTCCTGGAATGTTCTCGTTTGTCCCACTCGTACCCGTTGTTTGCAGTAGTGTCTCGTTTGTCTGTCTGTCTGTCTGTCGCGGTTGCTATTTAACTTGTCGGATCGGAATAAACATTGATGGGCCCGCTCGGAGCTATACGAGCTGGTCCCTGGAACTCGGAATTGTTTTTGCCGTGTGATGTGTGTCTTGTTCTGTCGGATGAACGTGAGCCGTGGTGATTGTGTCGTCGGTGGCCGGTGAGACGATCAGGTTGATGTACCGCTATATTATCAGAGTGCTTCTGTCGCGGTGGCCCAACAGAACGCGCTGTAGGTGCCTGAATAAACGTATGATAGGTGTTGTGAAGGATGACAAAAGGCTTGGACTTGTAAACGTGACAAGGATAATCCGGGGTGTTGCCTTTCCGGGACAAGGTTTGACGCGTTTCGATCAATGGGCGGGGCTGCCTTTTCGGACCAGATTTTGATGCGCTTCGATCAGTGGGCGGGGTTGCTGGATGGGGGCTATGGGCGCCTACGCGATGTCAGGGTCGGACTGGGACGTCGGCCGCAGCCCACTCGCCTCCTATCCCCCGCTTCCACCAGTCCACCTCGGCCTGCTCAGGGGCTATCCCAGCCACAATGCAGACCGCCACAATGCTCAGGCCGATGACAATGTTCTCCGACAGCGACATGACCGACGCGAGCGAGTCGACCCTCATCAGCCCGCCGTCCAACTTCCACCCTCTTTTCTCGGCGTTCTCTGAAGCAGACATTATTCTAGGCTCGAGGGAGCGTGTCCTCTTCCGCATCAACATCGCCACCCTCAAGCGCACCTCTGCCTGGTTCCGCGCCATGTTCTCGCTGCCCACAAAGGCGGCGTCCCCTCCCGGGGCTGCCGAGACGCTCTTCCTCGACGAGGACACGCACACGCTCGAGGGGCTCTTCCGCATGGTGTGTGGCCTGCCCATCCCGCCGCTCGACAGCTTCGACGACATCGAGACGCTGCTGCACGCCGCGGAGAAGTACGACATGCCTGGGCCGACGAGCATCATCCGCATCGCGGTCATGCGCCCCGCCTTCCTCGCGGAGCCCATCCGCCTCTACGCGGTCGCGTGCCGCTACGGCTGGGCGGAGGAGGCGCGCCTCGCGAGCTCGCACACCCTCACCCTCGGCATCCACGCCCCCGAGCACAAGCCCTCGCTCATGAAGCTCGGCACCCCCGCCCTCCTCGGCCTCATGGAGCTCCACCGCAGCCGCCGCGAGGCCCTCCGCCACCGTCTCGACGAGCCGCCGTTCGTGAACGATATGGGCGACACGGCGTGCAGCCACTGCGGGTCCATCGCGGACTACCACACCTGGCGGATCCTGAAGTACGCGATCATCATGGAGATGGATGCGCGCCCTGCGGGGGACACGATCTGCAACCATGGACTGCTCGAGTGGCCCGCGGCGCGAGCGTGCTGGGACGCTCGATGTCTGACGTGCAACCGGGTGCTGTATGACAAGGCGGAGACACTCCGCGTCGTGCGGGAGTGCATAGACGCACTGCCCCAGACAGTCGAGTGAGTGTTGTTGATGTCCATTGAGTCTTCTGGTGAGTATTGACGTCGATCCCCAGTGATCTGGATATTGCCCTGCCTATTGCTTGATTGTGGCCCTTGGCCATGTCTTCGCAACCTACATTCACACTCTTTCCGTAATTTCTCCCCCGATCTCTCTTCTGCTGTATCTATAACTTTCCCATCGTCATCGTCCGATACCCTCTGCTGTATATTGCTACCTACTCATACACTGATCTAATCAATGTTTTATACTTGTTCGTGCTCACCACATGCTCATACGAGACTCGACCTACGACTCCCTCAGAGCACCTGGTATATATGGAACGGAGCATGGGTGTGTCATGGCTTAGGGTACCTCTTTTCTCCCGTAGGCAGACCCCAGGCCTCAAATCCGACCTTTTCGGAGGGGAGGAGGACAGTCGTATTAGGGGGTTACCTCTAAGTCCCTTCCCATTCAAGGATGGTATGTGACTTTCATGACCCCGACCCTTGAAGACATTGATTATTCGACTAGGTCCCGTCCATCCGCTGTGCTCTTCAAGATGCATGTTGTTCTCAACCGCTGTGCGTGACAGTCTATTGTTACATGCTCTTGTCACTTGGGGCGATTATTGCACCATCGCGATGCATCCGTCTGTCCCCTCTCGCCCTCTAGCGGTGGTTGACGTGTTGCAATCGCAGTCATAACGAACGCTTAACAGCCCGACCAGCGCAGTATGCTCGCCTCTCTCCGCCTCTCTCCGCGGGGCTGTATCCATCGTGTTTGCCTCGCCCATAGCCTCGAGTCGTGGCCGTCTCAAGCTAACCTCGGCCGTCCAACACTGTTGCTCGTCGTTGCCTCGCTCCCGGCGTGACTTGGGCGCGGTCAACCTGTTTCTCGGACAGATCAATCAATTATCCAAGGACTGCGCCTTGGCCAGCAAGCGGTCACGGTGGTCTGCCAACTTGAAAGAATACGTGCAAAACATGCATCGTCCGAGGTTGAGCGAGCCAATCTGAGAGGTGAGCTCATGGTCTTTCACCACAGGAACTAGCGTGATCATCGATTCATAAGTGCATCCCGCCGTACAGGATACTGAACGGTACGTCGCGCTCTACTAGTACAGGCTCCCCGGGAGTACCACCTGACAGTAATTCTCTGAGTCAACACGTCATAATGTTCCGCATGGGATTTGTTCTCGTGGCTTTGTAGTGTAGTGGTTATCACAGCGGATTCTGACCATTTGGACAATTCCGCTAACTCAGGTTCGAGTCCTGACAAGGCCTGTTCTTTTGTTCCCGTTTCCTCTGCATGTTCAAAAATGGGATCGTCCACGCAGAATCGAATGAGGTACGCCACACGAATGCATCAACTGTTTCGAGTTGACCAGTAACCGTTAGTCGTGCAATAGGATGGCTCAATTTTGACCGTGGACTGCTATCATTCTCGATATAACTTCAGTTCTCAGATCCAACGGAGTACTTACCTATTATGTTCGAACTTGCCTTCCCAGCCCGGCCCATGGCAGTAAGTAGTAATTCAGGGCGGATCGTCCGCTTGATACCAGTGGTCAGCACTAGCATAAACGAGTCGACATTCTTCCGGCATTAACGCTATGGCAGCTACAGGACCCCGAGGTACAGTACACGGTGAGGGCGCCTGCGCAGCGACGACATCGATTCCTATCCAATCGCAATATGGTCTTATTGGCTACTCCGACTACGAATGACAGCGATGAATCCGACATATAATCGATCAGTGGCCGCAGACGTCGAGCAAGCCATATCATGTACCACGACAGATTTGCCAGAGCACCGATGGTACCGGTAAGAACTTGTCGTTGCGTCACGGCTTGGACCAGCGCGCAATACCGCCCGGGAATCGGTGAGAAGGGATGCACTGAGTCATCCTAGGTCATCCTGCACATAGATTAACTACGGTTTTGTCCTCGGTCGCAGACGACGGGTCGGGATACTGTACCAATCGACATACTGAACGTCGGCTTTCAGGTGGGTCCTCTCCGATGGACAGTAGTTGAACACTCCGAGGACGCGCGCCGTCATTACTCGTGTGCGCTCGGAATCATCGGTGGGTACGATGGCAGGCGCACCTACGTCTTCTCCCACCCGCCCTCACTCGCAGAAACGGACATAAAAGGGCCGCAATGTTCCCACCAATCGTCAGCACAGAACTCCAAGATGTCCGCTGACGTCTTTGCATTCACTAACCGCATCGTCCTCATTTCAGGGGGAAGTTCTGGTATCGGCGCATACCTCGCGCAGGGCCTCGCTGTCGCGGGCGACGGCAACAACCGCATCTACATCGTCGGCAGGCGGGCCGCTGCACTCGCGTCCACCGCGTCTGCCTCCGCCCATGCGTCTTCCATCATCCCGCTATCAGGCGACGTGAGCTCCATTGCAGGCTGCCAAAAGGTAGCGGCGGACTTCGTCGAGGCGGAGAAGAACGCGGGGGTGGCGGAAGACAAGATCCAGTTAGACCTGCTCGTGAACAACGCGGGTATCCTCAGAGGAGAGGGATCCGCGCCGCCAGAGGCAAGTGTTGAGGAGCTGGCAGAGAGCCTGTTGAAGGCAAGCGACGACGACTGGAGGGTCGAGATGGCGGTCAATGTCGGGTCAATCCAGGTCAGTCAGTCCACCGCGACCTTTGGCCACCGTGAGTACGCGCACTCACAAGCAGCATCCAGTGGCTCTCCGCAAGCCTGCTCCTCTACCTCGTGCGCGCCGCGAGCACCGGGAAGCGCGACGGCCGCGGGAACATCGTCGTGAACACCTCTGTGTCCGCCTTCAATCAGACGCCGCCGTTCCACCTCTACTGCGCGTCAAAGGCAGCTGCACACAGCGTCACGCAGAGCCTCGCCCGCGCGCTCACGCCGCGCGGCGTGCGCGTCAACAGCATTGCTCCTGCGAATGTGCCGAGCGAGATGAACAGCCTAAGCAACCCCGCAAGCTTCGTGAGCAAGTTGAAGGATAGCATGCCTGTGGGTAGGATCGGCGAGCCGGAGGACGTGGTTGCGGCAGTGGTGTATTTGGCGAGCAGGGCAGGGAGCTATGTCTCGGGGACTGTGATTGCGGTGAGTCCATTGCAGACGAGTGTGGTTGTAGGGTGACTAATACCTCGACCTGTAGGTTGATGGTGGGGTCCTCTTGACCTGAGTTTGCAGGAGCACATACACGGAGCGTCGCGCGTATTGTAGACGATGTCATGGAAGCTTGAAGGATTCGTCGAGGATATTGTCAGTGTTACCAACACGTCCCTCGCCACAGTGAAGTGTACTATCGACGACGCGATTAATCACGCCTTACATTAAATGCTTGTCGAAGGGGTCCGGCCCAAGCTATGCGAGACCGAATGAACATGAGCTTCAATAAGCAAGCCGCATTTCAGCGTGTAGCCGAGCCACAGATTAGATGTCCAGACACTGGTCGCTCGTACTCCAAGAAAACTACAAATACATACCATACACAGCAAAGCAAGCACCCAACAAATCGTCACGTTTGTGCGCATCTTCACGCTTGCACAACCAGCCCCAAGTGCTCACCGCCCTCCGAGTCCGGATCGGCGCCGGCATCCTCAAGCGCAGCCGTCTCGCCGCCCACAAAGCGCCTTACGAGCGGCTGCCAACACTCGTCTGCAAGGACCATATGCTCGCCATCGCACGTCTCGAGCACAACGGCGCCGCGCTCGTCGAGCGTCCGGAGGCCGATCCAGTCCTCGACGTAGAGCGGCTGCAGGCGCATTGGCACGACCGTCTTCTCCGTCGCGCCAACATCCTGCCTGCCTGCCTGTCCCTCCGCCTCTGCGCGAGAGGCGTTGGGCGCGGCGTACGCGCCGAACCAGCTGCTCTCCTTCGGGACGACGGTCTCGTCTTGGAGGAAGAGCACGAGCACGAGCTTGTTGAGCACCGCGAGGTGCGCGGCGTACGACGTGTTGCGCTCCGCGGGCCGCTCGTTGTTGATCGACGCGAGGAAGTTGTTCGAGGCGAGGTATCGGTCCAGCCGGGCGGGGTCGCGGAAGTATTGGGCCTGCGTTTCGCGAGTGTTGTCAATCCACAAGGTATCACAGCAGGGTAGCGGGGGTCGCACACAGCCAGCCGTGGTCAGCATATATGCGGGCGGGCCGGGAGAGAGGGATGGACGGACCTGGATGAGCTGCTTCTGCGCCCACTCACTGTACACCTCGCGAATGGCTGCACGCCGCGCGAGCTGGCACACTACGTCGAAGGGCCGGCACCCGGGAATGTCGGAGATGCCCATGTGCTGCGAGCCGAAGGTGATGAGGTTGTGTATTGGCGGGACATTGTGGCGCTCGATGTAGGCTCGAAGGAACTGGCCGCCTGTAAGGGGTTGATGAGTTGGTGTTACGGACATGGTGAACGGGGAGGCTGCGGGTAGGGCAGGAAGATGCAATCCACACGTACCCTGCGAGAACCCCATTGCGTCGAAACCGTCCGCCAGCTCGGTTATGTTGGCCAGCTGCGCTGCGACCTGCTCGACCTGCTCGTTCACATTTCCGTACTGCGACGGGTGAGTCAGCGTGTCAGCAAGCACGACTTCAGGGAACACGACCACGTTCCGAAGAACACACCAGACAGACCCGCTCTCCGGGTTAGCCGGGATGCTCTTCGGAACGACTAGGCAAGACGAGAACTCACAAATGTCGCCCGTCTGTCGTCATCCAACGTGTCCGCGAGGTATATTGAGTGAACGAATATCCCAGGATGGATGTTCTTCACGCGTACAATGAACTCCAGAATTCCAGGCGAGTTGTACGAGTCGCCGAGGCCGTGCCATATGACGAGAGGGCGAGGCTTGGCCACTTTCGAGACCTGGACGAGGGGCTGCCATGTGTCCTGGAGCTTGACAGTCTGCGAGAGGTCGTGGCTGGGGACTAGGAGGTGCGCGGGCGAGCACGCGGCAAGGGGCAGGAATGCGGAGAGGGATAGGAGCAGCAGCTCGCGCAGTACTATCATGCTGGAGGATTAATTGAAGCAAGAGCAAGTTGTGGTATTACAAAGCACCTCCAGGAAATATATGTGGGCGCAGTGTGGGCGTGACAGAAGAGAGGGAGTTGCTAGACGACTGCTTAGCCGCCTGAGCCTCCTTCGAATGACCCCACATCCGCCACAACCTAAATCGAGTAATTCCCGCCTAATGGAGGCGCCGGCCGGTGCAAGACCGTCGCCTGGGTATGCTCAGCCTCAGGTATCACGCCGTACGAGCCAAGTGCGCAACATCCAATGTCGATATTGCTAGGTCATAATCGGAAGGTACCAGTGCCAGGTACCCGTGCTGGACGCCACCTCGACGTCGACCCAGCTGGGTAGTGATGTTACGAATTGAGCTTGAAGCAGGCTGTACCAGGCAGCAGGCTCGGACGGAGCTCCGCTTAAACTGATTTCATTCATTCAATGGGACCTCGTTTACTGTAGGTCTGATTAGCGCAGAGGGTAGCACCGCGGCGATGAGTATGCCATGAACGCAGAGAACCGCCGGTGACCGCAGAACCAGTGGGCAATAGTGCTCCTGCTGGATCCTCTGATTTTCGGAAGCCGAGTACCTCCGAGTCAGCGCGCATATCAAGTCGACATGAGGGTAGTTTTAAGATGTCTTTGTATTCAATGCACTGCATGTACGGTGGTCTTCTCATGCGGTCGAATGCCAGGCATGTCGTGCGCTGTGTCCCGATCAGCGTGTTGGACCACACTGTTATTCCACTGTTGTATGGACCGCTGTGCATGCCATTCGGGGAAGTAGAGGGGACGAGCTGCAGCCCCAACTTGAATGAACAGCCGGTGGCGGCGGGATTCAGCCACATCGGACGGCGGGGTCGGTGCCTGATTAGGCAACGGCAGGCGGCGCACCGGAGCGCTTGGTCAAAGTCGAACTCCCAAAAGCGCCAAAGTGAGTCCGGTGCATCTTGCCCATCGGCCTCTCCCAGCCAGCCACACACCTTGCTCCCCAACCACCACCACCCCTCCCCCTCTTGCTGCACAACCCCCGCCTCCCCCCGAATATGCCTGTTACTCGAGGGCAGAGCGTGCGCCCGCACCAACAGTACAGCCCCGTCGCAGCGCCGAAGCCCGACGACAGCGTCATCATCATCTCCTCAGACGACGAGCGGCCATTCAAGGCCAATGCCACACCACGACGAGCGCGGTCCAAGCAGAAGAACCGCGCACTTGCCCCGCCGTCCGCGGAAGTCGTCGAGATATCATCCGACGACGAGGCAGTGGCTGCGCGGCCAAAGCCTCTACGACGGCAACAGCAGGACGTCACTGCCAGCTTGCGGCAGCAGCTGAAGGAAGCGTTGCAGGTGCGTCCCCGCCCTGACCACTGTGTGCCACTCGTGCTAACCGACGGCGTACGGCGCTTACAGGAGGTCGAGCGGTTACGCACAGAAGCCCGTGCAGCGGAGAAACAGAAGGCGGTCGCTCAACCAGTGGATTCATCGGTGCGTATGCTCTACTAGCTGGCGGGGTGGGTGACGGCCCTCGGGGGGTTGGGGTCTATTATCGTTCACGGCCACAGTGCACTCCACAGTGCACTGGGCTGTCTGTGGCTGACAGATAGGCCACACACCCTGTGTCCATTACCCACTCACTAGTCTGAGATGTGTCATACATTATATCTGACGTAAGGTGTTGCACAGTTGTTGGGCGACGTAGAAGAGGTTGTCACCTGCGAAATCTGCACATTCAAGATGTGGGCACCCTACGCTCTCCCCTGCGGCCATACCTTCTGCCAGAGCTGCCTGCAAGACTGGTTCGGCACCGCCCAAGCAACGCACCTCGCGAATTACCCACAGTCGGCACAACACGACAACCTGTTGGCCGAGCTTCGCGCCAGCCTCCGGCGCCCGAACCTCACCCCGCAACGCCGCACGCAGATGCAGGTGCAGCTCGCGCAGTTCGAGGCAGTGTGTCAGCGCCCGAAATACACGTGTCCGACGTGCCGCACAGAATGCAAGACGCGTCCGACGGAGGTGTTCGTCTTGAAGGCCATCGTAGAGCGCGTGGGCAAGGCGCAGGGCGAGAGTGCGCCGGAGAAGATCGCTCCCTCCCGGACACGCGCCGGCCAGGTCAAGCTGATTGACGGGCCCTTTGACGGGTTCTTCCCATAGTGCCGAACGTGGTGCCGCTATAGCATGAGCGTTTGTGTTGCTTGCGCTGTCTCGGGTTTCCTTGTAGTGTCTTGCGAGCGGTTTGATACTTGTTGGACATTGCATCCCGTCGTATTCTTATTCCTGCACGGCTACATATCTTTATCCTGGGAGCACGGCTTCGTCGTAGTCTCTGGGTTTTCACGTCATCGCACTGGTGTATCCCTATCGCAGCTCCGGCATACCCTCGCATACACTTTACTTCGTCCCGCGCAATGCATTGTTTTACGAATTGACCTGAAGTCCAGTTGAGTTGTATTTTCTGTTAGCCGCGTATGTAGTGTAAGTCAGTAGATGTGCTAGATGAGTTCATGCCATCGACAGCATTCGAAACCAAACGTGCTAAGACAAAGCGATGCATCACAAATCATATTAAAAACCATGCTCGTAATCTGTCGTCTCGTCTCATGCGGTGAGATCCTACAAGAAGAGAGGAACAGCGACCCAACTGACCGATCGTACTCTAGAAGATATCCATGAGTCCGCCCCATGCTTGGCTCGCTCACTTCGCAAACGAAGCCAGCCCGCTCATCTTCTTTTTCTGCACACCTGCACCCGCCCTTCTATCCTGCGGTATGTGCGACTTCTTCCCTGCCTCCCCCTCGTCCTCGTCGTCATCCTCATCGTCGTCGCTCTCATCCTCATCGCTCTCAGACTCGTCCGCCTTCCCCCACGCCTTGTCCTTCTTCGCAGCGACCGGCGTGAGCGTGAATACGCTGCTCGGCGTGAACATCGATTGGCTCGCGAGGTCCGACAACCGCCGGAAGGGCATGTCCTTCAGCCACGGCCGCGAGTTGTGCAGGCGCGGGGTACTGCGTGCGGCGATGGGCTCCGAGTCTTTCGAGTCGGAGGAGGCGGACGAGCCCGAGGGCGAGGCCGCGCGCTGCGTGGGGGCGGGCAGCGGCGCCATGGGCGTGAAGGGTACTTGGCTGCTGCCCGGGAGAAAGAGCGGATCCGAAGAGGGGATGACGTCCTGCTGCTGGGAGCCTGCTTGTGCCTCTGGATAGGGCTGTGAACTGCTCGGCTGCGGCTGTGTAGCAGCCTTTTGACTTTGCGAGGCCGGTTTCCTCTTGGAGGCAGGCTTGCGAGGCGTCTTCACCGGCTCAATGCGCGGGCTTGAGTGTGCAGGGCTGCTCGATCGCAGCTCGTCGATCATCATCGATTCGCCTTCCGCGAGCGAGCCCTCCTGCGTCTGCGGCGTCTGCGTGAGCGTCGTCCACCCTGGTCGCTGCGACACCCCCTTCGGTGTCTCGTGTACGCCCGCTGGAGCCCGCTGTGCCCCCACCACTGGCTGCGCGTCCTCGTCTTCGTCCTCCGATTCAACGACCGGCGCAGCCTTCTTGGCCGCTTTACCGCCCTTCTTGGCTGCCGCCTTCTCCTTGAGCAGGCGCGCCTTCTCTGCCTGCTTCACCGCCTTGTCTGCCTCCCGCTTGGCCTTCCGCTCCGCTGCGAGACGCTCCTTCTCAGCCTTCCTCCGATCCTTCTCCTCTTGGGGAATGGGCGGGCGGCCGCGCTTCTTGGGGGCAGACTCGGCAGCCGGCGCTGGTGCCGGGTCCGGAGGCGGCGGCATAGAGTTGCCCGAACTCGTCCGTCTAGTCGATCTCCGCGCTAGCTGAGAGGGTGTTGCTTCCTCGTCTAGTTCCACAAAGGAGTGTATGGCGGTGAGGTCGAGCGCAGGCAGCTCTGACGCCAGCACGGGTCGGGGAGTTCCCACTTTGCCGTCCCTGCCCTTCATGCGCTTGACCGTACTTGGTCGCGAGACCGGGAGAGGCGGCGGCGTGTTCTGCTGCCTCTCAGGAGCAGAAGGACGAGCGGAAGGTTCGGGCTCGAGCTCGATGGGGTCAACCTCGGACATGTTAGGTGACTCTGGAACGATGAGATCATCCGCGGGTTCTATGGGATCGGCTGGCTCTTCGCCTGCAAGTGGCTGGTGCTTGCTGCTCGGACTAGCGACTGCAGGCTTCACAGGCGAGGTTGCCAAAGGACTTGCTTGTGCATCGGCAGTATCAGCCTTCTCGCTACTCGCAGACTCATTCTGCTCTGCTGTTGTTGGAGGCTCTGGCGCACGTACTTCCTGAGAGCTTTGAACTTCCTCTTCACCGTGTGGCGGTGTAGAAATGACACGCCCGTCGTCCTTGCGATGTTCTTCCTCCATCATAGACACAGTAGGTGAGACTTGTCTAGCTGCCGCTTCTACGGAAGCTTCTGACGATTGTTGTTCGTTACTGGCTGCGCTGGGGGAAGATGGCTCTGCAACTCCAGTGGGCATAGGCTCATCATCGGTTTGATCAGCGGCTACGACAGTAGGAGTATTCCTCGCATCAATCTAGCACCCTTTTTAGCATCGTCAATGACACAACATTCCGATGTAAACATACCTGTCCCTCGACTGTGTCCTGGGGGTCCACGTCCATGAAGGTAGCAGCGACAACCTCTTCCTCTTCCTCTGCAGCGGCATCCGGCCCCATCTCTTCATCTGAAGACGAGCCTTGCCGCTCGAAGCGCTTCGACATACGCCGGTACTTCTTGTCCAGCTTGACTTCCTCCTCTTCGTCGTCGCCCGCTTCGCTCTGCTTCTCGTCGGAATCCTCTTCCTCGCTATCTGAGGGCAACCCCTCGAGTATGCTCTTCCTGGGCGCTGGACCTCGCAGCAACGCTTCCACATCGACCTGAGACAAGTCGGGAACGGGATCCTCTTCTTCCTCGTCGCTCTCATCACTTGACGAGCCCTCATCGCTACTGCCTTCACCGCGTCTCTCAACAGTGACTTCGTCCACGTCAGAATGTGCAGGAGGTCGCGGAGGGGAGGAGTTTTGGACATTCGAGAGTAGACGAGAGGCTGGACTGGGCGTGGACTCCGGAGAAGTGGACTGGCTAGAGACAACAGGAGCAGCTGGTTCCACGGGTTTCGAGCTCACTGCATGTTTATCGACAGCGGGAATAGGATTGAGGGGAGAAGGCACGATCGCTTCAGCATCCTTTCTGGCAGGCTTCGGTACATCCGTGCTGGTAGCTTTAGCCGCGGCGGCCTTCGTCTTGCGCTGACGCTTAGCAGGCGTCTCAACCACCGTCACAGACGTTCCCGAAGGCGAACCAGGCGCACCACTATCGACGGCAGCGGTGTGAGCAGAGTCAGTCGGCTCGGGGTCAATGGGCTTGGCCTTTGCCGCTTTCTCCTTGAGCTTCTTTGCCTTTGCTGACGCCGATGCCTCCTTCGGCGCAGGCTCTGGTTTCGGTGCAGGCACGCTGAGTTGCTGAGATATCACAGTTGGTTGAGGAGTAGCAGTGGATTGTCTGCGCATGACTGCCAAGACAGCAGCTTGCACGGCCTTCGCGTTCTCAGCCGACTTGTCAGCTAGAAAGACAGCATTAGTAGCTTATCCAGTAAACACGCGTAGACGTCGTACCGTCTGTCTGGGTAGGCGGTGCTGCGTTGCTAGCGTTCATTACCGAGTCGTCACCCTTACGCTTCTTGCTCTTGGGCTTGGGCTTCGTAGCCGAGTCCTCTGCTGGAGTGGCGGGTTCTGTAGGTGTTCAACGAGAGCGCTGAGTGTTAATGATCGCGCAAGTCCCACATAGCCAGTGCATACCATGCTCCACACTCGCCGTGCTTGCTTTTTTGGACTTCGACTTGCGCTTCTCTGCGACGACATGCATAAGTTAGATCCACATGCCATTGCGTCAGCACTATCGCGTTCACCTTTGCTAGGCAATGCAGCATCCGCATCGGACGGCCCAGCCACCGGAGCGGCGCTTGGCTCTATAGATGCTGTCAAGTGCATGTACGCATCGACTCGAAACTGCACTGACCTTCTGGAGATTTGCTTACATCCACTCGTGGTGTTGAGGGTCCAGAGGCGTCAGCGGCATTTCCCAGCTTGTTAGCCTTGTGTCTGGCGGCTATGGTGGCCATAGCGTCAGCTATTGCCTTTGCGGTATCGAAGGGCTTAGCAAGGGCAACAGGAGGTAAGAGTCCAGAGGGGCCCGGGTCAGATATGACCTCAGCGGCTTTCCCGGCCTCCTCGCGCTCGCGTGTGGCGACCATGAAAGCCACAGCATCAGCAACTGTCTTCGCATTAGGCTCAGCGGCAGGTTCAGGAGCAGTAGGTGCCTCCGCCGCGGATGGTGCCGGTTCCTTGTCTTTTCCCCTTCGCTTCGTCTTGCTCTTGGTGCTCCCCTCTGCAGCCGGTGGCAGGACATCTGCGGCGATGGGTCCAGGATCATCATCCACGGCAGCTTCAGCAACGGGCTGCTCAGTAGCCTCCGCGAGTCTCGCTTTCTTTGACCGTTTAGCGGGCTCGGTGGACGGTGCAGCATGTGCCTGCACTTGAGGATCAGTCGCACGGCTCTCGGACTTCTTCGCTTTCTTGCTCTTCGGCTTCTTGGTCTCCGGTTCGCTGCCCTCAGGTTGAGCGTGTGGTGCTGACTCTGATAGCGTCTGGCTCTCAGCAGGACCATCTACCTCAGTATGTGTCTTCTCCTTCTTGCGCTTCTTGACAGGAGATTCGCTGGGAGGGACTTCCTGGGCCTCTGCGACTGGGGTAGTCGTCGCTGCAGATGGGCCAACGTCTGACGTCGGCGTGGGTCCTGAGGCGAAGATGGACAACATCTTGTGTTTCTTCGCCTTGGACTCGGTCTTGACAGTGGCCGGCGATTCCGCGCTGCTCGCCTCTGTACCGGGGGGCGCTAATACAGGAAGCGAAGAGCCTGGCGCAAGAAGAGACGCAGCGACGTCAGGATCACCGCTAGGATCTACGGTGCTCTTTCGTTTCCGCTTCTTGAGCATTTTGCGCTTCATTGGAGAATCTGAGGCAGGTACTGTGTGTGTGGTTTTAGCAGGAGAATCGGTGTGCGCGTCGGCAAGGCTTGCAAGCGGGGAAAGACCTGAAGCCAACGAGTCAGGGGTGGCTGCAAGTCTATTTCAGCTACCATATCCAATTGACACAAGTGTGCGCGTACGAGGAACATAGCTTGGTGGAGGATTCGAAGCGGAACGCTCCACTGAGTCCTGAACGCTCGGCTCTCGGAACTTTAGCTTCTTGCGCTTTTTCCGCGGACGCTCGACGTCAGCGTCTTGCGCACCCGGCCTTGACGCACCAGGAAGGACCTGAACAGAGCTTACGCCAGCATGCGTAGTTGGCGTGGAAGCACCAGTCGCATTCACGGGAGTGCCAGACCCACGGTCAATGGACAAAGCACGTTCATCGCCAGGTGCCATGGAGGGTCGAAGTCTCTTGCGTTTGCGTGATACAGCCTACGACCTGTCAGAAGTGAAATATGAGAAAATGGAATGCATCTCACAAGAACACTGGTAGGCTCCGATGGAGGAAGACTGCTGGGCAAGTCGGCAGGCGGTTGGGCATGGTTGATGGATGGACCAGCGGGAATGGAGGAACTACCGACAGTCACCGAGACTTCGACCGTAGGCTTCGACCGTGTTGCGATGCGAAACGCATCAAAGTCATCATCTGCAGATACGTTCGTCGGGAGATGAGCAGCGGAGATGATATCGGTGTGCTCACCATCGTCCAGGTCAATATGCCTCCCGTCCTCAATTCGCGCGAGGCTAATCTCCTCATGGGCAGGCCATTTGAGCTTCTGCCTCACTGCATCCTTCGTCTCCGACAAGGTAGCATCTCATCCACAACCTCTTAGGCTCCAACTCAAGTCTCATAGTCTAATACTCACCTCGGAAGATTCTCTGAAACGTCCGCCCTCCAGGTGCGTGGAAAGTGATCAAAGGGCGCGCCTGTCCTGCCCCCGCCATCGCTGTCGATGTGCAGAAGATGCGAGCGCGATGCGAGACACGTCCAACGAGCTGACGGACGCGTTCAAGTCGCGTGCCAAAGCCCAGCCGGCGGAAAGGTCGCCTCGGCGAAGATATTTAGCTGCCCGAGGCGGGACGGAGGTGAATTACTGCTTTGGGGCAGATCCCACAAACCATCACACGCACAAACACCCTCCTCGCTACCTCACTCCAACATGGCCGGACATTACAGTGCGTGCTACAACTTGTCTGCCACGAGTATAATGATCTGAAATGGTGCGCATTAGGCCCAGGCTTCCACCCACATCTCCCTGGCTTCAAGCACAAGTTCCTCGCCACTACACTCGGCGCGAGCATGTGGTTCTTCATCTTCTACCGTGCCAGGTGCGTCATGCCTACATACTTCCAGACGACGACTGACCTCCTACTAGGAAGGACGGTGCGAAGTTACTGGTGCGTATCTATCATATCATCGTGTATCAGTAACTGACACGGGCTGTAGGGCTTGAGTCACCCTTGGGAGGCACATGGGCACGGACACGATGAAGCCGGACACCACGAAGAGCACCACTGATAGACGGACTATGGTGCATTGTACTGCGGCTGCGAGGACATGACACCGGTTGTTTGTTTGCCTATCCAGTCTAAATCACGACAAGCTGCGTCTATGCTGGTCCTGGGATGCGCGCACATCTCCTCCTCCGACCATTCACACACATTCTCTTGACTTTGAGGTGATGCTTCCCGCCTGCCCACGGGTGGTTCTTCTGTGCGCAAGCAAGCGTGGTAGGCTGTATGCTTTCCTGATGAGTCGACCACTGCCAGATCTCCCATTCCGTCCATCGTCACTACTGCCGATGCTAGGTCTGAACCAAAGCTTCGAGGCATCGTACTCGCCCGCGGCATATCAGTCTGCTACTGCTCAGGCATCTGGCATCCACGCGTCCTTTGGTATCCATCGGCAGTGAATGGGTGGTTCACAGGTGGTATAAACCGGCTCGGCTTCGAATGTGCTGACGCTCGTTCGCTAGTATGACAACGTCATCATAGTCGGCACTCTGACCTCAGTCAGGAATGCGAGATACTTGCACTGAGTGGACTTGCTAGTCGTACCGGTCTTGATTTGTGAACACGGTACGCGTTCAAGTACAATACTTGGACTTCAAGCTGCCGGAACAGCGCCGTGGTCACGTGAGGTTGCCGATATGTGGACGCGCACTGGCAGCGAACATGCAGCTTAGTCTTGGCTCTGTCTGAGTTTTGTGAAGATATTCGATACACCGTCTGCTCATCTGGACCAGCACTTTTCTGGGGGCAACGTATACCTACATGATCAGTACGAGGTAGACCTCGAAGGCATTCGCTCGCCAGTCTCGATCAACGGAACGTCTCATGGATCGACCATCAAGTGCTGCTCGCCGGCGAACGTTGGATCTACCCTCGAAGCCGGAGACTGGGTTGGCGGAATGGACAAGCAAGATCAAAGAACTGCAGCGCCAGGTCGACGAGGATGAGGAGGTGGAGCATAAGCGACTCGAGGAGGAGATCCGGGCATCCAGGATGGCGCGTCTGCGCCGAAGCGGCCAGCTCGGAAGCGTAGACCTGTGTAAGTGTCCGTTTGGTTATAATGATAACTGTTGAACAAACGTATCTCAAAGCTAAGAGCGACCTGCCCAGGGTGGGTTCACCTCCCGCACTTGAGAGCCCGCTCGGGAGGCAGCAGGGTCAAGAGGATGCCCTACGAAAGCTTACCGGCGAAACTCGACCACCCGCGGCAATGGCTGCAAAGCCGAGCGCTCCAAGATCCTCGATGTCGCTCGCGGAGTTCATGGGAGGTCGTGCGACTGGACCGAGGCTTACCAGACACGCACCCCAGCAGGATGCTCACGACCCAACCCAGTTCGAGCAACGCACGCTGAGGGGCATCACCGCCCCTCACCCTGTCTTTGGTCGTAATGGTGTTGCCATGCCTGGCATGGTCGGGAAGAGTCGCACGCCTGCCCCGTCTACTCCGGAGCCTGATGAGCGAGAGAAGCTGGTCAGTCATACCACTGGACGAGACCGCAAGCCGAGTACTGCTTCCGTTGTGCAGTCGGTCGTACACACAGTTGACGTCGAGACAGTGACGCCGCAGAAGACCGGAGCCACCTTTGTCTCTGAAGCCCTCCCATCTGTGGCAGAGCCTGTCAAGCCAAGTACCTCGAAGGTTCCAATGTCGCTCGCAGCATTCATGGGGGGAAGTGCGACTGGCCCGCGGCTTACCCGACATGCACCTCAACAAGATGCCCATGATCCGACGCAGTTCGATCAGCGCGCACTCAGGGATGTTACAACCCCACATCCAGTCTTTGGTCGTGGTGGCATAGCCATGCCTGGCATGGAAGGGAGGAATCGCACACCTGCTTCATTGACACCGGAACCTGACCAACGAGAGAAACTCACATCAGTGGCCGACACCATTCCCGCACGCGACCGGAAGCAGAGCACACCTTCTATAGTCCAGTCGATCGTACACAAGGTCGAAGTGGAAACAGTAGCGCCACAGAAAGCCGGAACCTCAATAGCCTTTCCACACGCGACGCGACAGCGTACCATTAGTACGCCAACTGGCAGCGCCCCTATGAGCGCACCATTCACTCGTGCATGGGATACCGTAGGGCAGCAGAACAATGGCTCGACATCCCGACCGGTAGCTGCCTCTGCTGGCTTGCGATCAACGACGCCGGGTCAGGAGCGCTATGCAACCTCGAAGGCCACATACACCCCGTCATCCGTATCTTCGTCCCCGATTCCGCGCCCTTCAACCTCCTCCCGCAGTCCCGCTCCAACCTCACCGACTATCACATCATCACCGAAGGCGGCCATAAGTACACCTTCCCTGGCGAGACCTATCCAACCGTCACCTCGCAGTTCGCTCGGACCTCAGATACCAGCATCCCCGAATGCCTCGTCGGCGTTCCTCCGCGCTCCTCCGCCCAAGGATCCTACGCCAAGTATCAGCCGTCTCCAAGGACGCGGCTTCGTGAAGAGCATGATACACGCCACTGCGCAGCTAGAGGCGACGCAGCCGCCCAGTAGTCCGCCTCTGCCGGAGAAGAAGAACTCTGGCGGAAGGAAGTCAGCACCTGTTCTAGACCGATGGCAGAGTGTCGCCACCGCAAGTTCGACGCCGTCCCCTCCTCCCATCATCCAGCCAAAAGCCGCTGCCATGCGCAAGTCGTGGACTGTTGATCCGTCTGTCACCCCGGACACAACGCCACCGCGCTCGGTGAAGACGGACTACACGGGGCGGTCGCTCAAGTCCGTCTCCTCTGTCCCCTCCTTCCACCACTCGGATGCGGCATCCTCCTCTGCGAAGAGTGATGCAGGCGATGGCTCTCCGCGCGGGCGGGGGCTCGGGTCATCCACGACGATGATCTCGTACATCAAGCCTATCAAGACGGGCGACAGACCACAGACAGCTTCACCGCCTCCCCCAGAAGTGATAGACGAGATGGGCATGCGGGTGCGTGCGCGCAGCAAGAGCCGACAACGGTCACGGAGCAGGCATCGCTCGAAGAGCAGGGAGGCGCCACGCGAGGAACGTGTTAGTGGGGGAGGGTCTGCGGGTCTACCTCCGGCGGGCAAACCACTGAGTCATGTAGGTCCCCTTTGGTAATAACATTGTCTATATGCTTCTGTCAGATCCTGCGCGTGATTGCTACCCCCTTGCGTTTGCGTCTGCGCTGGACTTGTGCTGATGCTGTGTGCCCTCAGCTGACGAAGGATAGGGCGAAGAAGCCTCGCAAGGCGAGATTTGCGCAAGACCCTGTCAAGGAGACACATGTGCTATCGCGAGCAACTCCTGCTGAGGCGAAGCAGACCTCAAAGTCGGCGCCTGCGCCGCTCTCTGATCTTGTCTCGACTGTTCCGGCTCCCGAGGTGGTAGTATCTCTTCCGCCACCGCCGGATGCCACGCCGTCTCAACAAGAGTACAAACCTGTGTCACCGGTCAAGAATGAATTCGATGATGACTTCGTCCCTGCAGCGGCTCCGCCGCTTGTGCACAAACCCAGCCAGCTCAGTCATCTAGTTATGCCCAAATCACCGGTGGTCCCTACACAACCCATCGCTTCTCCTGTCACGCCTAACCGTGGTTTGACCCCTTCTCCAACGTCAAAGCCAGCCAAGGAGAAACCGCCGGCATCACCTGCTCGTCATACGCGGATTCCGAGCACGGGAAACCGGGCAACAGTCATGGACGTCGCACAGGCCCTCGCGGCGCAGACGGCGGCTGCAGAGCAGAAGCCACAAGAAGACCAAGTTCCCGAGGAACCCTCACCGCCGGACGTCAAATCCGTCACTGCGAACTGGGCACCCAGAAACGGAGCTGCCAGACCCGATCCCGATAAGCGGATGTCAAGCTACGAGAGGTATTCGGCGATCGTGATGCCTCCGGTTGAAGAGGAGAAAACACCCGCTCCATCGCCTGCCGGGACGCTTGCCCGTTCGTCTGCCCTTGTTTTCCCAGATGCCATCGCGGAGGTGGAGCTAGAGGTTACACCTGCGGCGGTGGAAAGACCAGCAGAACCGTCTACTGCATCAGCAGAGGCTGTGGCAGAACAGCCTGCTACTGCTGCCACGGAGAGCAAAGTCATTCGCATCGGTTGGTATTAGTGTCAGATCCTCGCAGTGTCAGGTCATTGATGATCACTTTTGTTGTCAGAATATGTCGATGAACCATTACCCAACGTCGATGTCGTTACGCTACTCAACTCGGGCTGTAGTCCGTACGCGCCAGACGCGGACGTACAGACGATATCAGTCGATGTCATGACTATCATCGGGAACGGAGCGACTGCCGTTCGCCGCGATACACATATCTTCTACGATCACGATGTTCTGGCCATCATTCACCGCGCCAAGGTCCGATCCGCTGGTCTTGCCTCTACGAAGGTGTGGGGATGGAAGGGCAAGCACAGTCGGCTTGGCGAACGAGAAGAACAGAAACTTCAGGGACTTGCACGACAATATGGAACCAAGCTGGTAAGTAGACTATGATGATCAAATACTGCAAACGGCTCACGATGCTTGAATGCAGATCATGGCCCAACAATATTGTGAGCCCGCGGAGCTGGTGGCAATCCTTGGTGGCAAGCTTGCCATACGGCAGGTATGTCGTTTTGCGGCCTGTGCAATACTCCGCTCAATTGTAGATACATAGGGTTCACGGTCACACTGGTCTCCTGAGAACACAGCCATGCATCTCGTCCGATCCTTGAATGGCATCACCTTCATAGACGAGGTTGACATAGTGAGTACATTGCGCCATAGCATACGCATCTCCTCATCGATCCCAATAGGGCATCCGGAATCTATGCTCAGCGTTCAGCTATTGCCTGTCATTGCTGGGCTCAGTGTACATTTGGTATGGATGCGGGTCCGTTGACAGCGAGCGCGCAGCCGCTCGTGAATACGCGGAAGCTCTTGCTTCATCACCATCGGGTGTCATTGAACTCGTTGAGGGCGAGTCGGATGTTGATGAAGAGATGTTCTGGATGATTCTTGGCGATGGCGATTATGCGAAGGCCGACTACTGGAAGTGGAAGGCATCCTCTCCGTCAATTCATCCCCGCGTATGGTCGGTGGATGCCACTAAGGGAGCTGAAGCGGTGCGCTGTTTCTATTGATATTCGATTGCCACCCTGACACGGTAGCGTTTCAGATACAACCAGTTCCTGCATTTGCAGACCACCCCGAATTCCATCACCTTGTCCATCTCGTGGACTGCGTATGGGAGTTCTTCATTGTAGTCGGTAGTGAAGCACGAGGAAAGCGGAGTGACATCAGATTGGCACTCGCAATAGCTGCGGTACGGACGAACGCTGCACTGTGCAACGAGGTACTAAGGTGCTTGAACAGAAACTGTCCGATATGACAGCTCCGTCAAGACCATTCGCCCCCGCAGTCCATGCCTTGATCTTGCCGTCACAGTTGCCGACTGACCTTAGGCTTCACTTCCGAGATCTCAATGAGGACGCTGTGGTAAGTGACTCATCTAGTTACAGTTCGGCGATGTTGATTATCCCACAGAATGCCGGGCAGATCCCTGATCATATGAATCTCCTCGCTGCAGGAGATGCAGAGGAACACGTATGTCAATACTCCACCGCATCAACGGTTGTCTGACATACTATTACAGCTGAACACGACTACATGGGGAAGGGCCGTTGCCAGAGACCCATCCATGCTGCCATTAGGCGTCCAAGTTTCGGATTTGAAATGACCTGACGCACCCCGCTCCTCACCGACTACCATTTGCTTGACATATAAGTACCTCTCATTGGGCTGACCAATCTATGCTTATCTGGAGTCTATCTATTACACATTTCCTGCTTTCAACGACGCCGCCTTACTCCCGTTCTCCTCATGCTACAGGCTCAAGTTGTTTGTTGATTTGTACTACACGAGACTTGAGCTTGAATCCAGAGCGGCGTTCACATTGACTTCCATTCAGGTTGAGCCCGTGATCTCCGAGAGTCACTCGTGACCGCGTTCAACGCGCGCGAACCTATACATCGTGACCACTTCACCCACGATAGTGGCATTCAATGCCGGGGGTTTCGTGGTTCTCTTGCACGTTTGATGTGCCCATGGTCCAATCCGGGTATGTGGGCAGGTCAGTTTGCGTCGGCGATAGTCCCAGCTGACACTTCGGCCGGCAGGATGGCGCCTTCACTTGTATACCAAACCACTCGCGCAGGCACAGTTGCCTTATCTGACTGGTACTGCTCACGAGGCATGCGACATTCTTTCCTGTGAGAGCTCCAGAGCTTCAGATGTCGTCTTCAACAGTCCTGATAGGCTTTGGGATGCAACTCATGATGGTCCATAAAGCTGCAGACCGCTGTTCAGGCCTGAACAACGACCTACAGCTCAGGGCCGTCAACGGTGCTAAAGATGGTCCACCTTTCGTACTCTCTGCTCGTCGCAGTAGGCGCCTGCTTGCTCAGAGGGACTCTTGCCCATCCAGTCGTCGACGCTGTGCTGACTGAAGTGCACGAGTTGAATGGACGCGATGGAATCGCTCTTCCAGCGCCTTTCTGTTTTCCAGCCCTTGGCTTCGTGATGCCACCAGTTCTGCCTCCGGACAATACACTTTGGTGGTGCGATCCCAGCACTGAATACGCGTTTGTCGGGTTTAGCTATGAGGTGACTGCGTGTAAGTCCGCCGGTTGAAGGGCGTCACTGGGTGTGTAGCTCATCTTCGAATTCGCTTATGTAGGTCAAACTCCAGAACAACTGCATCGGGAATTCGCCGACATTCGTTATCACTTCGACTCCCGCTACGTCCGACTGTATGGAGCGTGCGATAGGGAAGGCTTCTAGTAAGCTCGCTGGGCTCATAACACTTTCACTGCCAGATGTGTGGTGCTGAGACATCACAGCGATGATATCGTCGACGCTGCATGGGATAATAGTCTTGGAGTGCATGCTCTCGTCTGGGTACGTGACTCACTCCGCGGCACGCCTCGGCTTACTCTGACCTCGTACCAGTTTGGGTTCGACGGGAGTGACATCTGGATCACACGCCGCGATACGCTCTTCGCCTCGCTACACGCGAATCCCAGGGCGAAGTTCATCACGCGTGGCGTCCAGTTTGGGTCTGAACCGCTGTACGACGACGTGCTCCCGCATCAGCAACTCGCCGAACAGGTCATCCTCGCGAAGCAGAACTTGTCCAGATTGAACATTCCTGTTACTGTCAGCGAGCTAGCGTATGGATATGAGGAACGCGGAGGCGCCCAAGACGTCCTCGATGCGATCGACTTCATCAACATACATATGTTGCCGTTCTTCGACCAGGATGCGTCAACGGGTAGGTCCCTTCTAAGCTACAGGCGTTGACATGGATTGACGCATCTCCAGCGAATGCTTCGTGGCCAATCGTGATAGACAAAAACCTCGATTTCTTCATTGACCATGGAAACGGAAAGAAGATGTACTGGGACGAAGTCAGTCGATTACATCTCTAACAAAGTGTCGACCCCACGCTGATGCAGCATGAATAGAATGGTTGGCCCTCGGTCACGTCACCGAATGTGCAGCCCAACAGTCCATATGCAGTTTCTGACATACTAAATGAACACGTAGGTTCCATGTCATTGACAGTGGATTGGACTCTGACAATCACTCTTGCAGGCGTATTTCGAGCTCCTTGATTCCAAGTGCGAATACTTGAAACACGTCGTAGGGGGTGGCGTGGGGTGGTTTGCCCACATTTACTCGGACAATATGGAGCCGGGGTACGGGATCTATAATAGCTCGGGGCACTTGAAATTCCCATTCCACCCACGTACTGAGTGCTAGCACATTTGGATAGGAGGCGAGATGCACAGTCAAACGTCACTGTTGGGCGGGATGAATAACGTTCTCAATGCCTTGGCCGTAACCTGGTGAACACCTGCATCACGGACTGGTGCACTCGCCGAGATGCTCTGAGCTTTTGATGTTCGAGCGTCCTGATGTACGGCGTACCTGGTGGGCTGGACACTGATGAGTCCGCAGATGTCCGGGTCGGACCGCTATCGTTGTATCATAGGTGTGTATGGTCCATGAGGTTGCTGTGCGACGTGTGCTTGCATCCTGGCCTACGGCAGCGGATAGTCCTGTGCATTGCCCAAGGGACGGGTCTGCACGGCCCGTACTTGCATTCAAGGCAGTAAGATTGAATGTTCCGAGTCCGTTTGCCATGTCGTGAGCGGTCGGTCTCAGGCGGTCAGTGACAGCCTCCTTGACACCACATACTTACAAGTTACCCCAGGGACAGTACGTGAACAAGCGGGCCTAGTCTCTGATAGTCATCGTCAAATTCGAACGACCAAGCATCCGGTCCGCGGGACGAAGGTTGGACTACCCGTGTGTCCGCGGGTGTGTAGTGGTTCTCGATCACACCCTGAGCGCGTCCTGTAGTAGCCTGTAGTTCGTAGCATGAGTACATCTGTGTCTTCTCCCGCGCACTTCATGTGGTGAGCGTCGTATCAACGGTACGCAGAGCCGGGTATGCACGCGACCGAGATCGACGCCGGACGCCCGTGATCAAACCTGCACTGCTCGTGACCGCGTTCAGGTTGTTCAGACCTGCATCACTCTTCAGAGTTCGTCAGCGTCGCGCCGGGCCTCCCTCAGCCGTTCCTGGTGCAAGATCATACGTTCTCTACGTGCGAGCGTAGTGACGCACCTGTGCTCTAGGGGCTGACCGTGTCGATGCTTGAGTGGCGACACAGGGAGGCTGACATCGATACATCGCCCGCCGGGTCTCTTGGGTTGTCAGCCACTCCATAGAGTCCTGGTCCTCGGTGAAACGTACCCAAGGCACCGTATGCAACGCACACCATTGTATGCCCACACACGCGGTCCGTGCTCTTGGGTAGCTTCCCCCTCCGCCTGCTCACCATCATCTGATCGCCGCCCGGGGCACCTCCATGAGCCATATAATACCGCGGGGCGGGCAACCCGATGGTCAAAGTGGCCATGACCGTCGCCGGGATGGCGTTTCCTCCACTCTCCTTGTGTGTATTACTCTCCTTTCTATCTAAGCTCAGTTACGCGCTGCCTGTATATGGGGATGCCTCGACGAACCTGTATGCAAACGGCACCCTGAACGGGGTTGGTGCCCGCGCATCGTCGTGCTTCCCCGCTCTGGACTTCCAGATGCCGGACTCTGTCCCGAAGAGCACCGATGATTGGTGGTGCGATCCTAGCACAGAGTATGCCTTCCTTGGATTCAGCTACGAGGTTACAGCCTGTGAGTAGTCCATTGGAAGCTTCGATACGAACTGAACTCACCTTGGAGACATCATGTAGGCCAGAAGCCAAGCCAGCTTAAGAAAGAGTTCGCCGACATTCGTAAGAACTTCGACGGACGATACATTCGCCTCTACGGAGCCTGCGACAACGATGGATTCTAGTGAGATTCCGAACCATAGGTTAGGTCTGATTAGGAGGACTCACCTAGATTACAGCGATGATATCGTAGATGCTGCCTGGGAGAATGGACTGGGCGTCCATGCTCTCGTCTGGGTGGGTACACGTCGATCATGACATATTTCGAAGATGGGATTGATATTCCGCGTCCAGTTCGGCTTCGACGGGGATAGCAAATGGAAGACGCGCCGCGACAAGCTGTTCGCCTCGCTTCACTCGAACCCCAAGGCGAAATTCGTCACTCGTGGCGTGCAGTTCGGCTCCGAGCCGCTCTATGACGACGTCCTCCCACACGCGCAGCTCGCGGACCAGGTCAAGGACGCGAAGGCGAACCTCTCCAGCCTGAACATCCCCGTAACCGTCAGCGAGCTAGCGTACGGCTACCAGGAGCGTGGTGGAGCCCAGGACGTACTGGATACCATCGACTTCATCAACATCCACGTGTTGCCGTTCTTCGACCAGAAGGCGTCGACCTGTGAGACGAAATCTGGCTACATTCGTGTGTCTAGGAACTGATGAGTTGTCGTGTAGCGAATAAGTCATGGCCGCTCGTGGAGAAAACCCTCAACTTCTTCACCAAAAACGGAGGCGGAAAGAAGATGTACCTTGATGAGGTGAGCTACGTCCTGATTGATCTCTGCGGGGCCGCGCTGATCGTCCTTGCCAATCTGCTCACAGAACGGCTGGCCTTCCAAGACATCAGAGGGTGTAAAGCCGAACAGCCCTGATGCAGTGGCGAACGTTCAGAACGAGAAGGTGAGCCCGATCTTCCATTCGCTGCCTACGTTCAACCATTTGTTCGAACGTTGGTCGTCGTCTCGCCCGCCGCTGCATCTGGGACGTTTGCTCACCTTTTCCGCCCCCACAGGACTACTTCAACCTGCTGGACTCGAAGTGCTCGTACTTCAAGACCGCGACGGGCGGGGGCATCGGGTGGTTCGCGCACATCTACTCGGACGACCAAGAGCCTGGGTACGGGATCTACGGCAGCAACGGGAAGACCAAATTCTCGTTCAAGCCCCGGACGGGCTGCTGAAACTCCATGCGCCCGTACCCACCTCGTTTGACTGCGCTCCGTCGATGGCGGAGACGGAGAGCGCAGTTGAGGCGGTCCTCCGATGGGCCTCGGGCTTCCTCTACGCGGGTCTTCAATCCTCTCAAGGCGGGGCCACGGACCTTGATCTTATTGGGTAATATTGTTGTATCAGTGGACACCAGCCGTTGATGCTCAGCTCACTGAGATGCTGGGTTGCATATATGTATATATATCTGTGAAATTGTAGAGGATTTAGCAAATGACGGGGCCACTGGCGATACAACAGTTGAGATTATGTCGTGTGAGCAGGCTCAGTCTCAGACAGTTACTGAAGGGCTCGGACTATACCTGGGTGACAGCCCAGTGACAGCTGTCAACGAACGACGGACGTGCACAGCCTCCGCTCCGCTGTCTTCCCTTGGTTCCTGTTCAAGGATGATGTTCAGAAGTCATGCGATCGAAATCAAGAAGGGAAGAACGAACCAAGTGGACAGGAGGCTGTGCCGTCCGCCAGATGGGATGTGGAGCTAAATCCGGAGTGAGAGCCAGCTGCCGCAGGAATTGAAAATCAATCTGCGGAGACACTGACAGATAGAGTGTGAGGGGACAATCTCAGCAGTTGGGACATCTCTCCGCACTCCGCGCAGCTGACAAACATAATAACATTTAAGAAAGAGACAGTCCGAAAGGCTGTGCGATGACTAGGCGCTACAATAGTGGATGTGTCCGAGCGAGAGACGAGTCTGTGTCCGTGCGTGTCCGGGCAACAGTCGATCAAGCGAACAGAGCGAACGCGGACGAAACAGCAACAAGCGATGAGAGCGCGACCGCAGTCAGAGGCATTGCGGAGACCGAAAGCGCGCCGCTCGTCGTGCTGGCAGCAGCGTTGTTCGCGGTCTGCGTGATCGTTGACGGCTCGGAGCCATCTGCAGCTCCGTGTTAGTGAACGTGAGGTTGCGAGATGGGAATACATACCAGTGAAGCTGGCACCGCATTGACCGACAACCGTGCTGTTCAAGGTACTCGCGAGACCCGGGTCAGCCTGCACGGCGAGGTTGTACATCGCCTTCGTGCAGTCCGTGCAGGTGACGTTGCTGCCAAGGGCAACGCTGCCCCCCGCAATCTCCGACACAACCGACTGTAAGGTGTTCTTCGTGATGGTACCCACCTGAGACTGAATGTTGGTCAACAGCTCAGTGGCGCAGAGCGTCTTATTGTTCGACGTGCTACAATTGTGTGCGTCATGGGTCAGCGCCGGTGCCACTCCATGTGAACGTAAACTGCGCGACTTACTCAGCCAAGCACGCGGCCTGGCGCGCAGTAGGGTAGTACTGCTGCACCATCGAGACGAGCGAACTGGGATCCGACGTGCTGATGCCTGCCGACTGGAGGTCGCTCGCGCAGCCCGAGGTGACGTTCGTGACGACGTCCGACAGCGTCTGATTCGAGCAGAGCGACTGAGAGCACATTCCAGTGAGCCAGTTGTTGACTGTCGTGACTACAGACGCGTTCTGCGTCGAGACGATGAGCCCGACGAGGCTCTGTGCGTTCAAGCATGTCGTCTCGGTGGACGTAACGAGTTGCGCGAGGGTAGATGAGCAGCTTGACGAAATCCTATCAAACGGACCAAACTTAGTTGCGAGCAGACGTCAAGTAGGAATTCTCGGACTTACGACAAAGCGGAGGTGAGCTGCACCCCGGCCACTACCACCAAAGCAACCTTAGCAATGCTCATCGTGGAGAACATGATGTCGGGAAGGACTTGAAGGGAAAGAAGAACGATTGCAAGCAAGGCTATTGGGAATGCAGGAACTGAGGGAAAGGCAGCCCGGCTGCAAGGTGGTGGTCAAGAGGAAGATGAGAGAAAGAGAGGCGCGGTGGGCGGAATTGAAAGCAGCTGACAGGCTCGTGGGCCGTTGCAGTGCTGCCCGCAGTGTCCGCAGCGGCTGCCGAGCGCTGCCTAGCCGGTTGCCATTCTTAGGCTTCGGTGCCACCCCCACATGTCGTCGGAATGCGTCGGTCGTCTCCTTTCCTCACGCTCGCGGCGGCTCGCCTCGGTGAACGACCTGCATGGGGACCTGTACTTATGAGTGGCAGGGATGCTGTCGCGGTCGTCGAGACGATGGAGGTGCGTACGATCCTGATCGGCCGAACCAGGTGGCGATTGATCGCATTAATTGCCGAATTTGGCATGTTCGAATCTGGGCTGGCCACTGTTGAGTGGTGCGTCTTGCCCTCTGCGTTCTTCACCCATCATCCATGCTTTCTCTCTCAGATCCGGGCCCGTGCATCTCCGAGCGACACACAGAATCATTGATTTTTCTACTCCCCGGGTTTCCGCAGCTGTGGCGACCGAGCGTGGTCGTATAATCCGCGGCGACTCGGGCCACGGCGCAGCACACGGGCGTGCCGCTGACACACACATACGTATGTTCCACTGCATCCGCGGGCTCCCTGAGCGTTGCTGGGAATGCATACATGTGTAATCCAAGCTGCAGTGAGCGACCTTCGTACCTATTGCACGCTGATCGTATCTGGGTGGTGCAGGCAAACACTTGAGTAGCCGCAACAGGGCGAGGAGTGGGAAGAGGCACCATTTGCGGCCAAGTCGGTCACCGACAATCATGCATATGACAAGCTTCAACTCTCTACCCCTCTTCCACCCAGGCTTAGCCCCGAACGTCGCTGTCATGCGTCACATACGCTCATGCATATCACAGGGAAGCACACAGGTACCGTGCGTCCTTCCTCCCAAGGATTGGCAGATCCGGCACAAGATGCCGGCTTCAGTTCGGAGTGCACAGCACCACATGTCAGAGAAGCTTACAGTACATGGCATTCCACGCGTCCAATTTGCATGAGTAGAAAATACAACAGTTCGTATTACAACCATGAGGTCAGTCCCGAACACGCCCGTACGAACCGTGCCGGATTAATGCTATATGATACAGCCAGCAGACGCGGATTAAATATATCCAACGCATCTCGTCCACACCAATCGAGCGAAATCACCGCATCCATCACTCAGAACTTCCAGTACTGCACGCTCGCAAGCGCACGCTCAAACGGCGACTCGCACCCCCGGATCTCCGCATCGCGATCGCTGTGGATGAGCGCGTTCTGCAGGTCGCCCATGGTCGCCCGGGCCCCGCTCAGATCCGCAACTCGCCCGCCAGCCAGTTCCTCCTTCGAGCTCTGGATCGCCTGTGTCACGTCCGCATCGAGATGCGCGAGGACGTCCGCAGTGTCGCTGTCCTCCTTCCATCGCATGCCGAGTGTCTCCCGTACCACCTGCGTGAGCAGGAATAGACTCGCGAAGCCCATGCCTGCGCCGTATAGTGAGCGTGCCCGGCGCAGCACTGCGGCGAGCTCGGGCGTGGGATGTGAGAAGCCGTCGGAGGACTTGGAGAAGAGCTGTGTTGACGGGCTGAGCTGTTTCGCGTTCATCTTGTCCAGTCGTCTCCGCGCAGCATCGTGGAATGCAGCTGTGACGTCTGGTGGGCTCGTCGCCAGTAATGTGCGGACGACCGCTCGCATGCTGGTGATGCATGCTGTTAGGAAACGCAGGTGGGTAGACGCAAGTGGCGCTCACTCGGCGATGTCAGCGTTGGCGATGAAGCTATCCATCATGAGGTTGCTGTGTACACCCAGTCAGCAGCAGCACGCCATGATAGCTGTGTGGTGCGCACACATGTCCGAGGACGGGGCGGGGTTCGTGGAGCGTTTCCAAAGCTGGCATGCTGGAGGGGGGAAGGGGAAGATAGTGCGCGCGTTGGAGAGCAAGGGTCGCTCGGAGGGCTGTGTGTAAGGTCAGCTATCATGGCACAGGAGAGAAACTTATATCCCCAGCCCGGCGTTGTACCGTGATCCGAGCAGTCAACACGTCGCGCCCAGCATTCCCAAGTGGTGGACCTCCTCGGTGCCCGAATCTGGCTTAAGGCATCTGCGACGCGCAACTCCGACCCACCCGCCATGATCCATACATCTCGCCCACAGGTCCGGAAAAGGCACGCCGACCATAGTCCCCGGCGTGACACACGGCGACACTTGTCAGTGGACAGGCGGCCGGTGACAGCGCCGACACACGTCTGTGGCGGACACACCGGCCTGGGACCGGAGCGGCGCCAGCCACCAGCGCGCCGGTGGCGTGCGCTGCCCGATTTGGATCAGCGAACTTCTCCGCAGATCGCTCCGATCTGCATCTTCGCACCCCGCCGCGCGATCGCGCCGCCTGCAGGCTGCGGTCGTTGCTGCACAGTGCACCTCCGTAACCTCGTGTACAGTAACGCCCGGTCTCCAAGGTCGGAATAACTGTCATATCAAGGCTCAATGGTCATACAGGTCGCCTCGCCGACATTGGCTTCATTGCGCCGCGTCAATCGTGCTGCCCGAATCCCGCTTAGCCTCGGCCACGACAGAGGGGCGACGCTGCTCATCAAAACGCGTAGCCGGCCGACGGGTGGGCAACGTCCACATTCTTCGCACAATCACCCGCGGGCCAAGGGCCACGGCGAACATACAAGTCGACGAGGGCATATGAATGGTCTTATGCGGACGTCGCGAGACCAGGACTAAGCATGACAAGACGTGGCGTGGCGCCGTAATGATGTCGCGCCTTAGTAATTTACTAGTAATATGCGGGTGCGGCGGTTCGCGGTTGACTCCGTATGCGCCATGTAGTGGGAGGGACAAGTTCGATATGAGGATTGCCGCGTATGTTTTTAGGCTTCAGGAAGTGCAGCAACAGCCCATCCGGTAAGCAGTTCGGGAGCAAATGGTAGTACGGTGTTCAGACAAGTAGGCATGTACGGATGGAAGAACAGGTCGAGTACCGGATTTCGCGCGATGATACGTACACTGGTCCGTGAATGGGTTCTGGGCTACCTCCCGTACTCTCCGGAGTCCGAGCGCCGGCCTGTACCGTCTTCCGAGAATTCGAGAAGTAGGAAAGGCAGCAATCATTGTAATATAGTACAAGCTCACTAGCGTCATGTGGAGGAACGCCCGGTGTGAGCCTATCTCGACCTTCGCTCTTTTGGACTGGTGCCGGACCATAGTAGGTATTTCTGGCCGATGTATACAGATTCGGCAAAGGCACTATGCTGTGTTCTCAGTATTGATATCGAACTGCTTGATTAATGCCTACGTCTTTAGAGCTCCACGGGCGTGGCGACTGCCACCAGCGCATGGTAGGTCATGTCAATGATGATTGTCATTGACGGCCCGCGCCGTTTCTGCCTCTGTCACGCTTGAAGCCCGAGGCCTTGAGGTATTAAACGGTGTAACAGGCGGTGTCCCTGCAGAGTCAGTTCATCTACGACTTTGTGCCACCACCAGGTCCATGTGTGACGATGAATCCCACGAACTGAACGACCGAGACATGTGTGATTCAAGTAGCGGGTGTAAGACAGAAACAGTGGAAGAAGGACACCACACCTGGCTTGCGGCGCGGAACAAGGGCCACGGATGAAACCATCTGGATCGAAGTGGCATAGCAGATCACAGCCACTTCCACGACAGCTGCAAATGGCGCTGTAACGGTTCGAACTCATGAGGTTCAGTGTACTGATGATGGGCCGACGTACCCGGGTTCATCCTACGTGACGGAACTGTCTTGGAGCTGTCGTCCGCTGGCGTCGAAACCCGGTGGCAGACTGAAAATCGACCCGTGCGTGTGAGGATCAGGCTGCGTGCTGTCACCGGGCGATGAAACTGTGCCAGGTGTGCATGTGGCGGCGGTCGCCGCGTCATGTACGAAAGACCAAACAGTCCGCGCGCGGACTCGCGTCGGCTGCAAACAAGCCGCGATGGGCCCGTCGAGCAAGCCGATGGCTGACGTGATCGTGCGAGAGGAGCGTCACCGTGCCTGAACGAACTGGGGATAGCACGCGAGAGGCGATCTCTCCAGATCTGGAGGGTTGAAGACAATTTGACGGCGACCAGCGGCGACCAGTCTGATGACCGGACGTACGGCACGGCGGAACCAACCTATCGCATGGCCGCCCCAGGGTCCAGCCAGGGTCGCCCGAATTTTCACGGCATTGGTCATACAGTACCCGGCCTATTACTGTAGCCCCGTCTGAAAACTTGCTCAAAACCGGTACAGCCGGGCTCGATCTAGACACGAAGGCGGATTCTTCACAATTACCTACAAAATTCTGATTTGTAACGATCTGTTGGGCGGGATTTTGAACCCGATGCGCCTGAATGAGATCTGCTGCTTCCGGCGTTCTGCCACAGATCTCTGAGTCTCACGGCGGAGTGACGAGCGCCCAAGGGCAGATTCCAAGCATTGCCGGACCATCTCCTCTCCATCTTTTCTGGTCATCCCCGTGGTCCGTTCAGACGGCCGGACCAGTTGATATAGCTACAAGTTATAAATCCAGCGCACTCGGTGCCGCAACCTGAACCCGGCCCTCCATCCTTGGATTATTCATCACCGACTTGGTTAACCAAGCACTATGACCACATCGGATATTCCGCTGGAAACCTTCCGGCTGGGTCCCTTCACGGTGCCCAGACTGTTTACAGGGCTTTGGCAGCTCTCCAGCAATGCCTGGGGAAGCGCGTCTACTCCCAAAATTCGCAGCCAAATGGCGCAATACGCAGACGCAGGGTACACTGCTTTTGGTATGTTGTCCTCGCACAACGTGTGGCAACTTCATCTAACATTTATGCGCCAAACTAGACATGGTACGCAGCTGTAGCATCTGCCTTATGGGCCGTTCTCACTGTATTGGCACCCCTATGTGGCGTCTTTAGGGTACGCAGTCATTTGTGGTAACCCGATTCTCATACTCAGCACACGCTACCTGTCCACAGCTGACCATTATGGCAGCGCTGAGATCATCTTTGTAAGTGCTAGCGTGCCGCCTATTGAGACCCTCAATGAACTGTTGCGTATCCGTGACATCGCAGGGACAATTCAGAAGGAACTTTCACGCACCAGAAAGGATCATGGGCGGTACCAAGTGGTGTGTCTTCCGAAAGACAGATCCGACACGGGCGGTCGTCGAGGCCGCCGTGCAAGAACGCTTAGACCGCATGCAGTCGGAGCGTGTCGGCCTCCTACAGGTACACTATTTCCCTGGTACACCTGTGGACTGACAGGTGACACTGGCACCTCCATGCCAGTTTCACTGGCAGGATTACAGTGACAAGAACTACCTCACCGCCCTCCGTCGCCTCCAGGACCTCCAGCTCGAAGGCAAAATCGTAACGCTTGGGCTATGCAACTTTGACGCGATCAGGATGGATGAGATCTGCACAGAGCTCGGACCTGGTGCGATCGTATCCAACCAAGTACAGGTGCTGCCTCTTTCGCGCTGCCGCCTCAACTGTCAGCTTGGATGCTGACAGACATTCCACCTGGCAGTTCTCGTTGATTGATACTAGGCCCCTGCATGGGATGGCCGACGTCTGCGAGCGACACAACGTGAAGCTTCTCACCTACGGTACCGTGGTAAGTCGCCGCAGGCTTCGCTGTATGTCTAGCGCATACGCCATCTATACAATTCGGCCTTCGCTTCGCTTCTGGGCTCCTTTGCTGTCAATTTGACGCTCTTGCCTTCAGTGTGGCGGCTTCCTAGCAGACAAATGGCTAGGGCAGCTCGAGCCAGATCTGTACTCCGGCAACCTAACGCCATCCCAGAGGAAGGTAAGCATGACCCATGACTCAGGGTTCTACAGGCACCCGCACCATAAATGACTCACACTGGCCGGCTGCCCGAATGACAGTATCTCGACATGATTCTGAAGGCGTGGGGCGACTGGCCGCTCTTCCAGAGCCTGCTCTCTGTTCTCCGCAAGATAGGCGACCGCCACGGCGGCGTGAGCATCGCAAACGTGGCCACACGGTGGGTGCTCGATCACCCCTGCGTTGGCGCCGTCATCATCGGTCAGTGTTCTCCTCACTCATACTTTCGATGCTTCGTCCCCATTATCTATACACACGCTCACGTAACTCCTCGCTCCTCGCTGGGACCGAACCGATTAGGAGCGCGTCTTGGGTTGTCCGAGCACACGGACGACAACCGGCAAGTATTCGGATTCCGGCTCACCGCGGAGGACAACGCAGAAATCGACGCGGTGCTCGATCAGAGCAACGGCAGGAGGCTCATCACCTCCATTGGCGATTGCGGCGCGGAGTATCGCTAGCCGAGGTGTCCTAGGCTAGGGCACCCCGCCAGTGCTTGGCTTGGTGTACTGTTTGGGTCTCGGGGGAAAGGACGACATGTAGTAGGATAGATCGAAGTGTGGAACTGACGCCTCAGAGCGGCCTAGGAAGAATGGTGTTGGAGCTCTAGTTGCGGGTGCATTGATGGAAGTGATCAACGCCCGAGATCGATCATTGTGGTCAATTCCGCAAGATACATATTTGGTTTCCAGACGCTCGAGTTGACGCAAGGCAGGTAGCATCTTCCAGTTCTGATCCCACCATAGCTGTCCGAGATGGCTAGTTTACGAGCGCAGCATACAGTCATCGCAACATCGACGTATCGGAGCACCGATAGAGTCTCCATTACAGCTGGCGAAGCCTGGAGTTCCATCTGACCGAGCATAATCTGGGCGACGCATCTCTGATATCGATATCCATTGTGTAGCGCATCCCCTTGAAGCTAAACCGCCATATTATACTTACATCATCTTAGGCTGACGGTAGTACCGCGAACGCACGTACCTCGGCAAGCCCCCCGATGCCACCGGACCCTGATGTCACAACTATTCCCCAGCGCATAAAGGTGATGGTGGTGAATTAGATATCACAGAGAGAGGTAGAAGAAGATGTCACCGGATCTTGTAATGATGACTGTGTTGACGCGCCCTGCTGACGAGTTAGGACATGTGTGCGCTCACGACGACGTTCGGGAGTCCGCGGTCTTCTGGAACAGGCGTCGTGGTCGTAGCATAGGCCGTGCGGCCAACCAACAACGGGCAGAGCGTGTCCAATGCGTGAATTCCGGCCGTCCGAGGAGTACCGTCTACTATGTGAGTAAGCATGACAGTCATATGTGGTAAATTGGTAACCTTACGAAGCGGGAAGGGGGCTTAGTTCACAAGATGGAGGACACTGGCCCTGCGACTGGTGCTAGAGGACGCGGCCACCTTCTTTGTCGGATGAACGTCCTTCAGAGGCAGTCCTCAGGCCTCGGCGCCCACCTCATGAAGACACCCGTGTGGATTCCGCGGTGGGGACGCTTTCACGGAAGAAGTAAGTTAGTCCGAGGGTAAGGAGACATTCGTCCGCGCAAGCCGTACAATCACTCGTGCGACGACCGCTCTGGGTCCCCCAGTCAAACCTTGCCACATGCATTCTTCGCGAAGACGTTCAAACACCACATAAGATCGTGTTTCACCAACTAGGGGGTAGCCGCTCTCGTCTGTGACCTAAAGTGCGATCAAGCGGTCCGAGGTGAATGCTGATATCTCACCGTGTCACCCCGACGCAACAGCGGAGTGTCCCGACGCACGCAACATTCGCGGAACTCTTGCTCGAGCTACAGGCCTCACAGCCACCACGTTCGGCTCGACCTGTGCGGGCACCATCGGCACGTACTTGGCTCGAGCGGCCACTTGGATAGCATCCTCGACAATAGACAGTTGAAACGGAAATCATCAGCGCCGAGCCGCACAAAACGCACTGTCACCGCCAGTCCATTGGCAAGGACGTGCGCGTCCATAGACAGCCGCGATGAGCAGCTGCGCAAAGAAATTGGGACGCTAAGGCGGTGACGAGGAAGCCAGGATACCTTTCGAGTCGAGCCTGCCACCATCAGAGTGTCCGGTGTGTGGCCGAGGTATGCAGGTGACCGTCTCTCCGTGCGGTCCTGAAGTCGGAGAGGATGCGAGCGTCGGGACGCCCCAGAAGCATAGCACAACGCGCGCAGCCACTATGTTGTTGAAGTAGTAGATGCCATGCGTCGTGAGACCCGGGGGAAAGCTATCTTACTGCATGGACGCATCTGGCGGACGGAACATAGACGACAGGGAGCTTGAGCTATCTGAGCGCGGAATGAATCACGTAGAGACGCACGGGGTTGCTTGAGTGGGCTCTTGGTGAGTGCCTAGAAAGCCGGTTTGTCCAATTACGTAGCACGTAGTCCAGATACGGAAGAAGGCAGGCCGTGGACGTTGAAATACACTAGGCGAATCAGAAGTTTAGTTTGACATAGAATCGAACAGGTGAGACGTTGGAGACTGTTGTGAAAACAGAGTCGACAAGTTTCGGGGCAAGGCGTGCTTGTCACGTTTCATGAATTGAAATCCGGGTACTCACCACGATTAACATTCAAGTTTGCGGCCGCTAAATGCAGCAAGAACCGAGCCACTGGGTCACGCCTGCGTAAATCAGGTTCGGTCGACGAGGCGGGGCATGAAACGTGGCGCTAGCTTCATGGCCGCAGCTAACTTGTCCTTTGACATGCCGTATTTCGTCCGGTGAGCAAACTTAATCTTTCATATATTGCCCTTGACTAAGTGCAACCCTCGCACCGGCATTCCTGATATACCGCGCATCACTGGCACGACCATCCTCATACGCAAGTAAGGACGTACCTGTTGCTGTGATGCTTGGTAGGTCAGGCGCATACTGGCGCCGCACGAACGACTCCGATCTACCGGAATCAACAGTTGGGTGCCTTGGGTTTCGGCGTCGGAGGATCAAGACGGTTATGTTGGAGGAGACCGATTTCGAAGTCGTACGTTCAACTCGAGGTTGGCAGCTGAGCGCTGACAAAGGCATGCCACACACGTTGTAGTTCAGCAGTGTGACGACTACGTCTGGACATTCTGGAGCAAGTAACACGATGTGTCATGAACTTGTCTCAACACAACTTGCTGAATGCTCCCTGTGCTTATGCACGAATGCGACCACTTGGTGTCCTGACACCATGTCAGTCAGATCTACGCACATGACTGACACGAAGTAGGGCAGGAGCCCGTAAGCTCTGAACGGCAGATGAACGAGCATGAGATACCAGTGAGACCGTGACACCGTGTCGCAGGTGTCCAGGCACCAATAGCGATGACTCCTCGGATTCGGAACGCGGTCCTTGCGTTATTGTACGGAAGTGAAGAGGTAAGAGAGATAGACGACTGAGGACGCAGAGACACACTGAATTGCTTCATTTTACGAAGGTCTTGAACGCAGGTGAAGGCGTTTGAAATATCTACACTGGCCATCCGTAACTCGCTGCCACTGGCACGAGGTTCGATGATGCCGCTCGAACATAACACCGTAACCACACCACATTGAGAACGAGCTTGGGGATGCATGTTAGGGTGTACAATCGGAAAGCTGAGGTATTGTACCGTCAGGAGACGTCTTCTGAGCGCTTTGGCAAGGAGGCCGGCAGCAATGGATTCGTCATGAATCGTCAACCGAAAAGGGAACTTTGTGGCGCAGTTCGACTGTGGCTCTCCCGAGATCATCGGGCACGACTCGGGCCTTCGCATTCCTGGGCCGAGGTGGGTTTCCCGATCCATGGCACCGCCACAGACTCGCGGACAATACTGATGCCTACCCATGCAGTTACGAGTCGGGCTAGGATCATCCCGATACTGATGCCTTACTGCGAATCCTTCCTGTGATGTACAAATATCCTAGACTAAAAGGTTCAGTAGCTCAACATCTGCTTTTCTTCAGTGACAACTTACTGCGTTATACTGTTGTTTTCCAGACCTTAACTCGTTCATAGAATGGTTGTCGACTTCGCGTTTGCGATGAGAGAAGAGCTCTCCCTCCCTGGCCCGCATCCGCCACATGCCAGCAGGGTGCCAACAGCGCCTGCCAGCGCGCCCGGTCTAACTAGGAACTGTTCGGAATACTTGACATCGCACTGAGCTGGTGTTCTTTCCGACCGCCGTGGAAGTGATGTAGGGTAGGCGTGTCAAGTACAATGGCGAATTGAAAGCCGCCGACCGAGGCGGACCCTCCCGCCACAGGCGCGTCGCGACGCGACGCGTCCCGGGAGATGCCGACGGCGGGTGGGGCGGGTGGCTCCCATACGTAGCCATCCCGGGCGAGGGAGGTGGATGGAGAGCAAGAGTCGTGGTTCGTTCCGACCTTCCTGCTGACCAGAGGTGAGTAGGCAAACATGGTTAGATTTCCCGTTTTTTTTCTCCGTTGCGCGTCGATATTGTTGCAGTGGCCTTCTCCGAGGCCTCCTCCGGCTGAAAGACGGCCCGCATAGTCATAATTTGCAGGCTCAGAGATGCTACGGCCGAAATTTGCTGAAATGCTGTGCAAGAACCGCAAGAGTCACCCACAGGTGCTCCGAGGCCTCATGTCCTACCGGGATGTGTGCACCTATGCAGACCCGGAGCGAGGCTGACGCCCGGTCAGCGTTGCGATCCATGCGGGCTAGCGATATAGCGGGAGTTTTTATAGAGGCGCACACCCATTGGCCATGGTGCGTCGAGAAGAATTGCCCTCTTCATGACGAAGACAGCTGCAGATGGACGTGGTGAAGCTACCGGCTACGGCCCTCGGCCGGCGATTTATTGTCTGACTCCCGAGGGGAATCGCCGTGCAGGGGTGGCCGGAATATATAATCCTCTGCATTTCATTCGATACTCACCGTGTCTAACAGACTTGGAGACCGATGTCCGACAGCAGAAAGAACAGTGCGCAAGAGGACTCGGAGAGAGAACAGCGGCCAATGTCATACGTAGGTGACGGTAAAGAGGTGAGTGGCATGCCGAGGGACCGATTCGCGAGTGCCAAGTGGACGAGCGCTTGCCAGATGCGCGATGCCGACTGTAGTCGATCCCGGAGGACGGCAGCGAACTGGTGGCGAATTGTTGTCGGGTGCGCGCGCAGCGGGGATGCCCTCCCCGCCCGCATACGGCCCAAAAAGCGGCCGGCCGCACGTTGCAGAGATAATGAACAATTGACATGGCCCGCCTGCCCGCTTAAAAATCACTCACGCACCAGGAGCACGCCTCCGGGCTTCCTTCCTTGCTCCCTCCATCTCCCTGCCCCTCTGCAGCCCCATCTGACTGTCTTGCCCCGCTGCCATGGACTACTTCGACTTCAACATGGAGATCCCCGCTGACGGCGCAGACGCGATGCAGCTCAACATCGCCGGAGAAGGCGGGGCGGCCCAGAGGACGCCGGCAAGTCGCCTGCGTATCCGTCGTATGACCGTATTCAGTGCTGAGACCGCTGCAACCAGGTAGGCACGCCCATGGAACGCCCCCACGCAGACCGGCCCATCACCGTCGACGTCTCGACCACATTCCAGCCCAATGTCCTCGTCGATAACGTCCCGCCCGACCTTATCCTCATCTCCTCCGACCAGGTCTACTTCTACGTCCACCGCCACCGCCTCCTCGCCGCCTCCTGCAACACCTTCAACGGCCTCCTCACACCCACGCCCCCGCCCGACGACGGCTCCACCCAGACCATGCCCGTACCCGAGCCCTCCGACGTCCTCAATGTCGTCGTGCACGCTATCTACCACATTCCCGTCGCTCAGTTCATGCCCCCCTTCGAGACTGTCTCCGCTGCGTTCGACGCGCTCGTCGGGTACGGCGCGTCCCTCCAGCAGCTCGCCGCACCGGGCAGCCCGCTCTACATCCTCGTGCTCTCCCAGGCGCCCCTCCGCCCCATCGACGCCTATGCGCTCGCCGCGCACTATGACCTCATCGCGCTCGCGACGCCCATCTCCGCGCACCTCCTCGCGTACACGCTCTCCTCCGTAACGGACGAGCTCGCCGCGCGCATCGGCCCCATCTACCTCAAGCGATTGTTCTTTCTCCACCACGGCAGGACGGAGGCGCTCAAGGCCCTGCTGCTCCGCCCACCCCAGGGACACGAGCCGATGAGGGACTGCGATGTGATCCAGCAGCAACGTCTCACCCGCGCATGGGCACTCGCCTCTGCGCACCTGGTCTGGGATGCCCGACCGAGTGCGTGTCGTCATCCGGTATTTCTGGGACGTGAGTCTGATGGTCTGATTAGACATATCGATTAACATGCTGCAGGCGCCGCTGCTGCAGCTCGAGCGGGAGCTGTCCTGCGCACTATGCAAACAGGCACTGCGCGACAGAGTATCGGTACTTGTTAGGGAATGGGCATCTATCAAAGTAAGACCAATTCAGCATCAAAAATACTGCGACCGGCGACTGATGACGTTTGCCGCTAGGTGACCATCTAGCAGCAGACGAACAGGAAATATGGCTAATAACTGCTTCGGGACCACCACACATGCATTATCTTCTCTTCCATGCTTATTTGATTTATCTCGCGCCCATCTGTAGCCCAAAGACCACCATGTAACTGACGACCCCAGCATTTCCGGCTCACCGTTCCCTTGTCTTTTATCCCACATGCTTATACCTCCGTGATCCTCGCAGCTACCGAACAAAACATACTAACAGGTAAGACGCTCAACCCGTATCACACTGCGTAGAACTCACTGCGGCACCGCACATATCGTTACAGGACACCGTTCTCGTTCCTCGGACTACCACCCTGATTCCCGAAGCCCCGACTCGGACCCAATCCAGATACCTCTGGTTGAGCGGCACCCGAGTCGGCGCGATGTATATTACCGTAGACATCCACGTCTGTTTACACGAACCCTGAAGTGCGTGTGGTATGCTCGCGTGTTACCCGTTTTGACAAACAAGCCCCACCCGATGGCTGATATAATAAGTATCCGTGTCGTGAGCTCCATTGTGGGTCCATGAGGGCGTCGTGGCCTGTGGCCAAGGGTGGCTACAGTACTCCAGACACGGCAGGTGACGTCGATGATATGTTGTTCCGTGCTTTTGGTCTGTAAGTATGGCTGCGTGTAAGTTATGAGGAATTCTTCGCGATCTGGGAGAGACCATTATTCGTCAGGTTCCTTCCCATCCCTCTTCGGGAGGTAGGGCCCTGTAGGGCCCCCGTGTGGCTAGGCGTTGCAGTGCCAAGTATCGCCGAAGCGTGTTTTGTACCGGTACCGTACAAGTTCCAAACTCACATGACATGCTTTGTGTTACGTAAACTCACGGAGTCTTAAATGGGTGGAGATGGCCGGTGCGGGGAGGGTGCGGGGAAGGTGCGGGAGAAGAAACAATGTGGCGGGAAGTGGTTTGGATTCTGGAAGTGGTACTCAGTAGGACCGACACTTCAACCAAGTTAACATTGTAATGAACTATCGATAGAGGGCCCTAACTCGTCTGACCAGATGGGAGGAGCCTGAGACTTTGTCACTCGCACATTTGACACGCGATGATGACCACGTGAAGACCATGTCGAATACTGTAAAGCTGTGAGTTATTCGATACGAAAGCGTGCTACAGGACACAGAACCTTGAGCTACAACGAGTTGAATCTAAGTTACATGCGTGCAAAGTCCCTCGATGTCCGTGCTTGGAGCGGATACTGGATACACACATAGTCACGACAAAGCGAACCGAAAAGGCAGACCGTCCCAGGGCCAACAAATGATGCGAATGTGGCGGACGAAGACACGCCGAATAGAGTGATATGCTCACCGACGCTCGTTCTCGATGACAGGCGTCGGACCCCATCGTCGCCCCGACGCCGACACACTCCTGCTCCTCCCATCTTCCACGAAGCCCCTCTCGTGCGCAGGCGTCGGCGCACGCTCCCCGCACGGACCCCGCCTCAAACTGCCCGCCCCGCCTGGACCATCACCGTCCAACCCCAGCCCGAGCCCATACCCGAGAGGCACCTCGCCCCTGCCCGCCCTCGCAAATGCCACCCCCAGCCTCGCACATACCTCCCTCGCCCTCCTCCCCTCCTCCTTGCCCTCCTCCGCCTCCCTCCTGGCGCGACCCAGCTCCTCCCTCAGCCTGCCTAGCTCGCCCTCTATCTCCTCCGCCCTCCTCACCGCCTTCCGCCGGCTCTCCACTTCCGCCGCAGCTTGCTCTAGGGCGCTTTCCTCTCCCCGTCGTGCGCGGCCCAGCTCGGCGGTCAGCCGCGCGACGTCCTCCCGTGCCCGCGCGAGCTCGTCACGCCCGCGGGCCAGCTGTGTGTCCGCCTGCACGGCGTCGCGCTCGGCCCGCCGGCGCGCAGCGTGCTCCGCGACGAGCTCGTCCTCGAGCTTGCGCTTCGCGGTGCGCACGTTCATGAGTGTCGTGGACATCTCGGAGGCGCGGTCCTTCAGGGCCTGAGTCTCCCGCTCGAGTATTTGGAGGTGTCCGTGCTCGTCGCGCTCCGAGTGCTGCCGCAAGTGAGACTGCGAGTTGGCCCGCGAGCGTCCCTGCTCTGGTTCAATACGTTGGGCACCGGGACCTGTGTCGCCGTGCGCGGTATGATTCGGGACAATTACACCGCTGTGCTCGTCGTCGACGGTGTGGCACTGTCTGAATGCCATAGAGTCCCCGTTTGCCTTCTGTTTGCTAGGAGATTGCTCCTGAGCTGACGGTGCTGCTGGCAGGTTCCCAGCGTCCGCAAGGTATTCGCGCGCCCTCGCATCCCCAGGGTCATCACCAGACGAAAGCATCCCAGGCAGATCCATACACGAGCGCGCCCTCGCCTCCGCGAACTCGGACGTCACCTGTGCGCGAGGGATGTCCACGCCATACACCTGTTGCAAACATTCCGTGGCCCGGTGGACAGCGATATCCGAACCAGCTCCGCCCAGGGCAGCAAGGTCGCGATGACAGCTCGAGAGCATGAGGAAGGCTGGCTTGAGGTCGGTTTTCGCGAGCGAGACGGGCGGACTGGTCATCACTGGGAGTGACGTCCATAGTGAGTAGGCTTTGTCCGCATAGAATGAGAACTTCAGACGTACCTGCGATCATCGCCTCAAGGACAGCGATGGCGGCCTCAAAATTTCGTTTCACGCGATATTGTGCTGCGACGACCATCCATTTGTCGCGTTCCAGAGAGCAGCTCGCGGTAACCTTCAATACAGCAATTATTTTTCGCGGATCCTCTTCCAGTTTGCGCAGGTCGCATGTCACCGGCCGGTCGTTGTATGTCAAGGTGATCATGGACGACACAGCGGGGTTATTGAGACCACTTGCATTAGAAGTGTTGCCCATCTTGTTCTCAACCTCGGCCACCAACCCGGGAACAGGAGTGCGGGGACCAGTAGGAGCGTCTCGACGTGGGGTCGGCATCGCAGCGGGGGTCGACAATACGCCAGGTGGTTTCTTCCGGGGAAGAGGCAACATGCGCTTTGGGGAAGAAGTAGTGTGCGCTTGGCCCACCTGAGCGTGCGCATCATTCTCTTTCCCGCTCGGTTGACGGCTGACTGACGAGGGAAAAGGCAGCTTTGCCGTCGCTCTAGGCGTTCGAGGGTCAGCAGCGCGGACGTTGCGCGGATCACCATCGTTCAATCGCGAAGTTGATGGTTTGGCGCCCAAGCTCTTCTCAGCCCGACGCTGTTTCTTTCTGGGAGTGGACTCGGGCGACGACGCAATGTCGTCCTCGGTCACTCGCTTCAAGGCCCACGAACGAGGGCTGTCCCGCGGCTCCTGTTTGACCTCCGGGACTCGCGGATCTGTCATGGACGAAGAGGGTGAAGGCATAATCGACGTCGGCTCGGCAATGGAGAGAAAGTGTGCAGAGAGCTGAGGAGAGAACGAGACGATGTGCAACTTTGTGCCCGGAGGCTGGAGGGCGCGGGCACGCTTGACTGCGGTCTCCTCTGCAAATTCGACAAAACAGGTGAGGTGCATGCGGTCGGTGCGGGCGTCCCAAGGCGAAATGGACAGTCTGAGTGGGTACATGCGCCTCAGCATGGTGCGTTTTTTTAAAGGATGCAGACAGGAACTCACATGTGACCGCACTGCGCGTACGTGTTGCGGAGCTGCACCATAGACATCGAGGTCTCGACGAAGACGACGCGGTCGACGCGGTTGGACATGTTTGCACGCGTCGGGGACGATGTGGGGGGATGGGGATGGGGACGACGAGCATTTAAAGACATGGATCCTGCGCGTATAAGTGGGCGGACAGTACGGCTTCTGGAAGGCGCATCGACGGGTCAAAGGCAGACGGAGTGTCGCGGAGGCGTCGCGGCATGTCACCGCTGTGTCACCCTTAGCTTCTCCAGCGCCGTCCACGCGTCTCTGCGTCCTACCAGCTTCCCGATTGGGCAGACATTCCCTAATCCATGGCCAGCGGTCTGTGACTGTGCCTCTTCGATGTCATGTACAGCGAAGCTCCGCAGATATCAGCCACACCTACCACGCATTCCAGCGTAGTCAGTCACAGCGCGAAGACATGGGAGCAACAAGCATAGTCATGGTGCAAAATTGCGGTGTATAATCAACAAGGCGCAGGCGGGTAGCGAAGAGCGATCGCCGTTGGTCGCACAGGGGTTCTAGATCCAAAAGATGAAGCACTGACACCGGAAGTGCCACAATGGCACCAACCGGGTCGACATGCATGCAGTCATTATTGCACAGCAATGCTGCATGGACGAGGTGTACATTGTAGAGATGACAAAGTCAGCGCAGACGACACGGTAGGACACGTTCAGAGTAAGACGCGTTCGACAGCCACAAGCGCGACTCGAAACTGTACAGTTGCTTCGGCAACCGCCGGTGGCGCTCCAAACCTTGTTGCACTGTGGCGGCGGACCACAACAACATCAAACAGACCCGGTAAGCGCAGGCGGCATACTTGCTTGTCGTCGAACGTCCCATCCCCGACACTCCCTCGCGGTCGCCTCAAGACTCACGACATCAAAATGGCCGCGGTATCAGCTCTCCCCAAGGATCTCTCCAAGCTTAACGGCGAAGTTAAGCTCTTCGGCAAATGGGAAACCCAGGAGTGCGTGCTTGTGTCTGGCGATGTTCTGCGTGCAGCAGCTGACGACTGTCGGCGTCGATCGTATTGGACAGTGTTGAGGTGAAGGACATCTCCCTCACGGACTACATCCAGATCCGCCACGCTGTGTTCCTCCCCCACACCGCCGGCCGCTACGCCAAGAAGCAGTTCAAGAAGGCGCAGATGCCCATCGTCGAGCGTCTTGTCGACAGGTGTGTACCACTGGTCCTTCTACCACAACGCACATACAAACTGGCCGAGACAGCCTGATGATGAAGGGCCGCAACAGCGGCAAGAAGCTCCTTGCCGTCCGGATCGTCGCGCACGCATTCGAGATCATCCATCTCCTTACGGACCAGAACCCCATCCAGGTCCTCGTCGACGCTATCGTGAACACTGGTCCCCGTGAGGACTCGACGCGTATCGGTTCTCAGGGTACCGTCCGGCGTCAGGCCGTCGATGTCTCCCCCCTGCGCCGGGTGAACCAGGCGGTTTCCCTCTTGACCACCGGCGTAAGTATTATTGGCAACGTGATCGACTTATGTATGCTCATGCTCTATATGACAGACGCGCGAGTCCGCGTTCCGTAACGTCAAGTCGGTTGCGGAGTGCTTGGCTGATGAGCTCATCAACGCGGCGAAGGGCTCATCCAACTCATATGCCATCAAGGTCAGTCTTAATGCCTGGTTATATTCCTCCGTGCACTCTCCTTGCTCATTCGCGCCGATCTACAGAAAAAGGACGAGCTCGAGCGTGTTGCGAAGTCCAACCGGTAAGGCGGATCGGAGAGGCGCCGTGGCTGGCTATGGGTCTACTGCATGTTTTCTCTCTATTGCTATCACTATCATGACGCTCCATGTTGCCCATTTGAATGCTTATGGCGATGCTCTTGACGAACCGGACGGGCTTGATCACCAAAAGCAAGTGCGGTCTCGACCATCCCGGCGTCTTCGGGCCGCCGCATCAGACAGCATGTCCGGTGTCTGCCGCATTGCAAGTGCTAGCAGTTTGTGTCTGCGATTTTGTACCCCCATTCGGATGTAAGACGTCAAGCGAATCGGGCGCGTAACGCTAGTTTCCGTTGCGTAAAGCCGTCGTAACGCAGTTACGTTCACGGTGCCCTCTTTCCATTGGTCGGTACGAGGGAATATTTTCCTGTCCCTGTACTTCCGACGATCGAATCTAGATCGAGAGTTCCGAAGTTCTCGAGCAGGGATACACCGATGTTCCACAAGCACGTTTGGGACTAGCGAGATCGTAAAGGGCGACCGGGTCGCTAGCTGCAAGGCCGTGACACCGGGTTTTCCACTCATACGCCCAGTGCATCAGATCCGTATGCACGATGGCACGATCCCGTCTCCATAGCGGACTGCTAGTGCCCGCCCTTCGTCCAATATAACAAATGCGATGAGTGCGGGCATCGCTCCCAAATTTCCTGCCCCCTACCATCCCGCCGCAGCCGTGTACAGCATATTCGACGGTAAGTCTCCCGACGCGCATCTGCGTCTTCGAGACTCGGAACGCAGGCATGGACCTGGGCTCTCCCGAGCACCTGGTCCGTAATCTCTTCGCGCCGGTACTCTTGGGGACCGTGTTCAGCACGTTCCTGTATGGCGTCAACATCAGCCAGTTCGTGAGGTTCATCACCTATGGAAGGCAACAGTCGCTGTGGACATAGTACGCATGGTTCCTGCATTCTTGCAAGTGGATGGACGGCTGACCAGACGCGGCTATTAGCATCACAGTGGTGACCGTGTTCATGGCGGATACGGCCCAGGCGTGTCTAGAGATCTATAGCCTCTGGGACATCTCTGTGACCAACTTCGGCAACTATGAAGCCCTCACAGGTCAGGTCGGCCAGGCGTGGCCGACAACCGTGTCGCTTGGTATACTGATGGGGATGTAGGTCCGTCTCGCTCTCCGTGCGCCGCCTTCACTGATGTGCGATTCGTGCATGTGCGCGACAGAATTGCAACGGCGGTACAACAGTACTTCATCTGGCGCGTGAAGACATTCAGTCAGTCGTGGTTACTGTTCGGTTTCCTCACGCTCTGCTCGCTGGCCTCGAGTATGGTCGAAATCGTCAACGCCTCCATTGCGCTCAGTAATTGGACGTGCGTGCATATCCCCTCTGGCGCAATCGACGCGTTGACGTGTGCTGCAGGACGTGGTCGGCGCAAATGCAGATCACTATGGTCGAAATCGGCCTAGCGCTGAACGTCGTTGTGAATGTTGTAAACGCGTAGGTCTCCGTGCCTGTCCTTCGTGTCAGAGTTGAACGCCCACTCCTTACTGCATCGCAGCCTCCTGTTGTTGTACTACCTCCTCAAACATCGGTCCGGATTCAGAAGTAATGGATTCACTTCTGCCCCCGAGACAGAATGCCAGAGACTAATTTCACTCGGCAGGAACTGACAGTGCTATCAGTCAGCTCATAGTCTGCTGCGTGGAAACACCTCTACTGAATGCATTTATGGCGGTGCGTAGCAGATACATTGTCCCTCGCGGGCATGCGCTGATGTAACACAATCGTAGCTGCTCGACATCATCGTGTTTGTAGGTCGTGCCCATGTGCTGCATTATGAAGTGTCTCAGTTCATATTTGCCCGTGTCAGAAAGCCACAGCCCAGACGTACTGGGTCTTGATTGTCGGCATCGTGCGTATTGACCGCTCATTCTCGAACGTCGACTGATTGGCACAATTGCACCGCCAGCCTCTGGGACGTGTGTATACGTTCGTTATCAACTATCTTATGTGTGTTGGCGAAACTGACCAAGACATGCCTCGCAGATTCTCCGTTCTGGCTGTAGGTGGCCCTGGTTGACGCGGCGTCACTCTCTTACTAACACCGAAGTCTAGTTGATCAACTCGCAGGCATCTCTGCGTGAAGCATGGCACGGCGTCACGGACCTCGATCATGCCACTCGATTGGTACGCCCACTCAGCCTTCCAGTTTTTCCCCGCACTCACCATTCCCCCTACCTGCAGCCCCGAAATACGCGATTCAGCCGAAGCTTGAAGTTCAACAGCCCAATCGAGCCTGTCCGCGTCGGCGTGACCATCGAGCAGCACGCACAGGTCGCGGTCGATCCGTTCACCCGCACCCGCAAGGACCGCCGGAGCCGCACGAGCTCGCGGCGGACGAGGGATACCGTATCGGACGCAAGCGGGTTGAAGGAGCACGAGAATGAGCACGAGCTGGAGGATTTCAAGATTACCGTGGGCACGCTGGACAGACCTCTGGCTCAGGACGAGAAAGTCGCCTCGGCGGTCTGAGCCAGAGGGTGGCTCACCGCATCCTGGTGCGGTCTAGATACTCGGGCCACCCTTACGGTGCTGCAGTCCCCGTGCATCACACCATTCGCGCCGCCGTCCACTGGTCCAGTACGGCTACGATGCTTCGCGTCTGCGGCATCTGGGACGTGACGAGGCGTCCGCCGTTCTTCTGCATAGCGTAGCTTGACACAGCGACTAGGTCTAATAATGTATTTTGCAGTGCGCACGGACGGTGTAGACTGGCACGTTGTTACTGACTAATAGATACTCTCGTTTACAATCTGCGCCTCTTTGGCTAGAGACTCCGACACCTGTGCAGTCTCGTATCATTGGGTTGTTGTTGTCTATTATGTAGTGATGTCAGGACCAGGTGTGGTGCATAGGTCACCTACCGTCAGGCTGTGCTTGCGCAGCACTGTCAATGGTCTCGGCTAATACAAAAGAAATTTAGTTAACTTACCTTCATGCCCTGGGCGGTCATCGTGCCTCGACGAGTGAGGCCTAGTGAGCCCTTGCAAGTTGAAGACGTTGGGGTTGAAATTGAAACTCGAAACGACGGTGACGCGGCGAGTCGGAGGAAATCACGTTCACGTGACCGTTCCTACCCGAAGGTTCAAAGACTCAGAGAGGTCCACGACCGCGCCCGTTGTGCTGCCTGCCACTCACTACCCTTTTCATGACTTGTCACACATCCATGACCTAGCGACTATATCTTCTCAGTATTTGAGAAAGAAGGCTTGAGTTTGGACGACGAGCTCTCGCTGCTCGAAGAATACAGTCTCGGAAACATGCTAGTGTACAAGTATCACGGTGGACTCAGGCCGCTTGGAGTGTCGGACCCTTATGGTGTTCTGCTCGACATCCTCCGTACATTCTGGATTGCCGCGATCAGTTACAATGAGATTGGGACATTCAAGCAACATATTCGAAGGTGCAGATGGCCGGACGCTGCCCTCCAGGTACGCTGCTTCCTGTTGTACATCTTGTGAGGAATGCCTACGTATACTCAGCGGCGCAGCGGTGGATACAATAGCTCGGATGACCCTGCTAAGGTCAAGCATGTCATGCTCGTTGCAGATCCTCAATTATTGGATTTCAACTCCTATCCTGGGCGCAATCCATGGCTGGTATGGTTGAGCCAACTCATCGTTGACCTCAACATGCGTAAGAGCTGGCGCGCTTCTCTTGCATTGGATCCGGACGCGGTGGTCTTCCTTGGAGATATGATGGACAATGGTCGCATGGACCAGTCGGATGACGAGTACGTCCTGCCAATTTTAGATGCTATGTACCGGATCCCAGGCAAGCAGTTTCTACATTCCCATCCCATTGTGTTTCACGCATTCAATTTGCATACCCTTGCCTGGTCCTGTCAACTGTCCTGAATATCGCTAACTTGGTGTTATTCGTCTAGCTACGAGAAGTACTTTCAAAGACTGCAACGTCTATTTAGGACCGACCATCCAGTGCCGACATACTATATCACCGGCAACCACGACGTCGGGTGCGTACACATGCACTTGGATGTGTACACAGCTCATATGTGTGCTATAGGATTGGGGCCTCAGCACGCTTCTCTCAGCAGGCTGTAGAGCGCTTTATGTTCCACTTCGGCCCGCTCAACCAGCTCGTTGAATTCGGCAACCATAGTTTCGTGCTGATTGACGCACCCGGACTTGTCGCCGAAGAGGCCATGCGCATGCGGAGCGGACGAAGCTATGCTCAGTGGGTAGACGTGAGCCCGAACGGCGTGATCGCTTTTATACGGTCTCTGGCTGCTCGTGCGTGTCTCTGTACGTACCAAGTCGTCGTCTGGGATACTTACCTCCACATTATCAGGAGAGAGCACAGAGCCACGAGTGTTGTTCACACACATCCCGCTTGCGCGCCCTGAAGGGGCACCTTGTGGACCGCTACGCGAACGGGGCACGATCCGACAGGGCAGGGGCTTCGGATATCAGAATACCCTTGCACCGCACACGACTGAGTTCTTGTTGCAGCACGTCCGACCGTCGCTCGTCTTCAGGTGCATACTGTTGATTCGATGCTCCATGGTCGCAATTGATCACTGACATTTCTCAGTGGCGACGACCATGACTACTGCGAGTACACTCACACCTACGGCTCCTCCGATGCAGACGGCTCCCCCGACACGGGCACTGTCGAAGAAATCACCGTGAAGTCGTTCTCCATAGCCATGGGTATCCGCCAGCCGGGCTTCCAGCTCCTCTCAGAAGGCACTCCTCCCTCGCAGTTCACCTCATCCCTCGCCACCGTCCCCTGCCTCCTCCCCGACCAACTGGGCATCTACCTCAATGTCTACCTGCCGCTCTTTGTATTAAGCGTCCTGTTGCTCCTCGCGTCTAACATCCACCGTGTACGCACGCGCGGGCGGTACATCAACTGGGTGGCCCTTCCCCGCTGGTGCCAGTGCCTGCAGGTGTCCCTAGAGTTCGTGCTCTTCGGCCAGCGGGTGACGCTCCGGCTGTCATTCAGCACGCGGCCGGCCGATGGCGACGATGTGGAACTCGGAGATTACAGACCGTCGGCAAGGAGGGGGAGTCCTAGGCGTCTTCGCGGTGTGTTGGGTGGATCGGTGAGGGATGTAATGAACGTGGCGTGTATACCGCTCTTGTTATTTGTCGGGCTTGCTTGGTGGATTTCGTGACCCTATCTATGACTGTTGTATCTTTCGATTGTATCTCCTGGGGCGTATTGTTATATGTGCTTGTTGTAGTCACGGACACTTTCCCGATGCAAACGTGACACTACTGTGGAATGAGGTTGGCTTCATGTACGTTGTCATGCTGCGTGTTGACTCGCATCGAGGATTGTACAGCTCTCTTGCGGCCGATAGTGGTAAGTGCTTAGTCTAGGATCGTTGTACGCATTAGTCAACGTAGACATCGTACCATCCAGAGCTCACAGGTGTTCTCAGTCGAGCTGTGCAATGGCGCGGCCGGGATGCAGCGGGATCTGGTGCAAATACACGGTACAAGTATGTACAGCCTAGCTACACCCGTACATATCATTGCTCAGACTACGTCAAATCATGATATTAGGCAGGCCTATCAAGGACTCGTTGGGCCCTGTGCACTTTTGCAGTCTCGTCCAGAGCCTTCCCCCAGAATGTCCCCCAAGCTTTTGAAGAATTGGCGTCGATCATCTCCTTCGAAGACTCAATGTCCAACGCAGGGAACAGACGGCTCACAACCCGTGCCACCGTGCGAGGAATCAGATCACTTCTCCTTCTGATCTCTTTGATGTTGTCCGGTCGACGAAGTCCCAAGCGCTTCAAGTTGTTCTTGCGGCGGTGCTCATCGTTTCCATGTATGTATGGCCACGCAACGCATTCTATGTGAACCTCCTCAAGAAAAGGACAGGCATCCGCGAAATCCGCGATGCCCCACAGAGTAGGCAATAGTTTCCCCTTTGAACACTTGATGTCGAGGCGACGCAAGGCTGGCCATCGCGCTGCCAGCGTCAACAGATCCGCATCTGTGAAAGGCACCCTGGACAGAGACACGTCCAGCTCGAAGACACGTAGGTTGTATGCGGGGAAAAGGGGCCCCAATACGTCAATGAGCGTAACACCCTCTACTTCGGCGTCAAGTATGTGGATTTCCTCGAGCGTGCTCGCGCAGCGGCGGCACACACGAGTGAGCACTGGTTCCGCGACGAAGCCTCCGAGTCCCGCTAACGAGAGTACGCGTAATCGAGGCGGGGCGATTGTCCGCAACGCCAAGTTGACGTCGCTGTCGTTGCCGCGTACGGACAGGTAGTCCAGACTCTGGAAGCCTCCTGGATGAGGCAGAGGGCGCCCCACAACTGCGCGTACATGGAGCCGAAGGGTGTGCAGACGGGGGAAGGTAGCTAGAGTCCGCAGGATATCTGTGGTGCAGGTGTGCAGGCGCCAACTTGAGATGTCTAGGGATCGGAGATCCCTCAGAGCTAGGACGGAATGCCACTCCCATTGGAGCGCACCGTCGCCTAGTCTCAGCACCTCAAGATCTGGCAACGATGATTGGAAGCGGATGAGGAGTGAATCCAAGTCAGGATCCCTTGCTTCGAGCCCGCGTCGTGATTCTGCAGATGACGATTGCATGGATGGAGTTTCGCTGGGAACGACAGCGAACGAGCGTAAGGACGGACCACAGACTGCCTCTACGGCAGTCATCATGATCGGGGATGTTTCACAAAGCAGAACCCGGAGCGCAGGGAGGAGCGGGCCATGCAGACCAGCATCATCGATACAGGTGAACACAGAGGATTCAAATTGCGGATACCGACGGATATCGAGTTCGCGAACACGACCGGCGTATTCTCTGAATCGCGAGGTGCCTATGGGTGTTATCGCGCTATCAAACACCTAGGCATGTCAACTTCCTGTCAGCATCTCGCTCGGGACAATAGAATGAGTACACTCTCACCCAGGAGCAACTCTCATCGTCAATATAAAGATCATACTGCTCATCTTCCGGCTCTACCGATCTCAATCGTGTGGATCGAAGCGGGGCGAGGAGGGAAAGGAGAGGCCTCAGAGACGGTAAATGGGCCCACAACTCTGGCAGTGCGTGACGCGAGAATGTCTTACACGTATAGGCGAGTTGCACTAGGCTTCTGCGTTTATCAGTTTCATCCTTGATTTGCATGCATATCTGCTCGACGATGGCGTGAATGATGTCGTCGGAAAGTAGTGGCAGCCTGAGAGCTCGACGGGCTACGATGCGAGTGGTCATCGTCGGTACGGTGGCTGACTATAATGACAAGTAGTAGTTGAGTAAGTCCTAGTCAGTACCAAGGAGGACCGTCCTAACGATTAACATCGGAATCACGTGAACTTCCTTTTTCAGCGCGATGAAACAGTAGCGTCGAACTCGCAGCCTGATCGCGGCTTCGCACCAGTTGAATACGTGGTACATATGATACCGTCCAACGGGACGTTGTAAATATAACGGGCGATGTCCGCGGGAACACCTATCAACGCCGCCGGATAATTTGAGCATAGTTCGACCGACTCGACACGGCTTTTAGCACATCCAACCACCCGTCCACGCACAGGAACTGGACTGGTATCATCTCGTGAGATTCATTCATCATTTACACACTTCGTCTTTCGACTAGTACCTAATCATCAGTCCATGACCGACCGACCCGTCACGCGTTCGTCTAGATATACGGGGGCGCAGGAGAAAGAGAAAACCGGAAGACGATGTCCGTGAGTATAACTATGTAGTAACTGACTGTAGACTGAGATGCACGTTGCGGTGAGGGGGAAGCGACGAGGGGAGGCGTTTATAGCTCAATCATGTTGAGGTTACCGGAGAGCAACCCTGATGGACGCGAGATGTCAGCCCGGACAACAGGCAAGGGAGTAACGCGGCGACTCACGGTTTTCAAGCACACACCCATCGGGAATGTGAATACTCTGTCCCTCGTTCGCCACAATGATGACAGTACCGCGCAGGGTGACGTTGCGCCCGAAGTACACATCACCAGTGACCGTCAAGTGGTCGAGCTCGATGATCTTCGGGATCTTCTTGAACCGCTTTTGGAACTGCGCGATCTTCTTGAAGTGGTCGCCCAGCTTGATAACCGGCGTCGTCTCGAACATCCGGTTCTCGTTGATTACGAGCTGTCCGTGCTGCAGCGAGTAGATGTCGCTCTTGATCAGGAGCAGGTCTGAGCACGACTTGACGGGCAGGAAGCGCGACCGCGGGACGTTCACGCCGTGGCCGTTCTGGAAGTGCTTGATCGCGGCACCCGCGGCGGTCTCGAGCTGGATGACGGCCTGCCCGTCGTCGGTCGTCTTGGGATTGACGATAATCTCGAGCTCCATCTCGCCCTTCTCCATGATGCGCTTCACCGCTGTGTGCAAACGTCAGCACTCAAGCTCGCACGTCACACGTAGAAGGAACGCACCCTTCAGGTTGAGCCACAGGTTGTTCGTGTTGAAGATCTTGAACTTCCGCACAGACTTGAAGTCCTCGACGTGTTCAGACGGCACCTGCGCGACCTCGAGCAACTGGATGCTGCCCTCGTAGTCGATGAGGGTACCACCCTTGACGTCCGCCTTCGTCTTGTCTGTCACCTCCATGATGAACTCCGATTGTGAGTCAATCATGTGCTGGAGGATCTTTTCATCAACGCTACGCCACCACCATTCAATACTTGCGCAACAAACTCGTGACACGAAGTGGACACTCACACAGCGCCCAGGTTGTCCGAGTTCGACACGAACAAGTATTCCTTGCCCTCGCTCAGTAGCTGGTCAAGGACGCCGCTCTGGTAGAGCGCGTTGTACAGGTCACCGTGACCTGGAGGGTACCAGTGCTTCTTGTCGTCGTCCGCTGACTTGGGGCACGGGAGGAGCGTCTCCTTGTACATCCTCGGATACCGGCTCTGGTTGAACGTCGTGATACGCAGCTGCTGGTTCGCGTACTTCTTGATGATGCGCAGCGTGTCCTCGTGTGTGTTGAACGAGGTCATGAGGATGAGCGGAACGTCCACGCGGTAGGTCGTGTTGAGGTGCTCAATTTGGCGCACGGTGAGATCGAGGAAGGTCATGTCGTCCTTGACCTCGAGCGCCGACTTGGCACCCGTCATGCCCATGGAGGTACCGAGACCACCATTCACCTTGAGGACGGCGAGGTTGTTGAGGTTGGCGACATCGCCTGAAGGGAGCTTTGAGTAAGGGACGACCTTGTCATCCGAAGGTGATTTGATCCTGTCCCATACACTGTACGTACTCGTCAGTTTTTGTCATCACTGAACGACGCACAAACATAGGATAATACTGGACTGTTAATCACCATTCAAGTTGTACGTCTTTACTTAATCTGCTCGGTACCGACGCGCACCGTGATCGGGGGCGATCAATATGGCGGTGATGCGGATCGAAGCGCCGGGAGCGCGAGTAGACATGACGTAGCGTGTCCAGCAACGGCGAGCAAAGTTAAGGATGAATCGGGCGAGCGATGCTCAGACCGATGTGCGTCGCCCGGACCAGAGCAGCACGAGTGCTGCCACCGGACGTGGTCCATGTCCGCCCCAGCTTCGGCAACCAGACGCGGCGACCACGAAAGCACCCCCGAATCCTCGCAGCGACGCGTGGGCTGCCCCGTGCGCTCAGTGGAAGTCCATTCTCGGGGGTTGGCACGGTAGTACGCGCTAGAAGCACCCTTGGCGGACGCGTCTAATCGCGCATGCCATCGCATACACCCGGCTCAACGATGCAGAGATAGCCATGCGTGAACGGACGAAGTGGACATGGGAGCCGCGCAGCAGGGACCGAAGCGAGACGCGACGGCGATGTAGAGAAGGGTGGAAGAGCGGACACTCACAGCTCCTGGCTCCGTGCCCGCTCGGAGAGATAACGAGTGAAGAGGTAGAAGAACGACTGCATCTCGGTGTCGAAGGCGCGCTTGGTTTCGGGGTCGCTGACGGAGCGGACGAGGTTGCTGAGCTCGTTGCGCATGGCCTTGGCGGCGACGCCGGTGGTGGCGGTCTTGAAGTCGATGTGACTGCTGCCGCGCATGCGGGCGTTGAAGGAGTCGCTCTTGGGCATGAGGCTGTCGGAAGGCATGGCTGCTGCTGCGCTGTGGACGGTGAGGACGACGGCGGAGAGGAGAGAAAGGACGGGCGACGCACGCGGAGGGGTTTATGTGGACGGGGCGTGTGGTGGAGGTGGAGATGAGCTCTGGGGCGGGGAGGACGTGGGGGGACTTGGGGCGAGCACGGGGCGTGTGATGACGTTTATATATCTCGAGGTCCTCGCCCGGATATGGCGCGGGCGACGCGGTCGCTGCAGATTCCTCGCTGATGGGCTCGAAGATCGATCCCAGCACAGGGCACGTTCTTCGCCGCACCACGCTCGGCCGCGCCCCGCCACCGCCACCGCCGAACACCCCCCGTCGCCGCCGCACCTCCGCAGCCCCCGCCGGCCCCGCCGCCGTCAGCACCGCGTCCCCCGCCAGCGACATCCGCGCGATCGGCGACGATAACAGCGACGCCCTCCGTCGGGACGCCGCCGTCGCCGGGCCCGGCCCCGCGCGCGCCTCCGAGTCCGGGCCCGGGACGTGGTACTGTTCGAGCTGTTGGCAACGTGCGTGCATGGCGGCGGCCTCTGCTCAGGGCAACAGCGGTGTTGCGCTCTCCAGCTTTTGTACTATGTATGGGCGCACACGCGCACACGCACGACGCGTCTGCGCTGTGATATCGCCCCTCGCCAAGCCGCGTGCTTCTAGACCCCATCATCCTCGCCGCCACCTCTCCCCGTCGCCCTTATCAGGCCAACGAACACGCTACCGGACTGACAGCGTGGCCCCGGCTCCCGTTCCCTGTCTCCGTGCGTGAGCTTGATAGCTGCGCACTGTGTTCTCAATTCTTCACTGACGTTGTGCTTTTCTCGCGGCCTGTGCGGCGACATCTCTCCGTTCTCACTCCGTGATCCATGTTGTTTATTCGCGTCCCATGTGGATCGCCAAATGTAACTGATGCTTCCGCCGGCTGCCACGTCGCTGACACCCCCAGTAAGTGTACCCCACCACGTTCCCGCTTGCGGCCATTCTGCTCACCCCTTCGATCCACACCGAGCGCGACCATCACTTGTCGGCTGCTGGTGACGCCATCGCACGAAGCTTATCACCACGCATAACCCTCACCTCAAAGAAAGTACGTCTTCCCGAATCCCAAACTCTTCGATCCTGCAAGCTTCATGTACGCTTACACATACCACTGTGCACCGATGTATACCCCGCCATCGCCCCACTACCCCCGCGTTTGACACAACTCAGCTTCGCCATTGTTGTGGCTACGACGTCTTGTGCCTCGCCCTGTCCATTCTCCCTACTGAACAGGATGCGGTACGTGCAGCCAATCGCCCTGTCGGTCGCCCCGATACCCATTCAGTCGGTTCCCGTAACATTCGATGAATCCTTCTGCAGCGTTCCTAATGCGATACAGACCGTCCCTGAGTGCCTCGGCCATCACAGTCCACAACATACGGCGCAAGGCACCGGTCACGGCGACAATACACCGACGCTCGAAGGCTGACGTGCTCGAGACCCGTCTGTCAGGCTCAGGTTCTTCCCCCATCCCCACGTCCAGTTCTGCGTTGACAGGATCAAACCACTGGACACGTCCGAGTCGTCTCACCGAGACCAGTGCTCCTCCAGGAACGATCGCTTAGGCGCCCGTGGGTGAGTCGCAGACCCTCACCGAACAACGTTGGTTCATGAGCAAATCGTGACGAGAGTGTACTGGCGGATCGCGCTGCGGGATGACACGGCTTATTTTGCTCCGCGATCTGCGTGCCAATCATGTCCGAAGTGCGAGTCAGTTGTGAGTCCTTTTCGAGATCTGCAATGACCCTCCGGGCCGCCCTGCTATCCTGACTGTCGTCCGAGCGCGTTCCTCATTTTCGGACAGATGATGGGACACGCTCGGGACTCATCTTCACATCTTCTACCTCGCCGCCTCTGACACCTATCATTGTCAGATCGCGTGTGTTTTACGTCCGTGGTCCGCGTATGGCGAGGCCAGGGACGATCCCGACTAACTGCCGCATCTCTGCTTCAAGCTAAGCAGAGCGTTCAGATCTGCAGAGTTGACTGACAGACATCGGGAGCTGCGCGCGCGGTCCGAGCTGATTGTCCCTCCATCCTCCGATCGCCCTGCGATCGCCTGTGGTTGGGTATGCTTGGGGACATGGCTGCGAGCGGATGTCTCTGTGGGTCTGCATTTGGGCTTGTGACGCGGGGCGATCCGGGTCGAGTTGGTGGAACGAACTTAAATGATCTGCGCTCCAAGTGCGCTCGAACTCATGGTAAATCGGCGGAAGCGGAGGCTCTAGACGTTACTGGGGAGGTCTTCGAAGACGTCAGGCCTCTAGGGTTGCGTTCTGTTGAGAGGCGGGTTATAGTAAATGTATGACGTGCTGGCTCATTCAATGAATACAGAATAGACCACGGCGAACATAGTGCGGACGACGAACAATCGAAAGGTCAACATTAGACCCTTTTCTTCTTATAATGGGTACGTACACGGGATGTCGGATGAGTACGCAAGAAGTCTTCTTGCTTTCCATTCTCTTCTCTTCGGGTCTCAGTGCTCCTTGGAGGCAACGGAATCGCTTGAATCGCAGCCTTAGTACCTCAGGCCCGTCCCGATCGAATCGTTCTCCGCAATCTTCGTATACCGCTACAAAACCTGCACCGACATCTGGAGTTCGATGGGACTGTGTTCAATGTTAGAAAGTGTGTTAGTGTACTGCTGTCGCGGAGGCGATCGCGCCGGTATTCGAGCAGGCCGCACGTGACCGCGATACAAGCACGCTGTCAGGAGCCTAGTCCAGGTTCAATTCAGCTTCCACTGGCAGTCAACCGTAACTGTAACATCCACTGCAATTCACCGTGTGCACAAACGTATAGCGTGTACTATGTGAGTGAGATATCTTGGCATGCTGAGTGTCACTGGCTGATCGCCACTCACATTCTCCCCGGGGTCAGCGACTCGGCCTCCTGTATCATAGTATCAGTCTGGATCAACTGGCCATCTGTCGATCTCTAACCCGAACATGAACGGCATTGCTCACAAAGCCTTGCGCATGGATGATATCCTTCACGCGATCTTCAAATCGGATGCTTGGTTGCAATTCAAGGACGAGGACGATCGACGCAGAAACTTCGCGCGAATTGCCCGTACCTGCAAGGCGTTCTCGCACTACGCGGTACCGGCCGTGTGGAGAAGTCTGCCGTCGTTGCACCCCTTGCTGTCTCTGCTCGCTCCCCTTCGCCTAGATCGGACTGATGAGGAGTGGCTTGAATCGGATCACTACGAGTCGGGCGATCCTCCCGAGCGTAATAAAGGTTATTCTTGGGTAAGTCAAGTCAACCATGCTCCCCCTCGAAACTGCTCAAACACAGCTACTCTCGGACGTCATCACCGCAGGTATTCGATGCGCCATTCGCGCCAGGCAGTGTTGCTCGTTTCCAAGAACACGCTGCCTTCGTCCACGCCCTCAATATCCATCGATTTCCACGGCTTGATTCATCTATATTCTTTGCTCTCGAGTATGCTGGGCTCTATGGCCCATTGCTAACGGCGCTCAAGATACTCGACTGCCAAACCTCCCCGTTTATGTGGGAGGCAATCAAATGGGTAGCTGGGCCATCCTTACGCTCCTTATCCTGCAACCTCCGCCTCGAGACTATTGACACTCCTGACGACTACCTAATTTTGGCGGCCGCCCCCGGAGAAGCGCATCGTATGGAGAGGCTTCTGCGCGACTTCAAGTCATCTTCTCCACTCCTCGACACTCTGTGTGTCTCTGACGATGACCTGGAGTGGGATTTGAGTCAGATTGTACCTGCGTTCACAAATCTCCAGAATTTGGATCTCTCGGAGTGCAGGTTCGGCAGAATCACCATTGAGTCCCTCCTGTCTCTGGACGCGCTTCCACATCTCCACACCCTACGTCTCCCCAGGATCCCTCTGATCGTCGGCCAACGTGCATCCGTCCCGAGCAGTGTATCTCGTTTGGAGAACTTACACATCGCTGGGAGCACACTCAGTATCGCTCAAATCATGCAAACCATTCATCCTTCCCATCTCCGCCTCATCTCCATCTCGGGGTTTTTTGACTATTCCGCTATTGCACGCGATGTGCTCGAACCCGTCTGCATTCGCTGCGCCGGTACGCTGAAGGAGGTTCGATTGCATTGCGACGGTGACTATCCCAATGATCACAGTCTCGCCCTCATGGACGTCCTTCAGCCTTTTGTACCGGCACGCAGCATCCACACATTCGCCATGTACATTCAAGGTAACAGCCCCTCTGTACCAGACGCAGATCTGCGCACGCTCGCACAACTCTGGCCAGCACTGCGCGTCTTCGAATTGGGGAGTTCCAATGGACCTTACATGACGGAGAAGCCGAGTTTACAGGCGATGGTCGACCTGGCGCACGCTTGTCCGGAACTAGAAGAGATCAGTCTTCCCTGCGCCGTCTGGCCAACCATCGACGAGAAGCCTGAAGACGAGGAACGGTACGCCACACACTGCCGCTCAAACAATGTGAAGGTAGTAAGAGTTGGATATATCTGGACCACTGTGAACGGACACGACGACCCAGCTAGATCGAAGGACATCCGTGGAATAGCGCGTATGTCAAATCATCTGTTCCCTGCCCTCGAAGTTCGGCGCTCCAGGGAGATGCCCAGGCTCAAGCATGAGTTCTCGGAATTCAACTCAAGGAGAGGAATGTGGTCCTTGGTTTTGGATGCCATCGAAGATATGCGAGGAGGCCGATGAGACTGAGAGATTTAGCGGTACTATGGCTCTCATCTATATTTATTACATGAGGATGGCAGTAGGTTGCGCGGTGAAACTTGAAGCTTGAAGCTTGAAGTGTCTGCTGTGTGCGGCGCGGCCGGGTCGTGACCGTATCTACAGCGCCAAATCAAGATCGCTATTCGCACTCAGCGGCGCTTTCCTACGTCGTTCGTATCTCTCACCATCCACGAGTAGGTCGGTGGGCGACGCAATTCCTGGCTGCATAACGTCGTACGTAGTCAGGGTATTTGCACCGTATATCCGTGGACTGTTATATAGCCTCTAAGTAAAGCCGCGCACTAACCGCACCCGCCGATCTTCCGTTAGCACCAGTACTGGCAGCATTGCCGGCCTGAGCTCGGTTCAAGTTAGTACCAGCAGCATGGCCGATTCAACCAGGGGCTCAGCTCCTCCTCCATATACCTTGGCCGAGGAGGCGAATCGGTAAGCACTTCGACAATTCGAAGAGTGATATGTTCACTTGTTTCTAGCGGACACGGGAAGCCGTACAATACGCTTCCGTATTACCCAAACGTGTACGCCCATTTTGTGATCTGTTCGGCTTGCTGGGCTCAATCTGTGTTTTGTCACTTAGTGTCCCTCACGAGACTTCGCCTCTCAATTCCGATCTCCCTCGATACGGATACCAAACACAACCAACGCCCAGTACAGCGAGTTCCAAGCCCTATGTCTACAAGGCCGCCTTGAACAAGGCCTGGACGACCCCCGCTTGGGTCTGTATCCTGATGATCGCTGTGACTTCTATCTCTCTGGTCGTTGCGGCCGGCTACAGCATGCAGTTCCATCACCTCGACCGTCGTCTCGCAGCCTACCCGCCCACCCCCGTAGAGCTTGACGCGCTTAAGGCAGAGTGGGACCAGGAGCGCAAACTGCATGAGTTGGAAAAGAATAAATGGAGGCGGGAGAGAATAGCCTACGACGAGAATACGGTGAGGTGGAGGCGTGCGATGCAGGAGTATGCGGAGGCAAATCGGAAGTGGGCGGAGGAGCAGGCAGGGTGGACGCGTCAGAGGGAGAGGCACAATCAGGAGTGGAGGGAGGAGCAGGAGCGTTGGGCACGCGAGAGGGAGAGCCTAAGAGCCGCAACAAGGAGTGGAGGGAAGAGGCAGACCAGCACCGCATGCACGAGTGGAACGTCATGGGCTTGTCTTGGAGCCCACCGGAGAGTCACCAGTGCGTCCGCTACGGGACCCGGGAGTACACGGCGCGCCTGGTGTCTGACATGAAGGAGGCTTGTGCGCATATGCCTATCATCGTGAATGGCGCTATTGTCAACACGCAGCACGAATGTTTCACGGTAAGCCACTTCTGCAATCCTGCTCGCGTGCTTGCTACTAAGGCATATATCGTAGGAGGGAGATATGCTCGTGAGTCGATGGGACATAGAGGAGCGCGAGGCCTCATGCAAGCCGTACTGGGGTAATTTGTACGACAAGGTTCGCGACGCGTAAAGATCAGGTTGACCATGCGGAGGGTTGATCATGCATTTGTCATACTTCAGGGGTGCATCGGCGAGGGTTCCGGAAAGCATGTAAGTCACTGTCTTTGCAGCCCTTTTGACTCTGCAAGGGCACGGTTGACCTCCGTCATAGCGCTTCGAGGCCCGTTTGTGGGACCTCCACGGTGGTGAAGACTGGATGGTCATGTGTGAAACCACTCCCACCGATATTCATGGCCACCACTTCGACGGCCCGACGCACTGCGATAATCGAGTATGTGGCCGCGTTTTGCCGCTGCAGTCCTTGGTACACGACTGACTGATGCCACATGATTAGGGCGTGTTCTACGGAATGGTCGGCATGTGGGATGTCGACGACTACCAGTGTCGGTAGACCGTCTCTGCACCTCGGAACGGTTTGAAGTCAAGTTTCAACGTCTTTCGATGTGTCTGTGAGTTTGTCCTATGTATAATCTCTCCATATGACTGAACGAGTCATCACCCAAGTAAGCTTTGACAGGTCCTGTCAACTCTTTCCGTGACCTCGCTGTAGGTTGTACTATATGTAGTCTTTTGTGATTCTGTTTTCTGTGAGTCTCTGCTGTCTGTTGTTCCTGTTATTGTACCGCTGTCCTATATCACAAAGCGCTCTGTTTTGCTGTCCGTCTCTCCGCTGTCCGTGTATTCCAATCCTCTGTCGTTGTAGAGAACCTACCCTCGTTGGTATGCACCCACGAGATTCTACACTATGTTATTGCAATTAGATCGTGCCATCCGCGACTACTACATGTGTTTTGTGCCGCGAGTCTATCCCAACGCTTCCACAGGTGTAGCCTTGAAGACGATGTCTGACAGCGCCCGCGATGAAGGCATAAGACCCCGCGGGCACAATTTGAAAGGTGGCTTCCCCAGGCTTAGGTGAAAAAGCCGTACAGAAGATGAAAATGGCGTATAAGCTAGCAGAGGATGTCGCGTAGGCGTCCCACGTGACCGCGTCATGCAGGGCGACGTCGAATCTGCGACAACAGATGCGATACGAACACGACCATAACCCGGTCAGACCTATCATTCAACGTACAGCAAACGAAAACATCTCGTGCCCAGTAACGAAGGCATGTCCCGTGAATTGCAGATGAGTATCAGTGTCGCTCCTGTACAAGTACTTAAACCAAGATGAACTTCTGTCTAGTATGTTCGAGCTGTGTGCCAAGATTAGCTGACTAGCTTCCATAATCGTATATCCCGTTCATATATGGTACTGCGTGTGTGAGTGGATGTCCGTGGAGAAGCGTGCAAGATTGTCCGGACTGGGTATCTCGTTGGGTCGTCGGAGGAGACACGTCGTTGTCAAGGGTGCTCAGAGCTCCTGCGAGAAGGTCAGCAATGGGGACAACGAGAGTAGATGGGCAACTTACGGTCATCGTCAAGTTTCCGGAGAGCAATCCTAGACGGCGGAAGCTATCATCAACAATACGAAGAACAACTCAATGACTGTAGACGCACGGTTCTCAAGTACGCAACCGTCGGGGATGTCGATGCGTTGACCCTCGTTTGCAACGACTATAGGCGACGGTCAGTCTATGGTTATAGGTAAAGGCCACCGCGAACCACGCACTGATTACAGTCCCGCGCAGGGTGACGTTGCGCCCGAAGTACACATCACCAGTGACCGTCAAATGGTCAAGCTCGATGATCTTCGGTATCTTCTTGAACCGCTTCTGGAACTGCGCGATCTTCTTGAAGTGGTCGCCCAGCTTGATCACCGGCGTCGTCGAGAACATGCGGTTCTCGTTCAGCACGAGCTCCCCGTGCTCGAGCGAGTAGATGTCGCTCTTGATGAGGAGCAGATCCGAGCACGATTTGACGGGCAGGAAGCGCGACCGCGGGACGTTCACGCCGTGGCCGTTCCGGAAGTGCTTGATCGCTGCGCCTGCGGCGGTCTCGAGTTGGATGACGGCTTGCCCGTCGTCGGTCGTCTTGGGATTGACGATGATATCGAGCTCCATGCCCTCGCCCTCCATGATCCGCTTGAGCGCTGTTAAGCATCATGAGTACGCACAAACAACGTGAAGAGGAAGTGAGAGGACGGACCCTTCAGGTTGATCCAGAGGTTGTTCGTGTTGAAGATCTTGAACTTCCGCACAGACTTGAAGTCTTCGACGTGCTCCGAGGGCACTTGGGCGATCTCGAGCAGCTGGATGTTACCCTCGTAGTCAATGAGGGTACCACCCTTGACGTCCGCCTTCGTCTTGTCCGTCACCTCCATGATGAACTCAGACTGGGAGTCAATCATGTGCTGCAGGATGGTCTCGTCCACGACAGCGCCGAGGTTGTCCGAGTTCGACACGAACAGGTATTCCTTGCCCTCGCTCAGCAGCTGGTCGAGGACGCCACTCTGGTAGAGCGCGTTGTACAGGTCACCGTGGCCGGGCGGGTACCACTTGCTCTTGTCGTCCTCTGCATTCTTGGGTGCAGGGGTCAAGTCCTCCTTGAGGATGCGCGGGTAGCGCGACTGGTTGAAGGTCGTGATGCGCAGCTGCTGGTTCGCGTACTTCTTGATGATGCGCAGGGTGTCCTCGTGCGTGTTGAAAGAGGTCATGAGGATAAGCGGCACGTCGACCTTGTTTGCCGTGTTCAAGTGCTCGATCTGGCGCACGGTCAGGTCGAGGAAGGTCATGTCGTCCTTGACCTCGAGCGCGGACTTGGCGCCCGTCATGCCCATTGACGTGCCGAGGCCGCCATTGACCTTGAGCACCGCGAGCTTGTTCATGTTCTTCGGGTCGGGGTTCGTCGGAAGCTGGTCGTAGGGCACGATCTGGTCCGCCCCGGGAGACCTAATATTGTCCCAGACGCTGAGTAGAGATGGCTTAAGCACCTCAGCGCGATCGCAGCAGGCGCGACTCACAGCTCCTTGCTCTCCGCTTTCTCCGCCAGATAGCGAGTGAAGAGATAGAAGAACGACTGCATTTCGGTGTCGAATAGCTGCCATCGGGCGGCCGTCAGTGTCAGAGGATGCGCTAGTCTCGGGATAGGCATACCTTCTTGGTCTTGGGGTCGGAAATGGAGCTCACGAGCCTGTTCAGCTCATTTCGCATGTTCTTCGTCGCAACACCGGTCGTTGCGGTCTTGAAGTGCTGTTTGCGGCGATGCAAGTGCCGTAGGATACGGAAGGATGTGGTTAGCGCAACCATCGCAACTGAGATAAGGGAAACACAGCGAACACTCCGAGAAGGCGAGTATATGGGGCTCGACGGTGTACCATGCTCCCGGCACGAGTGTCGCAGTGGTAAGGTTCGAGGACGCACGTACCATGGCGGACACGCCCCTTGTGCGAGGCGTCTTCTCGCCGCTGGGCGAGGGGGAGAGGCGGCTGTATCCGGACTGGCTGCTGGCGTTGCCGAGGGGGTTGAGGAAGCTTGCCATGCTGCAGACGAGGGAGAGGACGAGGACGTGTCGTGGCGCGGTGTCGTCGCTGGGCGGCCTGATACGACCGCTGTGCCTGCGTGTCGCATGGTGCGCGCGTGAGATCCCGTACGATCGCAATCGTGATCCAGGTGCCCTGTGTAGATCTATCGGGCATCCCCTGTACACTCGGAGGAGTGGCAGACTGGAGTCCCCAGGCTGCAAGCGCTCAAGGGGCAACGGCCACGTCCTACGCGCGAAGCGTCGTGCGCTCCCAAAGCAGCGTGCAGTCAACCGTGTGTCCTGCGAATGGTCCAGCAATGAAACGGAACGAGATCTGGCCTTCCAGACTCGCACCAGGCATCTCCGGGAGAACATGCTTCGGATCAGCTGTGCAATGACGACACCCTTCCGCGCTTGCAGAGGACAACTCTGGACAGCGACAAAGGAAAGACTGTGGCCACCTCACTGCAAGTGCCGCGCTTTCGTGACGACACGAGAAATGCTGTTGTACGTACGGTTAGGGCGACGGGCGCAGCGCCAGCGCCGAGGCACACCCTGTCTAGCCAGAAGGGGACGAGACGCCTTATAGTCGTCGTGACACGAAGGACGAACGTAGACGGAGGTGTGCAGATTGCATGCTATAATACGTCACAACGTTGTGAAGCGGAGTCGACTTTAATGATTGTCAGGAGGACAAATCGCCTGAACTCATGCAAGCATCCGTTCGGAGGCTATGCGGAGGGAATTATGGCAGTCAGACTTCAGTTGGATACTGCTAGTCAACGGTTGTCTCGTACCAGTCAACGGAAGACCAGTCCGCATCGCATTGTTCTAGTCGAAGTCCACGTTTGTGACTGATGGGTATACAGACGTTGGCCAAGGGACCGGACGCTGTGACCGCCGAAACCAGTTGGCAGCCTTTGTGCAGATCACTCCGAGCCGTTTCTGCGTTCATGCGCAATACGCGAGGGCAGCGTGATTCATGCGGGGAGTGATAAGCTCTATTCAAGCCAAAGAGCTCGAGAGCCTCTACATACTTATAGTAACAGACCTTTGACTCGCCTTCACATGGCTGACCCCGGAATGACCTCAGGCTTTCGAGGTGCTCCCTGGCAAGCCCGATCGAATAGAGAGCGATTGGAGGACTATGCAGAACGCAGAGAACAGCAGAAATGGAAAGACTAGTGCTATGACATTATATCGATCCAAGGAGACCGTCGTCGCAATGAAGGGCACAGTTGAGTAGAGAGTTAGCGTTGTCAGCCACCCTCGCGTCACCGAGGCATCGCCGAAGCCTTCCGCGCGGGTGGCTGAGGGTGGCTAGATTGTGGCTGAGCTTCATACTCCGACTGATGTGTGTAAACCTTATTTGAGAAACTGCAATCGCTCGCATCCACAGTTACCGCAAGCAGCGCCCGACCTCCCAACCCTCAAGCCTCAAGACATTCACCATGGGTAAGTGCTGCTCGTCTGGTTTATGCCGTTGTGGAGGACACATCTGACGGTCGCCCCTCTTCGCTTGTCTCAACTACCTCTCATTTGCCTCGCCGCCGACATTTTCGCAAATGCCATTCCCATCTGACCGGCGGTACGACGACCAGGTATCTCGCGTAGCTCGCGGCACAAACGCTCGGCGTCGGGTGCGCAACGCCCGGCGTACCGTAAGAAGAGAAAGTTCGAGCTCGGCCGCCAGCCCGCGATGACCAAGCTGGGCCCGAAGCGCATCCACACCGTGCGTGTGCGCGGCGGTAACCTCAAGTACCGTGCCCTCCGCCTCGACTCTGGCAACTTTGCATGGGGCTCTGAGCATGTCACGAGGAAGACGAGGATTATCGGTGTCGTGAGTGTCGTTATCTGCGTTCCGAGGCGGACCGGCTGGAGTGCCTGCCATTAAGCCGAGGAAGGGTTGATTGCGAGGGACTAATTGCGATTCATGAATAGGTGTACAACGCTTCGAACAACGAGCTTGTCCGGACAAACACGCTCGTGCAGAACGCTATCATCCAGATTGATGCGACGCCCTTCCGCCAGTGGTACGAGGCCCACGTACGTACAAGCATGGCTTTGCCGTATGTGCGCCTCTCACGTTGTACGTCACTTTCTAGTACGCGCAACCCGTGACGAAACGGGGCGCGAAGAAGGACGCCGCCACGGAGACGACTGAGGAGAAAAAGGTGTCCAACCACGCGCAGCGCAAGTACGAGGAGCGCAAGAAGGGTGAGCAGTGCTCCAATCTAGCACAAAATTTTGACTGACGGTGTCCCGTGGCGGGGTGCAGACGCGAAGGTTGACCCCCTGTTGGAGACGCAGTTTGCTGCTGGCCGGCTGTACGCGGCTATCAGCAGCAGGCCAGGCCAGTCCGGGCGGGCGGACGGCTACGTCCTCGAGGGCAAGGAACTGGAGGTGAGTGCATCGTGTGGTTCATGATTGCCTATTAGGGCGCTCTGGGGTTTGGTGCTGATGGGATCTGTGTGTAGTTCTACCTCCGGAAGCTTCGGTCGGGCAAGCAGAAGCACGCGCATGCGGCATGAGCTGGTGGTAGTGGCGTTGTGGCGGAGGTCCCTGCGGGCGTGGGTGGCGTCTGGCGGCGGGTGTATCGTAGAAAACTGCTATGTCTGTCCTATGCACCGCCTTTGATGATTTCTGTATGTCCGTACTGTATGCAATGCATGCCCCGCTGTCGGAACGATGCGCGGAGCAGGTGTGAGAGTGGAGACGACAGTGCCCCGAGGCCACTGGCAGCAGGCAAAGCGGTGGGTGATGTCAGCGCCTGCCACGGCCACAGGCGCCCGCACGCGACTGCCACAAGGCGTGCCGCTGGTCGCGTCTTGTCCGCGTCTTTCACCTGCTCTTCACCCGCCACCTGCCTCCCCCTCCCCCTCCCCGTCCCCCGCCTCCCCCGCCGAGCACCATGCCCCAGCCAAAGGCGGGCACCAGCTCGTCCTCGCGCCTCCAATGGCGCCCCACTAAGATCATGAACATGCGCGACCTCTCCCGGGACGACGACTTTCTCAGCCACCTCCTGGTCGAGAAACTCGGCACCGGCGCCGTCCCCCTCATCGTCCACAAGATGGACGCCAACCGCACCATCCCCAAGGCCGACCCCGACGATCTCCTCACCGTCGTCCGCCGTGTAAGCACGCCACTTCACGCTCCCGCGCCCCTGTCCGCGCCCGCACCAAGACGCGTCAGATTTAACGATGTTATCCGCAGCTCGTCACCGCGCGCGGCCCCCCACAGTCGGCGATTCGCGACGCTGTCGACGGACTCCTGACGTGCGTATGCCCGCCCCTGTTCGCCCCGTCATCACCGCTCACATGCGCAACCCACCCAGCCTCGACGCGGTCCGTTATTACCTAAAGGGCTGCGACCAAAAGCAGATTAACGCGTTCTCCACGTACGTCCCTCTCCCTCTCGTTTCTGCTCGCTCTAGGGGCACCCAGCCACCTGTCGCCAACGCGGCTCGAAGCCAACCGCGGGAGGTTCGGGAAAAAACGCGGAAGAGCTGGCAGCCGAGTTCGAACGTCCACGAGAAGCTACGGCGCCTGCTCGCCCCCCGCGCATCGCATTCCCCTTCTCAGCCGCAAACGCCGACTCGGCCGTGCTCAGAGTTCGGGGGCTGAACCGTGGCGCGACGCGTCTATATGCGCAAGCTCGAACGTGAACTCCCTGCAGCACTTTAGCGCCGCAAAGCATTTTGGCCGTTGCGTTTCGGAATCACCCCGGGCGGTTTCTTCTGTGATGCCATGATCCCAGAAGCGTCGTATTCGTGACCCGCGTCCAGGGGGGACATTGATTATGGCTCTGAGGGACCATATATGTACCTGGACGCGATTCTGGGTGGCGCTGGCATAGGGTATGGTCAGATCATGCGGACGCGCACTTCTCTCGGAAATCGCATATCTGGCCTAGCTACGCCGCGATGCTGCTAGTGGTGACCCTGACTCGCAATCTGGCCCTCCCAGGTCCATTATTCTCGCTCAGCAGCCGCAGATGACGGAACGCGCTGCCTCTGCCGCGCATGTACAGCGATCTGTCATCTGTGGCTGCGTCGCTGCTTTCCGTCACCGTGCTTTGATGACTGGAAGCAGCGACCAAATGCCAAGGGTGCCGAGATGCAATATGATCGGTATATGCCAGCTGATCTGCTGCTCGATTATACGGGATTCGATCCGCATCTACAAGCAGCCCAGCTCGTCGCGTTGCGAGTAACATCAATGGGGCCCCTTCTGTCCTCAATATTCGTGTTTGAAACTCGTTACTGATATACCAGCAGCCATGCATCCCGCTACTTCGAACTCTACCTTCCCTCCGGCTCCATTGAAATCGCACATACATCGCGGTACTCCCATAAGACGGGCAAGTCTGAGCTGTGCATCCTCGCCACACGACCACTCATGCCGGGCATGGTGGTCAGCGAGCTCAAGGGCTCGATGGCAGACCTAACCGAGGAGGAAGACAAGGAACTCAAGCGTATTGGAGAGGGCTCCGACGGCGTGGCTATCCGCCGCGATTTCAGCGTTATCCACTCGAAACAGCTCAAGAAGAACCACTTGTTCCTCGGGCCTGCGCGCTTTGTGAACGTGAGTCGCCCGCCCAGTCTGGCTTAATGCGCGCTAACTGTGAGCGACATCTGCAGCATGACTGCGACCACAACGTTGAGCTGTTCCGCGAGGGGCGCTACATCACGTTTCGCGTCATCAAGCCTATCGGTGTCGGAGAGGAAGTGACAGCGCATTATGGCGACGGGTATTGTGAGTGGTCTCGTTTCTGTTTACTACGCCCGATCAGCGTCTCTAACACGAAGACGTGTCCGTGACAGTCGGCAGGAAGAACAGACACTGCTTGTGCGAGACGTGCGAGAAGCATGGGCGCGGGGGGTACGCTCTACACTCGTCCGAGGACGAACTCTCCGACTCGGCGGCGGGCTCGCCGAAGCAACCCCGTGGGCGCCGCGTGAGCGAGTCGAGCGATTCGGAGGAGTCCGAGCATGAACAAGTCGACGTGAACGAACGGCGTACACGGAGAGGGGTGTATGCGGTCGTCAAGGAGAGTGAGAAGGGGAAAGAGAAGGAGGTGCCAGGACAAAGTGGCATCGAGCTTGAGGCCGAGGTGGAGCCGGACGTCGCGTCGGAGCTCACATCCCTTGGGTCATCGGGCGCGTCGCTGCCCGACCCTCTTTCTGCGGAAGCAGGGCCCTCGAAGGGCAATGGTCTGATGACACCGGACCCGGAGCCCGCCCCATTGACGGAATGGCTGGCTTCAACAGCCGCTGCGGAGATCCCGACAGAAGACGATGTGATCCCGCCGTCCACCCCGCTCACGGCTACAGCGTCGATCAGCGCTACGTCCACACCGACTTCGACGCCCTCGAGATTTCGCTCGGGCATCTCGACGCGCAGCCAGAAGGCGAGGGACGATGTATCGGCTTCAGAACCACCAGAAAGTATCAGCGCGTCGATGGGGCGAGGCCGAGGCCGCGGTCGCGGTAGGGGTGGGCGAGTATCTTCTGGACGTGGTGGTCGGGCACACGTCGAGGACAATAGTCAGCTCCCGACACCACCACCCACATCAGACTCGTCTGCACCCGCAAGCGTGCGGTCCTCCTCACGAATACGGAACAGCGCGGCGGGGGATCGGGACACCGCCCGTTCGCGCCTGCCCACGCCCCTCAAGGACAAGGCTGAAGGTACGACTTCTGCGTCTGCTTCAACGGCGGGTGACAAGGGCAAGGGTCGCGAGGACGTCGATCCGCACTCTGAGGCAAGGACACTCAGGCCACGGCATTTCCACCTTACGCTAGAGGCTCAGGGCAAGGCGAGGACTCCCGCGGAGGGACCGAGAGGCGTAGATGGAAAGCTGCTGCCGACCTGTGTGACGTGCCATAACGTGCTGCCTGTGATACATGTCGAGGGGAAGCCGGTTTGGGGCCTTGCGCTCGGGCGTACGGGAAAGCGGGGGAGACCACGCAAGAATGTGAATGTCGAATGCCCCAGGTACGTGTATTACTTGGAACCGACAATTGGAGATTAGATGCTAATTCTGAATCGTCGGCTAGGTGTATGCGCCACTACGAGATATACAACCTCAAGTGGCCGGAACGCCATGGCAGCACAGCGTTCCTCCCGACGCCCCGCGACACGCGTAACAGCACCCCGATCACGTCGGCTAACCTCGCACATCTCGAGCGCAAACTCAACTTTGCGACTCACGGGTACGCGGTGCCGAAGAGGCCGTATACCAAGCGCAAGCTCCCGGATGCAGAGGAGGACCCGCGCCCCGCGAAGAAGTTGAAAGTTGTCCCCGCGGCGACGAGCACTGGCAAGCCTCGCGGCCGCCCGCCGAAGAAGAACAAAGTGGGCATGTCGACCAAAGCGCAGCTCATTTTGAAGGTCAATGGCGGTGCGGCGAAAGCCACTGCCAAGACTGTTGCTCAGACGAAAGAGAAGGAGACAGAGAAAGCAACAGAGGAGGAGAGCAGTCGACGAAGCGGACGCAATCGCGTGCCCAGTCTGAAGCTCCGGGAGAGCGAGACACCCAATCACCCCAGGCTTTCTTCCAGGTCGAGGTCACGCCTTGCTCGGCCGGTCACGCCGCCCCTGTCTAGCCCGAGCACTGGCTCTGCACTCTCAGGTTCGGAGAGCGAGGCTCAGGCTCAGGCTCCTCAGACACCCGTTAAGAAACGGCCTGAGGATGCCGAGGTGGAGAGCCCGAAAGTACCGACGCCGAAGTCTTTGGCAGTTGCTGCACAGCCGAGGGAGCAGAATGGCAGGTTTGGTCGGAAGCATGGCAAGAAGTCCATGACATCCACTACCGATCTGAAGAAACGTACAAACAGGGTGCTCGGCACCTTGCGGACTAAGGCCGCCGCGAGCTCAGGCAGGAAGCACGACAGCGGCTGGGAGTCGGCCTCGGACGAGGATCCTCAACCATCAATGCTTCCTCAGGTCGATGCGGATGTACAGGCGGATGTCGCTGTAGAGGAGTCGGTCACCTTGAAGAGGTCGGCAGGGGAAATGGTGGTGGAGGAGGAAGAAGAGTCATCAGTCAAGAAAATCCGCATGGAGGAAGAGGAAGACGGGGACAGCGCGGACGCCAGCGACGAGGAGGAAACGACCCATTTCCGTCGGTCCCTTATGACCGGAGCTAAGCCCGGACTTGGTCTCCTGCGTGCGCCTAACCCTGTGACGTTCGCTCGTCGCAAATGGGCAACGGCCCACGCTGACCCTGTTTCTAGAGTCACGGACGGGTCGCATACAACAGATGAAGAAACGGACTTGCCTGTGACTCCAGAAACCGGCGGGGAGCCTACACCCACAGTCGTGGTGACCCATGTAGAGACAGACAGCGCAGAGGAGGACGCGGAGCCGCCGCCAATAATGGCACCGGCACCTTTCCTTGGGAAGTTGACTTTGAAGCCTTCGCCCATGAATCTATCGAGACGGCGCTGGGCGCCACCTCCACCTAGGTTTGCGACGGAGACGAAGGGAGCTGACTCGGTCGCCCAGAAGCAGCCTTCCGAGGACCAGCTGGATCCAAGTACGAGGTCCGACGGCTACTGGTCTGATGAGGAGGAATGGGGTTGGCCCTGGACCGAATCCGAGGACGACGGTGAAGAGGAGGAATCGTCCGTAGTGGAATACCGCGCACCCGCGGATCTCTCTGATACCAGTGCACCCCGCGCGCGTGCTAAAGGACTCGCCAGTGTCCACTCTTCTCCTGGATCCGAACGCTCCGTCGACAAGCTCACGAACGACCCGCCCTCTGACTCTTCCGCTGTCATGAGCAAGCCTCCAGCGATGAACTGGAAGCGAACTGTACTCCAAAGGCATTGATCTTCCTATGACAGCGTCGCACACACTACCGTGTTCGGGAGCAACAACAGAAGTGGACCTTTATAGCAACGACAGTGACTCGCACCCGAACGTGAACTCGCATTTCCGCACTCTGGCTCGTATGTATACTATATGCTATCGCGAACGGTACTCTTTCTTGCAATCCGCTGTGCTAGCTCGAACTGTGTTCTGCATGCTCTTCTTATTGCTCCTTATTCCCATATCCTACTTTATTGACGACGCAAAGCTGTACCTTACTGGTCGACGCTATGTCCGTTATTGTGTGTACGATACATACCTTGCCTTCTGTAATAGAGCGCAGACGTGTCGCTCGCCGTGGACATTATCGCGTGTATACCCCCATGAACGTCAGCATTAGCGAACAGGTTATTATGATACATGTGTTGATTCTACTGCTGTCCTTCTGGTTTCAGCGAACTACGCCCCGCGCGCAAGATTTCGTCCGTCGAGAGTAAGTTGACAGCGATGACGGAGCTATAATCATGATAACTCAGGGAGTTATTCTCGGCGACAAATTGTGCATGTACTTACCAAGAGTGCAGCATCTGCCGCTTGACCCGGTAGTTGTCCCAGATACCCTCGACGGTAGGATCGATCGGCTCGCCGGACTCCAGATCGAGACCGACGGCATTGCCTTCCGCTTGTTCCTCCTGGTTACAAGGGAAACCGTCAGTGTGTGTCTAATTGCGTAACGTTATTGAGCGCACCTGCAAGGCAACAACCACATCTTGTACATCGAAGCCACCATTCGCCGCGAGTGTCTTCGGAATGATGAGCAACGCCTCCGCAAACGCCTGCACGCCCATCTTCGTACGTCCCTTCGCAGCCTTCTTCACAGGACCCGTCAAGTGCGCCGCGCACGCGACCTCAAACGCGCCTGCACCCGGCACGAGCGCGCCATCCTCGATCGCGTTCTTGACCGCACGTAGCCCATCGCGGAGGGCGTCCTGCGTCTGCTGGATCGTGTGTGGGTTCGGGCCCTTGATGAGGAGCGTGACGGACTTGGGTTCCTTGACATCCTCGACAAAGGTGAACTTATCCTCGCCGAGGGTGTGCTCGTAGACGAGGCCGGCCCAGCCGAGGACGTCGGGTGTGAGGTCGTCCACGGAGTTCTGCGCGACGCCGCCGCAGACGAGTTGTAGGCTGGAGATAATTTTGAGTTGTGATCTAGCAGTAAAACGTAGTGGCAATGCCTACCGCTCCATGTTGCGCCGCTTGGCGCGCCGGAGAGCGAAGATACCATTCTTTGCCAAAATATCGAGACTGAGGGGATCAATACCCTTTTGGTTGATGATGACGAAATTCTTCTTTTTCTCATTGGAATCGACGGCCTGGTCACACACGAGATTCTTCAGCTCGACGATCTTCTTGCATTTTGCATCTGTGAACCGTCGCTCTGACTCGACAAGCTTTTCTCGCTGCTCTGCAGAGGAGTAGAAGAAGCCAGAGTTCACCTCGCTAAAGGGAGATGAGCGAAGGCGAGCGGAAGACACAGAGCGGAGACGTACGTCTTTTCGTATTCCAGGCTGACGTTGAGCGTGAGGATGTACGCGTTCTCGACGCGCTTGGGCATGTCTGGGTGACGTGCACCGTGATCAAGAACCAAGCCACGGACAAGCTGCGTCTCCGATGCTGTTCTGTGCTGCATCTTCATGATCTCCACCATGTGCAAGTCGATGGGCTCCTGGAATTGGTTGGGAGAGTCTGATGCAGGTGAGAACAACGAGTCGCCACAAACGAATGATCTGACGTACCCGATGATGGAGCTGGCGGGCGGATCGTCAAGACTGCATCTACAATTGCTGCTGCGAGAGTTTTCGCGAGAGCAGAGTTAACCTTGGTCGCAAGAGAGGTGTGGGCTACGTTGATCAGGGTTGCACGATCCGCTTGTGAAGGTCGCTTGAACGTCTCCAGGAACTGTAGTGCATAATGAGAGAAGTCATACAATCGAAGGAGATGCTGTACACGTACCGCAAGAGCTTCCTTCTTCGCCAAGTCAAAACCCTCTGCGATGACAGTTGGATGTACACCCTCCGAGATAAACCGGTCTGCCTGTTTAAGCAACTCTCCGACAAGGAGCACAACTGATGTGGTTCCATCGCCGACTTGGTCATCCTGGGCGACGGCCGTCCGCGCGATCATAGCAGCCGTAGGATTTTGAATCTGCATCTCGGAGAGAAGAACCTTTCCGTCCTTCGTCATCTTAATCTGGCCCGAGCCATCCACAAGCATCTTCAGGGTACCACGAGGACCTACAAGCGGGCTTGTGCCTCAGCATGTCGCGAACACAGAGCGCATGAAAGCACATACCAAGATTGCCTTTCACGACGCTCGCGAGACCCATCGCGCCGGTCGTGTTGACCTGCAACGCTGCGGCTCTCCGGACACTCTCCGCCTTCGGATTGATGAGCTCGATGCTGGACGACATGGCGCCGACGAGTTTTCAGGACGAGAGGGGAGACTTTGAGCAGATCGCGTCCACTCCGTCTGCACATGCCTTGACCTGTTACGTAATTCACCTCATTTGGGCGACGCGTTCTGCGACGCGCCCTCGACGCGATCGAACTCGCATGCGGCCACCGTGCCGCTCTCTCCCCTCCATGTCCCTCCCGTAATATACCTGTCCACCTCTCTCGCAGTCGAACGCTCTACTTTTGACTGCTTAGGACTCCATTGACGACCTGAGGCGAGGATACAGCTCCATTCAGGCCACTCTACAGGAATTGCTCGCGGCGAGAGTGCAGGGAGCCACACCTTAAGGACAAAGGTTGCGAGGGGTCCATAACTGGTATGTTCTAGTACCATAAATTAAGACCTTTGTATAACGCTGCATAGCGCTACGATGGAACGCTCGGAGCCAGTCCTCATCGAGCTCAACACGCGCGCGATGACCTCGGCCCTTCACTACTACTCGCGAATCAATACTGCGAAATCAGAACAGGCTTCCGAAGAGTCCAACCTGCTGAATTCTATTCGACAAAGCCTGCGTGGAAGCCGCTCTACCTCTGACACTTTCATCAATATTGCCCGATATCCTGCTGTAGAAGATGGACCTGTCCCACGCACCTTGTTATACAACGAGCCCTACGGCGAGGAAGAGCTCAGCTGGGACACGTATACCGTATCATGGACCATCGGCGGCATCATGCGCAAGAGGTGGAACTTTTGCGAGGACGACCAGCCGGTTCAGTGGGCCTGTATAGGCTGGTTCGACCAACCCGGTGCGATCGTGTCCGCTTCGTCACTGCGTCCCGCGCACTACGCGTATGACTACCATGACCAGACCACACCCATTGCGGAGGCATCTGAACGGGAGACCTTCGGACCCTTTGCGCGTGCTCAGCAAGACCACAAACGCGAACAGGAGCCAGGTTCACGGGCCCGTGCGATATTCATCTTCCTGCGAAGCATCGGTAGGGTGTTCCTCATGAACGGGATGGAATATACCTTCCACATTCCGTTCATCGTCCGGCGAGCGTGGCCTCTTAGTCCGCACGGCGTAATGATGCAGCGCCAAATGGATCCTAACGAGCTGGAGGAGGCGAAGTTATCTGGCGAACCTGCGCTGGCAACCATATTTGCCTTCACAAACCCTTACGCCGAACCGGCACCTATAGGTCTTACCGACAAGATTCTGGGAGGCTTCAACAACATACCTCCAACGCTGAAAGACGACGACCCACATAAGGCCATAGTCACCATCCCTGCTGAGGAGCAAGTCGTATTTGTGTCGCAGCGCACGACCCATACCGCAGACCAAATCGCTATCACCGTTGACGCGGCCAAGAAGACGGTGACCATCTGGCGTTACGCGTTCATCAAGCCCAAAAACATACCTTCGAGGCCTCTCCGTCCACGACCCTCCAAAGCACAAAATCGTCGGTCTTCTGCCAACCTCACACCGAGCCGGCGACACACAGTTGACTCGGGTGACCGTCTCCCTCGCGTGGCGGCGGACGCCCCGGCTTTCAACGCCATCCATATACCACAGCCAACACTAGCGAACCAGACACCCATGGAAGCGATGGTTGGTGCCGGTGCTGGCGCATCGGTGGATGCTTTGTGGAGCTCGCAACCGGGTCGTGGCAAGCATGAGAGGCATGAGTCGCTCGGGCGCCATGACCTAAGTCAGACACTGGACCGTATGGCTTTGGGTGGCGGTGGCGGCGGTGGCGCGGCGGCAGCGGATAGAGGTATCGAGAGTGTAGACGCAGCGAGAATGCAAGCTGCTTTCTGGATGGAACGGTTGGCTACTGCCGAAATCCCACAGGAAGAGTGAGGTTCTGTCTTTTCAACAGCTTATCGCCGTTAACCGAGAAATCTCCTAGCACGCTCGCACCCAGAGGCATCACCTGTGGCCTGTTCGATCAACGCTTCGACGGCAACGAGTACCGAGCAATGCTCGCCATCTGCCTGGTCACGACCCGAAACCTGCTCATCTACAAGATCTCCAAGGAAGACAACGCCTACGTGGCGCAGCCCGAGAAACACCTCTCCGCATTTTGTGTGACAGCCATCCGCGGCACGCGCGACGTCATCCGCGACCTGCTTGTTGTCAAGACCGACGGCTCCCTTTGCCTCCTCACCTACGGGCTGAACGAGATCCCGCTCGAGCTCGTCCGGCCGTGGAAAGAAGGTGACGCAGTCGTCATGGACGTTGACGGCGTCGCCCAGCCGCCCTCACCCTATGTCCCCGCGGGCAAGCAGGTCTTGTCTGCCTCGTCTGGCATCGACTCGCAAGTGAATTTGATGTTCCCGGACAGGACCCAGGTCCGGGCGACGATCGACCTAGTCCCCAAGGACCACTTGACGCGGCAGACCATGCTGATGCTCGCCCTTGTTCTGCCGATCGATGACTACTTCGAGCTTCACCGCAGTTTCCTTGTGAAGTGGTCGAACAAGGGTTTAGCTTCGACGGAAGATGTGCCGTTCAAGATGTTGGTGGAGGCGCTGTACGAGACGTTAGGGGTCGCGAAGGACGAACCTCCCGTTCCGGCGACATCTCACGACGGTAGCGACGCGTGGCATGCTATGGCGCTGATGGGATCCGCAACGAGGTTCCGTGAAGACCCCGTCATGAAGAAGCTCCGGCAGCCTATGCGTCCTACTGCGAAACCTCCTCCGCAGAAGCCAGCGCAGGGACGGAAGCCTAACTCCCTCCTCGCTCCGATACTCCTCGGGCTGCATCATATTGCGGAGGACATGCGCTTCGTGGTGTTCCGATACAGAGATCTGCTCACTGTCGTACCTGTGCTGTGCAAGATCGCCCTAGTCATTCGACCTGAGTGGGCAGACTATTGGAAGCGGCTTTGTCCAGACGCATTGCCATCTTGGCCTTCACCCGCGCAGACGAGTACGTTCATTCTCACCTCACGGAAACTGCCATTGATCACGAAATTCTGTCTCAGTCGTGGAAAACGTCGACGATCGCCTACCCGTCTGGCCGCCCGACATGTCCGCCATATTATATGGTCGAGTCAACAACCCTGATTGGGCCCTTCCCCCGCTGGACAGCAAGACGCTCGCAGCTGGCTTCAAGATCGCCCCATCTTTCGCCTACGGCAACGGGGAGCCGCTGATCTACCTTCGGCAACTCACCGAGATCTATATGCCCCTCGCAGACAACAAGGTCCTCGAGACTAGAAAGCGGGCGGACAATGCGCTGCAGGCGATGGTGAATGTCTCTATCAACGGACACCTCATTAAGTGCATGGCGTTGGGTATTGCCGCTCCACTAAGAGAGGCATGTCGGACGTGCCAGCTATCCCCGAGTGGCGAATGGTCCATTCCTGCGTATTCTTTGATTGGTAGGGAAGACCTTGCTGAGGTGATGAATGCGTCGACGGAGCCGCCCTACACTCGAGGATACCGTCCCATCAAGGAATTCATCGTGAGTGGTCAGGCTCGTTCTCTAGACGTCTCACTGACGATCGTAGACACCGAGCGTGCCTCGCAGGACAATTCGCGAACACGTAGTGAGAACTGTCAGATCCATCACCGGCGAATTCGCTGTGGTCACCGGGGTGGAAATGGACTTGTTTGACTTCACTCAGATTCGCTTCGGGCAAGACAAGCGTTTGGAAGAGGTGGCGCGCATGTTGTGTTCGTCACTCATTCCGACTGTCCGAGCACTTGAGCGGCCGGAACTGAGGTGTGTCTAAGACTATCTCTTCGACCGTAACATTAAACGTATCTGCCTGGCAGTGAACACGACCAAGCCAAGGAGCGTCAACATCAAGTCATCCGACTGGCTGAAAGAACCCTCGCTCTGCCTTTGGGTCGAGCACTCTTCACTTTCGGCTCCGCTCCGACACTCACCCGTGAAGCATACGGCATCCCGAAGATCGAGTTCACTGTTCGACTTTCGCCCATGAACACGCTGCTTGCACCTGAGATCGGGAAGATACCGATAGAGTGCACGAACTGGGGTGAGTTCCACAACGGAATAGCCGCAGGACTGCGGATCTCTTCGCAAGCGAGTACGGTGGAGAGCACTTGGATCAAGTTCAACAAACCCGCTGAACTGACCCCCGAGCACGCGGGGTTCTTGTATGCGTTAGGACTCACCGGTCACCTACGAGAGATGTTGACGTGGCACACCTTCGGCTACCTTACCCCGAAACACGACATGACGTCCATCGGTGTACTCTTGGGGCTCTCGGCCGCCAACATTGGAACTAGCAACCGACACGTCACTAAGCTCCTCGCTGTGCATACTCCGGCTCTACTGCCCACGCCAACCGTTGACCTCAACGTTCCGCTGATCACTCAGACAGCAGGCTTGATGGGCATCGGGCTTCTCTATATGGGTTCGAAGAACAGGCGTATGGCGGAGGTCTGTCTGGCCCAGATCAGTCGTAAGGACCTGTACCAGCCGGACCTCAGCAACGAGTACCGAGAAGCATACACACTGTCAGCTGCCATTGCTTGTGGCATGGTCATGCTCGGCAAAGGCAGTGCGATTCCAGCCGACTTGACAATCCTCGAGCGTCTCCGCGTCCTCGTTCATGGGGAGGGCCGCACCTTGGTGGACGGGAGACCTACGCGTCCAACATTCGACGTCAACCTCACTTCCCCCGCAGCGACACTTACTCTTGGTTTGATGTACCTCCGGACGGAGCGACAAGACGCAGCTGATATCCTCGTTATACCCGACACGCTCGTCACTCTCAACAATATACAGCCGAGCTTCCTCATGTCAAGGGCAATGGCGCGGTCCATCATCATGTGGGACAAGATATCTCCAACAAGGGAGTGGTTCGCGAGTAACATTCCAGCAGGCATTCAAGCAGCGGTGGACGCTCGCATGAAAGGGAAGCCCGAGGACGACGCGTACGAGCTAGCGTACTACAACATCCTCGCAGGCCTCTGCTTCGCGCTTGGCTTGAAATACGCTGGGACAGCCCGGGAGGAGGCGTACCTCATGATCATCAGCTACTACGACATGTTCAGCCAAATTGCGTATACCAACAGTAAGTTCGCTTCTTGCCTTTCCTTTGCTTCATACGAGTCATGCCGCAGGATTAGGTCCGGCCTACGATCACAGAATCAAGCGCTCCGCGATCAGGGAAGGCCTCAATGCCATCTCATTGGCCCTGAACATGGTCATGGCTGGTACGGGCGAGATCAACTGCCTACGCAGGCTTCGGTACGCATACGGCATGTACAACCAGCCAATCCGGTATGGTGCACATGTCGCTACGCACATGTCTCTGGGTCTCCTATTCCTCGGAGGCGGTCGCTTCACATTGGGCACGTCAGATGCTGCAGTGGCATGCATGGTTGCGGCGTTCTTCCCTCGTTTCCCCCATGTATCGTCGGACAACAAGAACTATCTTCAAGCCTTCAGACACCTATGGGTACTTGCGACCGAACCGAGATGTCTCGTCGCGCGTGATGTCGATACGAAAGAGGTCGTCTACCTGCCTGTCAAGCTCAAGGTGAAGGAGGGCAACGAAGTCGGGACAACGCAGATGATCGCGCCGACTCTCATTCCCGATCTCGACAAGTTGCAGTCCATACGGGTCGACACGCCTAGGTATTGGCCATTCTACCTCGACATTGCGCACTTCCCCAAGCATAAGGAGACCCTCCTACGTAGCCAGACCCTGTACGTTAAGCGACGAACAGCCTTCCTGAACTACAGGGAGGATCCGAAGGGGAGCCGGAGTCTGTTCGTTCGCTCTGGGTCCTCTACCGGAGATGCGGCGACTCTGGAGTTCCCACAGCTTACGAACTTCAAGACGCATCCAGCAGGCGACTTGCACCAATTCATCTCGTCGTACTCGAACGATGTCCTTTTCCTCGCATTCGCCGACCAGTTCTGCCGTGACGACGGAGAAACCGACGCTGAGAAGCTCCTGCAGGCGTACTGCCATGCAAGCCTGTTCGACAGCATCTTGCAAGACAAGTCGCAGATGATTCAGGCGCATCTCACGCTCTACCAGCTCCGACACCTATCACCCGACTCTCAGTACTTCAACCTCCGGATGCAAGACCTGCGTCTGGCCACAGATTTCTACAACAGAGTCTACGACCGCCGGTTCAGCGGCCGCTCCGAAAACAACCCCAGACCGCCGCTCATCCGCGAGTCGACACTCTCCGGCGCTCTCCTGGCACTCGATCGTCAACTGGACGAAGTCCGCTCCGACGAGAAGTTCCTGGCTATGCTCGGCATGTATGCGCGGGGCGAGGTCCTCCCCAACTTCCCCGTGGGGACCGCAGGATGGACGCTCTCTCGGAGACTGGCGTGGTACTTGCAACGTAACAGCGCACCTGCGTCTACGTTGCTCATGCTGCTGAAGCGACTGGCGGATCATGCGCATGAGCAGTGCTTGGGAGCGCCTCCGCCGGAGGGCACGGACAACGGCGTACTGCTGGACCAGGGCATCAAGGAGGTCCTGCATGCGACGGGCACGCAGTTGACTACTGCGCTGGGATCGGCCTGGTCGATACGGTCGTTGGATGAGATATTACTAGCGTGGAACAGGCCTGCGACTGCATTCCATAGTGTTGGCGGCTGAGATACCTTCATTCGTAGAATCGTCGTCCATGGGGACAATTGGATGATTTCCGGCAATGTTGTAGCCATAAGAATTGTATTTCTGTATTGTATTGATGGAATGCGATTTTGACCAGCCCTCGGTATGCGTAGGCGTTGGTGGGAAGATGACGCAAGTCATCGGATAACTTGCAATTGGGCACAGATTACAGGTGACTCAAGAAATACCTTCTGTGGTAACGGTTACTCGAGGATCTTCTTCTGTACGAGGGGATATGTTGGCAACCTGGTCCAGTTGACACGGCAGAGTGGAGCTTGGCCGAGCGGATCTGTCCTGAATGTATTTCGCATACGAATCCGTATGCCAAAATTCAACGAGCCACCCAGCGCTACCCCAGCCGCGTCTTCTTCCTCGCATGCCCACTCCCCACGCCCGCCGCTCCACCGCTCAAGCTCGCAAAGCTCGCTGCACCCGCGCTGCCTGCCTTGCCCGACTGCGGGTGGGTCGAGAGTTGCTGCGAGAGATGCGCCGCCTGTGCTTGAGCTGCGAGCTGCTGTGCTTGCGAGTTCGCCGTAGGAAGGGGGATCATCGACGGGGCGTCGTCGTGTGTGATACGCCGCTGGGGGTATCCTTGAGTCGTCGCGAGGGAGGCAAAGGCGCTGCAGAGGTGATGATGAGAGTCGCGGGTAGGAGGACGAGGGAATGACTTACTTAAGTGTTGGTTTGGGCTCCTCCTGGAACCACTTGTGTTGGAGTCCTTCCTTGGCTGTGAGTCGGTTGTCGGGGTCGTAGGCGAAGAGTTGGCGGAGGAGCTCGAAGCCCTCTTTGGAGTTGATGCGCGATTGGCACCATTCGCCGAGACGATTACGGTACCTGCGCGCATGAAATGAGTCTCGGGTTGAACGATCAGTGCTCAACGGTGTAGATTACTCACGCGTCTAGACGTTTTAGACTTTGGTACTCGGGCAGGTCCTTCAGGCCGACCCAGTCCCTTTCTGCGAAACCAAGCGTATCATGAGAATCGTCAGCGTGATCCAAAACGAAGCCACCAACCATCTGGAGTGCCTAGTACCTCGATTATCTTCAGCATTTGGTCCTTCTGGAAAGGCACATTCTTCTTCGCGTCCAGCTTCGCCTCCTCGCCCTTGAAGATCGGTCTTAGGCTCACAAGCTCCGCCATAACGCACCCGACTGCCCAGACATCGACCGCCTTGTTGTAGTGCTTCGCGCCGAGGAGGAGTTCGGGCGCGCGATACCAGATGGTGACGACGACCTTGTCACCCATGAAGAGCGGCTGTAGCGGCTGGTACGTGAGGCGGGCGAGCCCGAGGTCGCCGATCTTGACGACCCCACCGGCGGTGATGAGAATGTTGGCGGGCTTGAGGTCGCGGTGGATGATGTGTGCGTCGTGCAGGTAGAGCAGTCCGTTGAGAAGTTGGTAGGTGAGTGACTTGAGGACGGGCATGGGTACGGCGGTACGGGACTGAGAGTGGTGGTGGATGACTTGCTGGGAAATGGAATAGCATCCATGAATCCCTTAGCTTTCCATAGAGCAGAGGTTTAAGAGTCCCAGGACTCACCAGAAAGTCATGCTCTGCATACTCAAAGACCATGTAGATCGACTTGTCCTCCAAGATAACCTCTTTGAGGGCGACCACATTCTCATGAGATATCTCCCTGTTCAGCTAGTACGCCACTCGTTAGAGTAGGTTCACCACCGACAGCAACTCCTAGACCTACCGCGATCTCTCTGATAGCACTCTGGCTGATCCCCGTATACGTGACCACATCGCCCTCCTTGTCCGGCTTGAACTTCTTGATAGCGTGTATCCGGCCGTCGCTCTCCTTGCTTTGCGCCTTATACACACGCCCGTACGTGCCCGACGAGATGAAGCCCTGGATGGTGTACTTGTCCGTGACCCGCCTGCGCGCCGCGTCGCGCTTCGCGCGGTACATCCGCATCGGGTCGTTCAGTAAGATATTGGAGGACCATTCTTCGTGCATTTATTGATGTCTTGGGTTTACAGAGGCAGGGAAAGGCTCGCGCCGCTGCATAGTGCGTGTGGTACTCAGGAGGCTGAGACCAGCGGCCCCGCCACTGCGCCAGTGCCTACCGCGATCGTCTGTGGCGCACGATATCATGTACATGTTGGTGAGTACTACTATGATACTTTCATTGCCTCGCATCCCATGCATCACAAATTGAAACTAGAGGCTCTACTAGAGGGCACGAGCTGTAAAGCCCGCCACGAGAAAACATCAATGATAACTTACATAACCAAGTTTCAGAAGTCCACCGCCAATGAGTGTCGTCACGGTCACGGTTGTGTACACATACGCGTCTCTTTCTCTCTCAACGTTGAACGGCATATACTCTGTACACAAGTCCGACGCTTACAAGGGCTCGTCTGTACTAGCAAGCATGACGGCGATATCCCTCGAACTCGAACCTGACTCTCTCTATATCTGCCTCACCCAACTTCTTGTCCCCGGTTTCCACTGGGGCCTCTACTTCACCGACAATCGCGGGGTTGCCACTTGCCACGAGTGGGCCGAAGTCCAAGGCCGCCGTGATCTCACACAACCCGTGGAGGCATACCAAGTGGCACTCATCCACCCCGTCACAGTCAACGACGCCCAGAACAGACTGAACCTCGCGTTCGTCAAGGTCCTCGGCTATTCGCCGCCCTCCTCGCAGTACGACCTGCAGGCGCGCTTTGCCGCCATTGAGCCCAGTGGCGGTTACAGCGACGTCCGCCGGAACCGGAAGAGCGGCCTCAGCTGCAGGACGTGGCTCATGCGTGCGCTCGGACTCCTCCAGGAGGATGGAGTCATTCGACGGGACACGCCGGTGTCGAACATCGAAGGCGCGGTGAAGGAGATCGGCACAGAAGTGGAGAAACGCCTTGGCGAAGGGGAGGATCTGGACACGCAGATCAGGACTGTTTGATTCCGAGATGAACTCGCATTTGCATATTGGCGACAGAGGTCACTAAATCGACCGTCGATGTATGCAATGTCTGCTTTGAATTCTGAGGGAGACCCTGGGGAGACCGATCTCAGCCGAGAACACTTGGCTCGCAGAGCACGATGTTGGTGTCACACCCCTCAATGTTGGTGAGCAGACACAAGAGCCGTGTTCAATAACGCATTTCATCAAGTAAATCGCAGCGATGCTCAGTCTCTGTTGCCGACCATGAAAGAACGACAAGCGATTACACGGCGCTTTTCGTCCAATCGTTTCCCGCCGTGGTTCCCAATGTAGGATGGTCCTTTTGCCGAAGCGCGAGGGCTGGTGCAATATTCCTTGACATCGCCATCGCCGACGTGTGTACTCTTGTCGCCACACATTCACATGCCAACCGGGGACCCACAGCAGCCTTCCGCTTTGAACATGTCAGAGCTCCCAGACAGTGACCTAGAGTCAGCGAACTACCAACATGCCCAGGTACTAAGCTGATACGCACCCGACAGTGAGCTGTGGGTTTCACGTCTTCCACTGCCTGTAACGTGAAGACTCGGAGCTTCACTCTTCCGCGGCCCAAGGCCGATACTCAGTTCAAGTTCGCAATGAAACACGAGCCTAAGGCGTTCAGAACGTACGACGTCAGCGTACCGTGACCGCCATCGGCGCATCAGCATTGCATGAAGGAGGCTGCACCTTTGCGGCACTGGTTCGCGAGATCAACCTGCGTAAAGGTGAATGAGAACGCAACTCTTCCAGTTCCCGGCCTCCTGCGACCGTGACGCAACGGGTTACAACTGCAGAAAGGGTGACCCCCAAGCCAGGCAGATGTCAGCTTTGCACACCTGGCACTCGACGGTCGAGTGCCAAATGTGTAAAGCTGATGTCTACATCCTGGGGATCAACCGCTTCCTACATAACTGAACAAGCTTATGATCAGGTCAAATGTTACAAGGCCCAGAAACACGGTGAGCGTACCTTGGCATGCCGTGACTTCGCCGTCCCCCCTGACGTATCAAGTTCCTGCGGGGTCGATAGACCATTACGGTTAGGATGAGTAGAGATGGTTTTGATTGGCTACATAAACAGCTCGCGATTAATGAGGATACCGACAGCTTCAGGACGACCATTAGAAGCTCACCTTGGTTAGATCTGCCTTGAATGGGCTATTTCCAAGGACCCGGCCTGAAGTGTTGACTCGAGTAGAGCAACGGACCGCCGCGGTGGGAGGACATGAGCACTGGCACCGGCATCCGATTGACTTACTGCGTGCTTGGGATCGTCAGACAGACGATCCGACGGCGCGATGGTCGGTTGGAAGCCATACCGGTAGTCCAGTCGGCCGCCGTATATGGCCATGGGCAACGAGCATCGTCCAGTCAGCCTGAGGGAACGCGAGGGTGTCCGGACTGCGTTTGCGTCGAGAAGTTGCGAATCAACGGGTTGAATATTGGATGTCCACGCCGCCACCTCTACGTTCGCGGTAGCCGAAGTTCAAACGTTCAAACCCGAGCCGGCTCGAAAGGCCAGGGAGATAGACAAGAGATAGAAGTCATGGAATTCTGTAGATGCGAGCTCCATCAGCGGGTAGGATAGTGTCAGCGTGGATACCTGCATTCGTGCGCTCGACTCGGACTTGTCGACGACGCAAAAACATGAGGATGAGGTATGCCACAGATAGATGGTTTTCTGGTCGTCCGTCGAAGGGGGATAGAGTGTGACAGTCGGGATGACGAACGGCGCATCCTGGACACTGAGATACGGCGGGGTGACGCTGAGGCGACGGCAGAGAGGAGGGAGATTCCGTAAATGGCGACATGGGGTATGCACACTGCTTGGGTCATCCGTCAGTGCACGCGAGGCTACTTATATACCCCTCCGGGCAAGTCATGTCGGCTGCGTGCGGAAGCCGGCGCATAATGGAGTCGTTCGAGATTGCCACTGCTGAGAATGCAAAGTATACTGAGCAAACAAAAGCGCATCTGAACATAATGGACATCCGGGACCGCAACCCGCGACTTTTGTCTTTGAAAATTGGCAGGACTGGTGCTGGCAGACACCAATCTGATCTAGGCCACAAACGCCGACCAACGATAAAATGACCATCTCATTTGATTGGTGAAGGTCAATCCTGAAGAACAGGTAGATCGAGTCGTAATCAGAAGGTACCCAACCGTCCGTGTGTGCGCGCCGAATTTGGTCCCCCAATCGAGGAACGACAAAGGACGACGAGTTGGAGGGCACCAGACCAACACCAGACTCACGGTAGCCTTGCAACATCACTGCAAGGAACATACCGGGTCGCGGCTTCAACCCTTCGCGCAGCGGTTCCCGAACGAAGCTCACCTTGTCCCTGCGAGCGAATGAAGGGTAATCAAGCCATCGCACCGCACACGCTGCCCGCACCTCAAAATGACCCATGAACGCCTTGCATTGTTGGATACTAATCTTCCTGAGGGAGCCTAGTCGCCTCCACCATCGCCTTCCGCCTCCCGCCCAACATCAGATCGACATAATCCGCGCCTCCGAGGACAGGGCCCTCCGCGTCCTTGCGCCGCTTCCCCGCCTTCGCCTTCAGGCCGACCCGCTTCTTCTGCTCCTGAGGTGTCAGCGCCGATGCAGCAGACTTGGGTGGTGGGTGAGAGATGGTGGTGGCCGTACCGCCGCTGGTGGGTTTCTTTGGCTGATCGGGGTGTGGGTAGTTAGTTGTTTGCCTACAGTAGAATGAAAACTGAGAAAACGAACCGGCTTCTTGTGGAACTTTGCGCTGCGCCCCATACTGGTCAATTGAAGTGAGGCGGTTACGTGAAGGTCATAGTCGTAGTGAACGTTGCTTAGGCACGGAAGCCAACAGCAGAAGCTGGAGACCGTCCGAAAGAAGGACGACCCCGCCGAGAAGTTTAGATCACACACCGACTACCCTAAAAGGCAAGTGTAGTGGTTGCAGTTGTTAGCCTCGGAGTCAACTCGGAGTCGCTAGCCTTTTCTTTCTCTTCTAGTGACTACATCAACGGCGTATGTCCTATAAACCAGCACGCCGAATCGCACGAAATATCAGCACATGTACTAAAATGCAGCTCAATCATCGCAGTACAAATCGTTGCTTTCTTTTCGTTGTGCCCTCGGATCTGATGGCTCAAGCAAGTCAACTATACACCGATATGACTGGGACTGTTGATAAACCTCTATACAAGACATAAATTCAGACATGTTATATACTGGTGATACAAGAATGTCCCGGTCACGCAGTGGTAGCACATCGTCGTAATCGTACGAAGAGCTTTGTGGATGGCGAGAGCATCAACCATTCTTCTTCTCAGCCGAGGCCCGCTCGCGCAAAGTTATTGCTTTGTTCCAGAGCTGAAGATCGAGGTGCGGCGCCTCTCTGACCGACAAGGCACGCAAAACCAGCTGGAGGTCAACTTCGACCGGGCGGGCATGTAATGGCAACACAACAGGCGGGTACGGTTGCTAGACAGATATGTGAGATGAGTGAAGAGGTCTACGACGCATCCAAACATACCTCTACTTCATCGAGTGAACCGATGACAATCAAGATGGTGTTGCTCTCTTTGAGCCATGGGGTCGGTTTGAACGGATCAAGGCACAGCGTAAGGTCAACCAAGACCGCGCTTGCTCCATCGGCAAGGAGCATTACGGCCGTGTCACGATCATACACAAGTAGTCTATGTAGACATATCAATTGAATGTAGTAGTGGACCCAATGGTGACTGTACAAACCGTCCAGCGACTCTAAGTTTCTGAGAGACATGTTCAGGAATGATTGAAGAAATTCCGCAGAGCGTAGCGGTGTCGATCGGTTGCTTGGAATGTGCAGGCATCGCATGTCACTGTATGTCGTATTCGCGAATCCGTTTGACAGCAAGGCAGCCGATGTTGTGTTTATATTGACATGGATGGGTTTGGCGGCACAAGTGCAGGTGGCTATCAACCAGCGAGCGAAGTTCGATCTGCGGCATCTATGGGCGTCTATCGGCCGTTCCGCTGCTGTCGATCGTCTCTGGATCGTCTCCAGTTGGTCTCCAGTGCGAACGGGCTCCTGATTACCATCCCTCAAGTACTGTCTTCTGCCCTCCAGTGCGTCGAAGGCTCGCCGACAAGTGACCGCACCACACAAACCACCAAGACTTCAGCACACTTGCTTCCGTCGGCCGATCTTTCGAACGGCCGCCGTCGTATCCGCACCGTGCGCTGACAAATCGCCCACTCTGGATAGGGAGAACGAGAATACCCCCTCGAGATCGTCCACGACTTGCCTCACAACCTCGACATATCCCTTTGCTCTGAGGGCCCAATATGATCAAGGAACGTAGCAAGCGGCCCCTGTCCCCCGCCCCGCTACCTCCTCCGAAGCGCCTGCATTCGCCTGGAGGATCCAACCACACTCATAAGACCCAATCTACCTTCGACAACCTACTCTACGACGAGCTCATCCTTGTCATCTTCTCCTGTCTCTCATGGACCGACCTATGCGCTGTCCAGCGCACGAACAGGAACTGGGCAAGACTCGCGCTCGATAACCAGGTACATACCAACCCTAGCACTACGTCGATCTCGTTGTCGTTGAACATCTAGCAATAGCTGTGGAAGAATATGTACCTGAGTGAGTACAGCCGACCTAGACTCCGCGGAGTGAGAGGCTTTATTGGCCGAGCGGATGGGAGGGAGGTCAGGCCGCTGCCGGGACGAGCCAAGTCGGAGGACGTGAAGGATTGGAAGTGGATGTTCCGCATAAGCTCCAACTGGCGAAAGGGTGCGTACTCGCTTTCGTCGAATCTGGTTACAGCTAATGTATCATACATTACCCAGGCCGCTGCTCCGTCGAGAACCTACATACTGGTCTCGACTACTCAAGGCTCCGAATGCCTTCGACCCCTCGCCAAGCTGAAACCCTACCCGACGAACAGACTTTCCTGCTGCTGGCAGGCAACATGACCATTTCTGCATCATCTCGCCCGTCAACTGTGCCCCGGATATCACTCGCATCTCCTGGGCACAAGACACATACGCTGCGTTCTCCCTCCAGCCGGACGTCGGATCCCATTCGCATTACAGCTCTCGCACTGGACCAATCCCCACCCTCAGCCACGCATCGTATCCGCCTCATCTCATTCCTGTCGACGGGCGAGTTCTCCGTCTTCAACGTCGACCATCACACGCTCGCGCACTCCGCACGATTACTGACTTTCGTGCCCACAACAAGGACCGCACGCACCACCCCTATCATCCAGGCCGTCTACCATCATCCTTTGCTCGTCACACTCTCGGAGTCGTTCCACTTATCACTCTACGACCTCTCCGGCGACACCGTCGTCCACACCCAGACGCTCACCTCCTTCACCTCACACCCGCCGAGCTCGCTCGTACTCTCCGCGCCCTCAGCCTCGACGTACAAACTTGTGCTCGCCTACGCGATCCCCGTCTACCCCGCGCACTGGAGCGTCGGCGCGACGGAGCTGCTCATCGCAAGCGGCGCGGATGCCGATGCGGACGCGCGGATGACCGTAGCAGCGTCGCGCACGACGCGCGCGATCGACGTGCCGCAGGGTTGGATCGACGAGCGGAAGCTGCGGCTCATTCGCGAGCAGTGGGCGCGCAAGGTCGCGCGCGTCGCGGACACGCAGACGGACGGGAAGTGGGTCGTCCTCGCCCCGGGCGACCCGCTCCTCGAGCAGTCGCGCGCGGTCTCGCCCGCCCCGTCGTCGTCGTCGTCGGCGGCGGCATCGCCTTCGCCGCCTCCGAGTACTAACTCGACCTACACGTCGTCGAGCATGCATACTGCGAGTGCGCTGCAGCTCTACCGCCTCAACCTCCCCGCGTCGTCCTCGCCCACCGCCGTGCCAAAGCTAACCTTCGTACGCAGCCTGCACGGGCAGATCGGACCTGTGTCTGCGCTCGCGCTGGCAGACGGGCGGTGCGTCAGCCTCGGTGTGAACGGCAGCTTATGGGTGTGGGACCTCGAGGGCGGGACGGGCGCAGAGGTGTCTGGCGGAGTCGAGGTCGAGGACGCGGAGGAAGGCGAGCGGACGAGCTGGAGTGAGGAGGAGCGATTGCGCTCGGCGGCGGCGGTCAAGGGTACGGTCGTATTTGACGAGAGAAGAATTATCAGTTCGGATGTAGACGGGGTGAGGGTGTGGAGATTCGACGTGTAGCATACTTGCTCTTGTTTGGACTATCGTGTGTTTGATTACTGTTGTACACCTGCTAGGATATGGACGCTAATCATTGTATACATGTGGGCGCACGAAGCACATCGTCTTCCCTCTCAAGCTGCTGCATCTTACACCTGCCGTTCCAATATAAGGCAGAGCGTCGCCGAGCTCACTAAGGGGCTGTCGGGTGTCGCCAGACCTTCACGAGTCCGTCGGCACCAGAGGTGACAAGCTCACCGGCCTCAACGGGATGGTACTCAACCCAGGTGATGGATCGATCGTGCACTTTCGGTGGTGGATTCGGTTGTAGAGGAGCAGCCTACGCCAGTTCCGTCAGCAACGAGCAGTACCCAACACGAAACTACGCACATCCAGCAAGTCCCACGCCCAGACCTTCCCCGCTTCGTCTCCACAGACGACACTAGCTTCTCCGTGGCCGAAGCATGCCCGGCAGCGGTAAGAGGATATGGTCGCGCCCTGGAAGTCGTTGAGCATCTTCCCGGTGGAGGCGTCCATGAGCCGGACGTGCGCGTCGAGGGTCGTGGCGAGGTACGTCTGACCGTCTTGCGACGGAACGACCGAGGTGACCGGATCTGCACGAGTAGCAACGGGTGAGTGGGAGTAGGTATCGCTGCATACGAGGTGCACGTACGTCCAATGTAGTCGCTCCGGAGCTCGCCCATACGGAGATCATACGTGCGGACGTGCCCATCCACTGAACCCGTGAGTACGTACGTAGGACCAACGTGCAGCGTCTGCACCGCGTCGCGGGCTTCATTGAGCACCTGGATCGCCTGTCGGTTCTGCGCCTTGAGGTCCCACAGCCGGACGGTGGAGTCGTACGACCCTACGAAGAGCTAGTGGTCTGTCGGAGCTGCGGGGCTGTGGCAGCTGGACAGGGACGTACCACTGGCAACCACACTCGCGTCAGCGTTGAAGTCTACGACGAAGATCTTGCTCATGTGCCCGGCTATCCTCCGGATGGTCGTCCCTGTCGTGACGTCCCACAGGAAGACGGAGCGGTCGCCCCCAGAGGACGCGAATTTCGCGTTATCATGAGAACTGCACGCGCACTTCAGCAATGGGACGCAGAATGTAGACTACATGCGTCTTACATGGCAACGGAGAGCACTTCGTAGCCATGCGCGGCGTATTTCTTGATCTCAGTGCCGAGCTCGGGGTTCCAGAGGCGCACAGTTCGGTCCTGCCCACCGGTGAGGACGTATTTTGCTGACCCTTTTGCGTATCTGACGACGTGGACGGCACCCTTGTGGTTGGCGAGCGTCGTGTGCAGCGTTGGAGGCAGGGCTGTAAAACCACGAGAGGGCGCCATGGTGGTCGGGAGCCAAGAATAAGTTCTTTTTATTCAGGAACTTTACAATGCCGGGTAAATCCAGTAAATCGCCGGGATGCCACGATCTCGCTGGATCTTGCCGCATCGGGCACCGGTGCTGAGTCAGCGCCTTCTCCGGATCTCATTCCGCACGCGTACCGCGACGCGACGCGTCCTTCCCTTCGCATCGGACGCGTCCTTTCCTTCGCATCGGAGTCCTCCATCTCGAAGACTCGAACGCGTGCAAGTCTTGGGCTCGTCTCACACACACTCTCCTGCCTTTCAGTACGGAGGCAACGCGAACGACGCCTATGCTCTCTGTCACTGAGCCTCGCATTCCCCGCCGCCGCCCTTCCTTGTCGCGCGCAAACCCGAGTCCTCCACACTCACCGCGCGACGCGCGTGCGCACGCCTACATTCGATGTACTCAAATATACTCAATTCCAGGCTGATGCAGGGTGCAAATCCACACGCGGGAGATCAGCCGTCGGCGTCTGGATGCTGGGTGGCAGACACAAGGGCACTAGGATAATGAGGTGAGCGACTACCTATCACTGCCGCTCACAACCTGTACAATGGAGTGTTGAGCCCCCGAATCATACTTTATGTCTCGTGTCTTTGATCTGGGCAGCCTATGGCCCTGGGCGTGCTAGTGGTACAGCCCTCGAGCTAAGATGGGTGAGCCTACGCTACACGTCCTACCCGCCGTTGTTAACACCGCCTACTGCGAGACGTTCTGAGAAGTGCGCTCGTATACGAGGGATGCCTGCCTGCAGTGATACGTGTGGTTCTGACTGGGCCGCAGAGATTATGTTGTCGGGCATGTAGAACTGATTCATGGATGTAACGATGCCCTCCAATGTATTCTGTAATGCCGTGGTGTCTGGCCGCGGTGTTTTCGCTTTCTTGATCTCTGTGGCTAGTACTCATTACATCATGACAACGGCTGCCGAAATCGACCCTGAGGTTCGCAGCTAGGCATGGACCCACAGATCACGGAGTATCAGGGAACGTGCCCTTAGGATCACTCGGCGTCCTTCTGTTGCTCCGCAGATTTACCAAAGACCCACGCACGGGCCAGGAAATTTACCAGATTTACTCGGGCCGAGTAAAATAAAGTGTACGTCGCACTTTACCCACTTAATCCTCTTTACTGAACACAGCCGCGCGCTGTCGCACTGATCAGCACTGCCGAGCACTACGCGGCCTGCCAGTGCCAGCTCACAATCCCTTATTGTGGTTGATATCCACGTAAGTCCTTCTCCTGGTCCATTGTTGTTAACCCACGCTGAAACCTATGAAGTCCTACACGAACTCTAGCCGCGCTCTTGTCTCGTGCACCGGCCCCTTCCTCTTCCTCTTCACCATCTGCTGTACATCCCCGACCACTAACCGACATGCCTCCGCAGGCCATGCCGACATTTTGACTGCTGGTATCTGCGATCCCGTCCGAAATGGGCTCGGCGGCCGAGACCAGTGGGCCCATTCTCGCTCAAACTTGCCGCGAGTACCGGGAAGGATGCTGGCTGTACGCATGCTTCTTACAACCTTCGGCACGAGCGTTCAGTTTGCGCGGATGCTTGCGTGGGTGGACGACTGGGAGGTCGGAAATAACTGAACTATTCAGCCATTGGGAGAGGGCCTGGACGACACGGAATAGGTACGCTGGACTTGATCTATGGACGTTGGACAGGATCTGATAGAGGTGTCTTGCTGTGCATAGTATGAGGCTGCTATTGCGCGGTGCGGTCATTATGGTACAACGGTCATCTCAGAGGGTGTCTACAACGTGGCGAGGTGAGTACGCTGCCCCTGTGACTGAGTCAACTGGAGTTGACGATGTGTAGGAAGATAATGTGGGACCGGGTGGAGTCTCGAGTTGACCTGCACGGCTACTTGAACATGTGTACGAGTGTCACTCACCTTCTCCCCTCTCGCTGACCCAGATGACAGTTCACGGCAAAGCTGCCATACTGGATGAACCCCCAAAACACGTACCGCGTCGTGTATATCTAGGTAAACTAAGCTGTCCATTCGTCTCGCGCGTTTCCGCATCTGACATTGCACCGTGCAGGACCTGCAGGACCAAGCCTCCTGGTTCGTCATGACCAGCCGCGACTTCACCATCGACACGCACAACACGGGCAGGATCATCGGGAACGGGCAATGTTGGTGGAACTGGTATGGCACCACCAGCCGGTACGACGGTGACGGGCGGCCGATTGCCTTCACCCTCCGGCGTGTCCTGCGACGCGTCGTTGGCAGTGGTTGCACATCTGTGTCATCCGTTGCCCACTTCGTGACGTCGTCTCCTCTTCCCCATGTCCCGCCTCCGATGCCCTGCGCAAGCGACTTGTACCGAAGATGCCCAAGCTGGGCTGCTCATCGGCATTGCTGGCCCCGAGCCAAAGGACAAGGGCTCCGAGATCTATGTTGACCATGCGGAGGACGAGGAGCTCGAGGAGAAGAGCCGGCCGGGTTGAGTATGCGAGCAAAGTTGGCTCTGCGGTTGAAGAGTGAGTCCTCAGGTTTGTAGAGCTGGTGTGTTCGGACTGACAGCTTGTTGCAGTCCCTGAGCCGGTAAAGTTGCTTGACCATGACCCTCAGTCGCTGTTGCGTGCGTGACTCAACTCGCTCGACTCCGGCGCCGCCAAGAGAACGTACCACGACCTCTGTGGATCAGGTGTCAATGGGTAGCAACGGCCTGAAGTTGCACCTGAGCCGAATCCCGTGATGGCCCTGACGGGATCAATAGCTGTGCGCGCAGTTGTGTTGACGTCCTCATGAGGACGACCAGCTAAGCGCGACTCATGAACAACAGCGATCAGGAGAATACGCAGCCCGTCATGATAGCTAAGGTGGCGAGAGAAAACAACGCTTGGATTTGACCGCACCTCCTCGATGCGGCTGGGGACTGTAACTGCGACTGCAACCGGCGTGACGATGCGCAAGGTCTCAAAGTGCCCTCGATTGGCTCTGCGGAAGTCGGGCAGCCTCAAGCTCCCACACGACTCTCCGTATATCCCGCGCACCTCATCATCATAATGTGCACGGCCACCCAATGTCCATCATGTCCAGTTGGTCATCGCTTCGGATGCTGTCAACTGTGAGTGCCATTAGCTTGAAGCGTAGCAAGAGCTCATTGTCGAGTAGCGTTGCTAGTGTATGCTAGTACAAGAGGTACACGAAGCTCGTACAAGCTCCAGCAGCTCCAACAGAGAATCGGCACGCAAGAAGGCTGGGCGGGCGAGAGGTCTTGCGAGAGTAGTAGGTCAATAGGTAGTTCAACAGTGGAGGTATTCTTTTGAGATTGATGTGGCCTCTGATATTGTATGTACACACGAGATAGTGAAACTCAAAAGGCTACGTATAGACGTCATGAAACACTACGCGGACTCGGGGAGCGGCGCGGTGCATGTCAAATATGGAAGCTGGTCAGGATCGCAACGGACGGACCCTGATCGAGAATTCGAGGTAGCCTGAGGGCTGTACCCATCTCAGCTTGCATCCCTGCTGACGACGGACCTTGCTCTTCCCTATCCTACAACTGAGATGCCTCGAGCAAAATCTGAGCGGTCAGCATCTATAGCAGTACCGTTCCCAGCGACGGCTGTCTCAGGGCCATCCTCTCCACGAAAGCGTTCTTCGAAGGCAACGACCACCGCGGCTGACACTCCTCTCGTTGGTCTTGAAATTCTTCGTGCTACAAAGGAAGCAGGGAAGTCACATAAGCACACGAAGAGCACTCGCGACGGCTATGCAGGTTACCTCGTCCGGATGCAGAATTGGGCGGCCAGTTATAGCCTGCCAAATGGACAGACGGGCGATATTAGTGGGACCAGTGCACTACCGATTGCGAAGGACGTTGCAGACGCTGCGATGGGTGCCGATCCGGAGTTCCCTGAAGCGTTTTCAGGGCCTCCGAAGCGGTGCTCAGGAGAAGCACTTGCGCTGTATATCACATTCAAGTGCCTACACGAGAAGCGCGGCGTCTCGACAGCAGAGGGCGCACATGCTGCTGCCAAGAAGTACTGGGAAGAATAGTAAGCCATCATCAACAACTTGCTGAATTATTTGCACGCACATTTCACTCATCAATTGACGTACCCACTAGTGAAGGCGATCTATACCGTGGGGAATGGCGGTTCGATGAGCATCGTAGCCGCTGGGTTGGAAACCCTGCAACATGTGCAGAAGTTCGCGACATCCTGAAGGCAATCAAGAACAAAGCAAACGCGGACGGCGGAGAGCGGACTCACTCGGTCGCAATGCGATATGACTATTTGAAGGCGATCATCGAGTGGTCAGAGACCGAATGTCCTCCTGCAGAAGCCATGGTTACTCCAAGAGACGTAGCACACCGAACAAAGGTCACAACACACCTGTTCTTCCGTGCTTTTGCTTCAACGGGGTGGACCATCTGGACACGGTACGATGATTGCCTAAGCGCCACATCTAAGCATGATTTGGCTGACAAATCACTTTGTGTCAGCAACTTTGAGACCGCTGGATTGAAGCGCAAACATTACCGACTGGGGCATATAAGCCCAGCACCGCTCTCTCAGCCGTTCTTCAAGATTGAAGTGACTGACCGGAAAGGTTGGCAGCGCAAGCTGGACAAGAATGGCGAGCTTGAAACTGAGTTAGAAGGTACGTACTCGGCGAGGTTACACGGTGAACTGCACTTGCTAACTGGGATTTTGATGTACTCGTTGCGTGCAAAGGCAATACCTTTCATATCTACAATCAGCCTCACCTCTCAGCGGCAAATATGTTTCATCACCTACCTGTGTGGCTCAATTATCTCGAGCGCTTTCACTATCTCCGCCCGCTGTGCGATGAAGAGTATCTGTTCCCTGTCATCGGTCCCAACGGGATCATTCAGCCGCACCTCCCGGTCTCTCACGACACAGTACAGAAGCTTTTGGACCATTTTACGTCAGCTGCTGGGATCGCGCAGAAGGTAAACGGAAACTTCACGACACACACCTTCCGGCGAGGGGGAGCACAGTTTCGCTTCATGCTCGCTCCAGCTGAGGAGCGATGGACACTGGCACGTGTTCGTTGGTGGGGAGGATGGGCAAAGGGCGAACATGTGAGTGTGCATGCATAACCAAGCATCATCATTGAGTCTCATATAGTACTATGCCGTCTCATCATTTTAGCGTGACACGCTCATTCGGTATCTACTGGATGAGTTGTACATGTACGAGGAATCCCATATCGATGCACTCCAGCCAACAGCGACAATCACTGACCAGAGGAACGACACTGGCAAGGCAGTGAAGGCGGAGGCAGCCGCAGATGTTGAGGACCTCTTCCGGAACAGCCTGTTGTCCATCCAACAAGACATCACATCGATGGTCGCGACAGCACTCAGCGCATGGGCTGTCCCACCTCAGGTGATGTCACAAGATCCGATTGGTCATGTCCATCCTTCTCTATCGTACCCGGGTGAGTTCAGTTCAACGTCTCATTTGTTTGGACTAGTCACTCACGAACAGTGCAAATCAGGTGCACTATGCACGTCCCAGCATACGAGAATCGGAACATTCACAACGACTGAGCTGTATTCTCAGGCTAGCCGCGTGACTGGCACACGCCCTCAGCCCGCCGTACTACTACCAAGGCTTATTACGACACAACCGTCACATGCACCTCAATCTCATCCGAATCCGGCAGCAGCGTCAGTCTTGCCGCTCACGTTCCCACCTTCGCCTATACACAACATTGCATCGGCACGAGGGCACTATTGGCAGACTCCAGACCTCACCTCTCTGAGAGGCTCAGGACCGCATCCATCGCATCGCCTACCCCCTAGTAACTCGGAACCTGTCATTCCCGTCCAGCAGAGTCTCAGCCTCGCACCATCTCCTCTCGTTCCCAGCTGGGCCTCGTCATCAACGGGCAGTCCCTTTCAACTGCATAGGTCACACTCGCTCCCTGTACTCAGTGGTATCCAGCCGCTCACAAGTCTGCCGCCACCTGATGCACGTGTGCTCAATATCCCCATATTGCGTGATGGGAAACGAGACAAGGCAAATGCGTGGAGAGACGTAATCGAACTCTGGGATGTTGGAATTCCGTCCATCAATGTCATGCCGCTGCGTGAATGGCCGAGAGAATGGCTTACAGGCGAGAACAAGACACGGTATGCAGCAAAATACCAGCAGCGAAAGGTTGTAGCAGAAGAGTTCATTCAGCGGTGCGTACATCCATAGTTTCAGAATGTATGGCCTTGCGAGCTAACTCGTATTGGCTGTTACTAAAGGTTCGCCCGCGATGAGCATGCCTTCTTACATGCATACCCCGAGGCCGGGAAAGGGTCCACTGCACTACTTAAAGCAATCAACGAAGCACGACGAACGCGTGGTGATCGCATCGAGCGCAGGAGCAAGAACGGCGACCCCGATGAGCGACGACGCCATTCAGTGACTGCAGAATAGTATTGTGCACGTTTATGGCGGTTGTTTCTTTCTCGCTCTACGCCTGCCTACTTCGTTTCATTCTCGTTCTAATAGCATACATTACACTCTCATTCTAATAGCGTACATTATCTAAGAACTTAGTAGCGTACATACCGGCTGCTGCCATCACCGCGCGATATTAGAGGACCGTAACAAGCCCTACTATAATGGATCAATGTCACTACAATTAATGCTAGCCGCTACCTCTCTAGCCTGGCCCTACTGAGCAAATCGGTCGGCACGTAAAGTTGCAAGTGCGAAAACGCAAGCGGCGAGGGGGCGGAGAGCGACGAAGAGCGACGACACGTCGTCGTACACGCCCTACGCGCCTGGGCAAAGGCAGTGCCCGCAACAGGAAGGAGCCCGGAGTGTGGGCCGGTTTGGGACGGTGTGGCGCCGGTGTGCACACGCGAGATCCCGGGTGTGATCGTGCGAGTGATCGAGCGGACTTACCATACAAGGAAGGCCGCTTAGCGCCTCCGCCAGCCGACGGTAAATCTCTCGAGGTAAGTTGCCTTTCCTGGACAATCTAAGGCGCACCTGCCATTTTGAGTCCTTAGTCCTCCCATTGGTCCTACGGTAAGTGCGATAGCGCGAGGCTTAGCCGTTGCTCTTCTGCACATAATCCGCATATAGTAGCAAGGAAGACATCAGACAGCACGAAGCAATTGTTAGCGAATACCGCTTGGACCCTCCGGCGAGGCTTATTATGGTCTCCGTTGAGGCGGACCCTTGTTGGGCAGTTCTTAGACAATACAACCCGCACTCTCCCCAGGTTAATCAGTCCCGCACATGCAGCAAATGCGCTACTATGCTACGTTAGAGCCATGCAATCGTGCGGACTGTGGCCACAACGGACCGATGACTCGGATGAGCGGAAGATGCGCGTGGCCAGGGCGTGGCGCGCCACTGGAAGGCACGAGGAAGCGCCCATATCGGGGACAAGATGAGATCGCGGGCAAGATCAAGGCTAGAGCGATGCTTCCGCTATGGCCAACGGCTTCGTTACCATCGCCCGCCTTGCTTTGTGCTCTTTTGTGACTGCACCTTTTGTGCGCTCTATCCGACCCTGAAACGTAGCGACCGAGGTCCGTATCTACTGGGCGACAATGCAAGAGGAGTGGCGTCGTCAGCGAGCGGCGATTCGCACGAGCCCAGATGTGGGCGATCGAAGGATGCGGGCACGCGCCGTGCCACACCCAATGGCCCGGAAAGGCAGGCCACTCTGCTCTTAGTATAAGTACCTCGCCTGCCTTGTCCACAACCCCCCATCCCCCGTTGTGCTCATCCTATCATCCCATCCTACCCATCCCTCCCTCTCCGTCCGCCCTCCTCTCGCGCGTTCCACCGTCCCCGGAACACCCCAGACTACATCGACTACTCCGGCGCGTCCATCGCTACCCTCATCCTACACACCGCCCACCCATCGAGCATCACACTCTAGCTATGTACGGCGCGGCATTCTACCAGTCCCAATACCGCCACGCCGTCGACGACTACGACCGCCCCGTCGCGGGGCCCTCTCGGGCCACAACTCCCTCTTCCGACTCCGACGGCGAGACCTACACTCGCCTCACCTTCCCCACTTCCTCCTCCCGTGGCGAGCACTACGTCCGCCCACAACCTCTCCCTCGAGCTGCGTCCCCACCTCCTCAACGTGCCACCTACACCTACGAGACTGCGTACGTCAAGGAGGTCCTCCCCGGCGTCCTGGAGGATGGACGATGGCTGGCTTCGCATCCGTTTGTGGCGCGATACCTTGACGCTCTAGTTGCGGACTACGAGCGCAAGACTGCAGCTACAGGTGGCGGGCCATCGAGTGCGCCGTTGTTCCAGGAGAAGAACGGCAATCCCACCGTCGGTCGACCGGAGGATGTTGGCGTCCTCATCGGCGAGGAGCTCAGCCTTGAGCAGTGTCATGCGGTCTTCACTCTGGCTGCTGTCGAGCTCATCGACAAGATGTCCCACAAGGCCCACCTTGCGCTTTGGAACATGCGGGTCCGCAGACGCACTGTGAACACGATCAACGGGACGATGAGTACGTTCACAATCTCAGTGAGGCCTGGGCTACGCTAATCAAACTTGGCTGTAGCACGCGAATATCGTCCCGTCTACTTCCGAACCTTCTTCTGGTCGGGCATTGCGATTCATATGGACCGGATGAGCGCAATCCACAACTTCGAGATTCGGAAAGCGACGTACGGGAAGCCTGATCCCGAGCCAGCATCAAGGCCGAAGAGGGCAGTGCGTAAGGCCGACGCACAGAAGGCGGGCGGCGAGCAAGCACCCCCCGCGCCACGGCTCGACAAGGGCAAGGGCGTCGACCGCGGCACCCCTGCGCGCGCCACGGCGCCACGGGCCAAGAAGCCCAAGGCAGCCAAGGCAAAGCCCGTTGCGAGCGCGGGGCCCGCCACAGCTCCCCGCCGTACCCCGCGAAGAGCTGCGACGACGAAGAAGTCGCCGCTCGGTCTGGAACCAGTAGTGGAGGCCGTCACGCTCGAGGCGAAGGTCGAGCAGATGGCCACGCCCGCACTCGCCACACCTGCGCCCGAGCCTGCGCCTAACGAGGCCGAGGCGGACGTCGACATCGAGATGCCGGCGCAGCTGGCTGCTCCCGCCCCTCCTCCGAAGCGTGCCCGCGCGGTGAGGGCCACGACTGCGCCGTCCCGGGTGAGCAAGCGCGTCGCTGCTCGGATCGCGGACTCGGCTCCTGCTATCGCGACGGTGTCGCCTACGCCGGTGCCGACGCCACAAGCGCAGGGGTCCGCCACGCCCGTGGACGGCTCGCCGGAACTATCGCGGTCGAGTACCGCTGTGGACTTCAAGGCAGAGTCCGGAGAGGCCGTGGTTGCGGAGGAGCCCGCCAAGGTGGCAGGCAAGAAGCGGAAGGTGGACGACCTCGCAGACGAGCAGGCCCCTGAGCCCGAGGAGGAGGAGGGCCCGCGCCGCAAGTCCCTCCGCACCGCTACGCGCAAGCGGACCGAGAAGGGCGAGGCTCTTGCTGCCGAGCTGAGTGCAGAGAAGGGCGTCAAGCGCACGACTCGCAAGAGGCGGTGAACGCGTCCATTGGACGACTCCGTTACGATCCGCCCACGTCTGTCGTAACTTATTGGTTTGTTTATTGTCTCACTCTGTTGTTGTACCTGTATATGTACTGCTATGTTGTTGTATTTCACCTGTATCTCGCTTTGTAATCTGTTTTGCGTTATTGTGTTGCTAATGTGCCGTGGACATTCGTGTAGTCGCTAGCCGGAGGTGTAGCACATCGGATCTCATCACACTATACCCCCTGTAGAGTAGAGCACTCCCATAATCTGGCCATCCTCTCTGTACTTGCATCCTATACCAATCTGGCTCTGTTCTCTCGGATTGCGTCGCGTGCAGTGTGATCGTTGAGAGCGGCGAGGGCGTTGGCGGCTGAGCCACATCGCGCGAAGGGTGACGCGTCGGCGCGTCGGACGCGTCGCGGTCACGTGTACGTGGCTCCGAGGTTCTCGGGAGGTGCTGAGCATAGGCGCTCGACGACGTTGCTGTTGACGTTGACCGCCATCCGCGTCGTGCTCCTGGGCTGACTGACACATTGATCTGTTTGCTGTGACTGGGCACGGACTTGATACGAGGGTTAGGGACGATACAGTATGCGATATGGTGAGTCGTATGCGTCAGTCTTGTTTCTGCGAGCTGAGCGGCCTAAATTAACTCAAACATGATGATCACACTAGAAGACTCTTGACTCCGCTGCCGTTTCTTCCATGCGGTCGTTCAACTTACGTCTCAAAGTAGCTTGGTTTATGAATACATTGATTGATTCATGAATACGTTAACTGTTGGGTACAACATCGCTTGCGCAGCTGTCATTTCCATCCTCGGCGCTGGAGGTTGTCGCCGCATCGGTTATGTGAAGTCCATACTCCTCTTGATTCTAGAATCTCTACTAATGACGTGCACCAGGAAGCGAGACGGTACAGCGAGCGTCTCACGCACATGCGTGCGATCGGCGCCCTCTTGTTTGAGGGCACCCGGGCTTTGTTTCCAACGATCACCTCTCAAGCAGTCAGCAGCAGTGCATTCCGGTCGCTTTCCGACATTTTCGACAGTCCCGTATGCCAGCAGCATCCATTTGACTGACGATTATTATGGATCTACCCCTTTTGAGCTCGTCTTGTGGTCCTCGTCGACCAACTACTCCAGTCCTCATGCTATCCCAGGACAACTCGACGGCGGCGTCACGTATATGCCATGAATGCCAATGCTTCTGCACCCGGACCTCGCGGCAATCGTTGCCTTTCTGACTTATCCCCCTATCATGCCTGTCTTCGACGTCAGGCTTTCATCAAACTGCCAGTCCCAACCCATTTGTGGGCGATAGGTTGCTGGTAAACCGATCTCTTCGTTTCGATCAGTGACTTACTGGTGAGCCGACTTCTAACTTGGTCGATGATACTCTATTGATTATTGTACCTCGTGGCGAGCATATTTTTGTCTGCAGAGCGTCAAAACGAGTACCTCACTCGCGCAATGCGCTTCCTCGAACGGTGAGCTTCCATGCCTGCGCGCCGTACGTCGCCTCGTAGTCTTCTATCTCCCTGCACGTCGTATCTGACGCCATCACCAGGCTTCCCGCCGGAACCAATGTCCATGAGCGACGAAACCTTGCAAGACGGTTTCATGTGGAGCCTGCATCGGCGCCCAAACTTCGTTCCTACCGTCTTCCATGCTACGCAAGACGAAGAGAAACATACATATCGGCTTAGACGCCTCATCCTTTCAAATCGAGTGCGGGGGCATTCCTGCTGCGTTTCACCTGCCTTGCAGCCTTCGGAGATCCAATTGCACAACCACCGGAGAAGACCAATGCTCAGATCGGTTGTTCATTGCATGGTCGTGATCTTGCTGAGTCGCTGCATTCCATGCGACGGAAGTCAATCACAGTCGCAATGTCCGTTCTATTTTTGACCGTTCGCACTAACCAACCAATCATTTGTAAGCTCCACCATTCTTACGCGGAACTACCAAGTCGGGTACGCACTGACATCGGCCTACGCGGGTCTGAGGAAAGCCTTGTGACTGACGGGGAGTGATAAACGGTGACACGGTGAGTCAGACATTGTCTTCGTCAATGCAAGATGGGGCTAACGAGCTGAAGCCACACTGATGGGCAGCATCGCGCGGTTCGAGAACCCTAACGCGGACATTGAGCGGACATGTAGGTACGGTACGCGTTTTCTTCCAACTCTGCCGCGAAGGGCAGCTTATCTTGGGTAGGTACGAAGGAAGGCATCTGAATGCCGTGGGCCAAGGCGGGCGTAGTAAGAGGAAGTCTTTCCCACCAGGACTAATAAACAATCGAAATCTTAGATCAAGATCCTCCGGTTTCCCCACAAACTCCCCGCCGATCTGTCGTCGTGCGATGACGTTGAAATACGCTGCATCATGGCGTCCACCTACGAACCGGCTCGAACGACTTGCATGCAGCCCTATACTCGCCATTGGCGGGCAATATGCGGGCTTGCTTTCTGCAAGCGGACCTAGATGCGGACGCGAGGCAAGCGGCACTACAGCTGCCGTATGCGGAAGGGATATGTAATTCACCTTCTTCCCGCGTCTGCAGGGGACATTCCCATCTGTTCGTGCAGCCTGGTGTCTGCACTTGTCCAAAATTGTCGCAACTGATCGGTCTCCACGTAAGTCCCGCCCGTCCGTGGAATTGTCCGTTACGGCATGCGCTGATGAATCTCGGACAATGGGCGCTCTCCGATCCCCGTACTTATACGGGCTCTGACCGTGGCGCAAAGTCGAGGCACCTCCTCCCCCTTAGCTGTTCCACGGTCACGTCCCCCCCGCCCTAGCTAGTTTGCAGCAGTGTTCTTGAAGGATTCAACCATGTCCTCCATTGATCCCCCAAGCACTCTCAATCCTACCCAGGTCGCGGTAGCAATGGTCCAGCACGGCATTGCGAAGCACAACACGCGGGGAGACAAGCTGTTCTTCAAAGCCGTGAGTGTCTCCGTTCTATGACTATGAGCCTACGATGTGACCTACGCTCCTGTTACCCAGGTTCTCGCCGGTGTCATGCTGTCGTACGGAGGTCTTATGAGCGAGATTGTCGGCGGTGGCTCAGCGGGCCTCGGTGTGAACAACCCGGGTCTCGTTAAGTTGCTCGCAGCGGCCGTCTTCCCAGTGGGCCTCGTAATGTGCGCGACTTCTGCCTATCTTGCCCGTCGTCCGCCCCCCACGGGGCGAGCGGCAATTACTGAATGGGATGATTGGCGCGATAACTGATGCGCGCTTCCTGGATGCTAGGATCGTGCTACAAGGGCACGAGCTGCTCACTAGCAACATGATGGTCAGTTTGTGTTGAACGGGTGGTCGTCAAAGGCTGACGGAAGGCACGGCATAGATCTTCACCATGGCCTGTCTGAAGGGTGCGGTCCCGTGGTGGGGGCTCCCATGGAACTGGGTAATCGGTAAGCGTTTTCTGAACAGAGTCCGGAGATACAGATCCGATGGAGCATCGACAGTGACTTTCGGGAACTTGTGTGGGAGTCTGTTCTTCGCTGCCGTGTTGACGAAATGTAAGCCACAGAGCGTGACATTCTGTCTGTCTAACTGATTTACTGCCCCCCTTTATAGACAGTGGCATCATCTCGACTGAGCCTTACATCAGCTATGCGCAAACCTTCGCCATGTGAGTTGCAGAGGAGTGACAGCGGGATCACTTATTTACGTATTCTCTCTGACAGACACAAGGCACAGGAGCCTGCGTGGTACCAGATCTTCCTTCGCGGTATCGGGTGCAACTGGATGGTCTGTGTCGCTGTTTGGGTGCGTTGTCCTTAATATTGAATCACATGGGGTACGTCCGCTGAACAGAACTTCTCATAGCAAGCCTCTGGTGCCAAAGATACGCTCTCCAAGGTGTGATACACGTTGGGCATATGAATGATGATGGACTGACGAACTGTTTAGGTCGTCGCCATCTGGATTCCTATCACGGTGAGCGGTCTACACAATCGGTCCCTAGGTCGACGTCTCATCGTCCTGCGTGCATCAGATTTTCGTGACGGCTGCCTTCGATCACGGTGTGTTCGGTTGCCAATAACACTCTAGTGCAATACTGACGTACATGCAGTCATCGCAAACATGTATTCGATTCCACTTGGCATACTCTTGGGGGCAGACGTAAGCTCCTCCGTCCTAGTACACATACTTATCGACGCACACTAATTCCTCACCAGATGACGGTCGCTGAATACATCAGGAAGTCCGTTCCCCGTTCATTATCACTTTCCTAACTTGTGTACTGACCGTCTGACCAGGTCACTTATCGCTTCCTACCTCGGTAACATTGTAGGTGCCCTGATCGTCGCTCTGCCGGCAACATACTTCTACCTCGGCGACTACCGCGCTAGCGGTCTGCGTGGAGCCGAGGAGGGCGAGGTGTTCAACACCGCCAAAGAAGTCGTCAACGATGAAGATAGTACCAAGGGCAGCAACGGCAAGGCGAACGAGGAGGCCTTCGAAGTGTCGCGCGAAAAATAGGCTGGCGGTGTTGACTTGACTTCAACGTCTGGCATCGTGTGTAGATGCTTTTTGTATGTTTATTGCGACCCTCATAATTCAGTTTCGTCAGTACTTTGCAGATGTTCTGCTAGCGAGACGCGCTTGAGGGCGTGGCGCAATGTTCGTTCCATGCACCTATGCACGCTGTTCGGACCGCAACTCGGCTTACGAAGGACGGAGGCAGTGAGGCGTTGGTGATTCGGCGGTGTCCATCACCGCTTCTCTTCCGTGGAGTGCCTGTTAATAGAGTTGTAGTTGCTGATTCTGTGTGAATTTCATGACGAAGCTGAGAATGAGCTGACGCAGCCCATAGGTTAATCTGTTTCTACCGCACCTGACAGCTTACGTCGTATCGACGTCTAGAGGACAGTTTATGTCAGTTCTCGGGTCCGTGGAATGACCCTGACGTTCCAGACCCGCTTGGGTCAAATATGTGTGAATCTTTGGCTTGAGAGCAGCGTGAAAGCAAGGGCTGCTCAACGTTGGCAGGGTCCGGTCCGCTGGCCATCCAAAGGGACTCAAGGCGGCACGAGGTCAAGGCCGAAACATGCGAGCTGATTAAGATTACAAACGTCTGTTGTAGCCTGAGGTCTGCCTGTCTGACACATTCTTTATCTACTCCGCCCCCAGGAAGCTCGCGAAGGCAAGAGCCATGACCTCCATTCCAACGCGGAGCTCGTTCTCTATGTCTATGCTTTCGTCGGCGATATGGGCTTCGGATATGTATCCCGGACCATACACAATGGTGGACTCTATCGGTGGCGTGAGGCTATGCACGGGGAATCGCTGTGAACCCATTTCGTCATGAGAACCACGGCCTCTCGAGCGTCTGCGACTCGCAACCACTCACCTGATCGTCGCTGCCGGGCGAGACGACGATCCCAGCTTCTTGACCGGTGACTACCTTGATGGCATCTCGGAAGACGAGCGAGATGGGGAGGTTCGGGTCGATCCAGGTAGCCTCGGTGCGGTAGTCCTCCTTGTACTCGTACTCGAGCTCTTCGAAGCCCGGCGTCTTCTTCATAGACTGTAACACGTCAAATATTTGCTGCCGCGCACCCGCAAGTGTCTCCCCCGGGACGAGACGGCGGTCAAACGACACAGCGGCGACGTCGGGCACGGAGTTGATGTTCTCTCCGGCTTGCAGTATCGTGAACGCTAGAGAAGGGACGCGCGCGGCCGGCGGGATGACATTTGGATCGCTGAGCGGTGCTAGCTGAGGCGAGATCGTAGTGGTTGCGAGATGCACGAACGAGCATGCGTGATGCAGCGCATTGACACCAAGCCCAGGCATGGAGCCATGAGACAGTCGGCCCCGGAACGTGATTGTGCCCCATATTGTACCGCGGTCTGCCATTTCAGAACGTGAATGTGAGCCTGACAGACCAGAATCAACTTAAGTCTAACGCACGTCCGCAGCACACATTGGTCGTGTTCAGAGGTTCCGTTATGACGATGGCGTCAATCTTGTCGGCTCGGATATAACCGTTATCGACGAGATAGCCCATTCCAGCGTTGTGGACGCCTGTCGTCTCCTCGTCGACGACCCCTGATTGTTCGATGTTCCCTTTCAGCTTCAGCCCCGCTTTGCGGATAGCCTCTACAGCGAAGACCTAAGCGGCATAGGTTAGTATCACTCTAGACGTCGGACGGCTAATTATCAGGACCTGAGCAGCAATACCGCCCTTCATGTCCGCAGTGCCGCGTCCGTACATTCGGCCATTATGCACTTCGCCTCCGAATGGCGGGTACTTCCAGTTCTCGGGCATTCCTATCGGTACCACGTCGAAGTGACCATTGGCGTGCAGCGTCTTCCCAGATCTACCTTGAGTACCGGAAAGTCTGCCTATCACGTTCACACGCTGAAGGCCCTGACCCACAGGCGCAAGGGCCGGTAGTTGGTCTGGCGGCACCTCTACATACTCCACGGCGTATCCGAGTTCATGGAGAGTGTTGCCAATGAGCTGTGCACATTCTGGATAATTCCTTCCTGGCGGATTCGTCGTGTCAATCTGAATCAACGACGCGAGAAACTCCCGGCACTTGGACAACAAGTCCCAGGTTGCCTGCTTGATTGCAGCAATCTGGGTTGGCGTCAAGTTGCCGGACACCGTGTAAGCTTCCTCCGTCATGTGAGTTCCACGAATGCTATGTACATAGTTTTTGATCAGTACTGGGAGTGGGACTGAAGCAAGAGAACAAAATACGCACCCGTCGTTCAGGGAAGACGATCTATGAACGACACAGCTGCGTTGCGGTTCTGACTATCGCACGAGGTCGGAAACCGTCAGCCGTCGGCCTATCAACCCCGCTGCAGATTAGTTTCCTCAGCGCGGGACCGCGCGGGCGCTCGATACGAGGCGATATGCCCGGTCATCTCTGTACTCGGGTTATGTGGGCAGTGTTGTGTGAGATTTTATCCTGGCGTGATACAGTGGCAGCTGCCAAGGCCTACGGCCGGATGTCACGGTGGTATGCGCGGGCGCTCCCGGTGCCACTGCGCCGGACCAGCGGCCCGGTGTTCAGTACATACAAAGTTCAACGTTCCGTACCAATTCCGTACGTAGTACTTGCGCAGCCGGCGCACTCGGACCTACTAAGTACATGTGTGTACTAGCGTACTAAGCGGGGTCAACCCAGCCGGCGCCCGCTATGACGTGTTTCTGTTGCTGGAATTCATATTAATGTCGCCATGGAGCAACATGAAACATAAGTACCCTGACCTCAGTTGGACCTCAGCCTCGAATTTATCTGGGCTCAGTAGGCAATACTTTCGACTCATACTTACCTTCAATGATTCCAGGGCTGAGTGGCACGGGCCATCGAAGTCGTAATCCAGCGGGCAACTCTAGTGGCTCAGTTTACCCAGGAATTGATGATCCAGTGTGGTATGCATAAGGTCGCGTTTCTTGGACTGGGAGCCGGTTCTCACTACGACAATCTGAACCAGGACATGAAACGAGTGCTCTACCACTCGACGATGGCACGCCGCTTGGCGCATGGCGGTATGTACAGTATAACCACTGCCCCGCCAACCCCTGGATCTGTGCGGCAAAGCTGGGTCATGAACGCGTGACATTATGTTGGATTGTGATATGCGATTGATATAATGGCTATTGTGCTATTGTACACCTCGCAATTTGTGACCCCCTGTGACCCTTTCTTCACCGCCACTGTAACCCCTCCACCTTCATCGGTGCGGAGGCCCTCTGCATCCGCGGCCGCTTGAGCCTCGCCTCCCGTGCCCTCAAGAGTTGCTCGTAGACCTTCAGCTGGCACATGAACCCGCTGTTCGGCCGCACAATCTTCCGCCGAGATACGATGTGTCTGTAGGCTTCGTCCAGCGACATCCTCCTGAGCGACATGAGGACGGCTATGACGACGCTCGCACTCCTGCTCATGCCCCAAACGCAGTGCACCATGACCTGGCCGCCTTGCTGCAGCGCTTGTTGGATCCAATCCGTGACGAAGTCGAAGTGGTTCAATAACCCAGCGGACCGCCTGTCCTCGATGGGGACGCAGATGTGCTGCAGATCGTTCGGGTATTGGGGGCAGTCGTTCTTGAGCACGGAGACAACGTGGGTGATACCCAGGCTGCGAATGACGGCAGATGAGGTTGCCGTGTACATGTCGGCGACGAAAAGGCCCGGGATTATCTCGCTGTACTGCGGGTGGAAGTCGTCCACCGGATGATTCTGGATGCAAGTGCGGCGCAAAGCTCGTCGCTCGAAGTAGTCATCGTCGACCGTGAAGGAGCGGATCATCGATAGGAGGGCATCGGCGCGGGGAGGGGACGGCGTGCGCATGGCCATGTTCTAGAAATGAGAAGTCAGCCACAGCAACCCCGGTCAACACTCCGACTCACATCTGGTACCGACGCGGCCGGCGCGTCTGTAGCGTCTTCCAAAGGCGGGGGCTCGTCTATGTCGTCAAGCAGAGGCGGGAGCATGGACTCTGTCATCGCGAAGGCCATGGTGTTGTCTGAAAATGTCTGCGGAATGTAGCTGCATCGTGCTGATTATATAGCCAATGTCGAGGCGGCACGGATAGGCGGACATGTCGTGCGGATGAGCGGGTAGTCCAAATCGGGCGGATATCACTGGCATACGTCGGTAGCTTGTTTCGGAAACGACTTACCATCCGGGCTTGTTAGCCTTACCTCACTGCTCGGACCGCGCCGAGGCAGTCACACTTAAAACACTAATCCGAGGTCGAGATCCCGAGCCGTGAGGCATGAGCGCTTGAGCGTCCAACACACCACGTACGTATGAATGTCATAAGGCGCACTCCGCTTTGCTGGCGTCTCCCTCGTGTTGGTGGCCAACATTGGCCGTTCGATCGCCCTCCTACACCGCAGCCAGAATGTGGCGCCTGTACATATCGAAACAGAGCGCAAAACGCGCTGTCCGCGCACGTTACGACTGAATTGCTGGTGGTCCGAAATCGAATAATGAACTTCCGTGTCGCCTGGCGATGCGACTCTAGAGCTCCCGAAGTGTGGTGCCGGAAGCAGTTCGATGGCCGGCGTGGCTGAACGGATGTTGAGGCGGGGAGGCCGGCGGGGAAGGGAGCACGGAAGTCGCGCACATCCAAGACCTAGACCCTGTGGCGGAGGAGGAAAGCGTGCTCGTAAAGGGGCTCCTCGTCCCTCATTCCGCGCGGAGTCACATGTTTCCGAGCCACACGGTACGGCGACCCCGCTCGACATTTCGAACTGGACCAGCCACCTCAAGCCGACTGCTCCCCCCTTCTCTTAACCGTGTCCTGTTATCCGACCTCCCGTTTGTCGCCGCTGGAGTGCCAAAGCCGACGACCGATCCGCGGAAACGCTATCGAATCCATTCAATCGCCTCGCCACTTATCGTTGATCAGTCCGCCCCTCGAGGCCGCGCACGGGTATTGGCTAGTGCTATGAAAAAAGGTGAGCTGTAAGCTTGGCGTTGCGGAAATTGGGAAGTGGGAAGGATGAGAAGAGTGGGAGGGACGACGAAGAGGGCTAGAGACGACTTGGAGGATCCCCTCAATGCCTAGTCTGGTCAAGCACGCCTCGCACCAGCAGACCCTCGAACGGCCATGGGATCAAGGGTCACCCTCGGCAGCAGTGCCTGCGACTATGGCGAGGGGACAACCTCTGTTCATTTCGAAGCTGTCGCGCGGCCGGCGAACGACTGGCACATGAACGCCCTCGCCACCCCTGCATGCATGTTTCATGCCGGCCCGATGGCGCACCCGCAGCCTCAATAAGAGAGGGGGGACCGCGCGAGACAAATCGATATCGATGTCTAAACGGCGGTGTTTGAACCTCTACGATGGCTTTAGGGGCATGCCCACGGCCGGTTATAAAGCACACCCCCGTCGAACAGTCCCAGCACCTTCCCCCCAGTAATAGGCCTCGCAGACTACTGCCAACAATCGACCCGGACGCGCACGCTTCATCGGACGAATCACCTTTGTCCAGGCAGTTCAGTGTGAGTCCATGCAACGCGTGTACGCCCCCGCTCGTTCTGACGCAGGTTGTCCGTTAGCCCGCACTCTAGCTTGGCTCGGCGTACACCCCACCTCGACGGTCGTGGTGCCTCGCGAACGATGTGGCTCTGCCAATATAAGACAACCTGCACATTTCATGCCCGCGCAGAAGACTTGACCATCACACACTGGTCTCAATCTTCCTTCTCATATGTACTGTGACGAGAACCTAGACATGGGCATTCGTCACGATACATACCATGAGAATGGAAGATTCGGGATCATGGTGCAACACTCCAGCTTACAGCTAGTCGCAAGGTAGTGTTCCATGATCCCGACTCATCCGCTCACACATTCTAGTTACCAGCTGGGCTGGACGTGCAGACCCTCGCAGGGCCCGAACGGTTCATAACTCGAGTCATACACGCACGGGCTGACTATCGTTCAATGCATCACAGATTGGACTCACCAGCTTTTCCATTGCCTACGTGTTGTCCGCGGGTCTCAGCAGCAGGCCAGATAATCTATCTGTCCATAGCCCTCCACCGACCGTGCGTCCACATTCTTAGTCTATGCGTTCGCCAGTGCTGGCTCACACGTGGACATCTAGGATCTGCAAGGACACACATCACGTCGTCTCGGACTCTATCCGACCTGGATTGGACCCACCCATGCCGCGGAGAAGTGCCGCTATGCCGCAAACCGTATCGTGGCTGCTTGCTGATGAGTGGGAGGCATTGCCCAGACTGCGAGGCGCATGGCAGGAGACGTGCTTCATAAGGTTTGTTCGCCGCGTTCACCAGCGCCTGTACTGTGTCGAATAAAGTTGTCGGCGCCTTACAATCCGCAAACATGAACTCGCCGTCGCAACTTTGTCCGACCGACCATCACGATTGCCCTCGAACTTCCCCAGGCCACTGCACCAGCGAGTCGAGGAGCGTCAGGAACCTTCAGAGGTGTCGTCTGCTAAGTATGAAGTGGCAGCAACAAGGGTAACCGACAGGACGGCAGGAGCTCGTACGTAAACTCGCAGCAGGGATGATCCCAAGCCCAGGGTCGGTAATCGTCAAGTCGCCAGCCACAGCCGCTTGTCGGTCTGATCACGACCTTGTTCTACGTAAACGCAGTCCTATCCTGCTTGACTTCAGGAGGTCCACTCCCTCGCCATCCCTCGTACTGCTGTCACTGGATTGTGAGCTGGTCCTTTCGGTTTCGACACGCTCTCCCCATCGATATGATTACACGGAGGCCGATTAGTCCGTTCGACGGAGTTGGTGGGGGTGCTGTAACGCTGTACTGCACAGAGGTAAGTACGGGATAGACAAGTCTTGATGTTACATATCTCATTCCAGCCACTCGCATATCCGAGTCATGCACACATCTGTTCCACCACATCGACACCACACTGGCTTCGGCACTGGCAGAACGCACCACGTAGCAGCGCGTGCGGCTCATCGTACTTGAAGTGGCTCTCTTCAAACCAGGCTGTGGCTCGTCAATGAGCTCGTGTTCATATTCTCGTACGTCATCTCGAGACTCGAATTCTGGCTCCTAGACCTATGATGCAGTTTCTCTTCTTCAAACTCCCATGGCGCGCGGACGGACCTTAAGGTGAATTATTCCCTGACGTACGTGTTTTGTAATAAGCCTAACAGCTGCGTATCTTCAGAATCGCAGGACGTCCGCCACCTGATCAGCGATCATATTCCGCTCTCAACATGGGCAATGCAGCGGCCCTTACCACACCGGTCAATTTGTGGGACGGGCCAGGGACGGGCATTCGATGGCGTGCGCGGCCCGAAAGTCTGCCTTGTTGAGCGTTCTCGCGGAGCACGGGATTATGATCGATCCTTCTACCCCACACTCGCCCACTACCCCGCGAAGCTACACTTGTGGAGGCTGGCTCTCAGTCGTCCCTGGTGTGAATGGCAAGCGGAGCATGGCAGGGAACTTGTAAGTTGTAGTGAATTCTTCTGTAGCAGATTGCAGACTCCGGATGCGCTTCTGACGCTGACGGACATTCAGCGGTAACTCCGCGACTGAGCCGATGCAAGATCCGCAAGGCCCCAGTGATCACGAACAGCCAACCAGGAGCTCTGAATGAGCGACACCGTTGACAGGACGCTCGTGTAGTCGACACTCGTGAAGGTCATTAATCATCATGATGGGGGATATGTCAAAGAATACATTGTACAGAATACAGTGTGTATAACACGCTTTGTATCTCTCGTATAGCGACCTCGATCCAGCGCACGGACTCTCCGCGGCACATAATCTCGCAGACGTCTATGAAGCAGTCTTGCCGCTGAGTTCCCGCTCAGTCTTCACGATGTCCTGAACGTGGGGATGCGCCCAGAGCGCCTCAAAGGCCTCAGGCTCGATGGGCGGGAGGGGCTTACGCGGAAGGCCACCATACCCATATAGCTTCTCCATGAGCGCCTTCGTTCCGGAGATGCCTGCCTTGGCGATGGTGAAGTCCGCACGGGCAACAATGCCCTGAAGGCGTTGAGCCTCTGGGAGGAGTGAAGAGTCCTTGTGCACGGCAACGGACAGCTCGTAGAGTTTGACGAGCGTGTACTGTGGGGCGTGCATGAGGGATCATAGTTCTCGCAACCGCAGGTGATTACTCACGGGAGCAAAGTTGCCGAGACCAGTGATGGCGCCATGTGCATTGGCGTACGATGAGGGAAGGAGAAAGTCGACAAATCCGCCGAGAACGAGGAACGGTGCATCGGGGTTACTCCGGGGATACGATGAGGAGAACGACTCCTCGGAGACTGTTGCGCAGATACGCGTGAGCTTGCCTACGTTGCCGCAGCTGTTTAAACCATGTCAGTAGCCTTCTTCGAAGCGATAGGGCACACTGCACTGACGTGAGCTTCACACCGCAGAGATTGGGGCACTCCGACGCCAGCTCGGTGATAGTATCCGAGTCGAGGTCAATGCCTCCGCTCGCACCAGGGTCTGACAAGAGCGCGTGATGAGGACTGCCGCCAGAACATAGAGCAGCCTGGTCGCTCACAATTGTAGATGATCACAGGTATGGGGCTCTTCTCCGAGACCTCCTTGAAGAATGCCTTCTGCGCCTTCTTGTGGCTTCCAAGTACGCCGGCGAAGTACCCGCTCGTGATGACAATTGTGTAGTCTGCACCTGCCGCTGCAGCCTCCTTGCAGAGTTCGACAGTCTCGCGCGTGCTCCCAGTCCCTGTACCAGCAATGATTGGCATCGTCTCGAACCCTGCTTCGTCCAACGCTACCCTGGCCGCCTTGATCAATGCGACGCGTTCGCTATGCGTCAGGTGCACTCCCTCGCCCATCGACCCCGCAAGCAGGGGGCGCACACCCGCCTTGGCCGCACGCACAACATGTTTCGCGAGCGTCTCGAGGTCTGGATGAATGCGGGTATAGCACGGGGACAGAACGATATCAGCCGTCGTTCACATTACGAAATGCACGCGAAGGGAAGGCGAGGAAGAGAACGCACCAAGATCCTCCGTCTCCGGCTGGTAGAACGTCGGGATTGGCGCGAAGATGCCGGGCACAAGAGGCCGGGCGACGTGGTGGCCGTTTGCGGTGCCGTTCTGCATGACTGAGAAAGGACGGCGGGAGAGCAGGAAGGGAGGTATATGGCCGGTAGTCGTGCACGGGCAGCAGGTACTTATGGTCCCGGAAGCGGCGGGAGGGACTAACGGTCCGGCGGGCCGCCTCCCACGGCGAAGTGCGGCAGTCCCCGGTGCCGGTCCGAGCATGCGCCGGGCGCTAGACGCTGCAAGCGCCCTCGGCCTTGCTGTCCACCACAGATCCGAGATGCGTCTGGCAGTACAGGCCATGGAGCGGGGGGCAATGAGCATCGTGCCGCTGCATGTGTTCTTCAGTCGCTTAAGGATTGTAGAGAACCACTCACAGAAGCATGCTCTGTATTCGCTCATCGCCGCAGACGGGCCGCTGTATATCGGACTCGGGCAGATGGAAGTCGACAGCTGACCTGGTACTTGTCGGCACCGCCGGGTTACAACTGCTTGACGCTCTCTCGGTGTGAGTGGAGAAAGGGTAGCCGATATGGGCGGCCGCCGGATGCCCTGGCGCCGATGAATGGTCGGATGCTCGCCTTGGTGCCCTTGTATGCGACCGGGGGGGTTCGCATGGACTTCGTAGCAATACGACCATACACGTCGCCACATAAGACTGACGCCGTGCTTCTGACGCAGTTCCAAACGGGTGCATGAAAGAGACGTGGTAAGCGAATTCGTCATATTCAATGCCGCCAAAGGGGCGGCTGTTCATGTGAGCAGAATCTGGCGGAACATACTGAATGCTGAAGGCTCTCATTGCAGTGAGACGACTTCCATACGCGTCGACGCATTATATTTGTGCAGTTTCCGCCAGCATACGGCGTGTAGATTGATTATGGCAGCAATACAGACACGGCGGTCCCGTAGCCGTAAATGTTCTCGCCTGATGATTGAATGGAATACGTGAGACTACAGCTGAAGTGGATTACTGAGCGTGGTTGATCGTACCTCGTCTGTCTCAACTTCAGCGTCCAGAATTTACGGATACAGGGGAGCGCCACGTATATGAGCCAACGTCTCGTCGGGAAAGGCTCCAAGTTCGACGTTGCTATTAGGATGCAAACCCGCCGTCAGCCGACGAGACATCCAGTCGTCAATTATGTTACCAGCATACAATGGCATTCGACGTGGCCAGTCCGGGTAATCCGCTGTTACCGGACCGTCATGCAAGCTCCCGGGTTTCATTGAATTGACGTTCCGATCGCAGGCTTATGGTCAACAGAGATTGCTCTGGAAGTCGCGGATACCTGCGCCCCGCCGAAATTAGTTGCGATTGGCGTCCCCAAAGAAGATGTGGAGAAATTTCACGAGTCCGCGGGTAGTGTGAGCTCTGCCAAGCAGAACACCCGGCCAGAGAGGTGGGGTTCACTCATGCAATGCTATGGCCTGTGTGTCACTATGATCTCCGGGGGTGAGAGGAGGTCGAAGTAAGAACATAACGTGAACGCACTTCGTCGCATTCTAACATGGACTCCAAAAGGTGGTACCCTAATGTCCGCGCCTTCGTCGCGCCCAGAATCATAACATCTCCGCGAATGCTACCGGTATCACAGTGCTTTCAGCCAGAACAACGAAGATGACAGCGTCTTCCGAGAAATGGCCGCATATCTACAGTTGGAACGGTACCGGTGTTCCTGCGGCACATCATCTTGCCGTAATGTAAGTTTCCGTCGAGAGCATCGATTCATACTGAGACCTGTGCATGCGTGCGGGACGAAGGAAGGCTTAGGCAAGCCGCTGGCAGCCCCAGTTACGGTGCTGCCACCGTTGTGCGCCACGCGAAAAGCGGCTGTTGTCGTCACGTGATCGCGACACGACCGCGACGAAACCAGTGCACGACGCGTCCGCCGTCCGTTTCCCGAGCTGAGCGTGTCGGACCATCAAGGATGGGCGAAGATAAAGCCAATGGTGTCACTAAATGAGACAACATCACGTCACAATTGGTATTTCATGTAGATCGCTGAGAGAAGCTACAGAGCTGCTAACAGGCTACTAGTGGGGTATATAGTGACGAGATTGTACGAACTCACTGCCAGTACACTTTACAGTACGCGAGGCAGCGTCAAGGGGTATATGGGGTATCACAAGCAAAATCAACGAAAAGAAAGGGTCGCCAATTACTCACGAACGTTTAGCCCGCTTGACTTGGATTGCCTCGGCCTTCTCTCGTGCAACCTTTTGATCAGCAGCGAAAGCCTTGCCCTTGGCGGTAGGCTCGCGCACCGTCCTCAGGTTTCTACGAGGCCTCTTGTTCTCGGGCCGCTCTTCTTTTCCCATAGCATCCTCTATAGCTTCAGATGCTTTCCGTTTCCGGCCCGTTTGCGCGGCAGTGTCGCCCGTATCAACGGCAGCGGTGACGTTGGAGTCTCCGCGAATGGTCCGGACATCCGCAGCATGTCTCGGAACGGAGAGCTGAAGCAACGCAAGCACAGGGGACGGTAGGTCTACGGCAGGGGGGTCGTCGGCGAGCGGGCGGAACGACCGATCGCGAGTTGTCTGTGCCGTTTGCGATCGCTTCCGGTCATGCATAGTGATGGCAGACTGAGCCGTGTCGTGCTCGCCGATCCTGGGTCTGGCCAGCTCGTTTGCTTCGTCACCATCCTGCTCCAGCGCCGTAGCAGCTGTGTTCGCAATCGCTTGTGGCGAGCCATCTCCGCGCACTTGCGACTGCGCAACTGGCGCAGCACGCCTCAGAGATCGCCGAAGAGTGGTTCCCGCACCGTTCGGTCCCTTCTCTTTTCCTTTGCCTTTACGTTGCGCGCGCTCTGTGGGATGCGTGACTTTCACAGCTGCTTGTGCCACCTTCGCCTGGGCTTTCTTTTTCTGTGCTCGCGTAAGCCTCTTCTGAGATGGCTTTGCCTTGACTTCTGGGTAGATCGCGAATTGAAGTATTCGCTGCGCCTCTTGACTGAATCGGTCCCAGGACTTTGCTGACACAATGTACCTGCTAACTGAACGCTCTTTAGCAAGCAAGATAAGAAGAGGCGCACGATTGACTCACCTTGGGACTGTTGAATGATCAGAGATGTTCGCTCGCGGACATTTGCGCCCCAGAAGGCGAAGTGCGCAGGATGTCTGATGATGTCTACTACCTCCAGAGCTGCTAGAATAAAGACAGCCTCCGATATGACGTCGCTCAAGTGGCGGCCGACCACTTGTCCGACGTCTTCAACGCGTCCGACTTCGATGCATCCACGTACGTCGCGGGCCGGTTCGCCTCTAGACGTGCTCGCTCCGGTGAATCCAGCCGCATCGTCGTAGACGTTACCTAGGTTCTTGAGATAGGTTTGAACGAGCGGGTGCCGTACCGTCCATCGCCCGTCCTCGAGGACTCCCGGAAATCCCGGGATCTCTCTTATAAGGCATCTGAGAACGCGGACGGGCGGTTGCTCGACAGACGCGGAGGTGGGTGTGGCGCGCGTGTCTCCGGGAGTAGGAGGGATGAAAGGCTCATCTCGCACCGCGGAAATGGGGAATATCGAGTATTCAGATGTCTCGGAGGATGCCAGCCTTTCACGGTAGTGCTTCATTGCGATCAGTATAGGCCAGACGTTGTTGGACAGGAGTAGAGTCGTGAGTTATGATTGAATACGGCGGGGTGACGCTGAGGAAACTCGGTAGCAGGCTAAATTGAGAGCAAAGCGTGTTGCAATGACAGGGTGAGGTCTGTGGCGTGCCGAGGGCGAAGGCGTGGGGGTGTACAACTGTACAAGGGCAGCGCTATGGCGAGAGACGTCGCAGCTTTATATCGTTCCTAGCCTGCCTTTCTCGGTCTGTTCACAAAGAAGCCACTGAACCGCACTGGGACGGCAGGAATCGGCATCGCCACTCACGCACTACTTGCATTGTCTTGCTGCCAAGCGATCTTCCCCAGCCTTCCATACCGAAGGGCGGCGGGTCTGTGGCAAACAATCATAGACCAGCAGGTGCATAAAGCATTCGCATTGTGAACAGCGGCGACTCACCGTCCTGAACAAGCTGCTCCATCGTGCAGCCAGAGGTTCGTGCCGGCAGCAGCACTTGCTGACGCGGCTATGACCCAGATATCCTCGTGTGCAGTTAGTGTGCGTACGCCAAGATGCTGTGCAAGAAGCACAAGCGCATGGAAGACGTACGCACAAGGAGTCAGTGCAGGCCTGAGGTTCGCGATCCCGGTCTCTACAAGAGAAACCCTACACGTGTTGCCTTCACTGCCCTCGGGCATGACGGTCCGTCACTGAGGTGCAGTCTCTCTACCGCTCATGTTGCGTCGTTTTGAACACCTTCGTAGCTCGACATTGCAGTGAGCAGCAGCAGACGTTAGATAAAGCACTCAAGAGTCGAGCGGAAGGCCAGTTCTAGGACGACGCCACAGATCCTCCTCGCCACCCGCGTCATCTTGGTCATGTGACCGTGAGGTACAGTACAGCCTTCGCGCGACGGCGCCGCCGCCACCGAGACAGACTCGAGGCGGCGTGTGCAAACGACTCTAACGACCATATTATAATTCTCTTTGACTAGATTTCTCGCTGGTTCTTTGGCTGCGACTCACGCAGACATAATCTGGATCAGTAACCTCGAGTTCCACTGGCCAGTGACCGCCGCTCTTAGACTAAGAGCATCGACGGTGTCGCAACAGGCGTTCAGTTGCGGCTTCTTGGTCCTAGTACCACTTTTTTTGGTAGTCCACAGGAGCCCGTTCGTGCGCAATTGATAGATTTGTCCCGCTCCGTCGTCGTCAACTCACATGGCAATTGTGTTTACAGTTACTTACGTGGGATTCATTTCCCGAGCGAAGACGTAACTCTATCGCAGGCGCTCGCTGCAATCCTCTCGATAACGCCGGTAATATGCATCGGCAGACTATGCTGGGACGTACGTATCAAAGACTCAGGTGTGCAATGCTTCTTAACCGTCCTGCCTAGTGATCTCTCGAACACATCTGGCCACATACGAGATGGCGGCGTGGAGGCGCTCGACACAAACTGTAACCAAAGGCCCCGTTGTAGGAAGGTTCTGATAAACGCCAGGAAGAGACGTGCACGCCATGCGGTCGAAGGCCCTGAGAGTACGGGGAAGGGATACTTATCCCGAGAGCCCCGGTGCTGACGACTCGGAGCCTTCATGGTTGCTACCCGCCATGTCCTCCGCTGCTGGCATAAACTACTCTGAACTCCTTGCCCTCTACCAGGAGAAGTGAGTTTGCGCCGGCTGTCTGTGGGCCACTCCATTGATGATGTTGTTTGCAGCTTCGTCAGCAACTGCGCCCAGGTCGCTGTCGCGGGTGGGTCAGATCTCGGTGGTTATCCTCCTCGCGACTCGACTGTTCATCTGTCCGGATTGCACAGCTGCCTTGGCCTTCGAGTATGCACTCACTGTGGAACAAGGAATCCGTATATTGCGCGGCAAGAAGACCGCAACCTTCTGGCTGTTCCTTTTGAATCAACTAGTCATGGTAGGCTTGGTGGTCACCAACGTTCTGGAGATGGTTCCTTGGACATCGAGTTCGGTACGTATTCCTACCCTTGTGGTTATACATACGATTTGCTGAGGCGGTCATATATCAGAGGTAAGGGATTGTTTACAGATGATGTCAACACGCTGTCGAACATACGCACGCTTCTAGCTGCCAGGCCATAGCAGCGATATACGACCTACTACAGCTATTGACTTACTTGATATGGGCAGGTCGGTTTTCGTAACACCTGAGCTCACTATCATGAAGTTCACTGTGTCTCCGGGATTAGTCCTCTCCTCCATCCGAATATACGTGGTCAGCAAAGGAAACCAGTATCTGCCTGTTCTTGTATTTTCTTTGGCGATAGTGCCCTTTGCCACGAACATGGTACTGCCCTGTTTTGTATTGCCGTTGCTAACTAACATCTTGCATTAGTACTCCTCCGTCATGGTCACATACATATCTACGGGGGTCCCCGGTTTGACGTTTTGTGATCCAATCTCCCATTTCTCCATGGCATTCGATAAGCGGTGAGTTGACACTATGGCAATTATATCTTGTACATGCACTCACGCTCTCCATTGCAGAGGTACCGCACTTTCCCTGCTACCTTCGGTAGTTGCTGAGAACCTGTGTTGCTGGCTCTGTGCCCTCCTGCAGCCCTCATTGCGTCCCGGACATGTGCGATCGCCGGGGACGTGCTTGTGTTATTGACGACGTGGTACCACGCCCCGCGGCCGGCTGCTACCCTCAAACGTGCATTCGGCTCGAAGATGCACACGCCGTTCGTTGTTCTGCTCTTGCGCGATGGTGAGTGGTCAACATGACTACACGGTCCACACGCGAGGCTTATGTACTTCGTCGTGCGCTTCCTGTAGGCGCCTTCTACTTCATGTATGTTCCAGAGTGGCTGGACCGGTGTCCGCTGATACTGATCGAATCTGCCAGCGTTCTCTTGTTGATCACGGTCGCACAGATAGTCGTAAATAACATTGAGGTATGATCCCCCCCCTCGCAAGTCCTGCGCCGGCGGTATCTCATCTCGGTCCCGTTCGCATAGGCACTGTCGATCGGAACAGTATTTCTGGTCCCGTACGTCATCCGTCCGTACTGCGCATTGACAAAGTGCATCACTGATGCTTCGGCAGTGCGATGTCCGTGCTCGTGTCGCGCTTCTTGCTCGACATCTACGAGGCCGCGGAGGACGCCGGGCAACCTTCGGACCGCGACTTTGATTCCTCTACGCATTACACGCTGAATACGGGTATCGAGTTCCAGATGGGCGACTTGGAGTGCATGGATGCGACCATCGCGACGAATGAGATATATTCCTTCCCTTCCCACTTCACCGATTCAGGCTTGGGATGAATGGACAGCCCGGAACCGGTGAGTGCCACATCGCAACTGAGGGCTCAAGATGCCGACTGACACGATGTCCAGAAGAATGATAAACGGAGCCCGACTTTGATCCTCTGACACCGACACCGACACCGCCGCCGCCCACGTCCGCCGGGGCGAACAGCGACCCGCGCCTCATCCGCCGTATAGCAAGTGGTTCCGCGAAGCGCGCATACCGAGACTTTACGTTCGATAAGGTTCGTGTCGAGTATGACGGATTGGTGGAAGTTGTAACGTCGGACAATGCATGTTCATCACATTCGAGCTACTACGCTGTTTAATGCTCGTGTTTGAAGCTAGGAGTATGTGAGTTCCACAGCGTTGTCTTGACAGTTGCTTTGGGCGCCACCCGTCCAAGCGTGTGAAGCAACCATGATCAGCACTGCGGGACAGCGGGCGTAGCACTGCAAGTTCGGTGTCCGTCATGACGAGACATAACATCATCGTGACTCCGAACAGAGGGTGATCCGTTGCAGCCACATCCACTGCATGGCCTGGCCACCGACCCTCGTTCCCGTGAAACACGCACGGTACGCTGTGTCCATTCCCCTTGTATCCTTGTTCACATGCCTATTTTGGCCTTCGCAGATGGGCCGCTGCAAGTCAGCATTCAACATGTTTCGCTGAGGTGGTACCGCGAGTAGTAGCCATGCTGTGGCCAGTTGTCCCCTCAACACTTGAACACTTGCCTTGTTCGGGCAGGACGCTCGAAAGCAACGCACAGCAGTGAGTCAGTCCGGGGCTAGCCCGAGATCTGTGCTGTGTGCAATTGACAGACGTCTAGTACGACGGTTCATCGAGTCAGCTATGTTGCATTTCTCACCAAGTCAACAATCGCAGCTTGCGGGATGCTGTATACACGGAGTGGAGGCCCCTCGCGAGAGCGCAACGTATAAAAGCGGGTTCACTGCGGGTCCGGAGAAGGGGCATACAATCCAACAACACCGAGACCCTCATCCCCCATCCCCACTTCCCATACCCAAGCATGAAGTCTTTCGTTCTCTCGTCCATCGCCCTCGCTCTCTTCCTTGCGACCTCGGTTCATTCTGCTCCCGTAGAACACAGTGTGAGTGATCTTTCATTACACTCCCCCCTCTTGGTTGACGTCTGCTGCAGCTCTCACCATCGCAGACGGAGGCCGCTTCAACTTCCCCCGCAGTGATGGCCCCTGATATCTTCCTGTGGGACCGTCGCTCTTCTCCATCACCGACTGGAACCACGGACGCGCCAGGCGCATCTCATTCCGCTCCGTTGGCCGCCCCTGGCATCTTCCTGTGGCGTCGTGGTACTGCGGACCCGACACAGACGACAGACAGCCCGACGGAGTCATCCTCTTCCCCCATTCTTGCTCCCGACATCTTTCTGTGGTAACTTAGTGGGTGACTTTTCTCGAGACTACCAACGTGTCGCTGATCGCTCTCCGTTTTCGCAGTGAATATGTCCCAATTGAGCGCCGCAGTTGGTCGGCACGGACTCAGAAGACGACTGATCCCTACTTATGGTATTTAATATCGCGATACTATAGCAGTACAGTACACGCCGGGCGCCCAGCGCTGGAGCTGGAGTTATTTCTCTCGAAGATACCTTGATACCGATACTTACGATCATTATATTCATGGACTGTAGCAGTATCTGGATTGAAGATGGATTGTAGTAGTGCCGTGGCCGTATTTATGAGTACTGTAGTCCCATGCGAATCCTCGGAAGGACGAGCGACACACATACTGTACCTGCGGAGTTCGTAGCGTTTCATACTATGAGGTCATCTGTACTAGTGCGATGAGAGTACGGGTCATCTATGACAGAGTTCGAGCAACACAGAGATATCCGAGCTGCATGTGTTCATAAGGGACTCCCCTCAACGTCAAGCTAGCAGTACTGTATCAAATGCGATCATGTAAGATACCGGACAAGCTTGAAGCTTGGGGCCTGAGCATCCGCCTTTCGACTAGTCTTGACTCTCTGAACAAGTCCTTCATAGGTCTGACATTGCTTACATGGTCACTTCTTTCGTATAAATCGTTACTGTAAAACTTGTATATGGATTGTTTTTCGAGCGTAGTACGGTGCGTCATCGTGCACAAACTTCAACTTGGATCATCGTCAACCTGTTTCCCAAAGTTTCCCGGGTCACTGCTTGGCACTAAGGCGCTTCTTGAACGCCTCGGTCACGTACTCCTAGTGATGCAACCACGACATCAGCGCACGACTCAGCGGCGGCCCTCTGCGAGCAAACGCACCTTGTCAAACGTCGCCTGGAAGCTCGGCCTCGCCTGGAGCGCAGCCCAGTACGTCTGGAAGCGCGCGAACCGCGGCTGCTGCAATGCCTCGAGGATCTTCGTGGCCTCGCCCTGCTCGTACGCACCGATATCGTTCTCGAGCGCGACGTACGCGCGCGCGAGGAACGGCGCGACGGAGATGTCCGCGATGCTGAACTCGCCGAGCGCGTAGCCCTGCGCGGGGAGGAGGCTCTGGATGGCCTCGATGCCGCCCAGGAAGGCCTGTACGGCCTCCGGCGTGCCCGTGCGGAGGAGGTTGCTCCACGAGGGGACGTGCTCGGAGGAGACGACTTCGATGAAGAAGCGCGCCTGCGCCCGCTTGACGGGGTCAGCGGGCAGGAGCGGCGAGCCCGGGAAGAGGTCGGCGACGAACTCGACGAGGACGAGCGACTCGGCGAGCTTGACGGACTCGGGCGAGGGCTGGTCGGGCTGGACGGCGGGCCCGCCGTAGGCGATGGCGGGGACCTTGCTCGCGGGATTCACCTTGGGGGCGTACCACTCTGGCTTGTTCTGCAGATCGATCAGGTACTTGGTGTACTCTGCCTTGGACTCCTCGAGGGCCAGCTCTACCTGGATTGCATGTCAGTCACGCTGACCGATGTACACTCAATCGGGCTATGTAGTTACCCTGTGGGCATACGGGCAGATCTGCATGCCAAGAACCGGTTGTTCAGCGTCGACTCGTCCCGACGATTGGTGTCATGACCACGTACCTTTGCAGTGTAGAGGGTGATACTCTCAGGCATAGTGCGATGTAGAATGCGGGCTCACAGGTAAGGCGAGGGCGGGGATTGCTTGCTATCTTGTGGTGAGTGCCGTCGATGACAATATATACCAAAGTCTGAAGAGGGGCGAGCGCTGTATGCATAAGCACCCTCCGAGAAATTGTCTCCTTGATATGCGCCATGAGACTGCATTCCCGGTGGGATCGGCGAATGGGCTGTCGAGACATACAAGATGACGTGCCCATAACCTTAGCTTAGGGCATCTGAACACGCGCACTGCATCGCGAACATTAGCCGCTGTCCTTCGTGCAGAGTCCAGGTCCTCGTTGATTCCGTGAAGGCGGACTACCACAGATCAATCCCGGGATTGGTAATGCAGGTACTCTCGCGGCGGACTACTACAGCTCACTCCCGGGATTGGTAATGCAGGTACTCTCGCGGCGGACTACCACAGCTCAATTCCGGGATTGGTAATGTAGGTACTCTCGCGTTGAAGACCTTGACGCTTTACTAACATAGATCTTATGGCACGCTATCCAATTGACGAAGGCGAGCAAAAGTGATGTAAGTTCAAAGGTCGGAATCGCTGGTGGTGATAGACAAGTTTGGATGCATTAGCACAAGTGGCACGTACTGATGTAGCACTAGTAGCGTCCTGGTATATACAGAGCAACGCGCCACCAGCATGTGAAGCAGGTGTGCGTCGGATTTACATCGCAGTGTCCAGACGAATCTGCCTTCAGGACGATTGCGGTCGAGGCATGCAATCACCACGAAGGAGGCGGAGACTGGAAGGTCTGACGAACCTCAGGATGAATAAGAAGTGGACACGCCTGTATAGCTGGCCATCTCTCGGATCCTGGCCCTACATCACTGAAGAGTTGGGTTAGCTGCCGGAGAGAACAGCCAGGTGAACGACTCACATCCATTCAACACACCAACGCTGTGTCACTGTCTGATACGTCGACGGTTTCCTGAGATCCGTGTCTACGGGTGGACCAGCTAGGAACGTCGATGCCAAAGTACTCAGGCAGTCTAGACCACGTCTTCTGTTGTTCCCTACGATGCCGCTCCTCCAACATCTCCTGGCACGGCCCACAGAGCGGTCCAGGTCTGATCAACTCCAGCGGACTCGGACGAGTCAGGGTGTCATAGCGACAAAGTACAGACTCTTGGTGATCGCCGGACCTGAATGTCTCGAGCACAACCTCGAGGGACGCGGCGCACTGTATATCTTCGCAGTCCGCGCTCGTCTCTGGCACCATGGTGCGCAACGCGGAGAGGAGATAGTCTTGACCCAGAAGCCTCCTCGCGTCCAGGCAGCGCTCGACGTCCTCCAACGAGAGACGAGCCGTCGCCGTGCCAGCGTTACCGTGCTGTACGCCTTGCAGGAGCACTCGTGTCGGCAGATTCGAGCACTCGTAGAGCGCGCTGGGTAGGACCAACAAGGTTCCTGTTAGGCGTGCGAGGTTGAACGTTGACCGCGGCGATAGCGTCGGCGGGCTGACAAGGGCCCGGGCATGCTACTCCAGGCCTTGAGCCACGTCTCCATGACGTCGCTATAGTGGCTTTTGAGCCGCGTTGACCGTAATGTGCTGGATGCGATATTTGGGGCCGAGACGGATCAGGCTCTCGACGACCGAAAAGCTCATGGTCTGGTGGTATCTGCGGACGTGTAGAGACTGAGTGATCTAGAGAGGAAGGCAAGACGGATAGACGGACAGCCAAGTCGATAGCAAAGCTCGCAACAGGACACGAACCTCCTCTGCAACATCAGGCAAACGGACGACGACGCACCCATCGATCCTCTTCGCATTCGCCGAACGTCGCCGCGCGCCGAAGAGGTCGCGGCATACGGAGGAATCCCGTATCAACAGTCCCTCGTACACGCGAAAGGTCGCATCTCCCGCAACGACGACTGCTGAGCCGTCCGCGAACCAGAACTCCTCATTGTGTATGGGAGGCTTCTGCTCGCGCTCCTCCGAGTCGAGTCGCTTTTTTGACGTTACGGATTGCTCTGCCATGAACAAAGGTCAACAGTCGATTCAAGCGAGTGATAACAGCTTGAAGCTTTAGCTACAGATCTGCCTGGCGTCACGATCACATGATCTGCTACGTAGCCCGTTGTGCAACTTCAAGTTGAACTTGTAGTATGTGCCGGTGGCGTATTACTATTACTCACTACGCTTCAGTCCATCGAATCCCGATCAATACCTCCACAACCATACACCAAAGCAGCTCGACACTGTCATATAGATGACGTCGGCTGCCAGCAAACTCCCTGCAGTGGTCGCTCTTGCTGTTACGGCTAGTGTCGTAACAACAACTCTGGCTGTGCGGTTCTTCTTATCCGGCACCAGGAATGCACCGCATACATACACCAAGACTAGCATGCGAGACACGGTGTGGTTATTATTCACCTGAATCTGTGCGATTGGCTGAATAGTGTCAAGCTGCCCCGAGACTTGGAGACGTGGCGCCTGCTTGACGATGAGGATGAGATCGAGCGTGTCTGGGAGGCCGTCAGGCCGACTCTTCATGACGCCGGCATTCGACTGTGGACGTATGATGGAGTTAGCTCAAGAGCTGACCCACAACAAACTCTCTTGTCTAACGGCTTTGCGTATCTGACCCCGACCCGCGGCGAAGCTTGGATTTCAAGACTCCAGAAGTTCAATTGTCATGTGAGTGTCGGTGTCGAATGGCTGCTACCTGCTGACCATTGCTCCTAGAATGAGCTTACCTGGGGAGGTTCGACCATTGGAGGGCTCAACGTGGTGATTCGCGTTGCAGCTATAGGAAACGAGGGTAAACGCCACTTGGAGATCTTGCGCAAGCTTGCCCAAGGCACGACCGGCTTGTGGACAGATAACCATGTTGTCCCTCTTTGGAAGGAGGTACATTTTGATGATATGGTTTTCATCGTCTCGCCGTACGTTGGTCATTCGATGGAACTATGCTATGGGTTCTGGGCGAACAACTCCGTCGGAGATATAGTGGATATGATCCTGCAGGCACTTGAAGTAAGTTGATCGCTCTCTGGTCTTGTCAACTGCAACTCAGATGATCTTCAGGCAATCGTCTTCGTCCACGGGCTCGGAATAGTGCACAGAGTAAGCATTCATTTTGCCCGACGTAATCGCTCTATTCTGACAAACTTGAATACGCAGGATCTGTGCAAATCAAACTACCTTGTTCAGTGGCATCCGGAATCCTTGTCGACGATGCGGGTGCCTCTATGCCGCCCGCGTGCATTCCTGACCGACTTCGAGACGGCTCACGAGTTTCCACCGGATATGCCTGCTGAAGAGCGGTTGTTGAGTGGTCTGCCTGTCGAGGACTACCAACGGTCTGTCCCTCCTGAAATGAGCTCCGGGGGACTGTACGACCCGTTCAAAGCCGATGTATGGCAGCTTGCCGAGAGCTTCTCCGACGTCAAGGTACGTCGCGTTGGAGCCGTATTCAGTCATGGGGTAATAATCACCGAATTTCAGACCACAGTTTCCAGCATTGATGCTATCCTAGAACATATGTTCGCACCGGATGTGTCTCTGCGATTGTCTGCATCGGATGCTCGCGACAGACTGGCGAATGTCGTCCACAGCACTCCACCTATAAGCCTTCTGATTCCGCCGCTATTATTGAATCCCTTGCCCAATTTCTAACCCCATACTTTCCTGGTAAGCAAACCTGGAGTACGGCGTGTACATCTCTCGCTTGGAATCATTACTTTGGATTATTGGCACGTGCCTGACACACAATATTTGGCTAGACGGGTTGCATACCAAAGCCCACACACTGGTAGCAAGACTTGTGATGGGTCGATTGTAGCTCCGCAATAATACCTTCGTTCGTGTCTATACTGCTAAGGATCCGCATATTTGCTCACATTTACGAGGCTTACCGTATGGCTCAGCGCGATGTTTCCAAGTCTTTCTATGATGCAATTGGGAAGTCGTTATGGATTGGAAGGCGGTGCGTTTCTCGGAATCCAATCAAACTTGTCCGTATGCCTATTCCTACAGTTCTTGTACAATAGACTACAGCAGCGTATCATTGCGTCCATTGCGATCAGGTCCATTGTCTCGAAGCTAACCGGGTATAGATTCCACGCCCTACATGCCTCCTGCGATCTCAATCATGGAGGATCACGCTCCTCGTCACCACCGTCATAAGGCAACCACTTAGTATGGGCTCCCCTTCGAGACAAAGTATCTCTGCGTCAGCTATGTGTTATGACGGACGTGTCAGCAGTTTCATGGTAGAAGGTACGATGTCTTACCTTGAAAAGCCTGAGACTAATAGCTGAAAAATTCGGGGGCTAAGGTTGCGTGCTCGGTCTGAGCAACTTGAACGGCCGTCATCGACGTAGAAGCCTGCTGAGGTAGGTTCAATTCAATTGCGTCTCACAATGAAAAGGTTACCTACTTGATCGCTACCGACGGGCATGGGCTGTACACCGCCTGAGAGGAAAAGCAGGACGGCGAGTGGCAAGATGAGCTGCATGCTGTCTCGGGAGACTATGTGAAGCGACCGGAGGTACGATGCGACGGGCTTTCGCAGTCTTCTTAACTGTGGGTAGGGGGAAGAGTACGCGGCGGTTGAGCAGCTTTTATAGCCAAAACATTCCCTCGGCTCACATGTACCCTTGGCTCGGACCTTGAGTTCCAGTGCGATGAGGATTACTGACAGCAATGCCTGCAGGTTCTGTGTTTGACGCTGAGCACATATAACGAGTCGAGGGGCCGTCTTACAAGCTCCATGAACCGCAACTAAAATATCATTGCTGGTGCAGAGGTCTGCTCATTGCTGTGCCCTTCTGACGCTGCCACCGTGAAGGCGATTTGTTTAGGTTCCGTTTGAACGGATTTTTCAGCACCAGTAGCTTTTCTTCATCGTCTATCGACATACTAGATCTTGCAAGCTGATGTATGCTTTCGACCAGCATCCCCAGGCCATATATCCCGGAGAGATCAAGTTCCTCGCCACGTTCGGCATTGCGGTGCCTCGACCTTCGTACTCCGAGTCAACCAAGTAGTTATCGCTTGACCTACTTTGTGGCGCATAGCACTGATGCAGTGAGCTACATGTGGCCGTGTTATGAGGTGCGTGCTCATCGGCCCAGTAGTCTGACTCTGATTGTGCATACCGACCGCCATAGTTCAAACTTCCGCACTATCTGAGCCTAGACCACCGTATGGGTGTTATCCTAGCAAACATACCTTTCAGCGAAGAAGAACGCTCCGCTGCTTTGAATTGAACAGCCTACGGTACAACTCGGTGATACAGGCACGTTCAATCAAGACAGGTGCGCCACAATTGTACGTACCAGAAGAGAAGAGGTACGACAATTGTCCTGCCATGCCCGGTGCACTAGCGCAGCGAATAGCTGCTACCGTATCGTACCGCCGCACGGAGACTCCGAACGGGTCTTGTCCGCTAATCCTCCCTGTAGGTCCGTGACCGGAACGCCCCCCGATACCGAGCTCCCCTCACTGTCCATAGACACAATTCCTTCGGTTCCGGTGCGTAATGGTCAATGAGAAGATCCCAACGGCACGATCACGACACTGAGCTAACACGGGAAGTTGCGCACAGATACCATACTACTCCCTTGATGGATTGGGACGAACACTCGACCCATCGAGTAATGTTATGCTACGGCTGCCGCGACAGCGCCACGGCGCTCTTGGGTATTACTGATACAGGTACTGTAGTTGCCAGCCCCATCTCTAATAGCGCTCGTACATGCCCCATTCCTCGCTAGTACTTCGATTAATAGACACAAAATGCCCTTGCTAGCCTGTATAAATGCTACGTGAGTCACTGCCACTGACGCCGCGCCTCGAACTTAAAGGCTCCCATCGTCCCTATGTACATTGCGATTCGGTGAGGACCCGTACATCATGTCAGATATGTGGTATACGTCGTTCAACGTTTCCAGTGACAGCTGTGTTCAGTCCGCGTCTGGACCCCACTCAGATTCATCGAAATATCGACCCAAGCGGCTGGTACTCATATACTGCGGCGCGTCGGCGCCGTCAGGCGTGGTTTGCAGACAGCCTATGACAGTGCTCTAAGTGCAATAGCCTCTATAATGACTGTACATAAAAATATCAGCATACCTGTACCCTACCACGCCGAACCAACGGCAGTGCTCGAGCCCTCCGCGAGGTCGTAGGACCGCGTCAGGGCGGGTGTGTTCCGTGCACAGTCGGCGGTGGTGTTGTTGGTGTTCTGCAGCTGGAACGAGAGCCCCGTTGACTCGGTGTCCTCCAGCGTCGCTTCGAGCGCGGTATCCCATACTTTGTGCACTTCATCCGCCGCTTCTCGGATGTTGAGCAGGAATCGGGATACAAGGACCGACATTACCCTGCGTACGTGTCACGCATGTTTCCTAAGATCAGAACAATGACGTACGGTATCAGGAAAACGGTTCCGATTGAAAGGGCCTATGCATGCGAGTGGATTATAATCGTGTCTGTATGGAATCTGGATGGTACGCACCTCGATGTAGTTCATTATGATTTGAGCAGTGCTGATCAAAAGGAGTGCTCTGAGATTCAGTGAGCGCCTCTCCGACTGACAGAAGCTTCATTGGATCGTACATGAAATACAGCACACCTAGGGACGTGAAATGAGCCGGACCATCATGCGGCTGAGCGAATGAATATGTCACACCATTTCTCAGTAGCAGGGCAGGTAGGCGTATGCGTGTCCTGAAGCCAAAGACCTGCGGCATGAGCTCCGGGCCTCTCGAATAGTACCACGTTGCGAGTACTACGATGATGTCGGCGGCCATTGCGCATGCGCGCGAAGACACGAGAGCTAAGATTCGCCAGAGTCAACACATGACAAGGAAATTTGTATATGATTCTACCTCTAATGAGCCGGCCGTTAACATATTCAACTACACAGAGAACAGAGTGTGACTCGCCTGCTGTTCGATTTCGTGGAAAAGTGGAGTGTTGCATTGCAGAAGGTGATCGTCTCTTCCACGGTCAACGGCTGGTATGATGTCAGAACAGATTGGTACTGGGGAGGAGATCAGCGTGAAATATCCTGCCGAACGACGAGATACGCGACTGTACCATGGTTGTACCAAACGGAACGAGGTCAAGTGCGAAGACAAGTGCAGGTAGCATTCGACTGCTCCTGCTGACGGCCTGGGCGCGTAACGCCGAGATAACTGTAGTGTGTTCAGCCTGATTGCTAAAAAAGCAGACGAAACAAAACAAACCGGCCCATTCCAAGAACGTCAAAAGTTGCAATATATCGTAAACAATCCCAATGGCTTGACAACTGCGTTCGAGGTCACATCTGCGATCGATCAGTCAAAACGTGATCTCACCTCTAGTATAGATGCATTCTGAGTCTCTACTTCCAATACAAATGGAAACCACGCACCGCGCTCGTCACCCAAGGTAGCATCTCAAGTATGTTCGCTATCACCAAGCCCAGCATGACGCACTGATTGAGAAGGAACACATATAGAGACGGATTCCTCCGACTCCAAATGAAGTTTATCGCTTGGTCGAGCGTGAAAACATATTCGTATGCGACCAATGCTGCGCAATGACTGTGAATCAGCGCACAGAGCCGGTAGGCGCGAAATAGTTACGTACCTGCCACGGCAACTTGAGCACAGTTCGTCACAAAGCTGCGCGTTGACAGCGTCAGAGAACGACAAGGCAGATGTTCCCGGAGCTGGATGCGTTACCTAGTGTGCAGGAGAGCGAGAAGCTCTGCCTCAGCTTGGAAAGACATGGCGGGCAGAGCCCTTTGGCGAGGTCATCGTGCAAGCACAGACAAGAGATAAAGGCTGACCACCGATGTACCACACATCTGTCCACCGCATCATGGACGGTGGCAGTCACCGCGATGGTAACACTCACACCAACGTTCCTGCGCACATGTCGCACAGGACGTCCCTCCGGCCCCGCATTTAGTAATATGGCACCTGAATGTAGTTGCCACATAGAAGTCCACAAAGCCGTGGGTAGCTGTGATCTTGTACTAGGGCCCTGGCTGCCAGCAGCGCAGCTCATACGATATATCTGGGGGCCCGGATACTGATTACCCCATGGCCACGTCGAGCGAGGGGGTGCGCAGGACACTGCGGGACAGCCATGGGAGTCAGTCCAACTGACGCATGGCTGACAGTGAGGACGTACTGATCATATCGATATCGGGGCATGGAAGGCGCTATACGAGCGGGCCTGTTGGCATCGCTCCGAGGCATTATCACCGACTCGGAGTACGTATCGGACTGAAAGGCACGACACCACCTGCAGCTGCCAGGTGGTGGTCATATACGTCGCCTCTGTACCTCAGCAGAGAAGGAGTGTCAGATTGAATGGTACTGCTAGACCACCGTGTCTGATCCACCGTGACTGCATCAGTGATTGGAAGATGAGTTCACAGCCTGTCGGGGTGTCAGCTTGCAGTTGCACCCCGACGATCCAAATGCGACCCCGGAAAGGGGAACAAGTCCAACTTGAAGTATAAGTCAGGGTGACGGGGTGAACGTTGACCGGTGACCGCCCGCGAAGAGGGCGGTGGCGCATGCCTGATTTGGTGACCCCGAGTGGTGACCGAGGCTAAGCGCCCGCGGCGGTCACAACGAATCCGCCTGAGAACCATCGGCAGTAACTCGGAAGAACGAGGTACGGGGCGGCGCTCGATGTGGCGTGTGACTTACATAAGCGGTACTGTATGTACGGTCGCGTCGACCGGCGTACTTAGTACCACTGGCAGGGTTGTACCACCAGCTACAGTAGTACCACCGGCAGTGTCTCTATTTTACACTATGCCTACGTATATACGTAGGTGTTGCCTCATCTCGCAATGGTGCGCCATCCGTTTTGATGAATGGAGGACTCTGATCATGGTGTATAACGACGAAACCACTGGCAGTATTCAAGTTTATTGGTCCGCTGACGCTGGCCCCTCCCAACTGTGACCGTGTCACTGGACTTCCAAGATAGAGAACGACGCACAACTCAGGCCTAGGTGCGTCGCAGCTATGTGAACTTATGACTGCGTGATTAATACTGCAGTGGCGCAGGCTAGCTGGCAGCTCGAGCGTCATCCTGTCGCTATTTTGATTGAACCCTCCCACATCTGCCGTGATGCTTGCGTAGTCTCGCCGCAAGACGTACGACTGGTATCGGCCATGACTTGCTCCTCTGTGTCAGTGGACTGCGCCGCTCAGCCCGTGGGGCCCGGCTGTTGACGTCCGGCGGACTGTCCCCGCCTCTTCTGGTGCGTTCGCCACGTCCTATCATGTATACCTCCATGTTACTGACAGTTGCAAAGCTCGGAATTGATGTGGGTTCATACAGCGCAAATTGTTCCCCTGCGCACATACAGTGAGTGGATACCTCTTGTGTACGGCTATGAACCTATCAAATACAATCACAATCGCACACGCTGTCAACGCTATGACTTCGCCTTCCTACTATCTACCAATCCAACTATATCATGCGACACCTCAGGAGAAAGGCCTACACTCAGCTAACTCAGCGGCAGCGGCCGCAGTTCTTCAGTGTCTCTCCTGTCAAGAAGAGTTTGCCACAACTAATATATAAACACTTCCTCCATGTTCGTCAATATCTCAACGACTCACCTACCACACTGCGTCGCGATGCCTGGACAGAAAGCCCTCTACGTGACTGAGAAGCATAGTCCCTTCGCCCTCGGCACTGCGCCGATATACAAGCCTGGCCCTGGCGATTTTCTGGTCAGGATCGAGTCTACGGGGCTCAACCCTGCCGACTGGGCCATCCAGGCCTATGGTATGATCATCGAGAAGTACCCGGCCATCCTCGGCATCGACATAGCAGGCACTGTTGCAGACGTAGGAGAAGGTGTTACGCGCTTCAAGAAGGGCGATAGGATGTACGTCCTTTCCAGCTACCTACGTTGAAAAGCTGAGTGTTAAGTGTCACGGTGCTGACGATGCTGATGCGCGCAGACTCACGAAAGGCACCATTGGCAAGTACGAGCGTACCGCATTCCAGCAATATGCTCTCGCATATGAAGATACATCCGCAAAGGTGCGAAGGCTGCTGGATTCCCCAGTTCTGGTGTAGACTGACAGGTCGGTAGATACCCGAGGGCATGTCGTTCGACCAGGCGGCTACTATCCCTCTCGGTCTCTGTACTTCGGCTGTCGCTCTGTACCACGACGGTGTCAACGTAATCGGTGGCACATGCGGGCTCACTCCTCCCTGGGAAGATGGGGGCCGCGGGAAGTACAGAGACCAGCCCGTCGTTGTCCTATCTGGTGCTGGCTCCGTCGGCCAAGCAAGTGAGATTGATTTCGCATTTCCATTAGGGCCGATAGCGAGCTAACCATTTTGTAGCAATTCAATTGCTCAAGCTTTCCGGCTTCAATCCCCTCATCACGACCGCGTCACTGAGCAACGCCGAGTGGCTCAAACACCTGGGCGCGACGCACGTCCTCGACAGGACGCTCCCTTCTGAGGAACTCTGCAATGAGATTCAGAAGATTGCATCCAAGCCGATCATGACCGTCTTCGACGCCGCCGGGTACCCCGACACGCAGAACCTCGGGTACGACCTGCTCGCGTCCGGCGGCACGATGGCGGCCGTGCGCCCCGACGCGGTGAAACCTGAGAAGAAGGTCGAGGACAAGAAGTCGTTCTTCATGTACGCGGACGTGAACCTCCCGCAGAACCGCAAGCTCGGCGCGAGCATGTTCGCTGAGTTGACGGAGATGCTGGATAATGGAGACCTCAAGGTTCGCAACACATCGTGTGAATGACGAACTCGCTGACGAGTGTTCGTGTAGCCGAACCACGTCGAGGTGGTGCCAAACGGCTTGGAGGGAATCGTCCCTGCCCTCGAGAAGCTGAAACAAGGCGTGAGTTGCGTAAAGCTCGTTGCACACCCGCAGGAGACCGCATAGAGTAGTACGATGGCGAAGTCCGGAACGGAAGAGCTCATCCGTGACCCTGTACACTACATAGGAACGTCTCGCGATCATTGCTCGAGCAGTCAATTGTAGTGATCAATATTTTCGAAGTTTGCATGTCGTACGAGGAAGAGTAGCGCGTGCACGACATTCCCGCCCGAAGGTGTTGCAAAGAACACAGAAATTGCATATGCACTTCCGATACAATTCGAACACCCAAGGCCACTGCGTCCTCCAAATCCACATATATCGCCCTGTAGATTGACAAATCACTACTCGCGCGTTCGCCGAGTAGCTCGGGTTAGCTTCGAGACAAAGGCCCGTGTATGGGAAGAACACTCACGTCTTTCTCTTGTTAATCCCAGGACACCTCGACTATCCCGCGGTCAAACCATGGTCTCAGCAAACCACGAAACACGGCCCTAATCCTTTGGCCAATGCTGTTTGGATCTCTATATCCCCGGTGACCTACGCCGCGCAGGTGTATCTCAATCTGGACATCCTTCAACATGTCGAAGTATTTCTGGTTCGCGACTTCGTGCATGTTTCGCAGTTCGAGCCCCTTCAGGACGTCACGGCTGCGCAAGTCCTTGTCAGTAGCCTTGCTGACGTTGAACCATGCCACGATCGTGATGCATTCAAGGTGGCAGCTCCGGACCGTAGTGAGGATGCCGAGTAACTCGTCTGTCACTCTGGACCAGTCATCCGGCAACAGGCGCCTGAACCCGATGTTGATCAGAGGAAACCCTAAGGACCGCAAGGAAGTGTTGTGCGTGAGGTCGCTGTGACCATCTATGAAGTATTCGTATCAGCAATGACCCACAGAAAGCAAGATAGGTGTGCTTAACAGCATGTAAAACTGCGTTCATTGTACCGTGTCAGAGACGACCCCACCGCTCTGAGGAATTCATTGATACTTTGCACTGAAGCATCGCCATCCGGCTCTGCTGTCAGATCACCCAGATCGGTGGATAATTCTGACAGCACAAGCCACTCCAGAAACCTCTTCATGAGCCCTTCGTCCGCGCTGATATTCAAACGTCGAAGGCGTATGTTTGACTCCGACCGCGGCTGAAAGTGTGGGCCTCCCGTATGAGTAGCGTAGCTCCGGGAAGGATAACATGCAACGTTCTGCATGGTCATCTCTGTGAGCTGAGGGAAGGCGCAAATGATCCGCGAAAGCAATGAGACGTTGGGCGCCATGCAATTCGTCAGGGTCAATGAATTGACGGATTCAGATTGCGACAGACCCCTGAAGAAATCGGGGCGCCGTAGTGGACGTGTGAAGCGAAGCTGAAGGGTCCGTACCCCAGCCATCGCGCGGCCCATGGTCAGCGATAGTGCGTGGAGAAAGTGGGGACGGTGATAATAGGCGTCCTCGATCATCAGCTCACGCGTAGTCGCGAGCCAGTGTTTGAGACGAAGAGATGAACGAGACTGCTTGAATAGCATGTTGTAGCTTGTCCGGTCGCAGATCTGGATGGTGCTGTAGAGGTTGGACATCGCCCGAGGGTACCATGCCGTGCATACGGGCGCAGCGGCAGCGAGCGTCGGCTGGTCCATTCCATCGATTATGAGCTCGAAAACCTCAAGAGGAGCGCGGGCGGTGAGGGTTTGCGGCAAGGTACCGCACAGGGCGGCTGATCCACTCGATGTCTCGACGGTTTGTTCGAATGCACCGACTCGGAGTCCAGGTTCATCGGCTCCTGCACGTGGCACGTCTTGACCGGGCTGGACGCTGGGACGGAATAGATCCTGTGCGTATTGAAATGAATATGTGTGAGCTATGGCAGAGATGTAGGAAACGACCGACGGACACGCTGGATTCGAGAGATCATTCTACTCAGGCTGCTCTCGGAGGAGGAGGAGGAGGGGGGTCCATTTAGCCACCGGCCGATAGCGCACGCGCGTCTCGACTTCTTGCTCGAGTCGCCTGTGTACGTCGGATGATGTGCGCGCTATGAGTCAGATTACAGTACTTGATGTTGAGTCTCTGCGTCAGTGGTCGAAATGACCTTCTTCAGGATGTAGATGAGGGGAACAGAAAACAAGATGAGCACTAGCGTTTGCAATGGTTGGCGTCCAAACGGTATACTTGCCGCAATCTGAGGAACGAGTACACGACGGGGCACGTGCGCAATATATGCGCGCTTGCCGCTCGCGGCATCCCGCGCGTCACGAACTTGCCTCTATCTCTGGCGTTACATATCATCATGGCCGTCGCGCACTTCGTACTCTTGAGCACTGTGTCTTCCTGCTTACCACGGACACAAGGCTGAGAACAGGAGCTGCTAGCGATGTCTCCTCCAACACTCGCGGTTGTTGCAGCAGGCGCGATGGGCGCTGCCGTCGCGCGTCGGCTCACATCCTCCGGTTGTACAGTCCTCACCAATCTCGAGGGGCGCTCACAAGCCACCCGCGAACGCGCTGCTTCAGCCGGCATGCTCGATGTGCCAATGCCCGAGCTCGCAGCACGTTCACAGTGGGTCCTCAGCATCCTCCCGCCGAGCGACGCGCTCGCGTTCGCGGCGCGTTACAAGGCAGCCGCTCCTGCACAATCCAAGCTCCGTGTGGCCTTCGCCGACTGCAACGCGGTGAGCCCGGAGACGGTGAAGAAGATCGCGGCGCTGTTCGCGGGGAGTGGGATTGGCTTTGTGGACGCGGGGATCATCGGTGGGCCGCCGAAGGACGGGTACGACCCAGTGTTCTATGCCTCCGCCGCTCCGGAGGATAGCGACCTGCTCGACGACTTCGCAGGATTGTCGAAGTATGGCCTGAAGGTGTCGCCTTTGAGGGGTGAAGGAGCTGGTGCAGGCGACGCGAGCGCGCTGAAGATGTCTTACGCGGTAAGAGGTTATCCACGTCGACGTATGCGCAAGGTACCCATGATCTGAGTCAGGGCATCTCGAAAGGCATCATAGGATTGACCACAACCATGATCCTCGGTGAGTTACGATGGCACTTCGCTTCTATACCTTATGCTCAGCGATGCCAGCTGCACATGCGTCGTCGCCCGCGACCGCCCAAGCGTTGATTCACGAGCTGCACTCGTCTCAGCCGCAAATCCTACAGCGGATTACAACGAGCGTACCAACGATGCTCCCAAAGGCATATCGCTGGGTCGGCGAGATGGAGGAGATCTCTTCCTTCGTCGGTGGTGGCGAGGGCCAGATCCATCAGGGTCTCGCACGGCTGTACGAGCGTGTCGAGCGTTCGCTGAAGGAGGAGCAAGAGGGCGGACCAGCGGAGGACGTCAAGGTTCTGAGGGGCTTTGTAGACGACGCGAAAGCAGTCATCGGTGGGCAGAAGTGATGTGCGGTTCTTCTCCACCACTCGTTATTGCTTGCACCGCATTGATGTCGTCGATTTGAGCTCAGGAGGCGGGAACACAGGCGCATATAATCAGTTTTGGTTTGATTCCATACGCGTTACGGGCCGATGACAAGGTTCCTGCAGTTGGCCTAGTCTCCGTTGCCAGTTGGCCGTCCCGCGTCGTATGCACGGCCGGATGAATACTCGACTCAACGTCGGCCGGCCACATCCCGCTAACGCCTCCCACCGCTTCATCGTTCTCGTTATGCCCATCGGGTCAGCTTCCACCCCCACTCAACGTCCGCCCTTCACATATGGAGGAACACTGCCACCAAGACCTATCTAGTAGAATGCGTCGTCACATCGTCAGGCTGTACCCTCACGATTTCGCATGCCACGCAGAATCCGGATGACATCGGGCGGACTGTTCCCGCCCTTGCCGACACATCGACCCTCGGGCCTCCTGCGTGCTCTGTAAATGTACACACACTTTGGACAGATGGATTGCCGTTCGCGTGGTCCGTGGACTGGGTGTAGCAAAGGGTGAGTATAATCGTGGTGCGCGTACTTCGACTCGCCGAGTACGCGTGACGTCATGTAGCCGATCGCACGCGTACACGAGGCTCTCCTGCGGCGCTTCCACTAGGTCCCACGTGCACTCTGCCTCTATGTCTTCGTGCACCGGCTGACGAAGCAAACGGTACGTGAGTGGGTCAGGCATTCCAGTAACGATCTAGTGATCCTCAAATGGGCAAGTTGGGATCAAGATGCCCGGCTGCGTTTCCTCTCAGTCATCACTACACCACCCAAACACCACCGGGTGGCGCAGAGGTCACATCCATGCCCGGTCGCGGGGTCGCTGAGGCATCGACGGTGGTATCAGGTCAGCCGGCATATCCGCCCGATACTTTGCTGGCTCTAGTCAGTTTGATGTCCGCGACCGGTCATTGAGCGTTTACGCCCGACGACCTCCGCTCGACGCCCCCAGGGCATCGATACAAGGTCCGTTGCTGACTCATCGCGAACATCCCGCTCGCAGCCGCATCGGACTATAATCAGGTCAGTCTGTCACGCTTGCAGTAGCTATATAACCACAGGCAGGACGCTCGAGCTCGTATCCAACCGCTAGGCTCTACAGCAGATCTCTACACCATGCCCGAACACAAGGCACTCTTTATTCCTGAGAAGCAGGCTCCCTTCGTCGTCAGGTCTGTCCCGACGCCCAAGCCTGGACCGGGGCAGCTCCTTATCAAGGTCGAGTCCGCGGGACTGGCGCCGGCCGACTGGGCAATCCAAGCAATAGGCATCCTCGTCCCGAAATATCCGATCATTATTGGGATGGACGTCGCGGGTACTGTCGAGGAGGTAGGCGAGAGCGTCACGAAGTTCAAGAAGGGCGACAGGGTGTAGGCAACGTTCTCTGTTCCACCATCTGCATGAAGACTGATTTCGGCCGCATGATCCAGAGTTAAGGAGTGCTCCATCGGCGACGACCCGTTTTTGTCCGATTCATCGTCTTCGGCCTTGCCTAATGACCATAATAGTCGGGGCGCTGGCTTTCAGCAATACAGCCTCGCTAGCGAGGACACAACTGCAAAGGTACGGTACAGCACCGAGTTTGTCAGCCGTGAGCAAGATTGACGAAGTCCGTGTGTAGATACCCGATAACATCACTTTTGACCAGGCCGCGACGATCCCTCTCGCTCTCGCGACTTCCGCAGTGGCATTGTACCATGACGGAAATGGCGCGCTGGGCGGGACGTGCGGCCTGACGCCTCCTTGGGAAGCAGGCGGCCGTGGCAAGTATAAGGGACAGCCTACAGTCGTCCTCGGCGGTGCCAGCTCCGTCGGTCAGATCAGTAAGACAGGATTAAGCTCTGTTAGCGCACGCAAAGCTGACGATATCCCAGCCATCCAGCTCCTCAAGCTCTCCGGCTTCGGTCCTATCATCACGACCGCATCCCTCAGGAACGCCGAGTTCCTCAAGTCGATCGGCGCCACGCACGTCCTCGACCGCAACCTCTCCCCCGACGCTCTCCACGCGGAGGTCCGCAAGATCACTGCGGACCCGTTCACGACGATCTACGACGCCGCCGGCTCCTCTGAGACGCAGAACATCGGGTACGACCTCCTCGCGCCGGGCGGCACGATGGCCTCTGTGCAGGACGACCTGGTGGCGCCGGAGAAGAAGGTGCCAGAGAAGAAGACGTTCTTCATGTACGGCGACGTGAACATCCCGCCGAACCGCAAGCTCGGCGTGAGTCTGTACTCGAAGCTGACAGAGCTGCTCGAAGAGGGCGCGCTGAAGGTATGTGCCTGCTAGTGTCGTGCCGGTGGTTGATTGTGAACTTACGGCGTGACGTGCAGCCGGTCCCGGTGGAGGTTGCCCCGGGGGGCTTGGAGGGTATTCCACTCGCGCTGGAAAGGGTTCACAAGGGACTGAGCTGCCTCAAGCTCGTAGTGCACCCGCAGGAAACCGCTTGACGCCTCTGATCTGTGTAGAAAATGCACTCAGCGGGAATACGGAACTTGGATAGCACTTTAGTGGTACTTCGGTATCCAGTGAGGTCATGCACACTGGACACATTGCAGATTTGACTCGTATTCTTCGGAGGAGCTGTGCATAGTATGGGAAAGGTCGTCCTACACTGTCTCACTTGTGCTCGTGCGCAGAAACTGTGTCGATTGTGTCTCCACCCATCACCTCGCCTGTGTGTATTGGCATGTCGCCAAAAGCAGCCCATACTCTTGCTATAGGCACAGCGGGCACACCAACGTTTTTGATCTCCGAAAACCGCTGTAGTTGACACGTATACACTGCGGCTAAATGGAAACCTCTCCCCCTCCTCCTCCTCCTACAAAGATTGGTCCTACCCGGGAACTCTTTCTGAGGATGTTTGGGCGCCGAACATCCTCAGAAATTAAAATATATAAGGTATTTTAGCCAAATTTCAGCATGTTCGGAGCATGTCCGTAGCATGCTCGACGACAACGCGCACTTTCGGAACATTGTCTTGGTCCGTCAAATCTCAGAAAAGGTTACCATGAGGGTCCGATGTTCGTAGGGTTTTCGGAGCCTGAACAACTTGAACTGGTTTGCCCGCGGTGAGGAGAATGGATACATTCGTTTTTGTGCGCGCTCAGATACAGACAAACTATTGTACAACTATATTCGTTACACTGCCCGTCGAAGGCTTGATATCGGGTTCATGGAAAGAGTACACAGAAGACCTGGTTGTTATCAGGAAGCGATACTGTTAGCCAGGCATGGCATCTCAGGCAGGAGCTGCGCCCAATGGTGTGCTGAAGATGTCTCTCAGCCTTCGCCGACAAGGTTGACGCAGAATAGGTACTCACTCATCAGATACCTTCTCACATTGGGCTGCATGGTAGAGTTTGGTCCGATTATCTGCAAAACTCAGCAGGAGCTTACTCTGTACGCGATGTCAGCGTGCATTTCATCCACCTCACTTGTAGACACCTACTCCCGTCGCACTCTCGATGGTGCGGATAAGCACACCAACGCTCGAAGCGCTGTACTCATGGGCTTTGTACTTTCCCTGTCAGAGATGGGTAGTTAGTACAACCATAAGCAGACGACAATTAATTACTTACGGCAAACCCCTGTGACATCGTAGCCCCCTGAGTATTGTCGCCTGCTACAGGAACCTTGATATCCTGATAATTCTGGTTCGACTAGAGCCGGCGTCAAGTCAGGCCTGCCATGCATACAATAGAGGTCACGAACGTACCATTGTAGAGAGCAGCGACTGGACGGTGGTAAGCAGTAGATGAAACGAGAGGTTCGAAAGCAAGTGCCCCCGGCGAGCGTACGCCTTTTATCCAGTTCTGCGATCCTGTCCTAAACGCTTCAGGCCATATTCAAACGCGAGTCAGTCAGTCATGATTCGTTGCTGGCAACATACGTCAGCGCTGCCGAGAGGAACCATGCCAGTCTATAGGTGCATGGGAAATGTCGATATACTAGATTGGCAAAGACTTGCGCCCACTACTCTTGGGCGCCGTTCTGTCGGACGTTCTTGCATATCTACGCTGAGAGACTGGTACATATAGAGCATAGATGAGTCGTAGCTATAGTCTACGATTGCACACAACGGGTTCGCCAACAGCGCCGAAGGACAGGGCCTCTTGCTAGCCAAGTGACTCGAAGTAACGGCAGCTTTATGAGGCTGACTCGGACTCGGACTAGATAGGGAGAACATGATGACACAACGGAGTAGATGCTCATAGTCAGGCAGCATCATATACGCACGGGAACATCTAAGATCACCACCGTCTGAAATTCACAAGCGTCGGAGGAATGAGAAGGGAGGCGGCGGGAAGATTGTGGACTACCGCAGCCAGTTTGTCGCGGGCTTCCACTGCAGATAGCCTCTGAGAAGCGTCCGTATCGAACATCTGGCCAAGGATTGCATCGATATCGGAGACCGTCGCCTAGCGAGCGTTAGCAAGCAAGCACAGTAGTACATGACTTGCAACGTACCCTGAAATCCGAGAAGCTCTCTGCAAGCTGCCATACGTCGGATTTGAACGGATCATAAGGCTCTCCAGAGCTGATTTCTGGCGGTACTGGACGTTGATAGTCCTTGATTGGGGTCCCAATCAGCAAGCGATCTTCGGATGCCACCTCAGCAGGGAACTCGTAGGCCATCTCGAAATCGGTGAGGAATGCGCGTGGACGACAGAGAGGCACTTTGTTGGTCTTCAAGGATTCCGGGTGCCACTGCACCACGTAGTTCGACTTGCACAGATCCTGCAAAGCTGTTAGTATGCTTCAACACGAAAGGAAGGGCGCCGTACTCTATGCACTATACCCAGGTCATGTACAAAAACGATTGCCTGGGGCCAGTTGAGCAACGCGCAAGCGAACGTACAGCAGAATTGCTTACTCACCTCTAGTGCTTGGAGTATCATGTCAACTATGTCTCCGACGGAGTTCTCCGCCCACCATCCATAGCAATCTTTCATGGAATGAGCCACAAAGGGCGATACAATGAAGCCAATGTCCTCGAATTGGACCTCCCGCCAGAGCGGGACAACATGATTGTCCATGAACAGGCATTTTGTGCCACGGGCAAGCTTACGCAAGATCTCTGCGTGTCGTTTGCCTTCGTCCCCTATTGACGCGACTCGTATGACTACGTGGAGCCCATCAGCGGTCGTGCCACCCCGCGTGAGTTCATTCTACCATGAAAAACTCAGCAATTAGTGTGTTATGTTGCTTGTTGTAGGACTTACGTGGCAACTGAACTCCTCGAGATTCCTCAGCCATGCTTCACCACGCGTCGGGGTCAGATATGCAAAGCCATTGGAAAGTTTCGTATGGTTTGGATCGGCTCTTGAGGCAGAGCCCCCAGGTGACCATAAAAATATACCTGAGTGGGCGAAGGCAAGCCGAACAGCTTCCCAGACGCGCCCAGCTTCTTCCACACTGTCGATTAAACGCCATGTGTTCAAGTCGCGAGGCAGCTAAGTTCAAAAATTTAGTGTGAATTTCGTTAGTGTAGGCGGCATATGTGTAGCATACCGTGTCACGAATATTGCTTCGGCCTCGATTGCGTCGCTTGTCAGCCCACGACAGGTACACCCGCAGCGCCACGGCTGCTGTAGCAAGGCCAACTAGTGCAGTAGCGGGAGACCACAGTCTAACATGATACGAGAGCATTTTGAATGGTGCTCAAGTAACGCGTAGGTGACAACGGGGCTGCCCCGAGAGTAGTTTGTGGACAAGTTCAACAAGTTCAACGGCACGAGCGCCCGATATCCGTGAGCGCGCGGTCATCATGTGACCGTGTGTCGGGCTAGTGCTTCGCAACTACGAAGTTATGTCACTAGCATCTCCGGACAACGTAGAAGGCAAGTTGCAGTGCGCCTGTGCTATTAGTACTTGGTGTATTTGGAGCACTTGGATACAGATGCAGGGCTGATCACTTCGATATGATTCTCAGGGTCGATCGCAAGGGGGCATAACTGAGAATACCTGGTATATGGCTCGATGGGTTGTCTCAAGGTAACATGCCCAGAATGCATAGGTAGAAGTGTGGCGAAATGGAACCCCCTCCTCCTCCTCCTCCTCCTCCTCCTCCTCCTCCTCCTCCAGGATAAGATGTGGAATGAGGAGGACGGCCGCAGGGATACTATGTACGACGTCTGCCAAGGGGTCCGCCGCAAACATTTGCTCGAGTACAACGTCAATCGCAGCAATCGTCGCCTGCCGGGTACTCGCCGTACAGCTTCTATCGTCCACAGCCCTAGGCCCTGGGCGGTGCTTCCATGTGAATACATCCCGCGACTAACACACCCAATCCTATGCCAGCGGAATGATTAGAGACCCCGGCGCTCAGCGCTCAGCAAACACGGTGTAGTTATCACCGCCGAAGATACACACGTTGAGCTAAACGGTTTGTCTCTGGTACCGGAGTAATCACACAGTCAGGGCCTAGGGTGTTCCAATCAGGAATGCAAAAATCAATCAGATGAAAGTACTACAAGCGACAAATATGAATAAACCCTACACGAAAGGGGAGAACTCAAAATATAGGCAGGGGATTCAATAGGAGGGGCGGAATCAGAAGGCTTATAGGTGGAGTGCTGTGGACGACCTCCGCCAGCCTGTCGCGAGCATCTGATGCAGACAATCGCAGAGACACATCCAACGCGAACATATCTTCTAGGATAGCATCGATGCTGGGAACGGTGGTCTAAAATTTGGTGATCATCGAATATACACCATGACAGAACACGGCTCCAACGCAACGTACCTTAACGTCAGAGAAGCTCTCAGCAAACTGCCATACGTCGGCTTTGAACGGGTCGTACAGTGCCCCGGAGTCCATTTCAGGAGGGACAGGCCGTTGGTAGTCCTCGACAGGCAGACCACTCAACAACCGCTCTTCAGTAGGCATATCCGGTGGAAACTCGTGAGCTGTCTCGAAGTCTGTCAGGAATGCACGCGGGCGGCATAGAGGCACCCGCATAGTCGACAAAGATTCCGGATGCCACTGAACAAGGTAGTTTGATTTGCATAGATCCTTCCTATTTGTCAGAATACAGCGATTACGTCGGGCAAAATGATTGCTTACTCTGTGCACTATTCCGAGCCCGTGGACGAAGACGATTGCCTACAGATCATATGAGTTGCAGTTGACAGGACGAGACAGTGATCGCCCACTTCAAGTGCCTGCAGGATCATATCCACTATATCTCCGACGGAGTTGTTCGCCCACCTCCCATAGCATTGTTCCATCGAGTGACCAACGTACGGCGAGACCATGAAGACGATATCATCAAACTGCACCTCCTTCCAAAGAGGGACAACATGATTCTCTGTCCACAAGCCGGTCGTGCCTTGGGCAAGCTTGCGCAAGATCTCCAGGTGGCGTTTACCCTCGTCTCCTATAGCTGCAACGCGAATGACCACGTTGAGCCCTCCAATAGTCGAACCTCCACAGGTAAGTTCATTCTAGGGGACTTGGTCAGCAGGTAGGAGCCATTCAACACCGACACTCACATGACAATTAAACATCTGGAGTCTTGAAACCCAAGCTTCGCCACGCGTCGGGGTCAGATACGCAAAGCCGTTGGACATGAGAGTTTGTTGTGGATCCGCCTCTGAGCTAGATCCTTCATACGCCCACAGTCGAATTCCGGCGTCATGAAGTGTCGGCCTGACGGCCTCCCAGACACGCTTGACCTCATCCATAGGGTCAAGCAGGCGCCACGTCTCCAAGTCTCGAGGTAACTTGAAACCAGTTTCAGTAAGCTACAGATAAAAAGTCGCTCGGAACATACCGTATCACGCACTCCTTCTACAGAACGGTTTCTGCTCCCCCGAGCTTGGAGCAGTCGTAGAGCGACAGCCGCTGTGGCGAGACTAGCAAGTACTGCGGCAGTAGCAGTAGCGAACTTGTGAGACGAGCTCATAGCGGATACAGTGTGACACGAGAAGTAGGTATGTCCCACTTTACAGGAACAAAGCAGGGAAAGCGACCCCTGGGTGGGCTCGTCGTCGACGAGTCCAGTGCAGACCTTTACGTGGTCCAGGGGATAAGTAACCTCGTAGGAGGCGAAACCAACTGCACTATAACGACCTCTGGTAGTTACCAGACCTGAGGTCGCGGGCTGGGAAGTTTTTCCCACAACAGTCGTTGCACTGGCCCGACTATCAGCTACGACAATAGCCTGATATACTCAAAACGACCTTCACGTCCTGCTGAGACGTGCCAGCTACGCCAAGCTGGAGGCCGTTGAATCGTATAAACCGGCAGATAGCCGAGGTTGCACATCGCTAGAGCCATGACGACCGCGATACAGACATGCTGCGTACCTCACCCCTGAGCTCTTTTGAGCTCGGCTGAGATCTCTACTGGCCGTTGTCGACGCCGAGCCTGGCCACCCCGATAGTGACCCAGTGAAAACTAAAGTAGGAAACGCACCTCGCACCTCACACCCACAAGGTGCCCCTCTCCTGTCACGATGCCTGTACCCCCCGAGACCATGATCCACTAGTTGATACCGTCGAATATTGCGATGAACGCCCCCACATGCACCATCGCGACTGGGATACTGAACACGATGAGCTCACATAACTACTAAGGCTGTGCTGGTCGCCCCCGGGGCCACACGGCCCGACCCAGAGCGCCCGGAAGACCGGTAAGCCATACCGCCAAAAATCAGCCGCCTTAAAAACACGTGCAATGAAACAATCACGCGCCCCTCAAACGCGTCCAATACTCTGGCGAAACTAACTAGTTACACAATCTGAAACCCGAGTGAATGTTCGACTAGAATAACCCAGGCTAGGTTGACGTTGTGACAGCCTGACATCTCTTTAAAGCCCATTCTACTGGACACCGCTGTAGAAGCTGTAAAACGTATCCGATCAGACGGGTATGGTACATATGGAGTGTAATTTATACTTAAAACCCCTCATCACATGTGAATACTGGAACCATTGCAAGCTAAGGCGAAATCATGGACACATATATTCATAAATCCCCAAAATATTCGCTTCCAGATCACTATCAGCCCGCCGCCTCAGTCTGCTACATGCCCACCCTCCTTGCCCCCATGCCCTATGCTCCTATGCGCTCTCCCCCCTCACTGTGATGATCCTTGGCCCTCAACCATGTACGCCTTCATCCTTGTAACTGACGTCATCACTGTATAACCCACAAGTCAGATGTATAACCATAAACGCTCCTCTAGAACGTCACGTTTATGCTGCCGTAACTAAAGATATAGTGAGGTGAGGCGACTAAAATAAACGCTCATATCTCTAAGATGTTCCTCACCTTCTCTACTGGACGTAATCCTCGTAGGCCTGCAGATCACCCTCTGCAGACCACCACAACAAAAGCCACACGAGCAAGGCAAGAGTCGACGAACAGGAATCCAATCACGATAACACAGTCCCCTGTCTCTCCCCCCCAACACGCCACCACCAGGCCTCCGAGCTACGCTATAGCAGTCGAGATATTCGTGGAGGCAGAACCCGAAAGCAGCAGTAACACGGACGGAGAGACCTGGATAGTCGACAAGAAACCCCAACGCCCACTTGCACGAGGCCAAGTTGCGACATTGCGCACGAATACGCACGTGATTGGGTCGGCACGTGTCTCAAAGGTCGCCTCCCTCACACGTCACTGGGCGATTCTACGACTGGCCGGAGGAAAGACAGGGATGCGCCTCAGAGTCCCTATACCATGGGTCCATCTGTGCAAGATGGATAGCTATAAGCACACGACACTCTACCACACCTTACCTCTACAACCTGATCCACACGATCTCTTCCGTCTCCATCATCCCTTCAACGATACGGATGTCAATCCGTACGAATTCGACATCACGGAGGCGGACGAAGATCAGCTCCGAAGTCGACTGCAAATGCGCCCGCTGTCAGAGATGACGCTGGCGCCGCCCAAGATCATCGAACACGGAGACAACCACGAGGCACCACTAGGAGCAAAGAGCAATGAGGAGAGCGTGTAGTGACGAGGCCTGCGGCCTAGATCCCGAGCCTCAGAACACCAGCAGGTTGACAGGAGGAAGGGAGCTTATCAGGAGCATCGTGGATCCGTACCTGTACGAACACCAACTGAATGCACACGTGTCAACAAATTTGAATGATGAATACGCCACTTGCCAGAACACGACGACTGCGACCGGCGCGTGGAGCGTACCCGATAGGGTAAAAGCGCGAGACACCGAGATGCTGACACTTACCTAAAAGAGAAAGAGGACGCAACTACACACTAAACGCCCAAGTTGTCGCAGCCTCCCAGCGCCCCTGCTCGCTACCCGCACCGCAAGCCCCAATCTAACGGCCCTCTGCAGGCCACATACGTCTGGTACTCTCCTCTGCCAGCCCTGCGTCTCTCCAACCGTACAACTTGTGAATTCGAACTAGTCTATGAACGGCTAAATTAGAAACGATGGAACGGTGAGACGGCCCAATTATACAACTGCGCGTTCGATGAGCAACGGCATGGAAGCACCGCTCACACGAACTGACAGCACACCGGTCGGAACGCGGCAGTCGGATACCAGTTTGGTGTAAGTGCCGCCTTTTCCTCCCGCATAGACCCTTACTTTTGATATTTCTGTCGCATTGTGGAGCACAATGAACAGGAACATGCCGTTGGTGGCGTAGAAGACCAACGGTGTCTACAGGAAAATGCTCAGTCGAGTCCTTCAATCGATACAAGACCCTGAACTACCCACAATGGCACCCGTGGCCGCTTACTGAACAGCGCCAGCGATGTCTGCAGGTCAAAGTGAAGGCGACGCAAGTTGAACCATTGCAAACCACTCTCCCATCCCCCGATAAACTGGCTCACTCTCCTCCTCTCCAATAACCTGGTTCACTCTCTGACGAGCTGCTGACGACGTCTGCATAGTCGCTCCCTAACTCTAACACAAAGCCGGCAACGTGAGAGTATAAAAAGGGCCCTATACGCTCTACAAACGACATCACACTGTGACCTTCTCGTCTCTATTCTCTACTGTTTACTCAAAATGCACTCTCCTGCCGCATCCTCCCCCGCTGTTGACCCGCAAGGGTCACCTCCCAAGCTGCTGAATGCCCGCCAGGACGACTACAATGCGCCTCCCTCGCTCACACCAATTGAAGACTACAGAACCGTCGGACAGGATCCTCTGTCGTCGCCGCCGTCGTCCGAACGCCGCTCCCTGTCGTATGCAGAGATGGCGGCTAACCCGCCTACTCCAAGCGACGGCCAAAGGGCCACGATGGTGACCAAGTAAGCACTCATGACCCTCCCAGACCTTCGTCCAAACATCGTCCTTACTCCGCATCGTTCTCTCATCACCTATAGCAGACCTCGCTCCCCGACCTTGCCGGTCTCTCCGCACCTTACGACTCTGAACGATGCGGAATTCCCTGCTGCTGCTCGTGAGGTCGAACAAAGCGGTGGAGAATGGCACGTTGTCGCCAATAAGAAGAAGTCGCTGCGACAGATGAAGTTCCGGAAGCTCAAGAACAAGGCCCAGCAGCCAACTAAGAAGACGCCTGACGTCGGCTCTAACACGATCACTACTGCGACATCCGAAGCCGCTACCACCGACGCTGCGGCCCACGCTGCGACCTTAGAAGCCGCTGTCCACGCTGCAATGCCTAATGCCACATCAGAGGCTAGCAGCAGTGAGCCGCGTAAGAGGAGACGTACGGCGACTGATCTTGACGACGACGACGGCCCCAGAATGAGCGACAGGCAGCAGGACCCCGCCACGTCGTCCACGAATGCCCAAGCCAAGACCAATGAACCATGGCAGAGGTATGTAACCTCTTGATCACACAAACATATCTTCTAAAAACACACCCTTGCAGCAACCGTTCGCCTGTTGGGGCAAACACGGCTGATGAACGTGATATCGCTGAAGCCATGAACATTGACTTCGCTGTCGCCACTGAATCGAGTTCTGATGAATCTACCCCACGTCGCTCACGCAAAGGCAAAGGCGAAGCTCGCACCGCGGCTCCGTTGGCTAAAGCGCCGTCTTATTCGCCTTCGATCTCTGTCTTGCACGGAAGGGAGGAGACGAACGGGCACATGCAGTTCGTGTACCAAGGTAAGCCTTGTCGTCTTGCAACACGCTCTCGCACACAAGTTACTCATCACTATACACAATGTACAGGAGAAGAGTTCCTCTTCCCCCGCCCTCCCTCGTCCTCCCCAATCGCTATGCCTGTGACTCCGTCTCCATCTCGCGGCAGGCGCTCCCACACTGCCACGCCGTCGAGGCCCGCGAAAGGCCGCCGCTGGGCTGACGAGAGCGACGACGAATTCACGTCGCCAATTCCCCCGTCACAGACATCTAGCCGCCAGTCGGACGTATCTATGTTTGACACCCCACTGCCGGCCCCGCAAGGGTCCTCTCGAAACCGCCGTCGCTGCAAGCAACGTGCTAACCGCCGTCGTCTAAGCAGGTTGGCCCAGACCGCGCGTGGAGCCTCGTCCTCAGCCTCCGCGTCGCTTGCCTCCTCAGACGACGAAGAAGTACCTTTTGATGTCGACTCGCTGGATCATGACGCCACGGTCCCACCACGGTCTCTGTGGAGGAAGCCTCAGGGCGACCGCCCCGACTGGAAGGCAAGAGGTATGGCCCCCACGCAGAAAGACGCGTGGGACGTGATTGATGATACTGAACCAGTTGTTGCAGTCCAGATCCCCAACCACGGCACTGAAGAACCGGGTCTCGAGGAACGCATCGCTGCAATCACCAACGCTTTCGCGCGCATCCTCCACCTTCCCAATGTCGCCATCATCCCCGCATACTCTATCGAAGGCTTCCATGGCCCGAACAAAGAACCTAACTGGTACCTCGCACGAGGGCTTAACTTGCTCGTCTGCATCGCGCTTGTCCGCATGGGATGGCTAAACTCGTCCTTCATAACCCTGAACTTCGACTTCTGGCGCGACTCGAACCCTCTCCTATGTGGAATGTGGCGCCTCATACATCGCTTCGGAGCGCAATCGAAGGAGGAGTACCGCCGTCTCATCCACCGGGAGCTCCTAGGCCCCGAGCTATACGGTATCATCTCAGTCGCCCTCACGAGAGATGTCGCACGAGGAGGCTACTGGGAGAGTCACTCTCACGACGAAGCCTTCACTAAGCTTCTCGACTCAGTCGATGTCGACCTCATCCCCGCCAGAACTGTAGGCAACATGACCGAGATGGTCGTTGTTCTGCACATCAAACCCCCGACGGCTCATCGAAAGGACTGGCTACGCTTCTGCGACGCACTCCGGAAGCACGGTTTCGGCTCTCAAGAAACGGGCCACCCCATTGCCTTCATCGGCCGTCTGTGGTGTGGATACTGTCACTCCTTAGGCCACACCTCACCCTTCTGCAGCGTCCGCAGCACCATCGGATGGCATGATGACCAGCCGCAGCAGCCTCCCGCCCAGGCCGCGCCCCCGCCGCCGCCGCCGAACGGAGGCGCCCCTGGCGGGCGAGGCCGTGGACGCGGCCAGCGTGGAGGTGGAACGCAGAGGGGCCGAGGTGGTCGTGCGCGAGGAATCGGGGGAATGGGTGGCCACGGCTACATGTAGATCTCTATCAATGAAACAACCTCCCTCCCTTACGATGCTACTGTCTCTATGAAGTGACCGTCACGCTCGCTGTCTCCTGTACACAAACGGCACTCCTGTATACGCATATCCTGTTTTGACAAAGAATGCATCTTGGAAAGCATGACGATGCGCCCCACACTCACCACCAAGTCAAAACGAACAAAAATGCAATACATACGTTGTAAAATCAACAGACTCTATGAGCGGCTAGGGCTGCAAAATTTTATATGTCTAAAGGCCCAAATATACTGGTCGCGAAAGCAAGACAGGAAAGCCTACAGCATGTAAAATCCCTACCCCGCCTCAACATGAACAAAACTTCTCTTCACAAGGGCACTCATAGACTTGCCCCGCCGAGAGGCTTAAGCGAACCCGGGCAACTGCTCCGGCTAGCATGTCACCTGAGGGACTCAGGAGCAGTCTCCACCTGCTGTGGATCGTTGTAGCAGCAGGCTCGATCGCAACGGCTACCAACTTAACACCAAACACACCCGCGGACGCACAATCGGCAACCGGCTACACTCCCTCCCGACCGACAGGGACTAAATCCCACTCTGCCCGACAAGGTCCTAATGACAGGCCGGGAGGCTCGGACGGCAGAGCGATCCTCCGTAGTAGGAGATTGAGTATAAGATTGGAAACGGAGGATGGCGACACAATCCCCAATCGCAGCGACCCAAATAGTCACAAGACACACAGAGGGCGTAAGACAAAAGCGACACTTAAGATAGGCTCGTTAAATGTAAACGGTGTAGGGAATATAACAGGAGACTCCAACAACAAATGGAACGGTATAAACAAACTGATGAAGGAGAACCGGATTGGCGTTCTAGCGATCCAAGAATCCCACCTTGACGACGTGACTATAGACACGATTCACTCATTGTATGGAAGGAGACTACGAGTGATATCCTGTAGCTCTACACACGGAAAGGCACAAGGAGTAGCCTATGTCCTAAACAGAGAACTAACCGACGTAAACACGATCAAAATTGAGACGATCATACCAGGCCGGGCAATGTCAATTACCGTACACTGGCACCGCGAAATAGCCCTAACACTGCTAAACGTATATGCACCAAACAATGCGACAGAGAACACAGTGTTTTGGAAGCACCTCGAAGACCACTATCGCACAGGAAGACGACATAAACCTGATGTCGTCATGGGAGACTTCAATATAGTTGAAGAAGCTATCGACAGACTCCCGCCGAGAGACGACAACGCCCTAGCAGTCGAAGCGCTGGAATCCTTTATGAACATTGTCAAGATGAAAGACGGCTGGCGACTCACCTGTCCCAATGAACGAGACTATACTTATCCACAAAAGGCGTCAGCCATAAGATCGCGCATAGACAGAATATACGCATCGCAAGAAATATTACAATCATCTCATACATGGACAATCACGACAACGGCTGTACCTACGGACCACCGCCTTGTCCTTGCACATCTAAGTACGGCGCATGCGCCATTTATAGGCAAAGGACGATGGTCCATTCCCCTCGCGCTAATGCAAGACACTGAATATATCGCGCACGTTAGAAGAATAGGAAATGGCGCACTAGAAAGAGCCAGGGTCGCAGCGTCCTCAAACAACAGAACATGCCTAGTCAACCCACAGCTGATCCACAAGTGCTTTAAAGATGAGATAGTAACACTAGCAAGGACAACGATGAAGAAGAAATCGCCCAAACTCACGGCCGCCATCAAGAGCCTATCGACAGAAGTAAGAGATATTCAGAACCGAGAGAACTTCGACATCGATCCCAGACTCCAGATAGAGTCCGAAGTCCGCATGGACAGAATATCAGAACTAGAGAAGAAGCGACATCAGTATTCCAAACAGATGTCTGCAGCCAAATACGCACTCAATAACGAGACAGTCAGCAAATACTGGTCTGCTATAAATAAAGAGAAGAAACCGCGTGATCTCATACATATGCTCCGGAAGCCGGGCACACAAGAATATATAAGACGCTCCGACAAAATGGCAGAAATAGCAAGAGACTACCATAACTCGCTACAAGAATCCGAGACCAATCAACCACTTAGACCTGAAATAAACGCTGCCATGGAGCATGCTGTAGCCAGTTTACAGACATCGCTTGACCCTGAAGACACGGCGACCCTCGACAAAGGAGTCACTGCAGAAGACATCAAAGATGCCTTAAAGAAAGCACAACCTGGGAAAGCCAGCGGTCTCGACGGCATACCGTATGAACTCTGGAAAATCCTACAGAGCGGACCCACAGACCCAGATGGCAACGAGGACGGTTTCAATAGTATCGCGCTCCTCAAACTGGTCTTTAGTGATATTGACAGATATGGCGTCGATACCAACAGCAACTTTGCAGACGGCTGGATGTGCCCGATATATAAGAAACACGATAAGAGAGAAATAAGTAACTACAGACCTATAACAATACTGAACTCCGACTACAAGCTATACACACGCATCCTGACGTCCAGCCTAAACAATGTTGCCACAATGATCATACACCCAAATCAAGCCGGCTTTGTGCCGGGCCGTCAGATATCAGACCAAACCCAGATCTGTAGGACGATCGTTGACTATGCTGAAGCTACAGAAGAAAACGGCGTCATCATTGCGCTGGACCAAGAGAAAGCGTACGACAAAATTCAACATAACTACCTATGGATCATCCTAGCCGCTGCTGGACTCCCTGCATCCTTCATCAATAAAGTCAAACACCTATATGAACACGCAACGACCGTGGTGATTATTAATGGGGAAATAAGCTCCACATACAGAGTATCCAGAGGGGTACGGCAAGGAGACCCCCTCTCGTGCCTGCTGTTCGACATTGCGATTGAGCCGCTCGCATGCGCGCTCCGACGCTCCTCGCTACGAGGCTTCCACATACCAGGAGTCACTGAAAGACTAATAGCGTCACTCTTCGCTGACGATACATCCACGTTCCTCGCCCAAAGCGATAGATGGAACGATCTATGGACCATACTTGAAGACTGGTGCCTAGCGTCCGGAGCGAAGTTTAACAGAGGTAAAACAGAAGTCATACCGATTGGCTCACCAGAATACCGAAGTGACGTGGTCCGTACCCGCAAGATAGACCCGGAATCTAATGACTCAATGATCCCAGACTTCATCCATATTGCTAAAGACGGTGAGGCCGTTCGCGTCCTGGGTGCTTGGATTGGTAATAATACAAATGAGGCCGCAATATGGAAACCTACCCTCGAGAAAGTTGAGAAATTCCTCAATAGATGGAAACAATGTGGCCCATCCTTCACTGGGAAACGTCACATAATCCAAATGGGCCCGGGGGGCATCACCCAATATCTGACAACGGTACAAGGAATGCCACAATCAACAGAGCTTGCACTCACCAGAATCATACGCAGGTTCGTATGGGGCTCAGATCTGCAACCGAGCATCAATCTAGACACCCTGCAACAGGAGATAGTAGACGGTGGTCTAAACATCCTTGACGTCAAAGCAAGGAATGAATCAATTGAACTCACCTGGCTAAGAAGATATCTATCTCTTCAAACCGACCGACCCGCATGGGCTTTCATGATTGATGCCATAATAGCCCTAAATGTCAAATCTAGTGCCGGTGCTATAGGACAATCAACGCAGCTCAACACCTTCTTACAGAACTGGGACCCTAAGCTCCGAGGAGCCTCAAGAATGCCGACCTACATAAGAAATATGCTTAACACAGCGAAGAAATACAAGGTATGCTTTGGAGCTTTGAAGATGAGCCGCCAATTAAAACTGCAACTACCAATGTGGTACCACCTGAGTGCCACTAAGCTCCTACGTCGACTGGACAATACAAGTCTAAGTAAATGTCTGCGCAATGCTCACGGAATCACCTATGTGGGTGACGTCTTGCGCCTCAAACGTCACGACGTTATACAAGACAACGGCAACCCAAACGACGCCAAGCTAGAATGTCCATGTGAGCCATGCGTCGCTGCCATGATGAAAGGATGTAAACATACACTGCGCTGCGTTGAAGCTGCCGCACGGCTCATAGCAACCCTGGATAACAAGTGGAATCCTGAGACAATCTCACCCGCTGATGGACTCACCCTAACATATAAACGTAGAAGCGATAACAATGAAGCCGCTGAAACGGGTGGAGTCATGACCTTTGACCCCACTGTAACTGAAAGAGGCGGTGTCTCGGAGATCTTCAGAGTGTTCGTCCAGGAAGATACAATAAAGAACCCACCTGCGATACGACCAAGGCGTGGTATCAGTGTAATCGATCAAACTGCGACGGTATACCTCCTTGCTGCACCCGGACGACAAGAAGCCCGTCCTGACCAAAAGTTCTCGCCGCCAGAAGGTGATGGTGTGTCAATCATGCAAGGAACACCGATCGCGGCCGCACTGGTTAAGTTAGAACCTCACCTAGTACAAGACAGCCAATCTAGCGGCGAAATCGCGGCGGCGATATATACAGCTCAACTCGCTCCCAAGGACATCCCACTCCACTTCATATGTGAATCCGAAGACCTTCGCAACAACATATGTCGCGACCTACGCAGATGGGAAGACTCAGACTGGCTGGGTGCAAAGAATAAGGACGCACTACGAGCCCTCGTAAACATCTTGAGACAACGATGCGCCCCCTCAACCTTCAGGCAAGCGGTTGACGGGGATGAATGGAAGATGATAGACAAGGGGAGAGACCTCGCCAAGAAGTTCGACCAAGAACACAAGACCAAGTTAGTCATCCCTGAAACTGAACAATTCTTCAACCTTACCGGAGCAAGACTCTCCTCACTCACCCAACGGCTCGCGTATAGATTGATACGACGACAGCGATCTGACATAAGACGACCAGCTACGCAAAGAATCGTTAACAACGTTATCACAAGCATCCAGATAAACACCGGACGTACTGTCCTAGAAGCTGACCTATGGATCAGCCTCCGCTCGAATGAGATCAGGAAACCAATACAGGACTTCCTACTGAAGAGCCTACATGGCGCCCTAAGATGTGGGAAGTACTGGAAACACATCCCCGGCCTTGAGGAGCGATCCAAGTGCGCACGCTGCAACGTTGAAGAAACTATGCACCACATCTTTACTGAATGCTCCGCCACGGGCAGAGATGAAATCTGGAATCTAGTAGAACATACCTGGTCTAAGAAGCAAGCCGACTGGAGTAGACCAAGCTACGATGACATCTTGAGTGCTGGTACAAAGCAATGGCGAACCGTTAAAGGGCGACGACGACCAACAGCGGAACGACTATGGAAAATACTAATCTCTGAAGCAGTCTTTCTCATATGGAAGATGCGATGTGAGAGGGTCATCAGCCATAATGACGACAGAGACTGGACACACTCACGACAAGAGACACGTGCCAGGTGGCTGACCACCATGAACAGACGCCTACACCTCGATATGTCCATGACGAACAAACGATTCGGTAGGCTAGCTCTGAATAATAACGTGGTCCTCAGTACATGGAGAGGGACATTAGTAGACGAACTTGCCCTCCCCGACGACTGGACTGGCCTAAGTAGGGTTTTAGTGGGTATCGACATCCGTCCATGGGAAGACATCGATAACGGATAGTATGAGCCCCACACTGACCACCTATGGTCGTGCGTAATAGCATTTTATCCCTGGAAAGCAACTGCGGGGGAACCCGCTGGCCGGCCGGGACTCAGGGGCTGACCAATTGTCAGCTGCCTGGTCCTAATGAAAGCCCTCCAAAAAAAAAAAAAAAAAAAAAAAAAAAAAAAAAAAAAAAAAAAAAAAAAGCAGGGAAAGCGATAGTAACGGTGCCTCGGGAGTCGGGATGTCAACTTCGACATGCCTGAGGCGCGCGCCTGGCCCTGCGTCCTTGCAGTTGGGCGATCACATGACCGTGCACCTTCAACGCCGTTTCTTTTTTTTTTTTTTGGAAGGCTCTTAATGAATTATGGCAATTAACAATTGGTTAACCCCATTGGTTCAGCCAGCCAGCGGGTTCCCCCGCTAATGCGTCCAAGGATGAAAATGCAGTTTAAGCACGGCTGTCGCTGCCAGTGTGGGACTCAGTCACCCTTCGCCTCTAGCGTCGCTTACGAAGGGTGCAATACCCACTAAAACCTTATCTGTTCTCGTCCAGTCGTCCGGAAGAGCGAGTTCGTCGAATATGGTACCTCTCCACGTCCCAAGGACCAGATCTTTCTTCAAGGCTTGTCTGCCGAATCTATGGTGGGTCATCGTCATATCTAAGTGCAGTCGTCTGTTCAGTGACGTCGTCCATCTTGCGGCGATTTCTTTCTCTGAGTGTGTCCATCCTGGGTCTGGTTCGTGTCCTATCGCTCTTTCACATCTCAGGCACCAGATCAGGTAGGTCGATTCCGAGATTAGGATTCTCCAGAGCCTCTCAGCTGATGGTCTTCTTTTGTTCTTGGTTGTGCGCCATTCTCGCAGGCCTACTCCCAGAATTTCTTCATAACTCGGGCGTGTCCATTCTGCTTGTTTGGTCTTCCATAGAGACCCAGCTAGGTCCCATACTATGTCTCGTCCAGGTGCTTGGCAGTCAATTAATATGTGTTTCATTGACTCTGTCGCCCCGCAGTACGAGCATTTGGCGCGATCTTCAAGACCTGGGATGTTCTCCCAGAAGCTTCCCACTCTGTGTGCGTTGTGTACACACTTCCACATGTAGTCTGATATTGTCTTACGTATGTCTTTGGATTTGAGGCTGATCCACAGTTCCTCCGCTGATGCGTCCTTCCCATTCTGTCCTTGGATCTCAGGTATGATCGAACTTAAGGATCGTTCAGTGGATGCTCTTACTGTGTGATTTCGGAGTCTTATCATCCTATACGCTAGGCGTTGTGTGAGGCATTTCATTTTCACGCCTGACAGGTCGAAGCATTGCGCCGATTGGGGTATTACGGTGAGAAAGGTATTCAGTCTTGCTAGTTGGCGTGCTGTTGATCGACCATCTACTAGCAGTTGCTTCTCAGCTTTGCTCTTGGCTTTCCGGAAGGTCGTCACCGCACAGCGTTGTCTGAGTGCGTTTGTTAGTGCTTTCCAAGCATCTCGATTACTTATTCCTCTCCAGTCCGTATCTTCCCATCTTTCTAGTTCATCAACCAGTACGACTCTCAGAGTCTTCGATTCACATATGAAATGTAACGGGACGTCTTTCGGGACGATTTGCATGGCACGTAAGGCTGCCGATATTTCGCCACTCGTCTGTGGATCATTTGCCAGGTTCGTCTCCAACCGTGTTAGGTCATTATAGATTGTGACATGTCTCATAACAAGGAGTCCATTCCCGTCTGGCTTCAGTTTCCCTCGTCTGCTGGAAGGGTTTGGGCCGGAACTGGCAAGAATGTACGCCTTACACGCGTCTGCTGCGATCGTTAGACCTCTCCTCGGGCGAACCGCAGGTGGGTTTGTTATATTCTCTTTGTCGACAAATACACGGAAGGCCTCCGTTATCCCCCCGTGTTCAGTCACGGAGGGGTTGAACGTTACGGCATCGCCTTTTTCAACAGCCTTGGTGTTGGCTTCAAGTCGTTTCTTGGTGAGTGTTAAGCCGTCCGCCGGGGAGTCCATCATGGGGTTCCATTTATGTTCAAGGAGTAGCAGTATTCGTCCCGCTGCATCCTTGCACTTCAGTGGGTCCTTGCATCCGGACCTCTTATCGTTCTCGCAGCCAGCACATGTACAGGAGGGCTCGCTGCCGTCAGTATTCGTTGCGATAGGTGCGTCATGTCTCGCCGTCCTTGCGATATCTGCCACTGTTACGACGTGGTGTGTCAAACGTAAGCATTTACTCAGCGCTGTGTTGTCAAGACGTCTCAGTTGTTTGGATGCGCTTATATGGTACCAGGCTGGTAGTTGATTCTTCAGGGCTCTATCCAGCTTTATGGCGGCAAAGCTCGCGTTATACTTCTTTGCCGTCTTTAGCATGCTCTTCACATAGGGGGGTAGTGGGGATGAGCCATCCATCCTGGGTCTCCAGTTCTGGAGGAATGTATTAAGTTGGGTCGATCTTTGTATTGCGCCAGCGGCTTTGCTAACATTCAGTGCAATGATAGTATCCATTACGAAGGCCCACAGGGGTCTCTCGTCGTCCAGTTGGAGATACCTTTTCAGCCACATTAGGTCTATTGCTTCATTTCGTGACTGTATGTCCAGTATGTCTTGTCCGCCTTCGTTCTTAGTCTGGGATAATGTTTCCATGCTAATCGTCGGTGATTTACCTTTTCCCCATATGAAGGTCCTCATTATTTTGGTCAGCGTTATCCGTGTTGATTCAGGCATCCCTTGGACTGTGGTCAGATACTGCGTCATACCACCTGGGCCCATCTGGATGATGTGTCGTTTGCCTGTCAGTGTTGGGTTGCAGAAGCCCCATCTATTCAGGAATTTCTGTATTTTCTCGATTGTCGGCACCCATACTGCAGCGTTCTCCGTCTGGTTACCGACCCATGCTCCCAGTATCCTGACTGCTTCGCCATCTCTCGCGATGTGTATCATGTCTGGAATCTTGTCATCGTCATTGTCTGAGGATGGATCTATCTTCCTGGTGCGTAGTACTTCCTTCCTGTATTCTGTTGTCCCAATCGGTATCACTTCAGTCTTTCCAGTATTGAAGCGGGCACCCGCAGCTTCACACCATTCGGAGAGAATGGACCAGAGGTCGGTCCACCTGTCCTGTCTGGACAGGAATGTTGACGTGTCATCCGCAAACAGCGTCGTAATGAGCCGCTCGGCCACCCCGGGTATGGCAAAGCCATGTAAGTCAGAGCTGCGGAGCGCACATGCTAGAGGCTCTATGGCGAGGTCAAATAGGAGACAAGAGAGCGGGTCGCCCTGTCTTACACCGCGTACGACTTTGAAGGGGGTACTGGATTCCCCGTTGATAATCACGACGGTCGTGGCATTCTCATATAGGCTCTTGACTCGGTCAATAAACTGGCGTGGTACGCCGGCTTTGTCCAGCACTATCCATAAGTAGTCATGTTTAATCTTGTCATACGCCTTTTCTTGGTCTAATGCCACTATAACCCCGTTTTCCTCCGTAGCTTCAGCGTAGTCGACCATGGTGCGACATGTCTGCGTCTGGTCAGTTATACGCCGACCCGGAATGAAACCAGCCTGGTTCGGGTGTATTACCTTTTTGACCACTGTCGCCAGGTGCGAGGCCAGAACTTTTGTGTACAGCTTATAGTCTGAGTTCAGAACTGTGATTGGCCTATAGTTGCTGATATCGCGTCTGTCATGTTTCTTGTAGATTGGACACATCCAGCCGTTGGCAAAGCCGGATTTGGGGTCGACTCCATAAGCCTCTATGTCTTTATACGCTAGGAGGAGCAGGTTAGCACCGTTAAACCCCTCTTCGTTGTCTTCCGACGTCTCATCGTTGTCGTACATTGATTTCCAGAACTCATATGGGATGCCATCGGGCCCGCTCGCTTTCCCAGGTTTCGCTTTCTTTAGGGCGTCTGTCACATCATCCATAGATATTGATGCGCTCAGTGTCTGTTTCTCATATTCGTCTAGTCTTGTTTCCAGCTTCCCCGCAGCCTTCTGGATACGTTCCGGCCTGGCGGCATCTTCAGAGTGTAGGTCGTCGCGTTCTTGCAGCCTGTCGTGGTAGTCGCGTGCAAGTTGTGCCATTTTGTCAGATCTGGTTACCATGGCTTCGGTACCGGGCATTTTCAGTGAGTATATCACGTCCCTTGGTTTCTTCTCCTTGTTTATGCTGGACCAGTATTTGCTGATGGCTTCTGCGTTCAGAGCGTACCGCGCTGTCGTCGCTTCGCGGATATGTTGATAGCGTTTTCTTTCCAGCTGGATAACTCTGTCTAGGAGCACGTCTGCCTCTGTTAGCAGGCTAGGGTCTTCAGTATATGAAGGTAGGCTTTGTATTCTATTTATGTCTTCGTTCAGCCTCTTAATAGCTGCGTCTAGCTTCGGGGCCTTTTTCTTCATAATATTCCTTGCTAGCGCGACAATGTCTTTCTTGTATGTGCTGAGTATTAGCTGAGGGTTGTTATGCGCATCACGGCAGCCGTCTTCTAGGCAACCTTTTGCTTTCTTTAGGGCGCGATTCCCCATCGTTTTGGCGTCTCGCTGGAAGTTGACATCGTTCATCAGATGCAGTGGGATCGTCCATCTACCTTTCCCCACGTAGGGGGCCTGGGCGGTACTTATCTTCGCCATGACTAGCTTATGGTCGGTCGGGACTGCTGTCGCCTTTATGGACCATGATTGCGACGCTTTTAGGATATTGTCAGTGACGTATATGCGATCGATCCTCGATTTCGAGGCCGCGGCCCTCTGCGGATAGGAGTAGTCGCGTTGGTTCGGTTCAGACATCCTCCAGCCGTCCTTGAGTTGGAGGTTCATGAGCAGCGAGCTTAGTGCTGTTACTGTGCCGACATTGTCTTCTCGAGGTGGTAAGCGGTCGATCGTGTCTACTGTAACGTTAAAGTCTCCCAAGATCACGTCTGGGCGATTCAGTCTGTGGTTGTCGTAGTATTCAGCTAGTGATTCCCAGAAGGCTCTGTTCCGTGTAGCATCGTTCGGTGCGTATACGTTAAGGATTGTTATCTTGTGTTCTTTGTGCCACTTGGTCGTGATAGAGAGAGCTCTGCCCGGTATCACGTTCTTCACTTGTATGCAGGATGTGTCTACTAGTTCTCTGTTCAGTACGAAGGCCGTTCCTTGGACACCCTCTCTGTCAGAGTCGCCTCTGATGACGTGTATTCGTCTTCCATAGAGTGCATGTATCGCGTCGGTTAGTTCGGCATTCAGATGCGACTCTTGGATCGCCATTATGCCTATCCGTTCCTCTCGTAGTAGGTGGTTAATGGCATTCCACTTGTTGTTTGTGTTTCCTGCTAGGCGTCCTTTCCCGTTGACATTCAGGGAGGCAACCGTCATGGTTGCTCTCGTGTTCCGGCCCTTCCTACGTGTTGACGGTGAATTTCTATTCGTGTCAACGTCGTTGGTGCTGGGTGCGTTTACGCCGCCCTCCGCTTCCAGCGGTCTCAGTGAGTTACGGAGGGTCGCCCTGCCGTCTGTGCCTGCCGGGGGGTCATTGGAGCTTCCATGGGCAGGGGGGATATCAGCTCCTATCCGCCCGGAAGGTTGATGGCCGTTTGACAGTAAGTCGTCCGTAGTTATATGTTGTGTTTCTTGTGGCGCCGTTGCTATTCGATCTCGCCGCTACAACGATCCACGGCGAGAGGGGGCTGCTCCTGAGCCCCTCAGGTGACATGCTAGTCCTCAGCGTACTGAGAACGTAGCTTAAGCCTCTCGGCGGGGCAAGTCTAGGTAGTGCCCCTGTTTTGTGAGGGTGCGTCGGGGTTGGCACACACGACAGCTTTCCTGTCCCGCGTGAGCGGTCAGTAAGTGTGGGCTAGTCGTTAGGCGTGTGTTCCTCGACATAGAGGGCGTTCCTGCGTTGCACTCATTGTCGTTAGTGCTTGCTGCTTGGAGGACTCGGATCTCGAGTAGTACAACTCTTTTTATAGCACGACGATGAGCGCGGATGTAATAGTACAGGCAAGAACAGTAGTACACAGATACTCAAGCAGCATTCAGAGGCCGTCGCAGTCGGCTACTGCCAGGTCGGGGGTTTTGACGTTAGAGGCCTCGCCTCGCGCCGCCGCGGCCTCGGCCAGCACCACGCCCACGGCCGCCACGATTCCCGCCTCGGCCCGTGCTCGTCGACGGCTGCTGGTGCTGCGGTTGGGTCGTCTCCGGCGGGAAGAAGAATTTCTTGGCCGGGCAGTGTCCACAGGGATGTCCTAGAGAGTGGCAGAAGGTGCAGTACACGCGACCTTTGAAGGCGATAGGGTGCCCGGCCGCCGGCGATCCAAATCCATAGTTCTGGATTGCGTCGCGGAAGCGAGTCCAGTCGTTCCAGTCAGCGGTAGGGGGAGTAATGTAGATGAAGGCGACTGGCTCAGAGGTATGTTCGGAGACGCGGCAGGAGATAACCTGGACGTCAACAGAGTCTAGGACCTCACCAAACGCGTCGTCGCGCAGCGATCGTTTCCAGCGTCCACCTCTCTCGATGTCCCTCAGAAGGACCTCCAGGACGACCTTCTTGACGGCGTCGCTGAGGAGTGCGCGGCGTACGATTGCGATGTACTGCTCTTTGGACTTAGCGCGGAAGCGGAAGGTGTAGCGGAAGGCGGCGCAGAGGGATGGGATCGAGTTCCCCCAGAGGGCGAAGTTCAGAGTGTGGCCGGCAGTGTGGAGCCAAGCGGCGCGTACGAAGGCAATGCACCATTCTTCGCTGAGGCCCTCGATGCTGTACCAGACAGGCTCCCGGTTGGCGGGCGAGAAGACGCCGACACGCTGTGTTCGTGCCTCCAGTGGTCCGTGCGCAGGGGTGACGAGGACGTCGTCGTTGGATGAGAGGCGGGCAGTGAGGTTGTGAAGGAAGGAGACGCGTTCATCGACCCCTGCCTCTCCTGTACCGTGTTCTGCGAACTGTGCGACGATCAGCGGCCGTTTTCTCCCGTAGTCGTTCCACGCCTTCGCCTGACCAGGGTCCATGCCTGTTTTCTTCCAGTCGATGCAGTCGCCCTGCACCTTCTTCATAGAGCCCTCCGGGGTGATGATGATGTCAGGATCGGCTCTGATGATATCGTAGGGGGTTGGCTCGGGGGACGGAGAGGGCTGGAAGGGCGGGTTGCCTATGGCAGCGACGGAGTAGCGTCCGCGTCCGCCACGGCGCTGCTGCGGGCGACGAGGGGGAGGGGGAGTAGCGCTCCGAGCCGTAGAGGAGGAGCGGGCAGACTCGCCATCGCTCAACAGCATCTCAACGTCGCTGGAGGACTTCTGCGCGCGTGAGGAGGACGGGGTTGGGGACCTGTCTACGTTACGTTTCTTGAACGATCTGGTTGGTATGCGTGACGGTGCGGCCGGCGTCGCCGTCCGAGCGCGAT